ACCTACCCCTCCTGGGAATTCAGTAGAACAAGACGTGTGAGCTGAAGTCCAGCAAATGGTCGTGCTTGCACAATACCCGGTCGTGTCCGTGCTAGAAGTTGACAAAGGTGGTGCGGCTGAAGTGGAAGACTTTGTGGAGGTAGCAGAAGAGCTTGCACATGGTTGATAGTAGTGCAAAGTAGTCTTGTCTCCAACAGTCTTTGGATATTGAGTAGAACAGGAAGTGCGGGCTGAGCTCCAGCAGATTGTTGAACTGTCGCAGTCACTGGTAGCGATGGCGGTGGAAGAAGGCGAGCTAGTGGTAGTTACCTTTCCAGTGACCTTCCCAGAGGTTGTAGATGAGCAAGGCACGAACCAATGAATCGTGGTACTCTTGAAGTTCCTTTTCCAACCAGGGAGTTCCGTTGAGCACGAGGACGTAGTTTGATCCCAACAAGTGGACGATGTCACGCAGTCCGCATTGTCCACGTCACGTTTGGCTACCTCGGTGACTAGTGGGTTCTGTTAGTATTGTCCAGTAATTATTTGACACATATTTTAAAAAGCTTACTTTTTTCCAAGGGCACTGAAGTTGCTCCTTGAATCCAGAGAATCAAAAGTCCAAGGAATACCACGCTCGTTCTCATGGTTATTTCTTTATTGAAAACAGCTTTGTTCAAGGAGCTTAGGCTAAAGAAAATTCAAGAAGAAATCAATGGGTCAAATAAGGTGGAGAGAATGAAAGGCTGAAAGAGACGAAGGGACCTTTGGAAGAAAAGCCGGGGCATATCTCTATTCATATACGATCTCGGCTCCTGGGAGTAAAGGGCTGGCCGCCTCATTAGTCAAGCATTTGCCTTCATGCCACCACAGGCCCTAAAAAAGATTGTTCTTCATGCCAGTCAGCGCCGTATTCCCAGCTGGCTGAGGTACTGTGTGATAATTCCGTCATGCTGGCCCGTTGTAAGCAAGATACCGCTCTCTTTTTGATCGTTGTATGCCACTGGTTTGCATGATGCATGCCGCATTAAACCTTACGATATATAGCGTTCATGAGAGAGACTGGTATATTACCAATTTTAATAGCCCAATTGGGCTCTTGGATCACTTGAGAACTGTTTTGAATGGCATGGGAATATTCAGATTCCCTCGAACCAGTGTGCTTTCCATGCGCCATGCAGCAGGAAAAAGCATGTTGTGCGTCTGAGATGCAGCCAAGACGCATGAAAGTATGTAACCCCGACTGCAATTTCTGGAGAAAAAAACCTAAAGAAGCGGTCAGACAGATGTCCTTTTCCACGGGAGGCTTTCCTTGATCTTGAATTGTTCAGTAGGGACAACTAAAACTAAACTGCAAGGTTGAGGATTCTGTTTTTATTTAGGCCATATTACAGTTGCAACGACCGGTACACCATACTCTATTGTGCGAAGGATTCTTTCTTTGCTTCTCACATGCATATACCTAGCAATACCTGAGTGTGCCGCCCAAATTGGATCCTGTATCCCTGGCTACGGTACGCACGGACCATGGTGCTATTTCTAAACTTTTGATTTGTGAACTCTTTGATGACCGTTGGTTTAAGGGCTCCCTATTCGTTCGGAGAATGCTAAGGCAAAGCCAGAACCAAGTCCCGTTACACTCAAATGCATTTCCCCAATCGGAATAGATGCAAACTTGATGGTACTCGGTATATCTAAAGTTTAGCAGTGTTCAGCCAGCATCAGGGCCTTCTAGAGGGGGAATGTTAGGAGCACCGCAAAGGTTTTTAAATAATAATTCCGGAAAGGGACGACTATGTTCGAACGGAGGGAGTGGTAACTTATGGGCTGCTTCTACATAAACGGCTAAGCGGAAAATATGAAACGCCTGTGACCTTCGAATACTTTGAAGCAAGAAGATAGATCCAAGCTTCAGGGGGGCTAATGTTTGCAAAGCTGCAAACGTAGCAACAAAGGCTAAGAGACATCGTAAACTGGCAAAAAAAGCCGAGCATGTTTTTTTAAAGTTTGTTGATGGGATCATTTTCAGCATAGATTTCAATGTGGACGTGGAGGCTCAGACTCGAAATTTCAACGAGTCCCAATATCCGAGAAAAAAAACGTTATGTGCAGGTGCGCAGGTGCGTGCATGGGTGCATAAGTGCATGGATGCATACCCTTCCATACAACACCTGCATGATTTTATGCAGAACTTAGTAAAAAGCTTTTTCCATTATAGTGGATCTAACGCATTCGTACAATAAGAGCAAGGCGGTATGGTATGTACGCACGCGTCTCGGCTAAATTCCTCGAGGTTGGCCTACTTTGCAGATAAGGTCGGAATTTCCAAACGCCATTTTGACCGTTTTGGGAAATGTTACTGAACTCAAATTGTTCCATGCCTTGGAACGCTGTATGGATCAAATGTTGGAAATGAAGCATCCAGGTAAGTATGTGAAAAACAGTGTTATTTCTAGTTTAAAGATGAAATTGCTGATCACCCTAAGTAGAGACAGGTTCCACCTAAGGCGTCTACAAACCTACGGTGTCTTTGAGTTCGGCGGCTAGCGGCTCGTTTATACCAAAACCAGAATTCCTTGGCTCGTACATGTATTTCCTCGAAAAGGTGTTTTGAAAAGCAATTACCGAGAGGGGAGTCCATATCCAGCTCCGATATCTACAGGGCGGCATCAGATGTGAGCAAAAAAGTTGGAAGATAAATGAAAAACAAAATACGACCGTAAGAAGGCAAAAAAATAGCAGCAAACCATTATTCAAAAATATGCTTTGGACTCCCAAAAATAACTATATCTTTACAGGCGCGACATCAGGCGGTCCGAAAAATTTTTTAAATGGGGAATACTCTATCAGCAGACCAACACACTGGGCAGATGGGCCCAGTGTCGTAGTTATGGAAACAATTTTTGAGCCACTGAGGCGAATAAAGGCTATCTGGTTGACGTGTTTGGATGCCATAGAGACTGGAATAAATGTTTGGTCCTGTGAGGGGTAGTAGATAATGAGACCGATGATGGCATGGATTATCGTAATTTAAAAGATATAAACTGTACGTGCAAACATCCGGAGATTGCCACAAGAATTTTCACGGTGGTTGGAATTTTTTAATCCAAACCCAATATGATCGGTTGCAGAGCTCTCAGTCTCGCGTTGGCCAGCCTATCTCAAAGTTTTCACTGCACTGGAACCTGAAAAAAAACTCAATTCCCGAAGGTACGAGGGGAACCCTTGGCTGCTCGACACATGGGCTCGGACCAAACGAAATCATCAGAGAATGTTGGTTGCACAAGGCGGCAAGGGACTCTGCATGAAAGAGCGAGACAGACAAGAGTCTCGGACTCGGTGTTGAACTCTCATTCTAACCAACGGAAACGATATGTCCCAAGAGGAGTATTTCAGCCTCAACCTTAACCCCAACCTTAACCTCAACCTTAACCTCAACTTTCTCCTCAACCAGAGTCGCGAGCATAAAAGGTTTGTGACTTTAGGTAGTGTGCTGCTAAGACCAACTCGTTTGCCTGCATACTCCGAACCGGGAAATGTTTCGGATTCATGGAAATCGAGCGGGGCACGATTTGGTCGACGTGAAGCGAACAATTTAACGTGCATGAATAGGCATTGCCTTTTTGAGCAATTGTCCTGATCTGTTTGAAAGGTTCTCCCGAAAGGAATGAGACATTGGGTTATTGAATTCCAGCATTTGAATACAGCCAGTTAGTGTAGTAGTTCCATTGCTGGATTCGAACTGGGCCATGGATTTGGCCATCCTATGGAACCCTGTCTCAGAACATCCACTCTGCAATTGAGCTCAGATTTTGACACAGCCTACATTGTGATGCATGCCTCCTGCTTTTGGCCGCACCCTTTTTCGTCTTTTCCTCCAGCCTGTTCCTGAATCGGACCCCAAATAGCAATGTGCATCAGTGATTGTTGATGAGGGATAGGTGTTATCCCGCATGGCTGAGTCTTTCTGTTTCTGAAGTTGCGGAATTATCTGATTAATATTCCGCAGCTTTGCCCGATTTAGACTTGGGTTACCAAATGGGGTACCGCCCTATAGTTTGGCTGTGGTGGGCAGAAAATCCAGTAACCTTCAGTGTAATCCCGAAGCTAAAATACAATTGCTGAAGGCATTGGCTAGTATTTCCTAACGCTTCAAGTTGGCGCTGACTACTCAGTCGCAATCAATCGCAACTCTGTCAATTCCGAGGCGGCGATGATGTCTTGCATTCCTAAAAAGGTGTCTGGGAAGCGCTTCGGCAAAATAGCCCGTCTCGCATGTTGACAGACTGACGAGTGTTTATTTCTCGAACGGAAACAGGCTTTCGTACAGCTGCATTAGCTTTTCGTGACCATGCAAGGCAGCAAAGCAGAAAAGTCTAAAGAACAAAAGAGGGTATTGTAGTAGCACAAATCAAGATAGAAGCTCGAGCGTTTATACGAGCATCAAAAATCTAAAAAACTTGTTTCAAATAGAATGTTGAAATTTTCTAGTGCAGTTGGGTGGGGCCAGGCCTAGATGTAGTAATTGAGGCTTTTAGGTCTGGTAAGCTGCTCAACGATCTGGTGCTGTGTTTGTGCCTTGCTTTTGCCGTTCTTGGTTTTTTCCCAAAGGGATTGGCTCAAATCGGATTTTAGTTTCATACAAACATGAACGCCTCGAACAGAATTCTGTCGACTTGGTGGATTCTGAAAGAGGGTTGAAAGAAAGAACGCAAAATGGCTCATGGAGCAGCTGCATATACAGCTCCTGCTTTTCATAAAGTTAGCTGCTTTGGTCTCGGTTCCCACTTGGTTTATCAACATGGTTCAATTGGTCATTGGAAACCCCCAATAAGAACCCAGTCATTCAAACAAGGCCCCAAAAGTTTGCTCGTGCATGCAGCGCAAACTCTAAGCAACAGTTGTGTATACGGCGAAACAAATTGCAATCTACGAAGCCTGTTGTTGTCAAATAATAATTGTTTTCAAGGGCTTTGCGCCATGTGGGAAGTTTATATAAACAGAATTAGATCTGAGCGGGTCTAATATGCAGCGGTTGTAGGCATACGAGCCATCACATCGAATTTGCCGGTTCCAACGTTCGACAGCTTACCAACAACGATTCTGGCACTTGGAGATTCCAGCTGTTCACGTTCTCCATCGAGCACTGCTTTGGTGAGGAACTGGATGGTGGTTTCGTAAGACATCTTCATGAAAGCTGAGGTGGACGAGTCAATACCTTGACGAGAAAAGGCCAAGTATGTTCCCTCTCTAGTCATGTAATCTGCAAGCAAGTCCAAATGACGGGAAGACACCGAGATGGCATATCTTCCAAAAACATTGTTGATCTCATTGACAATTGTGTTTCTGGCAGCCTCCACACCGTATGTACGCAGAACGGCTGCAACATCGTTCGAGGTAATTCCGTTGACGTTGATGAAAGCATCATGCTCCCACATCGCCTGGAAGTTGACACCCTCGGTCACAAGCAGCTTCTTTTCTGGCTCAGGGTAGAGACAACGGCCTATTTTGGATACTTCACGAACAACCACCTGTAGACAAACATCTTCAACGATGTTGACCATAAGAAGCTTCTCGGTCTCAGCACTAAGCTCGAGCTTGAAATCACACCATTTTCCACTCTTGTCATCGAAGTTGAAGGCAGTGATGAAAGAGTGGGCACCAATAACTTCCTGTTGGCGATCACGTTCTTCCTTGGAAAGCCCAACCTTTTCTTCTGATTGGATGGGCTGTTCTTCAACGGCATCCTCCATTTCAAGGTCGGAGTCAGAGTCGGAATCCTGGTCGATGATCTCACGTTCTTCATCGTCCGGCCCATCGTAAGAAACAGCCTGTTTCGTATTGGAACGAACCTTGTCGTCAGTAGCATCGTCGGCATCGTTCGATTCCTTTCCACTTACAGCAGCCTCGTTCATCACACTTGGAACGGCCTCGCCGATGGAAGGCAGTTCAGTGACAGCCTTTCTCTGCTTCTTCACCTGCTTGACGATGGCTTTCTCCAAAGCAATCAAGAATTTCTCCTTCACCACCTCAACAAGCTCGTCCTTCGTGACATCGTACTCGTTCTCGTAAGCCTCTCTGTCGAAAAACTCAATGTGGATATTGTAGGAACGAGATGGCTTTCCGCCATCAGCCGCAGATCCAGACGTCTCCACGACAGAAACTCTGTTCACAAACTCGGAGAACACGACTTTGGTGACAGACTTACAGAAAGCCTCGGCCATATCGTCAGAAACATCTGTGAGCAAAGGCAAAGACATCTGGGGTGTCTTAATGGAAGAAGAGGCGGTCATTACAATTTCTCTCAGACGAGGAATACCGAGAGTAACGTTCGCAGCACCGTGTCCAGCGAAATGGAAGGTATTCAGTGTCATCTGCGTGGAAGGTTCACCAACCGACTGAGAAGCAATAATACCAACAGCCTCGCCTGGGTTGATCAATGATCTCATATACTTCAATTGCATTAATGCACGGAACTTCTTCTCGGTTAAAGCACCAGAAAGTTTGGCCTCCTTGGAACTGGCAAAAAGTTGCGGGTTCTTCTCAATAAAGTCGTCAAGCTCGTCCTGGAACTTCTCTGAAACAGAGCCCAGATACTTCGAAGGATTATACACAGAAAGAACTGGATCGTACTTGGTGTTTTGGTCATAATGAGGAACATCTGCGGTTTTGCGGATGCTCTTCTTCGCCTTCTTCGCATATCTGATGGCCGTCTCGGGGTCCAGGTTAACCACATTCTCGCCTGGGTTGTACTTTCTCAACAGAGAATCGTAGTTCTCGGCAAAGAACTTGAATTGATACATGTGGGACTCCTTGGTGACATCCACAGCGTCTCCTCCGTAAAGGAATTGGATAAGGGTGCCGTCTGCGTTTCTGATCGTGTTGTCGTACGAAACGTGAACACCCTCCAACTGTTTGGTTAAACAACGCTGCAAATAACCAGATCTCGAGGTTTTCACTGCAGTATCGATAAGACCCTCACGACCGGCCATGCAGTGGAAATAATACTCCTGCGGCCTGATACCAGAATAGAACCGGCCTTTGATGTACCCTCCTGCACGTGCATCTGTGTCGAACGGCTTGAACGAAGGAAGAGTCTTTCCACTCACCATCACAGGAACTCTACGACCTTCCAACGCCTGTTGGCCCAGCAAACACATGATCTGCGAAACGTTCACATTGGAACCCTTGGCTCCAGAAAGAGCCATGGCTTGCATGGAGTTGTACGGAAACCTCTTCATGGTTCCCTCTGGAACACACTTGGAAACCACCTTGGAAGTAATGGCATTCACCTTGGATTGCGTCACTGCATCCAGAATGGCCAGCTTCTCGTCCTCACGCAAAATCTCCTCGAGTCTCTTCAGCAGCTCTGGGTTATTGTGGTCTGTCGTGGGGTCGAGATTGGCTACCTCAGCCGCAGCAGTACGACCAATGTCCACGGAGGTCTTGAGGATTTCCGTTCTCCATTCGTTGCCCTCTGCAGTGAGTCTAAGATCGTCCATACCACAGGTGAAACCGGTCTGCGTGATATAGTTGGTGAAAAGTCTTCCGAGAACGGATAGGGCTTTTCCGGCCACTTCAGGACCGTAAACCTCATGCAGCGAATGCACCATACCGTACTGGGCAGCACCGTACTGGGACTTGTCCAGAATTCCACTGATCAGCTCACCTTTTTGGAAGAGAACCTCGTTCTCAGTAGAGTCCTTTCCCCAGTAGTCCGACTTGATTTTGTTCTTGGTCTTCAGGTTCATACCAGGCATGTTCTCTGGCTTGATGTTCAGCAATACGGTGGAAATCACCTGCTTTCCCGTCCACAACGGAACTGGCTTCCAGATCGCTGGCTGAACGGTCTGGATTTTGGCAGAAGCCGAATGGCCATCTTCAGGACGAATACACCCATATATAAGCTGGTGGTACATCTCTCTGGTGAAGAAAGAGTCCTTGCTTGTCAGCCAAACTCCGGCAGAAATGTGGTCCTGGATGAGACCTCTAACTGGCGAACCCGATGTTGGAGTCAAGTACTGCGAATCTGTGTTAGCCAGGTTCAAGGCCTCGGCCTTAGCGTTTTCATTCTGGGGAAAATGCATGTTCATCTCGTCACCGTCGAAATCGGCATTGTACGCACCTGTATTGGCGTAGTGCAGACGGAGGGTTTTCTCTCCAGGCAGGACCCTCACCTTGTGGCCCATCATAGAGGCCTTGTGCAAAGTTGGCTGACGGTTCATCAGCACAACGTCATTGTTCTTGATGTGACGATACACCTTTTTGTTCACCACCGAAGCACCAGCTGTTGGGGTCAGAAGCTGGTTGGCAATGGCCTTCCGCTGTTCAGCCTCCATTCCAATCAAAGACAGTAGCGAACCGTCTTCGTTCTGTACCTGGATAGCTCCTGGCCAGATGTCTGGTCCGTTGATCACGGCCTGGCGCAATTCTGCAGCGTTATAGGAGGTGACTGGCTCTGGATAGGTGAGCTTGGTAGCAAAAACTGGAGGAACACCTATCTGGTTGGTTTCCAGCATAGGGTCTGGTGAAATGACCGAACGAGCAGCGTAATTCACACGCTTTCCCATCATGTGTTTTCTGAACAGACCCTCCTTCTTTTCCAGCACCTGCTTGATCCCCGGTGGAGGGACCTTGGTGCCAGAAGCGTCCTTTGAACTGTCGATAAAGCTGTTCACGTTGTCCTGCAGAACTACAAATGCGTTCATCAGTCTGTTGAACATGGTACTCCTGTCTTCCTCGGTGGACTTGCTCAGAGTCAGAGCCTCCTGCCTTCTGCTCAAATCTCTAATTTCCACGCAAGTGGTGAGCACTTTGGAGAGATGCGAGTTCTGCGAGTTTTCGTGGATATCGTCTCCCAATTTGGATGGCAGTCTGAATCTGGTTGGGGGAACAATCAACGCTTGCAAGAAGAAGATGTCGGCAGTGACAACCTTATTGGATAGCGGTCTCGAATTGAACAGATAGTGAATCATGTCTCTTTCCGAGCTGAATACTCCGTTAAGAAAGTCCTTGATTGACAGCGATATCGTGTAGCTCTGTGATGTGGGATACTCTTCATCTGCATCTTCACCGGCAACCTTTAAGAACTTTGGATGACGCTTTCCAATGGCAATATTGTATCTCTGTTGAGCCTCCGACATGGGCTGCTCGAAGATCTTGCTGAACCCGTCCTTGCGGAAGTTTGGGTTGAAAGCTTTACAGTTTTCGCACTTGCGTCTGGAAAGCAGTTTTTTGTAGAACTCGTGGATCAGTGCCTTTCTCTCTTCGGCCACAGAAGCAGTGAAGATTCCCTGTTTTGGAGCCGTGCCATTGGCGATCGCTTTGGCAACAGCCTCCTCCACAAAAGTCTCTCTGACCTGGCGTATTCTCGACTGAGAATCCGAGTCCTTTGTTTCAAACCCATCGTCTTCCTCTGCCTCATCAGCACCATACACTCTGTCAATGGACGAGGCTTCCAGCAGAAGTCCATACTGGATCAAACGCAGCTTGCACTGGTAAAGATGAACTTCCAAGGCATTCAGCTTGAATCTCGAGCAGAATATACAAGAGCCTCTGATGAAGATGTACATTTGGCCGAAAAAAATGGGATTATAGACAGGAGTGGGTAGTTCAATATGGCCCTGATGGCCGGGACAGAACTTGTCATTCAAGCCACAAGTTGCACATCTGTAACCGTCAGTTAGTAAACGTCACTTTGCAGGTCTCATCTTCAATTTCAACTTACAAATTTCTAAGAAAAGCGCCCAATGCGAGATCGTACAGACCACCGTTGATGGGATGGCCCAGGTTATCGAATACCGTTGGATTGGTGATTTGCTTGGCCGAAACCTTGCGGACTTCCTCGGCTGACAACACACCGAAGTCAACCGAGACAATCTCAGTTCCCACTGGTTTGGAAATATCCATGTTGCACTATATGGGCAGGAAGTATGCTTGGTTAGTGAAAGAGTTTGGTACTGATAATATTTCAACTAGACCACCTGCATAAATTTGAAAAAAAAATTGACAGCCGGGTAACCTCCATCTCGACTTGAAAAAAATTGGGCATCGCCCTACCTTTCTCGCTAACTCAAAACACCACAACACCATTGAGTTTTACTCCGAACGTACAAAACTGGCAACGTTTGCGCTGAGCATTTAATTATCTGAGCTTGCAGTGGCTTGTGTGTGTTTTGTTTGCATCCATTGTGTGTCTTGTAATTCACGTGATACCATTGGTTGATCTGTTGTACTTTTGATCACCATCATACACCACCATGTTTGGCAGTAGTACACCTGCTAGCCGCCCTGGACTTCTGGGAAACTCTCAGAGCGATGGTTCGCAAGACCAGAGATCCGCAAAACGTACCCAGGGATTTGGAAGTCCATTTGGTTCTGTGAATAACGCTTCGACGGGGTTTTCTTCGCAGCCGTCTGTGTTCGGTGCTAAGAACGATGCTACGAAGTCATCTTTATTCGGAACCAGTGGTGGTTCTGCCGGAGCGCTCTTCGGCTCACCAATGCCAGCCGGAAATTCGGCACAGAATACTGCTGCTAACTCAACTTCCCGAGGATTTGGTGCTAAGTCAACCAGTTTCTTTGGCTCTCAACAACAGCAACAATCACAGCAAAATTCCAACTCCAACGGTCTATTTGGAAACTCATACAACACTTTCAACAACAACCAATCACCGGCTTTCAACAGAAGCTTTGTTTCTACCATAGATGGGAATGGAAACCCATACGGAATTGACATTTCTGCAACAGCTACGTCTGTGACTGAAATGCCAAAGCCCTTGACTCCATCTTCTCGGTTATCAGACAGGAAGACAGCTACTTCTTCCTCGTTGCCAATCCCTGCAAGACGTAAGAGATCAACATCTGCCACACAATCGTCGTCATCCCAACCGGATCATGAGAGATCGTTTCTGAGTGGGTTAGTTTCGACATCTACTTTGGGATTCAGAAATGCACCTGCGGAAGATGTCTCCGGAATTTTTTCTCCTGAGGTGAAACCAGACCATCCAGTTATAGAAAAAGCGAAAACAGACCTGAAGTCATCTATGCGCTCTTTCAAGCCAAAAAGCACATCATTGGCTCCCAACGTTGGGTCTTCGCGACTGGAGCTGCGCAAGTTGATTGTCAGGCACTCCAATGCTCCAAAAAGCTTTAGCGAGATAGATCCCAATGAGGTTTTGTTCAAGAGAAGGAAGACTACAGACACAAAAACGCCATTTAAAGCATTCAATCCTTCTCGGGTACCAACCAAGTCGTTCACAAACATCCCACCTGTTGCCAAGGAAACATCATCGGAGTCGTTTTCCAGTGGAATTTCCACTGTTTCGACTGCCTCTCAGACATCCTTAGACGAGGATACTAATCCGCTGGTTTCAAGAGAGTCTGATCACGGTGTTTATTGGAGTTCACCCTCGATATCCGAACTGTCGACCTACGATCTCGATGAGCTTGCAAACGTTGAGAACTTCATAGTGGGTCGTAAAGGCTACGGCCAAGTTGCGTTCCAGTATCCCGTGGATTTGACCTCCTTCGCGGGAAATCTACAAGATGTTCTTGGCAAAACTATCAAGTTTGATAAAGGGTGTCTGATAGTGTATGACGATTCGGACGCGAAGCCAGCTCAGGGAAACGGCCTCAATGTTCCCGCGACAGTCACAGTTCAAGGTTCGTTTCCAAAAGATCCGACAACGGGTAAGTACACAAACACTCCATCCTCTGAGCTGCTGCGTGGCTACATAAATAAGCTCAAGAGTCTTCTGGGAATGGAATTCGTGAATTACGACCCATTACTGGGAGCTTTCACTTTCAAGGTGGACCATTTCAGCATTTGGGGTGCTATTGATGATGAGGACACGGAGATGGACCCAAGTATTGTGCAAAAATTCAAAGAACAACAACTCCGCGAGCTTGCAACTCTGGAGAGAAAAGAGAAAGCTACAGAATTTGATCCCCCAAACAATACTCAAACCTGGGGCTCTTTCAGAGCGCCAGATGAGGTCGAGGAGGATGAAGTGATTGAGGATGCAGACCAGAATGATATCACTTCTAGTAGTGAAGATGATGATATGGATACCCCTTCTCGCTCCCCAGAAGATGATCGGTTTGCTGATGACGAAAGCGTGATTGAAGTGAAGGCCTATGAACCCGACTTCGAAGACATTGTTCTGGAAACTCTGGATACCGCGCCTCGGTTCCCCATCTCTATGAACTGGGACGACCAGCTAAAGCTTGCGGGAGGAATTGACTCTGCGCTCAACATAGCATCTCAGCGTGATGCCTTGAGTCACATGGATTTGGCTTCTCTCAATGACCATATTTTTGGAGATTTTGCCACAAAATCCAGTCTGAAAGAAAAGATCTACAAAGATTTGAGACTAGAGTCGGCGATCGAGTTTGTTCAGTTTTCGAACAATGGTACTGTGCTCGTTGCAGATCGCTCTGGGAATGAGCCCTTTGTCTCTATCAAGTCTCTAGACGGGGCTTTTTCGGAGAAAAGTATCATTGCCTGCAAGGACGTCTTTGGCTTCATCAAAAAGTCTTTGCTGTTCACTCCTAGAAAGAACTCCTTCTTCAAGGCCAAGACGGCACCATTGTCATTCTCACAACTGAGAGATGTTTCGGAGGCTTCTTCGTTCGAGGGACGATTGTGGGGTCTTCTGTCTTCTTTGTTTGATGGATTCTCTGTCTCGGAAAATGGTCTGAGTTCCCACCTTCTGGACATCAAAAGGAGGAATTTACTAGTTTCCTGGCTGAAACAGCATAACACGGCTGAAGTTGAGAGGCTACTGGCAAACAGCCGCTCGGATCCACTTGATTGTGTGTTTTTGTTGGTTGTGAGTGGAGATTTTGTAAGGGCTGCTAGTTATGCCATGAAGTCCAACAATCCTCACCTTGCTGTTCTGGTGTCTCTGTTGAGCTCGCATGATGGTTCTGTCAGTATCAAAGCTGCGAGGCAGCTCAACGAATGGAGGAAAACTTCTACGTTAAAATACATCCCCGAGAAGATTGTGAAGATATTTCAACTGCTTAAAGGGATAAATGCTTCTAGTGATGAATTCACTCAACTAACTGAAAGTTTCAGCTGGACATTGTCTTTGAACACATATCTGTTATATGGTGATGCAGGATTGGACTTCCAGGACTCACTCAAGGCATTCGCAAAATCTCTGTTCTCATCAAAGTTACCCACATCTGACCCGTTCTTCCATGCTTTGAGGTTGTACATGTCTTCATTGAAAGGGAGTGTCGATTCGTCCACTTTTTCTGGATTTTTATGTGGAATAAATGCGAATGCATCAGGCTTGGATGCGAGAATATCCTGGATCATTTTTGAGCTGATTGTGAAGACTGGAAAGATTAACGTCGAGTCTTGGGAAGAGCAATACGATTCTATCACGCTAGACTTCTCCCAACAATTAGAGGCTTGTGGCATGGTGAACGAATCTGTGTTGCTCCTCAACTTTCTGGAAAATGATCTTCTCTGTAAGGCTCACGTCACCAGCGCTGTTCACAGACAAATCGATGCTTTGGGGTATTTTGAAAGTGAAGACATCTTTGAGGAACTTGTACGCAAATCACATTTTCCAAGAGTTGTGCTTCACGAAGGTAAAGCTCTTAAGCAGATCTATACGGGCGATTACTGGTCTGCCGCAGATTCGCTTTTGGATGCAAACTTATTGAATGTTGCACACAGACTTATCTTGGCCAAGGTAGCAGCCTCTGCTGTTATCGCTGATGGTGCTGCCTTGGGAAGATTAGATAGACTTCTCACTCGCATGCAGACATCTGCAGCTGATATCGATGGCTGGAGGCGAGGAGGAGAGATCTATAAGGACTATGTTACTCTGTTGTCTACAGAAGAAGAGAAGTCGAAGGATCTTTTGCTGAAGCTGATCGGTTCGTTGCCTCTGCTGGAAAAGCTCAACTTCGAGGTCAAGGCCGCTATCACCATAATGGACAGAAAGATAGTTGCTTTAAGTTTTGACACTTCTTTTGTTGATGCTGACAAGGTGACTTCTATGGTTTTACCTGAGAGTGAAGATAACTACGTCAAGAAGAGATCGCCCATGAAGAAGTTGAAAAGTTCGTTAATGGCGTGAAAGATGAAAAGCGTCACATTTTCTGAATGCGGATCAAGAAGCAGGTCAAGCATTGGTGTTCAAACCTTCAGCTCTACTCACTCGGATTGTATAGTTCATGATTATAAAGTTATATCCCGTCATATATCGCCTATCTCATCGCGTAAAGCATCCACCACACTCAAAATCGCCGTACAAGCTGGTGAGTCGGGATACGAGTCCAAAAACGATTCACCTGAGTCGCACGATCTGCCTATTCTTGGATCTAAAGGAACAGATCCAAAGAACTTGATTCCCATTTCCTTGGCCAGCTTTGCCCCTCCACCAGTGGTTGGCTTGAAAATCTTGGATTCTCCATGACAATTTGGACACACAAATCCAGACATGTTCTCCACTAATCCCAGCACTTTGATTCCTGCTTTCCGGCAGAAATCGATCTCCTTGCGAACATCCAGTAGGGCAACCTCCTGGGGTGTCGTCACCACAAGAGCACCGTCTATTCCACTGTCTTTCATATACGTAGTCACACTCAAATGTTCATCCGAGGTTCCTGGTGGCGTGTCAACAACCAGGTAGTCCAAATCGCCCCAATCCACATCTTTGAGAAACTGTTTAATGAGACCGTTCTTCTTGTTTCCTCTCCATATGATTGCCGAATTCGGGTCAGGCAGCATGAACGCTATGCTCATCATTCCAAGATTATCACTCACGTAAACTGGAGACCATCCGGAATTAGACGAGTGGATGGTTTCTCCTTCTGCTCCCAGCATTTTGGGCAGAGATGGTCCACATATATCCAAATCCATGGCGCCAACTTCCAGGTCTTGATCCGCAGCCAAAGCCCACGAGAGCATCGAAGTGAAAGTTGACTTTCCAACACCTCCCTTACCACTCAAGACCAAAATCTTGTGTTTTATACTGGAAAGCTTCTTCGTTATAATTTCTATGTCTGGATCTGGTCCCTTGGGCAAGGACTCGCAAATGGACTGATTGGGGCAACCGGCACACGCATCCGCCTGTCCAGCCTTTTCCGACTCCGGGCCTGGACAGTGTTCCGGCTCCGGAGCAGCAAGCTGTGGCTTGGGAATCAGCTCGGTTTGCTGCTGAACTGCTATCATGGTGCTCTGAAGAAAAACGTTGTAGGATAGATTAGTCAGTTGACTGGGACTTTCGCAAGATGGATGGCAAAAGGTTGGTTATTACACGAAAATTAATTTGAGTTGCACACTCCAAAGTTCCAATCCAGTCCATCTACGAGTAGAGCATGGCTAAATCAAGGTTAAACTAAAACGTTACACAAGTTCTACATAATTAGCTGGGAAGATGCCCTCCTTGCCATTACTCTTGCCAGTCCACCAATCGTCTGTGGAGTTTGACTTTTGCACGATGGTTATGACATCACCCTTTTTGAAAGGCAGATCTCCAGCCTGTTCTCCCTCAAAAGAGAACAGAGCAATGGCCTTGTTTCCACGGGACCCAGACGCAGGTGGAGTAGCCGCTTTGGAACCGTGTCCGAAGTCTGGCTTCTGCGTTCTTGGTCTGAAACCCCCGTTCGAGGACGCTCTGTTCCTTCCACCGGAATCAACCCTATCATACAAATCGTCTTCCCATGAGTTGGGGTTCTTCTTACCCTGGGTGCTTGGAGGGGACCTTCTGCGACTGTAGTAGCCAGCCGCACCCTCGTAGTCGTCGTCGTCGCTGTCATATGGATCACGTGACTGTCTGCTTCTGCCGTGGGACCTTCTGGATCCGGCGCGGTCCAGCGAAGAAGAGTCACTGCTGAATCTGGAAGGAATGTCGTTGTAGTACTCGTCATCAGAATAGTATTCTCCGTCCATGGCGGAACTCTTCGTGAAGGCCCTCGATTCCAGAACCCGGAAAAGAGGCTCACATGCGGATGGGGGCTCAACACGGCCGGAAAGAATTTGTGCAGCCTTGCAGTTGTCGCCGTAAAACTTCCTGTTAGCCTCTCTTCTCTCCACCAGAACAGAGCCTTCAACAGACACACCTGCAAAAAGCCCCTTGGTCTTGGAGTAGGAGAAGACAGCCGATACACTCTTCAATGAGGCGGTACCAGCAGCTTCAGCATTGCGGCCGAGGGGTCCAGCGGCAACCGATACGTTTCCACCCAAAGTAACCGAGCCAAATTGGGCAAACGAGTCCACGGCTGCCTGACTGTTCAGAATGAAGACAAAGTCAGTGATTTCGGCACCAATTTGGCCGCCTACTCCGGCACCGGCAGTGACAATGGCACTCGGCGCAGACCATGAACCGTCCGGCAATCTCGCAACAACAACTCCGGAACCGGCCCTACCCGAAAATAAGAAACCAGCCTTGATAACGGTCATCACGGCGAGTCCCTTGGCATTCTGTAGCACATCCCTGGGGATGACTTCATCAGCACCAAAGACCTGGTTTGGCTTGATGAAGGACGCAAGCACTTTGGCTGCTTTGCTGAAAAAAAGAAAATGTTAGTAACCCACTGAAACTGTAATCGTATGAAGCTTCGTTCTTACAACGAATTGATCCAAATGGAGGCGAACGCATGTCTATCTCTCTTGTTCTCCTGTTCCCAGCTTGTTCTGCTCCGAAATACGCCGAGATAGTAGTCCCATTCACCGCCACCACCATCACACTGAAATCCACAAATAACCACCAAAACTTACCGGCATTCGCTCTTCAAGCTCCTTGGAATCGGATTGTTCAACCCCATTGAGATATTGTTTGAATTGAAAGGAGGACTGGGCTGTGGCCATGAGGCTGTTCAAAGGGGTTTCGAGGCGATCCTTGACGTTAGTCGTGTGTGGGCTAATGTTCCCCAATTTGGAAGTCCCGCTCTTCACGGCTTTCTGGGGGCTGTGGTCTTTTTAAACAAGACTAAACATTTTTCTTGTTGTATCCACTTGAATTGTTGTCACACATTTAGTGTTGTATCAACGATTGTTTATTGCAATTACCTTGAGCTGATTTGCCATTCCAGTTGAATTGTTATTGCCTGGTCTTTCGTGAACTGAGTTTCTTGCCTTGTTATCTTTTGTTCTATCGTGTTGCCTACTCCAATTCTCTTGTTGGCCCGTATAAGTGTCTTGTTGACTTCTTGCCTGGTGTATTCATAGTTTTCTGCGTCTCCTTTTCATGACAGACTTTGTCGACCGCGTTTTCATTAAGAGCCACAAGGCCATGGCCGCCGCCTCCAACACCGTGGGAAATGCCTACTCTACCCTCAAGGACTCCACTTCTGAGGTTTCTGGCTGGGCTGTCCAAACCATCAAGAAAAACTCTTCTCGTTTGAAGACACCTGCACCGCCACCACCGCCTCCAGAATCGTTTTATGAGCGTGCCATTGAAAAGGTCAAAGCGCATAAATTCATGGCAATCACGACAGGCCTTATTGGGTTCAGTGCTGCTGCTTATTTACTTCAAACTCAGTATCAGATTCTAGGCAAACCTAGAAAGCGGTCTAGAAGAGCAAACAGACTTGGAAATGGTGCCAGATATGAGGTTGTGCTGATAGTGGGATCGCCCTCTTCTCCTTTCATCCAGCGTTTGATTCGTGATCTAAATACAAGGGGTTTTATCGTGTACGTCACCACCACCTCTGAGGAGGAACTCAAGGTGATTGAGAACGAAGACAGTTCGGACGTGAGATCTTTGGCTATCAACTACGAAAGCAATAAGACTGTCAAAGAGTCGATAAAACGATTTTACAATATCCTGATTTCGCCTGTTTTACCCTTTCCAGGTGCCGCTAATGAGCATTATCTCAATCTCAAGGGCGTTATCATAGCTCCTGATTGGACGAGACTACCCCGGGTTTCACATTTTGAGCAGCTCAACATGATGGAACTAAAGCGGGTTTTGGATGATAAGTGTCTGGGGATAGTGGGAATTTTGAATAACGGACTTTTGGACGTTATCAGAGAGAACAACGAACGGGCTAGCATGGTTGAAGAAGTCAATGGAATTTTGAATGCCAACGGAAGCGGTACGAAAGTTCTGTTTCTGGATGTGGTTCCCTCTTCTAGTCATGGAAACGACAACGGGAGTGTCCAGAGACTGGCTTTGCAGATGAACGACCAGCTATTCAAGCTGCTGAGAGACTCGTGTTTCCCACGGAGCTGGTTCTCTAATGCATGGAGTGGGCTGAACGGTTCGTGGGCAGTTCTTGGGCTTTCGAAACTGACTGCAAAATATAGTTTCTCCTCCAAGGATGACGTCAACGAGTCCAAGATCGTCCCTCGTGACTCAGGTTATTCATACATCATGCACAATGTTGAGGATTTTGCTTCCAATCTTGGTGCTTCTTGGACTCTGGCTGCTCCGGCTAAGAATAAGAAGATTTGTAGCTCCAAGCTTCATCATAAGGTTTTCGATATGCTGTGCTCTAGCAAATGGGCGTTATTTCCTGAAGAGACAATTTTTATTTGAGTTTGGTTGGGATTGTTAGATTTTAGGTATGTTTTTTATAGGTTTTGACGAATTGGATTTATTTAAGGAAATTTGAAATTTTTCATATTTTGGCAAAATCCGAATTTTCACTAATTTCTGGCCAAGATATATAGAGATTAGCCAAAAGATAGTCACTTGGCAACAGAGCACTTTTTTTCTGGTATGGATCTAATACAAAGAATATTAGCAATAAGTTTGTTTTATACCAGTTAATCGGTCTATTTGGAACCAATCTATAACGGAGTGTAACAGCTGTTTCGAGGCTGATCAAAACTTTTCAGAAGTAGTCCTAAGAAGCAGCAAATGGCAGCTGATATATTATGCGATTGTCTTTTATTGGCCGCGATTGGCCTATTATACACGTCAATTAGTATACACAGTGGAAATCCATTGGTGATCAGTTGATGATCTTGGTCCGCGAAATGGAATGGTCTTCTCTAGATCCAGCTGTAAAGTCTGCTATCTGAAGAACACCTTTCCGATCAAGAATATAGAGCTTGTAACCATCCTCATCAAATCTCATTGAAGCACTCTCACGAACGCGATAAGAATTGGCAGCCTCAGTAACAACTACTATTCGCTTATTGTCGTTATCGTCCATGCGCGGTGATGCCATAAGGTAGCATATTCCGCTGCGATCGAGATAGGCCACAGAATCACCACGAGGACTCACAGCACTCTTGTGAATAGTAGATCCAACTTCATCTACTCGGACGAGCATTACCGGCTGGGCAACTCCCTCTAGGCCCGTGATCGAGGACGTCTTGGTGTCTATAATGATAGGACATGAGTTGAACGCGACAGATGTCAGAGTCATGAGCCGGTTATCCGGGAAAAATTGAATATCCGTAATTCCTTCGCTCTCGAGCGAAGTATCCAGCTTTCTCTGTGATTTCATGATCAAAGAGGGCCGGGTGGGCTCCACTATGGAAATGATCATGAACCTGGACTCCATGGCAGTGGCACACGAGAGATACTGGGAATTTGGCGAGAATTGCAGAATGTTGATGGGATCTCTGTAGGGCAGAGTGACTGTCAGAGGTGTCACGGAAAATCCCTCACTGCCAGAGCCAGCGCCTTGGTTGCGAAGTAAACCTTCGTATAGAGATTCTTCCATCTCGTCATTGTCATTGGGTCCCCCAAATCGCAGTCTCAGCAACACGATGAACGGTTGCTCGAAACCTGAGAACTTGTCCTTTCCAGTGACTCCCAAACTGATGAAGCGTTCATTTCCGCTAATATCGATACACCTGATGGGGAATTTGGAATAGTACGTGTACAACGGTTTTCCATGGTCGTTAAGGTCGAAGATCCGCAATATACCCCTCGTTCCTGCAATCACCAGCAAATTGTTGGAGATCTTGCAGCAAAGATGCTCCCACTTGTTAAGTCGCTCCAAGAGGTCCTTGTGTGTTGTAGGGTCTGAATTGGAGTTGGCATACACTTCTTCAGTGGTGGGTTTGGGCAGCAGTTCTTCGAACGTAGCACCGTAAGCACCGGTGTCCTTCCCACAGGACTCCAGCAATGGGGGATCTTCTGGTCTGAGCGGATCAATTCGATAAACTTCCCAGCGCTTTTCGTCGAGGAGCACAAACCTCCTTAAGTTTGGAGAAATGCCTGTGTTGATGAACAGCTTCGAGCTGCGAGACCTGAGGAAAAATTTGGACTGATGCGTGTGATATTGGTACAATTTTCGGTAGAAAGGGAAATTCTTCGCGTAGAGAAGCTCCTTGTTAGCCTCCTTGGTTTTGGGCTTGCTGGAGGCGCTGTTGTTGAAGATTCCGTCTATGGGTGAGGTGGACGAGGTAGAGTTGTGCAGGGCCTTGGTTAGGTTAGAGGCTCTTCCCATTGAAGAAAAACTTGTACGGGACTTTCTCGGTATGCTTATTGGATCCGAAACGACCAATTCGGGCTCCGGGCCCTGGGATATCTGAATAGGATCAATACCAGTGGAGTCCTTGCGGTCTGGCTGAGGCCCGTAATCTTTGATAGTGGTTATCCACTCCTCGACATTATTTCCTTCATTCACAAATCCAACACCAGTATCGGTGGATTTGCGGAAGGACGGTTTGACCCGTTCTGCCTCCTTAACGGCAGCATCGTTGTTGACCTCTGTGAACACCTCGTGGAACGCCGCGAGAAGGGATACTTTGCTGGTTGCGGTCTTCGGCTTCGGCCGCACGGGTTGCTGCCGAGAATTAGACAGAGCCGTGCCAGTGCTCTTTTTTGATGAGCTTCTGCGTCGCGTTTTGTCTTGTTTCTCTTGTCTTTTCACTTCTTCACTGGCCTCAGAAACAGCATCTTCGCTCGCCAAAGAGTCATCTGGACCTCCCAACCTCAGGGCATGCATACGTAAGTATAACTCTCTCAGTGGCTCGACAGGAGCCAGAATCTCAATTCCCGCACGCTTGCAAGTAGGACAATCCAAATGTCCATCCTGCGAAAGACAAACTGCAAAGGATTCTGAGACAAGACAGCCACACGTGAGCACCGAGCAGTCTGGGACATTGTCATAAACAAGCCGGTCACCATCCAGACGAGCAGGAACACTCAGCAGGCTGTCGAGGCCGGTGATCAGCTTTGACATCCTGATTTTTGCGGAAGTTCGGCCGTTTGGGTGTGGTTGAGTAGCTGGACAAGTCTAACAGGGGCTCCTAAAGATAACGAGACCACGGTTCCGCGATGCACGACCAAAAAAATCCAGACCCTGTAGGGGGCCATAGAAGTCTCCCGCTGCGTATGGGACTCAATTTAAAAGCAACTATACAGATTGGAAACCGTATTCCAAGTCTGATTGGCGTTTTCCAGGCAAAAGATCACCGATTTTGGCCGATTGAGTGAGCTGTCAAGCAACTGGTTAGCCATTTTTCACTTCATACGCTTTGACGTGCGCCAACCAACTGTATTTTCCAAAGAGCCATCCATCTGTGGAAATCTGTATCTTGTCATTGACTGGTTTTGGTTCGTTTTTAGGACAAGAGGGAATCAGACAATGTCACAATTTGTCGGTTATACACTTGAGCTCATTCTCAAGGATGGTCCGAGCATAAAAGGTGTGGTGTCGAAAATCGAGGACAAAGACGTGACCCTTGTTGATGGTGAGTGTGGTTAGAGAGTGGATTGGAGCGGACTTCGACGTAGGTCCATCACAAGGGCGTTTGGACTAACTAGTTTAGCAATTTTCACTGGAAAGGAAGAAAACTTGATACACGAGATCACTTTCAGCGGCAAAGCCATCAAAGATCTGATCGTGTTTGGACTTCCACCAAAGAAGAAGGACAAGAAACAGAAGGTCAATGCCGCCTCAACTGTCGAAAGCAAGAAAGCCCCCAAAAAGAAGAAGGAAGAGGCCAAGAGCGGTAATGTTGATTGGGGTGCTTTCAGCGTTGAGAAGATCAAGAGTGAGGACTTTGATTTTGCGTCCAACCTTCAAAAGTTTGACAAGAACGAGGTATTCAGACAGTTGTCTGAGTCCGACAACATTGATGCTTCGCAGAGACTTGTGGGGCACAACAAGATCAAGACAAAGTACGACAACACTGAAATGGTTCTTTCGAAGCCGAGCGAAGACGACTGGGAGTCCATTCACAGTGATGGCGACAAAACCTCAAGCAGTCAAAAGAGCAGTCAGAAGAGCCACTCTAGCGAAGCTCCAATAAAACAAATCGCTATTCAGAAACCCGCCAGAAATTTGACGCCCTCCAATACGGGATTCCAATTGATCTGTGGCAAAGAAGTGCTCCCATTGTGTACACCTGTTCAGCTACTTGAAATTGAGCGAATTGCAGGAGAGACGTTTGACATTGACTTCGCATTGATGACCGAGAATGCCAGCAGAGGCCTGAGTGAGCTGGTGATCAACATTCTCGGGGGAAATACCGGTAGATTCTCAGGTGCAAACCATAACGCTCCTGCTTTGGTTCTGCTGCTGGTGGGAAACAACAGATCTGGTGCGCGCGCACTAGCGTTGGGAAGACAATTGGTCAACCATGGCGTGAGGGTGATCTCCAATATGATCACAGAACAGATTCAAGATCTGTTGCCCATGGTGAAGAAACAGCTGGACATGTTCACAAAGTTTGGTGGAAAAACCACCGGCTCACTCAGACAGTTGCAGACTGTTCTGACAAAAACTGAATCGCCTCTTGAACTAATTGTGGATGGTCTACAGGGTTATGACAGTAGTTTGAATGATCTGTTTGGCGAGGAATTGGATAAGGTCAAGGAACTGATCTCGTGGTGCAATTCCCAGACAGAAAGGGCCTCGATCCTCTCCATCGATGTCCCAGCAGGCCTCGATCCAAGCACCGGAATGGAAGAATCACCCGATATTGTGGTGATAGAAAGCAGGTGGATTGCTTCCATTGGCCTTCCACTCAACTTGATCTCGAATGCCTATCGTTTCGGCTACGCTAAACGGGGTGACTGGATCCATTACCTCATTGACTCGTGTATTCCAAAGGGCGTTTTCAAGCAGGGTAATCTCAAGAAGTTTGACCGTGTTTGGTTTACCAACAAGTCTCATGAGGCATTGGAGGTGGTTGTCTAGCTGTGTGAGGAGTCGTATGAAAGGCCAAGCTCAAGGCAAGCAGGTGTGTGCGGGTTTGTTTAGAGATGTACACGTGTATATTTGTATCCCCATTCGCGGCCTATTATCGCCATACAAGATATGATATCTAGCAATCGCTTTAATTAGTCTCGGCCTATTCAGAGCCTTATCAAGGAAAAGATCGTGTACCACCCAATCTGAAAGCCCTTGGCAAACTGAAAAGTTTTGCAAAATCAGCAAGTCCCACGGTTTCCGAGTTTTCGTCTTTTCCGCCACAACTAGCTGTTTGTTGATCGAATTCAATCACAAAGAACTATATTCAAAGAGGATCGTCCTGCCGACAACCCCTGATCAGTGTTTTCCGGATTCTTCCCATTTCGACCCGATTGAGCCAGCTGTATACGCTTGCTTGAATCGTCCAAAGGGAACAAGACTCACTGCTTCTTCTTGTTCGGTCGCCCTTGTTGGTTTTCCGCGAAATAAAAAACGAGAGCTGCCGCTTGAAGGTCATTACGTGAGGTGTTCAGCCCTAGCCTTGGAGGCCGCAACACTGCTAAAACAACAAGGAACAAGTGCATACTGTTACTCTCTTTAGTCGATCGACTCGACCACGCACACGCTGCTTTACGACTCCCTAATTCCAGAAAAGGAGAGCCCCAAAGAAGAAGACGGAAGCTATAGAATCCTATAGAAATTTCCGCACCTTTCGTTTTACTCGAACCCCCCCGTTTTCCAAGCTGTTCGTCACGGCCCACGTCAAGGCTGGTCTTAGGATTGCCCGATCTGTTGCCACTGGTATCCGGTACATTTCCAAGACTTGTCCCTCTGATTCTCTTGTTTCTGATTGGACCATGTCCCCTTCTGTATCTGCCGGCGCGGCGTTCGAATACGGCCCCAGGCGTAGTGCCATTTTGCACAACCCAAAGCCGTTTGGATTCGACCATGCTGCAGCCGAAAGAGGCATCTCTGCCACTCTGATCGACCACATTGTTGCTGTGAACCACACCGACTGTGAGCCGGGCGACGAAGACTCCTTCTTCGTCTGCGATCTCAGCGAGGTGGCCAGACTGTTCCACAATTGGCAACACAAGCTGCCCCAGATCAAGCCTTACTACGCGGTCAAGTGTAACAACAACCCCCATGTTCTCCAGGTTCTCAACCAATTGGGGGCCAGTTTCGACTGTGCCTCAAAGGGAGAGATTGATACGGTTCTGGGCCTTGGTGTCCATCCAGACAGAATCGTTTATGCCAATCCGTGCAAGTCTAGTTCCTACATCAGATACGCCAACCAGGTGGGTGTCAATCTCACCACGGTTGATAACATTGATGAGCTTGCCAAGATGAGTCGCTTCCACCCACACTCGGAGATTTTGCTGCGTATCTCGACCGACGACTCCACGGCTGCCTGTCCACTGTCCACCAAGTTTGGTGCCTCGGTAGAAGACTGTTTCGAATTGCTTCAAGCTGCCAAAGGTCTCAACCTCAACGTCGTAGGTGTGGCTTTCCATGTTGGCTCTGGAGCTACCGAATTTTCAGCCTTCGAGAAGGCTGTAGTTGATGCCAGAGCCGTCTTCGACCGAGGAATCTCCCTGGGCTTCAATATGAATACCCTCGACGTTGGTGGCGGATTTTGTCTGGCAACTTTTGACGAGTCTTCAAGAGTGCTCTCGGCTGCTTTGAACGAGCATTTCCCCGAAAATGTGGAGTTCATTGCTGAGCCAGGACGTTACATGGTTGACTCGGCTTTCACTCTGGCTTGCAACGTGATTGCCAAACGGTCTGCTGGCCAGGAAGGTTCCAGAATCTACGTCAACGATGGTGTCTACGGAAATCTCAATTGCATCGTCTACGATCACCGTATCGTGGATGTTGAAGTGTTGACCTCCAACGGCAGTTTCGTTCTCAACAGCACTGGCTCCACCAACCCGAACATTGCCTCAGTATGGGGACCAACTTGTGACGGTCTTGATTGCATTTCTGCCGAGACCAAGTTGGCTCATCCCGTCGAGGTTGGTGATTGGTTGGTTGTCAGAAGCATTGGGGCCTACACCTCGTCTGCTACGACTTCATTCAATGGCTTTAAACAGCACGCTGAAGTGGAGTATATTGCTACTGACAGAAACATCTCCATCGAGTAAAACTTCAAATCTTCTTCTTTTTTGTCCAGTCTCCCTCTGTGTTTTCGTTGTCTGTCGAGGGAGATGGACGATACTTGAGGGCTCTCCTTTGTCTACGACTTTGTCCACGACCTGCCCGTTTTTTTATAGATGAAATAGAATAACATGAAAGAAAATAACTGAAATGCAGTTAAATCCGATAATCTCATTGCGTGGGGAAGGGCTGGAATAGTTTGGTGGAAGGGCGCACATAGGAGGTGTATAGGATATCTATAGAAGACCTATAGAAGACCTATGAAAATACGTAGAACGGGCCATGGTACCAGAAAAGAACAAGCATGCAATAATGTCCAAAACCGTCAACTCGAATTAATCAAAAGCGATTTTTTTGAGAGCTATTATGTTAAAGAAAGGCTTCTGAATGGCTTCAGACTGGAGCTCTTGACTCAACCACTTCTCATTCAAGCATTCATCACATTAAATCCGAAAACATTGCAATAAATCAATCCAAGAAGGCATTAACTTCGTGAATACCTCCGAAACAAACAAACATCTCTTTCTCCGCGAGCTAGAGTGCACACAAGCATACAGTTCTAATGGTCTTTACAGCGTGACACATTCAAATGAGAACACTATTTTCCAGCTGAACACAAACTGAAGTCTCTCAGTACTCTTCGGCCCAATCCCTGAACTTGAACATCATTTATTTTCCAATCAGATAACCCGAAACTCGTCTCACATCAGCCACATCAACCACATCGACACTTCCAAAATCGCACAAAACCTCTGATTTTCTCCTTTTCTTTCATTTTTTATCCTCTAGTCTATTAATCTGCCACGCTGCCATCTCTCGGTCTATACACAATGTTCTGAGTATACAGATCCGAAACGATGTCACTAGGAAGCTTGCCATTGACCTTAACAGCGTACAACCCTGGGGTAAACGTTTCTATACGCAACCATTTTGCTACCCACGATTCGCCCGGATTTCCCACCGCAACCAGACCCTCAAATGAAGGTGATGTGCAGTCTCTGACTCCATCCTCAGACGTGGATATCCTCAGAACCGACTCGCAGTTGGGACATCCCTCGTTCCTGAACACCTGTTCAAAGTTAGAATCAAAAAGTTAGACCAAACCTCAAATCTCACACTTACGCTAGATGCCTGCACTATTCCGCACAGCAAACACGCCCTTTGATTCCTTGTAGCCATTTGAGTGGATGGATGAACAGCAAAGACAATACGGCCTTGGTAGTCTTCGAGTATGGAAGTGGTTGGAAAAAAGGTAGTGTCGTGGAAAAAGTAGTGCACTACAAATTTTCCTTTGAACTTTGGATCCCCGGGATGCGACCGGAATAATACCGGCTTCCCCACCCCCCGCATTTTGACGCCGTTCTGCTTTTTAAATCAGGGGTGTTTGCGGCAGGAGGTTTCGGTGAAGACAGACGATCGTTTGGTTCGTCGAATTTTTAGCAAGCCTCGATCCCTATCTGCTTTTTTATTTGAAAACCTGAATGCCTACTGTAACCCAAATGACGACCGCGCGGCCCAGAAGGGTTAAGACAGGATGCCTGACATGCAGGCGCAAGCACAGAAAGTGTGACGAGGTCAAGAAACCCGACACAGACGGGAATCCACGGTGCAATTACTGTACTTTAAACGGGCTTGGATGCAGCTGGCCTGGGTTTGTCGATAATTCGGCTTTAATGAGAGGAACAGGCCGTCATAACCTCAAAACGCGCAAAGGAATCTCCGATTCCGACGAAAATAAGCCCGAGAAGCGAGCTCGTCGAGTTGATCATGCCAATGGAGCAGCTCTATTAGACCGAAACAATGGAACCATCCTGGACCATCAAGATCTACCACAGGACGTTCTGGCCAACCCGGTACTGTCCCCATTGCCGGAACTGTTTACCGGGCCGCATTACTCCCTTTCGCAGTTGCCAGCGTTGGCCCTGGAGAACCATTCTTCGCCCGGTATGCAATTCAACGGGTTCAGCGATGCATCCTCGTCTGAGTCACCACCACACGGTCTTCCAGGTCCTTCAGAAGGACTTGGTCACGTTTCTAGGAGTCTTAGATCTGAGCTGAAGCCACAAGCACCGAGCCATATCGACCCGTTCCCAGAATACCATACGGTTCTACGGTGTTCTACTGAACCAGCCAACATTCCAGATTATGACTGTTTCCTAACCATGGACCGTCCTAATGATTACGACCTTCCGGATACTTTACGCGAGTTCATGTATCTCAATGCTATTTCTTCGCAAGGTCCTAGATCTCCAGCTTTGACGCTTCCGTCAGATATTCCCACCGAAGAGGTGTTCGAGGAGTACTTCAAAAGTACATCCTCGGAGCCAGAACCGCAATTGGCGCCCGAGCAGGAGATGGTTTTACTGAAGAACTATGTGGAATTGTTGGGAGGAGGTCTGGATATGTTTGACGTTGACATGACGTTTGTGCGCACCATTCCAACTCTGACCAAGGACTGTGAGGCTCTGCGATATGCCGTGCTTGCACTCTCTGCAAGACACATGGAGACCACTGTGACCAACTTTCCAAAGCACCTGACTCTTCAATTATACGAGGCCTCGTTGCGACACCTGGTTCCAGGGTACAATCGCACCACCACAAGCAGCGTGATCGCAGCGTGCGTAATTCTGTGTGTGTTTCAAATGATGAGTTCTTCGCCCAAAACCTGGAGAAGACACCTTGAGGGGTGCCTTATGCTGTTCCGAAGCTACAATATCCACGGCTTTGGCAGTCCGCTGGAACGGGGGATCTTCTGGACGTTTATCCGGATGGACATCTGCAGTGCCGTTATCGGAGAACAGCACCCATTAGTTCCTTTGCAGGAGTGGCTTCCACCAGGAACTCCACTTGAAGATGCCACTGCTCTTTTCATATCAGAAACCAAGGGCAAAACGCTGGGAATGCACGCTAACCATATGGTGTTCCTCACGAGCTGGGTACTACATTTGGTTCTTGGTGACAAAGAGGGCCTTGAGTTCCAGAAATCTTGGCTGGAGACGTGGAGAAAGTTGAAGGAATGGGTTCGAACTCTGCCAAAAGCAATGAAACCAGTATTTGAACACGAAGATGCCAAGTACCCGTTTCCCCGAGTATTTTTCTCGAACCCCCATGCGATCTCGTCCCACCAAATGTTCCATATGGCCTCCATCATAATGCTGCAAAATAAGCCCAGGACCACTAAACTGCTGGATCTCAACAGACTGTCATCTATTCCCGATCATCCCGACCAAAGCTACGACGACAAGTTCTTCAGTACGTCGCTATCGTGGCATGCCAAACGGATCTGTGGAATCGCTATCACCAACTGCGATTATGGGGCATATTGTAATTCTATTCAGCCACTGTATGTGGCAGGCCGCATCATGACCAGCAAGGTTGAACACGGGATTTTGCTTGGAGCTCTACGGAGAGTGGAGACGTTTACAGGATGGAGCACCAGTTGGCGGGGCAAAGATCTGATTGAGTATTGGAATGGGGAGTGTTGAAAGAAGCAAGTACTAAGACGCTCATGATAATATGATAATATGATAATATAGTACTGTAATAGCTAAAAAGTTGATAGTTAAGAGTCTGATGATTATGCAATCCAATCCAAGCGATAGCCCACCGCTAAGGGCGAGATAGCCCACCTGCAAGGGAGAGACAGCCCACTCGAAAGAGTGCTCCGGACTAATAGGTGACAGCTGATTCTTCTTCCCTGACTTTTGAGAATAATACTTCAATATTGGGTTATTGCTGAGAGGGCTTCATTTTTGAACCCACCTCAACAACGTGACAGCCGATTGCCCGGTCCACCATCCCGTCTACACCACATTTACGCAAATTTTCGAACTCAAGTTCTAACATTTAAAAGGCAAATATCTCAAGGGTTCCCACGAAAGTCTTCTGTAAACACAAAAAATTCATAACTTGAACAAAACTCACACTCGATAATCTTCTTTATTCAGTAGTTGACTCAATGTGCTCTGCCTGAGCCTTTTCAACATCTGCCGCACGAGGATCACGTTGGTCTTTAGGAATTTCATATGGCATCTCTCTAGCAATTCTCACAACTTGCCATGGTTTTTTAGGGTCTGAAAGAGCGAAAATGCGGTCCATCTCTTCAAGAGTACGACCTGCAGTCTCAGGATACAAGAAGTACACCACAGGTACCATCAAAGCGTTGATCACCGCAAAAATAGTGTAGGTGTACGAACTGATGTTCTCAAAAGCAACTGGTGTAATCATGACAACCATGAAGTTGAAAGACCAATTACCAGCAGTCGATAGACCGTTAGCCGGAGCACGGATACTCAAAGGCACGATCTCGGCTGGATACAACCAGGTCATTCCCAGCCAGCCAATAGCAAAGAAAGTGTTGAATATGAACAAAAACACAGCGGCTGCAACTGCAGCATGCGAATCATTATTGTGAGTGACATCTGCAGCCCAGGTGGTTCCCGTAAGAATAGCCATGGTGATGGCCTGACCAGCCGCTCCAAACAGCATCAATGGTCTGCGGCCAAAGCGCTCAATAGTGAAGAAGGCAATCCACGAAGCAAGGAAATATTCTGTTCCGTTACAAGCAGCAAGAATACGCGACTGTAGAGGTGGAAGCCCAATGTACTGTTCGAAAATGGTTCCCGCGTAGTAGGTGATCAGATTAATACCTGTGATCTGTTGCATGATCTGCGACCACAAAGCCAGCATCACGCGGTGAAAGTTACGATGCTCACCTTGAGTAAACATCCTCTTGATATCCATCTTCTCAGCACCAGAATTGGCCTCTTCATCCAGTGAGGCCTTGACCTCCTGGAACTCGGTTTGGACCCAGCGGTCATCGGAGGTGACACCTTCAAGCGAAGCAAAAACTTTCAAAGCCTCGGCATGGTGGCCCTTTTTCAACAGCCATCTTGGTGACTCAGGAAGTTTCATGATAAATGGCAAAATTGCAATTGCAAACACAATCTGGAACGCAATTGGGAATCTCCAAGAAACAGATCCCTTGGCGAAGTAGAAACCGAAGTCGATCCAATAGGAAATACAGATTCCGCAGGTGATCAAAGCTCCTTGCATCATGACCAGAGCACCACGACGATGTGGCTTCGCACACTCGGACTGCCACATGGGCACTGTAGAGGTGATACATCCATTACCAATACCAGACACAATTCTACCGGCAATGAGGTGACCAACGCTAAAGGCAGTGGCCTGAAGAATACCACCCACTATCATCACCACGGCGCCTGCAAAAATCATCTTTCTCCGGCCGAACTTGTCACCAACGGCCATGGTGGAAAGGGCTCCACTGAAACACCCAATCTCGTAAATAGCAATCACAAATCCTTGCATTGTAGAGCGAGAGGGCTTGCGGATCGTGTCAATAGAAGGAAATGTATCACGGAAACTCTCCAACGTAAGCAACGAACCCATAACACCCTGGTCATAACCAAACAGCAAGAATCCCACACCGGCCAGCATAGAAATGGCAACATGGAGTTTTTGACCAGAAACCCCGAGATAACTTGGAATTTCTCCTGTAGTATCTTCTGACCTTGATGAGTCCTCCGACTTCTCGATGGCCTCACCGGGTACGCGTAGTATTTCGTTAGATGACATTGTAGACTTAGTGAAAAATCGGTCTAATTGTCCTAAATGCAGTTTCAGCGATCTAGCACGCCTGCGCACAGCGTCCTATATATACAACTGGCACCACCCACGGACGAAGTCACAAGTCAATGCCTCGCTGGACGTGCATATCATTTACGTCATGAAATTTACCCCGGACCACCTGCAAGGATCCGACTGGGCACACCCTCGGCAGCGTCTAATTTCCCTGAAGGGGTAACTGAGCCCAGCTGTACCCCAGATTTTCTAGACAGGATGACACCCCTAGGCACACCCCACCCCACCTTTCGTCGGCGCCCCCAGTCTCAAGCAAAATACTTGGCGGCTAATTCTGCTCCAAATAGATAATCAGCCACAAGCTCTCAAGGGTGGTTAAATTGCCGCCATACGTGACAATAAGAACTTGGCAGCGGCTCACGCTTGGAGTTCCTTGTTGGGACTTCTGGGTCCCTAAGCACTAAATCAGTTGCGAGGCTTTGGCTACCGTCTATAAAACCGTGTTAGATCGTCAAGTGGGGTCTCGTTAATTTCCCGTTTTATTTTGACACATTATTGTTTCTTTGTTTGATACCTCCCTGTCTTACCATTCCATCCTACACCATGGTAGAATCAGTCGAAAATGCGCCAGTTCGCTCCTATATTTCCGATGAGTTCACTGACCCATTGCCCAGAGCATATCCACCTGTTCGTCCGATTCTAGACCTGTTTTCATTGGCTGGAAAAGTTGCTGTTGTGACTGGAGCTTCAAGGGGTCTTGGATACGCGATTGCCGAGACCTATCTACAGCAGAATGTGTCTGGATTGGCTCTTGTGGATTATCTTCCAAGTGACGAGGTTGTTGAGGAATTACGTTTGAAATATCCCAAAGCCCGGATCGAGGGCTACGTCTGTGATGTTTCCAAAAGTGGGCTGGTGGAGAAGACAGTTCTTCAGATTGAATCTGACTTTGGCACCATCGATATTTTTGTGGCCAACGCCGGAATTGTCTGGAAACAAGGCCCAATTCTGAGTCCAGAAAACGAGTCTGATTCCCATTGGCAGAACATCTGGGATGTTAATGTAAGCGGAGTCTACTACTGTGCCAAACAGGTTGGTCGTATCTTCAAGAAGAACGGCAAGGGTTCCTTCATCGTGACTGCTTCCATGTCTGCCTTCATTGCCAACACTCCATTTATGCTCTCGCCTTACAATGCCACAAAGGCTGCCGTCAAGCACCTAGCCACGTCTCTAGCTGTGGAATGGGCCGGATTTGCGCGTGTTAACTCAGTCAGCCCTGGTTACTGCGACACGGGTATCAACGACCATCTTCCTTGGGCCAGCAGGTCCAAGATGTGGACTTTGGTGCCATTGGGCCGTGAGGCTCTTCCTTTCGAGGTGGCCAGTGCTTACGCATATCTCGCATCTGATGCAGCATCCTACGTTACTGGAACAGATATCCGTGTTGATGGTGGCTACACTGCTGTGTAGGTTATAGACATAGAAACATGGTTGGTAGGCAGAACTTTGGGCCGATATATATTCCTGACTTTAGTACCGATTATCTTATATTTATACACTGAAATTTTCAGCCGAGTTGTAATAAAATGAGGAAAAACCCTTGCTGAAAGTTCGAGTTTGCGAGTATCATTGTAAACTTTTCATTGAAAATTTCACCATTTAATTGTCTCCAATCTTTGTTTGGTGCACAGATAACTATAAGTAATTATCGGTAACTATAGTTTGAGCCAGAACAAACACCTTTTCCCCTTCAAACAACTGCTTTCCTTGAAATCTCATATCCAGTAAGCGTGTTCACCTTATCCGCAGAAGCACTGGAATTGTCAAACTTGTAGGCAAACCACTCAGCTGCCAGTCTCCGGGCCAAGTGAAGGCCAATCACTCTCTGTCCCATGCACAATATCTGACAATCGTTTGAAAGAATGCTTCTTTCAACGCTGAATGAGTCATGGGCTGTAGCTGCACGGATCCCAGGAACTTTGTTGGCAGAAATGGCAACTCCAAGTCCGGTACCGCAGATAAGAACGGCACGATCTGCTTCACCTCTGGCAATCCTTTCAGCTGCCTCAATTGCCACCAGTGGATACGCCGTCCCATCGGCGTTGTCACCAACTCCAATATCAACAACACTGGCCACTGCTTTGTTTTTTTGGAGATCAGCTTTGATCGCTTCCTTGTACTCGTAACCCGCTTGGTCAGATCCTACGATCACGCGAAACCCGTCTGACATGTTTAAGTACTATCCTCGAAACTTGCTGAAGAAATCTCCTATCGTCTAAACAATTCTGAGGAGACTAAAATGCAGTGCTGCCGATCTTCAGTGAGTGTTTTTCAATCTCCTCGAATATTTGTATCCCTATATAATCTCAAATACGGAAGTGGCACGCAGTCGCGGCAAAACTTCCCAAAGAGGAAAGTTTTGTGGGGGTATATTTTTCAGCGGACTCGAGACGGAGGTGCCAGGAATGGCTATAACAACCCCCTCAATTCCGGTGTAGATGATTGCAAGAGGGGACAACCATCCACAATACGTTCATTGAAATGTCCAAGCACTTTTTGCCAAAGGACGCGTCCAAGATCGTGCCATACTGCCTGAAGGGAGCGGTGTACGAGAATGAGACTCTGACGTTGCTTGAAAAGGAGAAGGTGATCTTCAACAACCGGTATGACCCGCAAAAAGTCACTCTTATTTCGGGAGGAGGCTCTGGGCATGAACCGGGCTGGTTTGGGTTTGTTGGTGCTGGTATGCTGACTGCTTCCGCCCAGGGCGATGTGTTTGCCAGTCCTAACTACAGGAACGTCATGAGCGCTGAAAAAGCAACCCATTCAGAGGCTGGCTGCATTTTTTTGATTACCAACTACACAGGTGACAACTTGTACTTTGGAATGGCGGCTCAGGAGCTTGTGGCCCGTCACGGAGAGGGCAAGGTGAGAATCCTGCGTACCACCGATGATGTTGCTGTTGGACGCAGCGCTGGATCCCTGGTGGGACGTCGTACGCTGCCAGGAATTTGTCTCCTGATCAAGGTGCTTGGTGCTGCAAGTGAACTGGGCTACGATATCGACCAGGTGTATGCGCTGGGAGAATCGGTGAACTCTGCTATTGCCTCTGTGAACGCCGGACTGGACCATGTGCACATCCCAACCCACCCTCGTGACTCGGATTACGGCAAGCTCGGTGAAGATCAGCTTGAGATTGGTCTCGGAATCCACAACGAGCCGGGAGTGCAAAAGCTAGACCACATTCCCACCAATGAGGCGCTTGTAGCCTCTCTTCTGGCCCTGATCCTGGACCCTACCGACCCCGACCGCGGTTTTTTTAAGCATTCACCCGGAGATAAAGTTGCGGTTCAAATCAACAATCTTGGAGGAGTGTCCAACCTGGAAATCAAGGCATTGGTGTATGCCATTGCTGAAACGTTGAGGGAGAAGTACGGCATCGAGCCAGCCAGAGTCTACGTCGGCAACTTTATCACCTCAATCAACGCCCAAATTTTTACAGTGACTCTTTTCAATGTTACTGAGGCTGCAACAAACGAGTTCCCCGAGGAAAAATTATTTGAGCTTCTGGATGCGCCTACAGAGGCCACCAACTGGCCCAAGAACTTTTTCACCAGCACGGATGCAATCGATGTTAAATCGAGGATTATCACCGATTTCCAGGGCTACGATGACGAGGATATTTCTGCCACCTTTTCAAAAGATATCAAAATGGATCCTGGTCATTTGGAGGAGATAGTTCGCACTGCTGCTCTGAACGTGATCAGAAGAGAACCCGAGATCACGGACTGGGACACCAAGATGGGCGATGGAGATTGCGGCGAGACTCTGAAAACCGGAGCCGAGTGCATTCTTCGCGCTTTGAACGAAGATAAAGTGGCCAAAGAAGGGTCTGTTTTGAGAGTGCTAGCTGCCATTTTGAAGATCGTGAAGGACGACATGGGAGGGACTCTTGGTGCGCTTCTGTTCATCTTTCTGAGATCTTTCATCAGCAGACTGGAGCAGGAATTGCAAGAAGGAGCATCCGACAATGTTTCAAGTTTCGCAAAAGCACTCGACTATGGGCTTAACACTCTATTCCAGTACACCAAAGCTCGTGAGGGTCATCGCACTGTTATGGATGTTCTAATTCCATTCTGCCGTGTCTTTTCGCAGACCCAGGACATCACCAAGGCTGTAGAGGCTGCCGAAAATGCAGCCGAAGGAACCAGAAGATTGCGTCCAAAGCTTGGAAGGGCCACCTACGTCGGTTTGAGTAAAGACCAAAAAGATTTTCCTCCTGATCCCGGTGCCTATGGGGTTTACGAGATTCTGTCTAGTTTGTCATCATAGGATGTGAGCAAGGTCTTTATTTTGTCTTAATTTTGGCTTTGCATAGTTATATTGAGCAACAAGTAATTCTTTCAACGTAATTATTGCTAAAAGTTTGATCTTCAGTGACATTAATTGGCACAAACCCGAGGAAATATCAACTTTTTCACCAACTTGTTGCTTGGATGATTTGAAGCAAGGCCAGTGAAAAATCATCTATACTCTCAATTCAAGACTTTAAAGCTAACTCATAGTTCTACAACTTGATATTCTTATTCAGCTTATCACTTCATAGTTCTTAGCCTCATCAACTCTATTGGTGATCTATGTACAGTAGAGATTCATTTCACATGCTGCTCCGTTCTGCTTACCTCTTTTTGTTTTCTCATTACTTAAGTCATCTTCAGTCCTCCTCACTTGTCTGAAATTCTCACTTTCTTCTCGTCAACATCGAGTTCGTCAAAAACTCCAACGCAGATCTTGCGTCTGACTCCGGCAACATTCTCAGGTTCCTCAACGCCTCGTCGCGATACTTCGAGGCCAAAGCCCTCGTCTGAGCGACTCCATCACATGCCTCAACAGCCGCTTTGGCGATCTGGACGTCTCCCGGCTGAGAGAATTTACGAGAAATCAGAGGTCCCAATTCGGGCCTCGTCTTCCAAGCAAACAAGATCGGAGCTGTGGCCAGTCCAAGCTCCAGGTCTGCACCGGCAGGCTTTCCCAGCTGTTCTGCAGTCGTGGTATAATCCAGCATGTCATCCACTAGCTGGAAACAAATTCCAAGGTTACGGCCAAACTCGTAGCATTGGTCGATAACAGTATCATCAGCTCCCGAAAGAACAGCGGCAGACCGCGACGACTTGGAGATCAAGGATGCAGTCTTGAGATACGTCTTGTGCAGGTAGTAATCAAAAGCCGCATCCACGTTCTGCTCGTGGGTTGGCGTGGTTGCTGGAGGTTGGACAGAGTATTCATGCACTTCCACAGGAACCTTTCCCGTTGGCACTGGCATTAGACGGTTTTCATCGTCAATCAGATTGAGATTGGGTTGGAGAACAGTGTTTTTCAACTGCATGAACTCACCTTCTACGAGATTAGCAATGGCCGTCGAGATCAGTTCCACCACCTCAGTATTGCGAAGACGACTCAGAGCGACAGATGCACGTGCAAGCAAGAAATCACCGGCTAAAACCGCCATCTTGTTGGTGAAGGCAACGTTGCCCGAGTCACGACCACGTCTCGAATCAGAGAAGTCAATAACGTCATCATGCAGCAAACTGGCCGTGTGGATCATCTCCACAATCTCAGCAAGTCTGCGTTGTTTGGGCAACACTCCGTTCGCATTATCGAGTTCAGGTAAAAGTCCTAGGGGCCTCGAGAGCGGGTTCAGAATGATGTTGGGGTTGATTCCGTGGAGAATGCGCAAAGGGGAGATCGATTCGAGAGGGCTCTTTCCAGCAAAAGAGAACCTTCTTGACTCACCCGGATATTCTGGTTGCTCATTGACATCCTGTGAATCCACCGGAATGCGCTGTCTCTGTTCCGCTGGAATCTCACTCAATGCTTTTGAAAGAAGTAAAACGATGAGAGGCCGGACGTTCTTGCCTTCAGCCTCGAAGTAGTACGCAGCCACCCTGTTCAACGTCGGATGACCGGAACCTATGATTGTGGCAATGTTCTTGGCCAACGTGGACATTTCCGAGCTCACAATGGAAAATGGGTCGGAATAGCCTTGTTTGACCTGGACCAGTCGCTCGGCAGCTTCCATAGCTATTGAGAAAGACGAAGCCCGGGCAGGTTCCGTTTTCGGCTGGGGTGAAGAAGATGAAGACGACGAAGATGACGAGGCCAATCTCTTCCGGTTCATACGGAACAGCAGCCGCGGCTGTAGCTTCAACGAGCAATTGGTTCGAAGCATTTCAAGAGTATGGCGATTGCTCCAGATAGCACTTTCCCAAATGTGTCCAATGGCTATAACGGCTCTAAATTTCTAGGCAATGAATAGCCACGCTTACTTAGCACTGCTGTGGGATTCGCCACGTTGCAAAACAAGAACAAAAACGACCAACTGGCTAAGAAAGGACAGAGGCTTGTCGGAAACGTACGCTCCAATGGTCTTCGGACAGTTCTGCCCAAGGTTTTGGTGACACGTTATTGATGACAGAAACTTTATCTGAGACCAGGGCTCGCAACGAAGTGGAGTTAGTAGTCGTTTCTGGACACACCAGAGTGATAATGGCTAGTTATAAGCACTTCAGAAGTTATGACAAGCTTCTGAATAGGAGAACCCGATGTTATGTATTCAATGTGTGTTTTGGTGGAGAATTGGGGCAGTGAAAACTCGCAACGGATTTCCAGTGCTCATAACGATAATCATTGCCTTGTTGATTTAGCGATTAGGTTTGGCCTGATTTTAAGGTTCTTCCAAAATTGTATTTCAACTGAAGCAGCTATGGATACCCGCTACCTAGTCTTTGCCAGGTGTTTGTTATACCCCCCTGTCACGCACTATGAGAGTGAGTTAAGATGCATGATTTCATAGCTGCTGGCCATCCTCTTGGGACCGGGAATTACTGTTCCTCGGTGTAGCCAAATATACATGGCTTGTATATGCAACTGTATCCTACGCACACCTTCCATTCCCCTAATTGCCCCCGGAAACCCCTGAATAGATCAACACACGTTCCGAATCGCACCTCTGGTATTGAAGTGCATCAACCAATCACGTGACAAATTCCTTCTCACAATTCTGCCCGCCTCTTGAACAGGCCAGCTACGCTGTACTTTCCAACACTACAAGCAATTCACGATTTCTTGCTCAAAATGGCTAGCGAATGGGTGTCTTCGTTCCCCGGATTTAAATCGGTTCAATCCCTCGGAAAGAAGGCCTACGCCGGCGTGCTAAGAACCGGCCCGGTGCCGAGGCACATTGGCTTCATAATGGACGGGAACAGGCGATACGCCAGGCGTCGCAACATAGAGCTCAAAGAAGGCCATAATGCCGGATTTGAAAGCATGGCGCGTACGTTAGAGACGTGTTACGATTGTGGAGTTGAGTGTGCCACGGTATTTGCGTTTTCCGTGGAAAATTTCAACCGGTCTGCGTACGAGGTGGAGTGGTTGATGGAGCTCTTTAAGCACAAATTCTCTCAAATCGTGGAGCACGGTGACATGTGCGAACAATATGGAATCCGAGTACGTGTTCTGGGGGACATAGAACTGCTCCCTAACGATGTGATAAAGGTGCTACGGCGTGCAGAACAGATCACGGAGAAGAACACCAGGGCCGTCCTTAATGTTTGTTTCGCATACACAGCCAGACATGATATCCGCCACTCGATCCAGCAGACCATCTCCCAAGTTGTTAAGGGGGAGCTGGATTCGACAGAGATATCTGAACAAACGTTGGAGTCGAATCTGTACACTGGTGGCCTTCCTCCGTTGGAGCTGTTGATCCGCACATCTGGTGTTCACCGACTCAGTGACTTCCTTCTTTGGGAGTGCCATACGTCCACTTGCGATATCGAGATCGTGGACACGTTATGGCCGGAATTTGGCGTCAAGGACATCTGCTGGATACTGTTGAAATGGAGTTTCAACCGGATGTATGGGCGGAAGTTGCAGGGCGTGGAAGCGAGAGACGATCTGAAGGGAGAGTGAAGAGGAAAGGAAGATATTTAAAGGTTCTAGGAAGGTCCAAGGAGATCCTGGAGGATTTCAAGAGACGATTTGACAGGACCCAGGAGGTTTCAAGGCACAGAATAGGTCTGAAAGAGAACTGACGAGGATTAAAAAGAAATAATGAGGATCTCAGAGGACTAACAAAGGACTCGAGAAGGCCTAAGGACTTGAAAGAGTATCAAAGATGGGGACTATAAAGCACTCAAGAGGTCTTCAGATGTCTGAAACAGACCAAAGAGAGTTTCAAGAACTCACCCTGAATACTCATGTACACTACAATAACCCAAAACAGTAACTGACCCTTGCATTATTCATCTATTTTCAACTGATTCCAGGATCCAACGACTTAACTAGTCACTAACTGGCCACTAACTAGCACCACCTCAACGAACCCTGTTCGCTGACTTAGTCGGTCTTTTTGTTCAGCTCCTGCGCCTTCTCAAACTCCGTCTTGAAGTTGTCCGCATTCTCCTTGTTGCCAAATCTGATGGCCAGGGTCAATGCTTCGGGTTCGCCCTCTGCAACATCAGCAGTAACAGAGTACACCCACGATCTGTCCGAGCCCACATTGGGCTTCAGCGCATAGTCTGGCGAAATGTAGTGATTAGCACAAACCTTCAACGTCTTGTCTCTCCTCATCAATAACCGGACCTTTCCAGTCTGCTTGTGTTTCAAAAACTTGACATCACCGGTTCCCCTCTCCTTCCACTCCTTCGACTCAGCAAAGAACTTGAACAACTTGGCGCGCACCTTCAGCAAAACCTCCTCATCCTCCTCATTGGTCTTCACCTCAACCTTCTCAAGCTTCACAAGGGGTTCGAAATGGACGTCTGGCGACTCGGGAGCCTCTTCATCGGCCTTGTCCTCCTTCTCTTCCTCCTCCTTCTTCTCAGTAGTCTCCTCCACCTTTTCCTTTTTTGGAGCACCGCCAAACATCGAGAAGACGGATGCAGTGGGTGGAGCTGGCACCTCCTTGGTCTCTACGGGCTTTGTTTCGTCAGACATGATTGCGGACGTATGGTTGAATTGAGATTGTTTGGGTCAACAACACAGATCGATCGTGGCAACAAAATTTGTTCGCCAGGGTAGTGCCATGACCATTTTTGGGTCTTGTTGGTCGTGCACCCACCACCATTCCCCGTTGCGGGTCGTGCATGGACCTTATCCCACAGGGCTGTTTCCACTGTATTCTACATGTGTCAGTTTGGGCCAGTTTTCTCTCTAGTATCTTCCACTGAATAACTTGTTTTTCAGACAAAACTTATCAGCATCTGAGCAGGATGTCGGACAAACTGCCTACATACAAAGATTATTACCACAGACGGACGTCGTCGGCGTCGGATGACGTGGACCCGTTCTCCACCCCGGATCTTTACTATGGCCCCCAGACTGACCCCAGCACTGCCAAAAAGACCAGTTCTCTTGGAAGAACTCGTACGATGAGCGTTGTCGTTCCAAAGAAACAAGGAGGCTTTCAAGGCCATACTTTTTCACCTATAATGTCAGCCTCGAATTCGCCTACTCCGTCACCGGCTCAATCAAGCCGTGCTTCTCCTGTACCAGGGGCACCGTTCCCCACTCGTGGACAACGTGCCAACTTCTCCTTGGCCGAGGACGATGATATCAAGGCTTTGGCAACATCGCGGCCAAGCAGCCCTTTGCCTCCCGGGTTTTTGGATGGGTTGTCGCAACTTCCACAGGGAGGTCCTGTGTACCACAATCAAGAAGTGAATAACTCACAGTTTCAATTGCCGACTGGTTCCAGTGCCAGTACATCAAGTGGACTCAGAAGACGAGCAAGTGCAGACGGGGCACTTGGCGGAGTCAGCAAACGATTTTTTATCAGCGATATCGACTCAACTCTGGCCGAGCTATTGGAGAGCGAGGACACTAACCAGGACTACCAGATCACGATCGAGGATCGCGGACCCAAGGTATTGAAATTGGGAACTGCCAATTCCAATGGGTTCAAGATGTACGACGTGAGAGGCACATATATGCTGTCCAACTTGCTCCAAGAGCTGACGATTGCCAAGAGAATGGGCCGCAAGCAGATGATTCTGGACGAGGCCCGGCTCAATGAAAATCCAGTCAACCGACTCAAGAGGATGATAACGACCCAGTTCTGGAAAAGTCTGACGAGGCAATTGTCGCCTTCTCATCTGGTGGAAATGGCACGCGATCCCAAGATCCACACTACTCCAGAGTCTAGGCTCCCGAGGATCTACGTACCTCACGGAGAGACGGAAAAGTTCGAGTTCTTTACGGCTTTTGCTCGTGATCACCCAGAGGTAGAGCTCCAGGTGGAGTATCTTCCAGAGAAGATCACTCCCGAGTACGTCCAAAGCATCAATGGAAAGCCCGGGCTTCTCACGCTGGCAATGCGGTCAAAACCACTGGCCAAAGAGACGGGGTCGGATTTTGAAGCCGACTCGGCAAAACATGTTTTGGAAGGGTTTCCCTATGTAGTTCCTGGTGGACGATTCAACGAGCAATATGGCTGGGACTCTTATATGGAGTCGCTTGGTCTGTTGTGTGATGATCGAATCGACCTTGCTATTGGAATGGTGGAGAATTTCATTTACGAGATTAGGTTCTACGGCAAGATTTTGAATGCCAATCGCTCGTACTATCTGTGTCGGTCCCAGCCACCATTTCTCACAGATATGGCTATCAAATGCTACGCGTATTTGAAGAGCCACAAATGGGATGACGATGGTTACTACAAGGAGCCTCTGGAGTTTCTGAAGAGGGCTTTCCAGGCAGCTGTTAAAGAGTATCGCACGGTTTGGTGTTCTGAACCACGCTTGGACTCCAAGACAGGATTGTCTACGTACCATCCGGATGGTTTGGGTATTCCACCTGAAACAGAGTCAACCCATTTCGAGAGTCTCCTGCGGCCATATGCGGAAAAGTTTGGCGTTTCTATCGAGGAATTCCAACGATTGTACAATTCTCGTGAAGTGGCCGTACCGGAGCTGGACCAATACTTTGTCCATGACCGTGCAGTACGTGAGAGTGGCCATGACACCTCATATAGATTGGAAGGAATTTGTGCCGATCTAGCAACAGTTGATCTCAATTCATTGCTGTACAAATACGAAATCGACATTGGAACTGTGATCCGCGATGTGTTTGACGACAAGTTTGAAGATTGGGAAGGAGACGTTGGTTCGAGCGCAGAGTGGTTTTCCCGTGCAAAGGCACGCAAAGAGACCATGGACAAGCTGATGTGGAACGAGAAAGAAGGCATGTATTTTGACTACAATATTCGAACTGGCCAACCTTCGTGCTACGAGAGTGTGACAACATTCTGGCCTATGTGGGCTGGACTGTGCACAAAAGAACAGGCTGCCATGCTTGTGACTAAGGCATTACCACGCTTTGAAGAACTGGGAGGGTTGGCAGCCGGAACACTGCGCAGTCGTGGAGAAATCTCGCTTTCAAGACCCTCTCGTCAATGGGACTATCCCTTTGGATGGGCTCCCCAGCAAATCCTGGCATGGGTCGGCTTGAATCGGTATGGCTATACGAGTGTGACACGCCGTATCTGCTATCGCTGGCTTTATCTCATGACCAAAGCTTTTGTGGATTACAACGGCATCGTGGTGGAGAAGTACGACGTGACTCGGGGCTCGGATCCACACAGGGTAGAAGCCGAATACGGCAACCAGGGCTCGGACTTCAAGGGAGTAGCCACCGAGGGATTTGGCTGGGTAAATGCCTCATTCGTTTATGGCCTTCAGTTTTTGGATCGACTTGGAATTCGCGCGCTTGGAATGTGTACTCCACCGCACGTGTTTTTCGAGCGGATGAGTGCTGTTGAGCGGGCAAACTATGCCCTGGAATAAGATTAGGGACCTGGGGAGACAGGGACTGGAATTGAGGAAATGGGCAAATTGGAAGAACAAAAAAATACAGGAAATTGGGAGATATAACAACCCCAGAAATGAGGAACATATGAAAAATACAACTTGCTTTTAGACATGAAGATATCTTCGTAGAAAACCGGCGAGGCGGACAGATATCGTAGAAACCCGGGTGAAATACCAGATTCAAACGGCTGTCAAAAAGTGAGACAGCCAGTAATTGTAAGAACTAGACGGGTGGTACTTGGGCGAGGTTCCTTTTCACCGGCCGATCACATGTGCCCCGGAGATGGAATGGGAAGAATGGGAAGAGTGAGATGAGCATCAGACAAGACGACTCCAATGTCAAAGCAGGTGTAGATGGACAGTCGGGGCCGTAATTACAGTGTGAGCGCCGGGGCAATGGGTTTCAGCTTTGCTCTAGGAGGTGGTTTAACGTGGTTATCTGAAGTGGGAGGCTACAGTGGTACCGTGCAGATTAGTATGGGGAAGGGCCACTAAGTATGGCTCTAGACGTGGTAGTACGCCCGCTGTAGGACCTTGCTTCAGTCCAAACTGTCCTTCTGATGTTTATTCCCGCGCGAAATTCGGAGGCTTGTTTGTTATTTACTATTTGTTTTTGTTATGGTTTGGGCTATGAAATAGGCCCCGTGGGGACCAATTCAAGACTAAGCTGAGCCTGCATGAGACACTATGTATGGGCCAACGAAAAAGCTAGACATTTCAAGAATTAAACGTGGGTTTCACCAGAAAAAAAAATAGACCTCTTGAATTTCCTCAGACAAAATCATCCAGCCAAAAAACCAGTTTTGTTTACGAAATCTAAGCCATACCAGACAAAACACTAAGTATGGCCACTAGGATGTGTCACAAAGTAAGCTGCAGGCTGCGCATAGTCCAGCTGCACACAGTACTACTTAACAAGCTACTCACCAGAAGACCCCACCACACTCATCCCCCCCCCCCTTGATATAATCCGAAAATCAACTCATAGACCCTGCCGTGCTCGTGATATCATTGCCCTTCAAAATGCCCTTCTCCAACACCCTTTCCCAACTCCTCCACCCGTCCCCGACTAGTTCCCCTTCCCACCGGACGGATCAATGGAACGAACGTAACCAAACGCAATCTGTAAATCTCCACTCTCTTTTGACCCTGCCGGAACCATTACCACAAACGCCCGGGGTGTCAAATCAATCCGGGCGGGTAGAGGGGCTACGCTATGCTTAATAGCCTAACCGCTTAACCCCCTCTGTGGGGTCTTGGGGTAGGTCTAGAAATAGGCCAAAACACGGATATGCAGAAGAATAACACTACACATAGATAAAATTCGATATCTAGTCATACATATCAAATAAACACTCGTTCGTGATCACAAATATCAAATTTTCACCCAAATTTTAGATATATCCCGCCGTTTTTCGCGGCCCCCACCAAAATCCATACCAAAATTTCTTCGCTGTGATACTCAAATTCTGCAAAGAGGTCACACCTTTTTCTGAAGAAGCTGCCACCCCCCCCTCGTGTGGAGCTTTTGTTTAAATAGCGCCTAGCGTCCCCTTTTTTTCTGGGGAGGTTGCCGTTGGTGTTGTTTATCTTACTATTAGAACAAGCATTATTTTGTGGTTTCCATATATTTTGCAAGGAATCTCGTATATTGCGAGATCATTTTAGTTGTTATTGTCATCCGGTATCATTGCTGCGCGATTTCCCCATCGGCTTATCTATAGTGTTAAGACCCGAGGCCTGTTAAGCACTTTTCACCATCTTCCTTCTTCTCGGGCGGTTTCTATTTTTTTCCCACTATCATGACCAAAGTTACAATTTGCGGTGCCGCTGGAGGCATCGGTCAGCCTCTCTCGCTGCTGGTGAAGCTCCATCCGCTGGTGGACCAGCTATCGCTGTTTGACGTGGTGAACGTGCCCGGAGTGGGTGCGGACCTTTCGCACATCGACACAGACTCGTCGCTAGAGTCCTTTCTGCCAGCTGACGATGGTCTAGCCAAAGCACTTAAGGATTCAGATCTTGTAATAATCCCAGCCGGTGTTCCACGCAAACCGGGCATGAGCAGAGACGATCTGTTCAACATCAACGCTGGCATCGTCCGTGACCTTGCCGTCGGAGTCGCTACACACGCCCCCAAGGCCTTTGTTCTGGTTATCTCGAATCCAGTCAACTCAACCGTGCCCATTTTCAAGGAGGTGCTGGCTAAGCACGGGGTTTTCGACCCTCGTCGTCTTTTGGGTGTGACCACACTGGACTGTGTTCGCTCCAACACATTTGTGGCTGGGCTGCTGGGTGCCAAGGCTTCTAAGCTGGATGTTGCTGTTGTCGGTGGACATTCTGGCGAGACCATTGTGCCACTGTTTTCGTCTCTTCCTGGCTACTCTAAACTGTCGGATGCCGAGGTGGATGCCCTCGTTCACCGTGTTCAATACGGAGGTGATGAGGTGGTTCAGGCTAAAAATGGAGCTGGTTCTGCCACTCTCTCCATGGCATATGCCGGTTACAAATTAGCAGACCAGATTCTGAAGGGTCTGAATGGCGAGAAGAGCACCTCTTCTGCATTCGTGTATCTCAAGGACGACAGTCTGAGCGGAGCCAAGGAGACACGTGCATTGGTTGGAAAGTTTGGTGGTGAACTCGATTTCTTTGCCATTCCTGTCGGGCTTGGGCCAAAGGGTGTTGAAAGCATCGAATATGGCGTTTTGGAGAAGGTTAACGCGAAGGAGGAAGAGCTGCTCAAGGTTGCAGTGGGTCAGCTGGGTGTTAACATTGCCAAGGGCACGGCCTTTATCAAGGGTTAGACGGAGATATATATGTTAGGTTAGGGAGTGTTCATGGTCTTTTAAAATATGTTTGATGAAATGACTGGTCTAGTGGGATCATGCAGATTGGAAATTATGATCATGCAGTAGTGCTTTTTGGGACTTATAGGGCATAATATTGTAAGAGCTGGTACTTCGAGAGTCAGCGACAGGTTCGGAGGGACAATAGCAAAAGTTAAGAAGGTTTTGATCGATTTGAAAATAGTTGAGATCCCGAGAAACTTGAATTTTTTGTAGAGCTTGAAGGGCCTAAATGGGATAATGGCTAGCCATAGAGCTTGAAAGCGTGAAAACCCATGAAAAACTTTTAAAAGTCCGTATGGTTTTTTTTTGAAAAACTCACAGCAAATTTCATTCGATAAGAACGACGAATAAACGCAATTATTTCAATTCTAAACAACAAACAGCCCAACCAATTGCGTTACTGTGTCAGGCAATGTCTTGCAGAGTCTCTTCACTGTAGTATCTTAGTAGAATAGCCCACTAAGATTTGGTCTCTAGGACCACCTACAAATTGATAAATTCAATGCCACCATCAAAACGGCCTTCACTACACTCTGAATGGGTCTACATCTCATATTTCAAATCTTAGATTAATCTTCTCCCTCCGTATTAGTCTCGTTAGTTTAGATGTATCCAATCTTGTTAGCGATATCCAAAGCATCGTAGTCAGCAGTCAAACGGACAAACGCCTTCTTGGTACCGTTAGGTCTAATCAAAGTGTTGACGGACTCCACCTCAACCTCGTACAGGTCCTTGACGGCCTTCTTGATCTGGTACTTGTTGGACTTGAGGTCAACCTGGAACACCAAAGTGTTACCGTCCTCGACCTTCTTCATAGCGGTCTCAGAGGTGATTGGGTTCTGGATGATCTTGTAACCGTCCAGTCTGTTGTAGTGTGGGACGGACTTGGTGTATTTTGGAGATCTGGCCAACTTCAAGGTCTTTGGCAGACGGAAGGAGGTGTTGGTTCTCACCTTCAACTTCTTGGAAGAAGAGGCACCCTTGAGGGCAGATTTCTTGGCAGCAACAGCGGCTAAGGATTAGGTTAGTAAACTGGTGATGACGGTGAAAATCTCAGTGAGGATACCACTTGTTTTCAGATGGTTTGTAGATTTTTCAATGTTTCACTTCAAGCCCTTAAGTTGCGCAACTTCTCAAAGTCTTGTAGTCTTGTCATATCCCCAAACCATCTTCGAAGAATACCTCAGCGTGATACTAGTTCAACATACTATTTGGAGCCATTTTGTGTCTGTGATTTGATGATCTGAACGCAAGCTGAGAGTCCAGCCAAAAGAGTTCAAGAGGTTGGAAAATTGTACCAGGAGGGAGAGAGGGCTCGGAGGGATGAGGCAGCGGTCTTGTTGCCCTGAGTTACATCACGTGTTAAAAAAGAAGTGAAAACACGTGATATATTGTTTGTCGCACACCAACCTGGATCCTGAAAGTTTGTGTGGCGCACTATGATTTCTCCAATACTCTACAGCACCAATCAATAATTCATGATTCTATGTTCAGGATTGGTTAGACTCCATATATACACGTTCTAGACTCTTCTAGGCCTTGGACCCTTCACACCACCGAACTTGAGGGGGGTAACGTTACTGACTCGCGCGATCTTGTTCTTGACGTTAAACCCCTCCTTTCCAAAGAGAGCATCCTGGAACCCACGGTCTCCCTTTCCAAATCCAGTCATTTTAACTTCGAGAGGCCTGTTAAGATATCCCTTCTGCTCCATGATCGAAAACAGCTTGGCAGCTACCTGGAATCCGGCTTCCTGCTCACTTCTGTGCATACCCCTAAACCCAAGCATACCTGTACTCAGACTTGTCAGCACCCTTTCAGGCAACTGAAGATGGTAAAGCACATGCTGGTTATGTGATTGGTCAGCATTGCGTCTCTCGTAGTTCAGATCCCTGTAGACCCCGGTCAATGTGAGAATCGTGTTGTTCCGCGAGAACTTGGCGTGGATGATATATCTGACAATCTCCTCATTCACACCCTGCGTTGTGTTAACAGAAGCTGGAGTGGCAGTCGCAGACTTCATCGATGGTTGCTGTTTTGCCTGTTTCAGGACTGTGCTGAACGTCAACGGTTTGGCCGACGTAGCGTCTGGGAATGGTTAGTACCGAAACTGGGCACTGAAAACGTCCAAAAAAAACTCACAAGTCGCCCTTAGGCTAAGTGGCCTCAACGCTCTTATGTACGAGAACATCGAAATACTGTGAAATGATTGTACAATGTGTATATTCCGCCTTATAAATCCCAATCCTGCAAATGCGAAATCTCACTCGCTTCTCAACGATGGAGGGGTGTGCACGAACCAATATGAGTGGCTGAGTGCTGGATCCGCTCTTGTTTTGTGTGTGTGTGTGGTCTCTTATACTTGTTCCTTGTTCTGAGTCCCTCCAGAGAAACCGTTCGAAAGGCTTGAAAAAGCTCCAGGAGACGGATTATCTGCACTGCTAAGCGGCGTGTGTTACTGGTGGAATTTAGTCTGTTTTTGCGAAATCACGTGCTCTTTTGGACAAGCCTCTAGAGCTCTGTGTGGTAACTGGAGTTTGACACGTCTTCGCCTGCGATTGCAATATTGAAGACATTTATTCCGACCAAATCTACCAGCTTCAGCTTGATAGAATTATGGTGCGCGTATTCAACGGACTGCCTTCGCTGGGGGCCCAAAAAACTACCCCCGAATACCTTGTTCAGAGCGTGACGAACCAACAAGACGGCTCTACGCACCCTATGGTGATCCAGGAGCACCGCAAGTTAGGTGAGGGTGCGTTCGGAACTGTGATGGAGGCCTCTCTTTCTTTCACAGAGACTAGAGAATGGCTGGGACCATTTGCCATCAAAAAAGTGCCTGCCCAGACGGAATATAAGTCGCGGGAACTTGAGATCCTGCGCAACACAAACCACCCCAATGTCGTGGGACTCAAATTCTTTTACAATTACCCAGATAAGAGTGATCATGACAAGCTTTACCAGCATCTGGTAATGGAATCACTGCCGTGCACCCTCCAGACAGAGATCAAGCTCTTCTACAATGCCGGCTATGTGCTCCCCACCCCCCATGTTCAGGTATACACTTTCCAAATCGCAAGGGCAATGAACTATCTGCACAGCCTTGGCATCTGCCACAGAGATATCAAACCCTCCAATATCTTGATTGATCCTGCGAGTCTGATTCTGAAAATCTGTGACTTTGGCTCAGCAAAGAAGCTCGAGCCGCACCAGCCCTCTGTCTCTTACATCTGTTCCCGATATTACCGGGCTCCAGAGTTGATTGTGGGTTGTACGATTTACACGACGCAGATAGATGTTTGGGGATTGGGTTGTGTTCTGGGCGAAATGCTCATGGGAAAACCCATATTCCAAGGCCAGGACCCCTTGCTTCAGCTCAAGGAAATAAGCAAGCTGCTGGGACCACCGGATCGCTCATTCATCTTCAAATCTAACCCTTCCTATGACGGTCCCATGTACCAGGACCGGCTGTTTGCATCCGACGTTCCGGCGAGATACACCAAGGTGTTCCCCAAAGCCGCACCCGAGGCTCTGGACTTGCTAATGCGCGTGTTGGTGTATGAACCAGAGAGGCGACTGAGACCTCGCCATGTGTTGGTGCATCCTTTCTTTGCGGATATGAGACAGCCAGGATTTAAGGTGACTCCAAGTGGCAACCGTCCAAGCATCGTGGTGACTCCGCAGCTCTACAATTTCAGCAAGTTCGAACTACAAATTTTGGGAGATGACGTTTCCAAAATACTGCCTTATTCGCTGTTGAAATGAGGTGCGTTTCAAGCACCACATCCAGGGCTTATACATGCCATGGCTTTCTGGGCGAGAACTATTACTTTCCGCGTTTCTAAACGGTAAAGTTTTGCCGTTTGCCGTATGTGAGATTGCGCTTGCGATGAAGACTTCTGAATGGCACATTCTTCACTAGACAAAACCTTTAATTGGCAGACAAATCTTCTTGATAGAAAGTGCCCTGGCTCCACCCCTATTCTTTTTTTTTCTATAGTTGCATCGGACAAATTCCCAGGTGGTTTCGTTAATATATACTCTCTAATCGGTTATTGCTAAAAGCTTTCCATCCTCTCATAGTGCCAGCGAGTAACTGTAGTCATCCTCCAGATTCTGGACTATCCACAACGTGATACAACTCAACATGATGCACGCGTTGCTTACCACGTTGGAGACACCCATGCCCACCGTGGGGAACGAGGTGAAATTTTTGACCAGGAACTTCAAAATCAACACCAAAAACGAGCCGCTGATTCCAATGGCCAACAAAGAGAAGCCGAGAAACAAAACGAGTCGTGCCTGCCACGTTGTCGAGCTGGACCCGAAACCACCTTCGCTACTGAGCAGTCTGGACTTCTCGATTGAGTTGACTATGAGCATTCCAAATGAAGAGCAGATGGCAGGGATCCAGTCGATGAACGTCACGTGGACCACGGATGCATTCACTGACTTAGAGTAAATGGCCGCATCCACCATAACCCAGAATCCAATAGCATACTAGAGGGGGAGTTAGTTAACAGGTCTTGTTAGCGGCAAGAGAATGAGAACTTACTAGGGCACCCGACAGATACACACCGACGGCCCTCACCGTCGCCGAATTGGGCAATTTAAATGCCGAAAACTTGAACAGTCTTCCGTTGTCCATTTTGGGTCAAACAAGTGTGGTTTTTATTGCGATAGAGGTGCTGCTGTCATAACCCAAACATACGTATCTACTCTAAGCCATGGCCCCCTGTCTTGTTTGCCCGCATTATGGATGACAGTCAGGGCTTGTGCGGCTGTGCTCGTAGCCGCCAGAACTTTGGGCGTCTAATTTTTTTGGCGTTTCTAAGGCGCCACTACGGCCTGAGTTCAGATATAATTCTCTTTGTACATAGGAAAATATGAAAGAGACAAGCATCCGTATGCGCTTAATCCTCTGAGCGAGATCTACCAAGAAGACCTCTAAACCCCCTCTTAACCGCTTACATCCGCTCGATCTGTTCGTCAACAACGTTGATTAGCAGATTCTCTCTGGTCTGGCTGTCAGTCTTGATCCACTGCGGCACATATTTCCAGTCGGCAATCTGAATAACACCGTTGAACACAAGCGTTCCGAATACCAGTAAAACGAACCCCAGTAACTGCATAGACTTGAAGCTCTCCCATCCAAGGGCAAGCGAAACTATCCATACAAGCAGAGTGCGCGAGGTGTCAATTGTAGATCTGGCTGTTGCACTCAAGCGATCTGTTAGTGATAAACCAAAAAAGTTGAAACTTCCAATGCTAAACATGATTGCGACGGAGGACATCCACACAGTGGGGAAGTTGATAAGCTGATAAAAGGCGGTTGAAACATCGAACGGTCCCCCTCTTCCCTTATTACCAGCAGCCAAGTCCATCAACAGCATTCCAAGAAGAGTAACACCAAACCCATAGGTGCCTTCCCATCCAACTAGCTTGACTGGAACCATGGTCCACCTGGACATAATGTACTCTTCAACAACAAACTGACTTGCCGAGAAGATTTCTCCAATAAAAATCATGGACATTCCAATGGCAATAGAAGAGGCAGAGGGGCCGTCACTCGCATCTCCATTTCCTCCACTGGCCAGACCCACCAAAAAGACCCCAAACACAACCACAAACAATGCAGTCCATTCGATTCGCGAGATCTTGCGATTGAGAAACAGCACTGAGAATAGTGCCACAAACAAGATCAGAGTTCCACGGGTCATTTGATAAACGCTCACCGGCGTGTAGAGCAATCCAAGGTTAAGCAGAGTGGTTCCACAGATATCGCATATAGCTGGCACCGCAAGCACGAACGACTGACCAGCGCGGAGTTCTGTCTTTATACTGGATTCAACGGTGGAAACAAGAGGCGTTGTCTCACTAACTCGTTGATATTTAGTGGTATACCGAGCTGATAAAAACGATGCTAGTACGAACAGCCAGCAACCGGACTCCCCCACAAACATCACCAGTGTTTGCAACACAGGCTGCTCAAATAGCTTTCTGTTCACGGGATCGTCACAAAATGCCACACACTGATTATCTTGGTATTTTGTGAAGATTGAGTTCAGACATCCGGTGATCACGGTTCCGGCCACGATGAACGGCAGCTGCATTTGGTTAGTGTCCTGTACAGCGTGTTTTTATGCGATTATTCGCGATCTGTTTCCTCAGATTAGAGATATCTGTATTGTAAACATACCCCCCATGAGAAAGCCATAGTTTTCCAAGTCTCAATAGCAAAAAGGATGGACGTTGAGATACGCGGTCGGCTAACTGAATGCGACTGAAGCGCACGGCTTAAGTCTTGGGTTTGAGATTAGGAGCCCCGTGTAAAACTGATCCTAGTGCATCATCAGATCCAGTGAGTTAAAGATAGCGATGATAGTCCAATATACCTGGTAACAACTCTATGTTTTCGCTCAAAAGAGGGACAGTAAATGTCATAAGGCATCAGTCCTATCGGAAACCAGCTCAGCGATGCGGTTTTGCCGACCTGGTGAGCTCCTCGGCAGAACTAGTTCAAAGTCTCCATGCTACCACTGGCTTGCCGTGGTGGGCCTTCATACCCATGTTCACGTTTGGATTTCGAGCAATTACGACTCTTCCGATAGCTATTTCTCAAAGAATCAGGCTAAGAAAGCAAAATTCGCTGCGCCCACTGATAACTGCCACAGGCCCAATTCTGCGGATGAAGCTAGCAGCTCATGCTCAATCACAGGCCCAGGCCAGGCAACTTTCGAAGGACCCGCTGGATTCTCTGAAAGAAACCCTAAGTTACGAGAAAATCGTCGTCTTAGCGGCAAAGGAGAATCGTAAACGCCAGAAAGTCCTCTTCAAGAAAAATGGCTGTCAGGTCTGGAAGTCAGTTCTGCTACCTGCAGTTCAGATACCCGTTTGGCTCTCTCTGAGTTTCACGTTCAGGTCACTGACCGGATGGCAAGGATGGCATTCAAGTGACAGGCCATTGGACCCTTCTTTGTCAAGAGAGGGATTTGGTTGGGTGACTGATCTGACTTACGCTGATCCGTATACAATTTTGCCGATTGTTCTCGAGGCATTGGCACTGGTGAATATCGAATGGAACAACCGAACATTGAGTCTGATGAGACTGACATCCAAGGGAAAGGGAAATTCGCGTCCAACTATGTTTGATGCTATGATTAACACCTCGCGTATAGGCGTGGTGTTTTTGATGGTGGTTTCGTCCCAAGCACCAGCTGCTCTATCGCTATATTGGATTAGCTCCAATGTGTTTTCGTTGCTACAAAATGTAGCATTGGATCGTTTGCTGCCAATATCGTATTCGCCATACATGCAATATTCGAAGAAGACCCCTGTGGCGGATGCTGTTTCTCTGGTGCCGGTGAGGGCCTAGAGCTTATGACGATAACGTGAAAAATGAACATTTAAAACTCTTGAAATGCGCAAAAGAGTTGTTTTAGCATGTTGTATATATTCAGGACTTCTTCTGCCTCTTAGTGTTTCTCGTATTTTTGGTCTGTTTGGTCGGTTCCAGAGACCTTTTCACGGTTGCCTGACTCTTGAACATAGCCCAGGCCCGACTTTCAACAGCATTCAGATCAGGATTGTCCATAAGTTTTCCAACCTCGAAAGCTTTGGGCAAATACTCTTTCATGTACTCAGATTTGGTATATTTGATCTTTCCGGCGCTTTCTGCAAAGTATAGAAATGCCTCGTCCGAAAAGAATGGAGGCACCACCACTGTACCATTCTTGGACTTGACCTCACTGAGCAGCGAAAGCACCAAAGATGCCGTTGCTATTCCAACACCTCTTAAAGTGCACAAAATATCGGCAGCCTTTGAAACAGCGCTGGAAAATCCCTCAAGATCAACTTCGGGCCAAATTTGAGCTGAGGAATCGTAGTATGCCATCATCGCTTTGAATGCGGCTCGCGTAGCACTCTCAGCTTGGTCGTTGGATCTGATCAACTTCATCAGAGTCGGCCGAAACTTACCCTTTGCCAGTTTCCACTCCATTAGAAGACTCAGTTCGTCTTGGGTAAGATGCGTGTCTTTTCTCGAGGCCAAAATTGTCGGCAACTCGACTCTCCTCCAATGGTCTAGAGACGCGAAGTCAAGGCCGTCGCCATACACCTTTCCAGCCTTTGAGGCCGTTACAATTTCCATACTTTTGTCATAGACATCATCCGAGCAATTGATTAGTTCTTCATATCGCGACATGGCAAATGTTGTAGTAGTCTTTACTGATGTGATTGAGAAGGAGTATCATGAGAAGATGCTCTGTTAACGCGTGTTGAAAAATATTGTGCGTGCGGCTCACAGATGTATCTGGCCCAAGACGAGATTTGAGTCCTTGAAAAAAACAAGAAACGGTGAAAAATTACCTGATATTTGCAAAAAATAGTTTTGTAAGAGCTTAGGGTGGCCCTTTTTATTTTACCAGTTATATTATTTGCCAAAATTGGCACTATTCAGCCCGAATTCAGCCCAAATTCCTCACAGCTCACATTCTGAGTACCCAAGTATCTCATTCTTCTTTTTTTTCCTACAAGTGCTTCAATTCTCATATCATGGTTCATTATTCATTCTAAGATACTGGGCACTACCCCAGCATGCTCCTCTTACGGCCACGCAACCTGACATCTTCTAATCTTCTCAATGTCTCTGTACACGCCTTGGCGCCTAGTTTGCCTTTAAGCTTATGGGCGGCTTCGTAACCCGCCACTAAAAAGCCATTATACTCTTTGGCATACACGGAGTGTGTGCTTGTCAATGCTCTCTCCAAGACGTACAAATCAACGGCCCTGTCTTCAGCGAGACCCGAGTAGGAACTCAAACCAAAATCAATCAGCGTGGGTCTTTCCACTTCGTTGGTTTTTGAAGCTTTGAGCATTATATTAGAGCTTGTAAGATCACCATGAACGATTCCCTCTAGGTGCAATTGGGCCACCATTGCACCAACGCGCTTCATGATATCCTCAGCGACCGCACCAAGAGCGATAGATTTGGCGTGGTCTTCCGGTACAGCCTCCTGTCTTCTCTCCATCAGCCACAACCAGTTCTTCAGAGAGCTTACAGTTCCATCTTCGAGTGTGAAACCAACAAAGTCCATCCAGATGATCCCATTCGTGCCATCCATCGCCAACAGCCTCGGAGCATCCACTCCAAGCAGCAACAGTTTTTGCAACAATTTGGCCTCTGACGCCGTTCTGGATCGTGTTATTTGTGAATCCAAACGCGGATGACGATAAGGCTTGGGTGGCCTGTATTTAACAATGAATTTCGTCTTGTTGTCAACCAAAGCCGGTTTCGTTTTCAGATATGGATGCGTCTCAGTGGTGAACACTATGGCTTCCGCACCCTGTGACACCACCTCCAGCGAAATTCCTGCCAAATGCCTCTGTGCTGTTGCAACCAGTTCTGCACTCATTGTCTCTTCCAATTGGTGGAGTCTTGTATATCAGTAACAGTTTGATCTGCTAACAATCTTCGTTTGATAAGGGTGAAAAATTTGGGATGCATATTGGAGTGTGCACGTCTATGCGGAGATCAGAAAGAACATCAGACCAGTGATCAAAATGGCTGAAAATTCATGGTGAAAATGTAATTAAATTCTCTGAAAAAAGGTCAGCATAGTATGATTTGGTGAAAAGATAGCACTGGTCGTCCTTACTTAAGACAATACTCTACGGCTGACCGAAATGGCGTCCCTCCTACTTACCTTCTTCATCAAACGTTTATTACCGTAACGGGGTTACTTAGCCGTAACAGTCTCGTCTTCATTCCAGAATCACTTAGAACCAGTACCATACTTGGCCCTCCACTCGTCCACCTTCTTCTCGTCGATTCTCTTGAATAAATACTCAGCCTTGCCAATACAGTGACCACCACCAATCCAAAGACTGAAACGGTCTGGAATGGCCAATGCTGGAACGTTGAGTTGTCTCTCTATGGCAGCAGTGGTCGATGGCATGTAAGGCGTGATCACTGCTGAGACCAGGTAGATCAAATTGAGACCAATCGCAACAACAGCATCCGACTTGTCTGGATGATCATTGTACAACGAGTTGTCCAGTTTGTTGTCCTGGAGGAACTGGTTTCCTCTTGCGGAAATGGCCATTGCAAGCTCAAGTCCCTTTCTAAGATGGGATTCTTCCATTTCAGTGATGTACGACTGAAGCAAAGCGTCCACATCAGCAACAGTCTGCTTGTAGTTGGGACAATTTTCTGGGTTGTATTCAGGAACAACACCGTTGTACTTGGCAACGACAAACTTCACCAGACGGTTCACAAAGTTACCCAGATTGGCCAGTAGCTCGTTGTTATTCTTTCCAATGAATTCAGCCCAAGAGAACTGCGAGTCAGAGGTTTCTGGTCTGACCGAGGCCAGGTAGTATCTCCACACGGAGGGTGGGATACCAGTCTGCTGGGCATTATCACCAAACACACCGATGTTTCTAGATTTGGAGAACTTTCCGCCCTCGTATTGCAAGTACTCGGTGGTGTTGAGATGGTGGAGCATAGTCCATTTCTCCCTGGTTCCAATCTCCGAAGAAGGGAACACAACGGTGTGGAAGGGCACGTTGTCTTTTCCCATGAACTGGTACAATTGCACATCATCTGGTTGTTTCCACCATTTCTCCCAGTCATCAGTATAGTTAGCTGTTATGGAGATGTATCCAATACAAGCGTCAAACCACACATACAGCACCTTGTCCTCGAAACCCTTCAATGGCACAGGAGTACCCCAAACCAGATCTCTGGTGATAGCACGGGGCTGGAGACCTTCCTTAAGCCACGAATACGTGATGGTCTTGGCGTTCTTGGACCAACGGCCCTTAGTGCAGGCTTCATCAACCCATTTGGTCAATTCCGGCTGCAATTTGTCCAGAGAAAGGAAGACATGGGTGGAATCCTTGGGGATTGGTGTTTCACCATCCAGCTTACAATGAGGATTGATAAGCTCAAAAGGATTCAGTAGGTTTCCGCACTTGTCGCACTGGTCACCACGAGCATCATCATAGTGACACCTTGGGCACTCTCCCTCGACATAACGGTCGGCAAGGAAACCCTTATGCTTGGAACAGTAAAGCTGATGCATCACCTGCTCTTCCAAGAACCCGTTTTCATGGAGCTTTAAGAAAATGTGCTGGGCAATTTCGGTCTGCTTGTCAGTGGTTGTACGTCCAAAGTAGTCGAAGCCAATCTCGAACCACTTGTAGATATCGGAATGCAAATGGTAGTACTTGGTGCACAGTTCCATGGGCGTGACATTCTCCTCCAAAGCCTTGGTTTCGGTAGCAGTACCGTACTCATCAGTTCCTCCAATAAACAGCGTGTTATAATTACGAGCCTTGGAGTATCTGGAGAAGATATCAGCACTCAGAACAGATCCAACAATATTTCCCAGATGAGGAACGTTGTTAACATAGGGCAGCGCAGAGGTGATCAGCACGTTGCGCTCGTCCTTTTTGGGAAGAATTGCCCCAGTCACTTTCTTCACAAAAACAGTCTCATTGAGTTGCTGGGCCCCAGTATTCGTAGCTTTGGGTCTCTCCAGCTTGGTTACAGCTGAAGTAGCCTCAATTGCAGTTTGCACAGCAGAGGCAAACTGTTCGAACCAGTTCTTCAAGGCGAATTCAGCAGAGCTGTTCTTAGCGAGAGGATACAAAGATGAGAACAGAATAATTTGTTCAGGAGATGTGACATCAACACTGGCAAATGAAGCACTGGAAAGAGCTCCGGCGTCGAACTTGCTGGATGACAACCCGGGATACACTGTCAACCGTTCGGTTTTCACAGCCTCGGTATCAGAGAAGGCATCCGGTCTGGTAGAAGCAGCAAGATACTGCACAACAGCATTTGGTTCGATCAAAGTGAAGTTCGTCTTGTTTTCGTGGAGCAAGAACGGCTTGGAACCGTCGGCATCGACAGAGATTTTCAGCTGTGCGGCGTACGCAGCAACCGCAAGGTTTAGCTTGAGATTTGACGAGAATGCCTTGGCATTGTTGCCCTTAGCATAGAACAACTCTAATGGCATGGTACTTCGGGTTGCTGGGGGTTGAGAGAGCGAAGGCAAGAAGGAGGAAAGGAGGAAGGAGGAAAGGCTGATGACTCCCCACGATGGTGATTCGTGATGATGATTATGTGATTGGGGTATGCACGTCCAAAATGTTGGAGAGGCATGGAGATATAGAGGGCATGTAGTGGGGTTATGCGGAAAAAAATTCGATAAAATCACAGGAATTTTGTGCGAATGAAATGGTTGTAATGATTGCTTGCTATTTATAAAATAACGCAATTAGTTATGCGGTGCGGTAAGAGTAGGTGAGGAAAACGCGAAGCTGTCGAGAGCTGGAGTTGACGATGCGAGGATTGTGACAGTTTCAACATTTCTGACAAGTTTGAAAATCCTGCAAGATCTTGATTGTCGTTCAAAACCTTCATATAAGTTTCAGCGCTTTTTCTGAGTTCTTGGTAGCCCTGATAGTCTGGTATGTGCCATGACTGCCTGTCCACTCTATTGGGTATGCTGGTGCCAGTGGGCGATTGGCTGAGATGAAAAGGTCTTCCCAACTACGTTTTTCAACTGCATATCATCTGTACTGCGTTCTCCTGTCTCCGGTGAACGCCTGAGTTCTAGCTAATCCTTGCGTTCGCAATCAGCTGTTCTAGACCGTTCAATGCCTGATCCTTTTCCTCGAATTCCTCTACCTTTTCTTCCTCCTTCACCTCTGATTCCCCTCGTCTTGTTGGCGACATGATGTGAAGGCCATTATCAAGATATCCCGGGGCGACCTTGCGGATTGCCTGCTTCTTCCAGGCTTCAAACGGCGCCTTTCGTTCCTCAATGCCCGCTACGTCCGCAGCAAGTTTTCGACACATCCGTAAAGCATCATTTGCATCAGCAATTGACTCTTCCAAAAGATCTTTGGACAATTCGGCTGGAAGTCGCGCGAGTGTGAAGGAGGGAGTTGAGGGTCTTCCTAGCTCTGAAGGAGACACAACTAATGGGATCTGTGCTAATAATGGGTCTTGCAAGGTCAGTATGAGAAGACAGCAGATTAAAAATCTAACAGAACAAATCTTTCAAATATTAGATCGATAACTTACTTTTCATGAGTTGTTTTGTGAATGGAAAGTACAAAGATAAGAGACGATGATACAGGTCAGTTCTGGGGTTAGCGAGATCTAGATGTCAGTCACGTGATGAATGACTTGGGCTATGTTCCTCCTTCTGGATTAATTGACTCTGATAGAACTGGTTGATTGCACAAATTTGATTACTTTGACTGGTTTTAGTGATTTAAGATGGATCACGATGTTTGAATAGCCGAGGAAATGTAAAAAGTTGAGCTTCCCAGGTTCTTGTTCTGATGATTGGTAGATTTTTCTAGTTTCATACATTTTTCACATTTCTACCCAATCTACAAATGCAAATTTGTGAAATTAATTTGGATTTTAGCTCTCTCTTTTTCTCATATATACAATCCGAGAGACACTGAGCTCTTTGCAATAGCACTTCCCTTAACACTCTTCATAAATTCTGGACCAGGATGCAGATACGACTCCACAACGAGTCCACAATCTACCAGCAAGTCCAGATCGCACTTTTCCAAATTCAAATGGATTGCACCTTCTCCATTCACCACAAGAACAAGCACAGATTTCCCAAGTGCTTTGACGGTGGCAGCCATACTTGCCACTGGCCCAGTGATGAAATGTGGCGGCGCGAGCGGCTGCAGCTGGGCTATCAAGCTGTTGGCCTGCTTATCGTCAGATCCTTCTTTCAGCACCTCGATGGTATCGCGACCCAGCTCAGAAGTTCCGATCCCAAGGAGCGTATCAAAGGGAATCTCAGCAGAAATCACGCGTGCAATTGCATGGTAAACCCGATTATCAAGATTTGGAACGGAAACAAAAGATATCACCCCAGTCTCAAGAGTCACTGTATAAACTGGAACACTCACAGGCTTCAAATCCTTAAATTCTTCTTCGTTCACGTACAACTGTTCATCCTCATCAAATTCAGCAATATATTCCAAATCATTGTCGTCTTTCACGGGCGAGATAACGATTCTGCCGGACTCTATAACTCCAGGTAGTTGTCCAAGAGCATCAGTGATAATGCGAGTAGCAGAACACGCCACCACCAAATATTCAGTTCTCGCAGAATGAAGGTGCACATACTCAACTTTTGGTAGCAATGAAGGAGATGCCGTTAGAGGGTCTTCCTCTCCGGACTCGAGTTCAGAGAGTAAGTGTCTCGGAGCAGGTTGTTCGGTCCACGGTTTGATCTGGGAAGTTAGTAACGTGTATGGAACACAGACAAAAGAAAAAACAAAAGTCATCCAATTTAAATCAAACTTACCAACATGATTGATATGCTTCCAATATACACAGAAACGGGGTTTCAGGCGTAATTTACTTGCAATGGCGTCTGGAGATGTATACCCAAGCCTCACATCCATCTAAATGCGAGAGGCGATATTTCAATCAGGGTCGTGGCGCAAGCAGAATTCCCCGAGACTCGATAATCGCCTACAACGCGGCCATGTCCTCAAATGTAGAAGCTTTGCTTTCGTGTTTTCAAGGAAATTTGATCCCGAATCTCTCAAAATGGCGTCAACTGGAACCAAGATAGAGGACCTTTCACTGAGCCTCAACAGGCTCCAGAACGAACTGCAGGACACTGTGTCGAACCGCCAGAGACTGGAGACTCAGTTCCAGGAGAACAAGATTGTCAAGGCCGAGTTTGACAAGTTGGGGGATGAAGCCAAGATATACAAACTGGTGGGCCCTATTCTGCTTCCCCAGGACAATACTGAGGCCAACATGAATGTCGACAAGAGACTTGAGTTTATCGAGGATGAGATGTGAGTGTAGACTACTAGATGGGTGTTTGGACTGCTACTGACTATTAATACAGCAAGAGATGCGAGGCTAAAATTGAGACGACCCAGACGGAGATTCAGACGAAATCGATGGAGCTGAATGCGTTGAGGACGGGTGTGGCTGCGTGAAGAAGGCGGGAGAAGCACAATGTGAGATGATGAGACTGGAGAGAGGAGACAAGTTTGACGAGAAGAGAGACACGAAGTGTGACAAACGAGATTGAAGAGAAGATCTATGTTATGACAGATATGAGACAGTCTAGAAAAGAGACCTAGACAGTTTTTTTGAGCGCAAAGATCATTCACTATCCTTCTCAATGAACGTGAGATGTATGATCACAGACAGAATATAATAAGATAGTCCAAGAAATCAACCAACTTGGAAGGGTAGGAAAAATTGTGTCACAATTATGTAGACGACCTAGACTGGCAATTAATTTGTTAATTGCTAATTATCTATGGTCAAAGCTTTGGCCCGTATTGGTTGCCTAGTATCCAATAACACTGCATAGCACCAAACACCTTTTTTTCATGTCATCTATACTCTCTCTGTACACGTATCTATTGAAAATAAATGACGAACAATATTTAGTCAAGTTCTCATTTCGCCATTATCACATTCGTTACAAGCATCATCATCAAATGTTGCTCAGCCTCTCACTAGCTGACTCTTTAACAAGTTCACAAACGACATGAGACTAAACACTCCCCACTCCTCAACGTCATTATACGCTGTACCACACTTATCAACAGCGTCTAGCTTCGAAGCCACAAACTCCAGGGTATCCTTGAACCCTTCGCTTTTGTCACCGAGTTGAAACAGTTCGGCCTCGACGTATGCCATCGAGAGTGAGAGTCGTTTAGCATACCATTTGAAGTCGTTAGAGGCATCACCTGCGTACCACGAAAGATCATCCGACAAAGCGTGCAATTCCTCGAGAGAAGAGGCCACATTCGAGGGCAAAATAATGGTGGCCAGAGCCTCGTGATAATGCGGCAAAACAGCTTCATTTCCAAGCAGTCTGAACTGAACCAGCTTCAGCAACGCACCGTATTCGTCTTTTGCACCGTCGATCACCGCAACGTGGTTTTGCTGTAGTCTCACCCTCTGGGTCTTTAGATGGTGCAAAACAAGTGACATGACCGGTCCATGTGAAAAGTTAAAACTCGACCGAACTCCCGGGGACAGCGACAAATCATTGAGTGCAAGATCTATCGAACGCTCTGTGAATCCGGTAGTTGGCACATGTGAGAGGGCAGCAGCCAATACTTTTGTTTGGATTGTGTCAGTTATGATTGTGGGATTGACATGCGCACCAGAATGATACAGTCTCCTAAACGAGTTTGCCAGCATTGGTTTGGGTGTATAGTTCTTTGAATTAAGAGTGAGTTTGGGGTTCTTGCGATCAAACGTTGTCCCACTGGGAAGAGCGAGATATTGGTCACGTGATCTTTAATGCGCTCACTTCTCACAATGGTCCCTGTTATAGTGTCTGAAAATTCAGTCTTTTGCTCGAAAATCAATGAATATACGAAGTCAAATTTGTGTGATGGCTTCCTATGTTACATCCATAGACTTCTGGAAGCGTTTCGTTTACATTTCTCCCTACACTGCTCAAACATACTGAAGTCTTAGTGCACACCTCTCGGTTGCGACCACATCTAGCAGAAAGGACCGTTTCCCATCCGATCAACTGTAGTTAAATTGCGAATGGCTCAACAGAGTAGCATGATGGGAGACCATATGCGAAACCTGGGTGTTGCAATCTTTTTGCCAGCTGAAGGTCTCCCACAGTCTTGGGGTCAGGGCCTCTGTAGCCAGTGTGCCTTAAAGAATGAAGTGGTTGCAGTTTCAGTTCCAACCAGCTGAATTGGAGGAAACCACATAAAATGACTTCGTATGTCCTACTTCTTGAAAACGAAACCGAAGCCTGAATCAGTCGAGGACACGATCGAGTCCGCAGCCCAGCTCAGGTCTACTGCCCAAGGCGCGGCTCAAAGTCGTGCACCACCCATCGGGATCTATTTACCCAATTCAAAGGGCAGAACCGAACTTATTATTCCGAGGGTCGGGCATTTAAACTGCTGTTCCACTGCGTCCGATTTGCCCGTTGGGAAAGAGCCCTGGCTACATGGATGACAAACGAGTATTCAACGGGTAGCCCTTTGTTCCAGCGGGGTTGATTGGCGACGGCACGATGTGATAAATCAAATAAGGTCTGACACCTGGGTCCAAAACTCCAACATACTGTTGGAATATTTGAAGATTGTAACAAAATAAGGTTCATGAGACATATTTGGGTGGTAGAGTCAGTGATCGCCTGACTTGAAGCATGCTACTAGAAGCCAGTTCCAAGCTGCAAACCAGAACCAAAGATCATTGTAGATATCCACGACTACACCTTGGTTCTGAATGCCATATATAGCCACCAAACGGTAATTCCCTGTTGAATAGTAGATATTACATATGCGCACCAAAATAGGAATAAGATTCCCAACTGCGATATCCGGCCCACTTCCGGAACAATTACGAGATCCCGGAAAGCAGCAAGCATGCCTTTTGCGGCAAAGAAGAGCAGGCGATAACCCGATTGGGAGAGGGGAGAAATAGGCTACTGTCCGCTGAAATATAAAGAGGGCCATCTGGAACATTTCTCAACTCCTCCCTTAGTAAACAACTTGCAAACCATATTTGCACAGTCAATTAATCCAGAAATGTCTACCGAAGGTAAAGTAGGTAATTGAGAGGTTTGATTCAGGACTCCGATCTTATTTGCGTATACTAACTAACTCTACAGATCATCACATGTCAAGCCGCTGTCGCTTGGGAAAAGGGACAAGACCTTTCAATTGAAACCATCGAGGTTTTGCCACCAAGAGCACACGAGGTCAGAGTCAAGGTGGAGTACACCGGAGTTTGCCACACAGATGCTTACACTCTTTCCGGTAACGATCCCGAGGGAGAGTTCCCCGTGATCTTTGGCCATGAAGGTGCTGGTATTGTCGAATCTATCGGTGAAGGCGTGACCAACGTCAAGGTGGGCGACTCGGTTGTTCTCCTGTACACTCCAGAGTGTAAGGAGTGCAAGTTCTGCAAATCTGGAAAGACCAACTTGTGTGGAAAGATCCGTGCTACCCAGGGCAAGGGCCAGATGCCGGATGGAACCGTCCGCTTCAGATGCAAGGGCAAGGAATTGCTCCACTACATGGGCTGCTCGTCCTTCTCCCAATACACCGTCGTTGCGGATATTTCTTTGGTTGCCGTTGACCCATCTGCTCCTAAGGACCGTACCTGTTTGCTCGGCTGTGGTATTACCACCGGATACGGTGCTGCCGTCAACACTGCTAAGATAACCCCAGGTGACAACATCGCCATCTTTGGCGCTGGCTGCATTGGTCTTTCTGTGATTCAGGGTGCTGTGACCAAGAAGGCTGGCAAGATCATTGTGGTCGATATCAATGAGAACAAGAAGAAGATGTCGTTTGAGTTTGGTGCTACCGACTTTGTCAACCCAGCCACCTTGCCTGAGGGCGTCACCATCGTGGACAAGCTGATCGAGATGACCGATGGTGGTTGCGACTTCACCTTTGACTGTACCGGAAACGTCCAGGTGATGCGCAATGCTTTGGAGGCGTGCCACAAGGGATGGGGTGAGTCCATTATCATCGGTGTTGCTGCCGCTGGTAAGGAAATCTCCACCCGTCCATTCCAGCTTGTCACCGGAAGAGTCTGGAGAGGTTGTGCCTTTGGTGGTATCAAGGGTCGTACTCAAATGCCTCAATTGGTGCAGGATTACAAAGATGGTAAGATTAAGGTTGACGAGTTCATCACCCACCGTCACCCATTGAAAGACATCAACAAGGCCTTCCACGACATGCACGCTGGTGACTGTATCAGAGCGGTTATCACCATGGACTAATTGGTTCTTAACTTATTAACGAAACTGAGAATAGTGCATCATGTTGTAAAACGTAGCGTAACATAGAGATGCAACCGCAACAACGCAACTGATCGGAACTGTAAAAACTCCGGTACCTTGCTAGCACTAGTTCCTTTTACAGACGAACCTGTCAGGCCGTATTCCCCACTTCGAAACACCCCACGCATTTACTGGCGGTAATATGCATATGCACGATTGGCTTCTTCAACGAAAAAGCCGCCGAGATTCTGGAAGAGATGCCATGAAACATGCTGGGATTTCAAGTTTTTGATTTGAGCAGAACTTGGATGACTATGAGGGGCAAACTGGTGGTCTATGACTTTTGGGATCATTAACCGCCAGAATATGCAGGGGGAGGTTTAAGCGGCTAATACTTGATGGAAACACTACCAAATTACTTTAAGTGCCCTGAACCGTGCTGAAAGCCCTCGAAAATGAGCCAACGAGCCTCATCAGATCCATCTCACCCACAACGCTGCTCCAATAGTATGCAAGGTTACCGCAATTATAGGACAACCACTAATAAAATGAGGGTTTTTGTGTCCTAACGCGCCCTCCTTGAACCTTACCGTCTTTAGTGCATCACTCAAAGGTAGTGCACGGAGTACTGAAAAAATCGTCAACACAGTCGCTGAACATTTATTTGGCCCAGGACATGAAAGAGAGGCTAGGAAGCCACACAAAAAGGGTTTGAAAGCGAGCAAAAAAAAAGCGCCCCACAAAGGCCGTGACCTGTTTATTTCTGTTTGATTACCACACCTTGTCCTCGCCCTCAAAACCTCTCTGCATGTCTACATCGTCACCCTCCTCAACAGCCTCAGCGCAGCCGTCGCTGGACCTGTATGTGGTGATCCATATCTCCACCACGGCCGACGACCAAGGCATCTACATCACTAGGGATAATTCAGAGATTATTGAAATAGCGTGGTCGATTGTGGATGCTGTTAGTCTCGAGGAGAACGCCAGCGATGCGGTTTTCGTGAAGCCAATGAACACTCCCATCACTCCTCTGTGCACCTCTGCTACTTCACTTACGTGGGATCAGGTGAAAAACGCTGGAAGTTTGAAGGAAGCCATTGAAAAGCTCGACGAAAGCATTCAGAAACACGCCGTGACGCCAAAGAAGTCATTTGCATTTGTCACTTTCCAATCGTGGGACTTGAGAATGAAGCTCACCAAAGAAGCCCGTGAAAGGTCTATTGTTTTACCAGCATATTTGGAGCTTTCGCGCCATTTCGATCTGCGTCGTGAATTCTTGGCCTATGAGGAGCTGGTGCTATCTCCTGACTCGGCTACTCCTTATACTGCACGCTTGAACCAACTGACGCTCAACACCGTTTGCCAGACCCTGGCCATAGATGTATCCAGCATAGAGTCTGCCAATGGCCAGAAACCATTTGCACTTTCGATGCCAAGACGTGCTTCCGATGAAGTGCAGATTATGAAACTGATACTGGGGTATTTTGCAAAAAATGCGCCATCGGGATCGACTATCCTCCAAAATCCTCACGACATGCACCGCGATCTAACTCAGTTTCTGGGTGAGCGCTCCAAGGTACTGTATATGACGAATTTACCCATAGACACCACCCAAAGTGAGCTCGAGTCATGGTTCACACAGTTTGGTGGAAGGCCAATTGCATTTTGGACCATGAAGGCCCCTTTGGAACGCAATGCTCAGCCAGGTGCCAAGCCAACTGGCGCTGGGTTTGCTGTTTTTGCTACACACGAAGAGGCGATCGACTCGCTTGCTATGAACGGTCGCAACCTTACTGACAAGGTGATTGAAGTTCAGCCGTCTTCGGTGGTTGTTCTTGACAAAGCGCAAGAAATCCTTGCTCCTTTCCCATCTTCGAAGAACAGACCCAGACCCGGTGATTGGACTTGTCCTTCGTGCGGCTTTTCCAATTTCCAAAGAAGAACCGCGTGTTTCAGATGCTCGTTCCCAGCAGCCTCGGCAGCCGCTATTCAAGAATCTATGTACAATGGACCATCCTCTGGAAATGGCCAATACCAGCAGTACCAGTCCGCCTCACAATCGCAAGCTCAGCAGCCTCAACAGCCCCAGCAACCTCAGCAACAGATCAACACCTCTCTTCCCAACTTGTCGGGCATCTATGGAACTGCTCAGCGCCTAAATTCGACTCTTTCGCTCAACTCTCCACAGCCGCAGCAACAGCCATCTCAGCCCCAACAGTCTCAGCAACAACAAAACGGCTCGTCCAACGTTCCGTTCCGTGCTGGCGATTGGAAATGTATCAACGAAAACTGTTCTTACCATAATTTCGCGAAAAACATCAGCTGCCTGAAGTGTGGAGCTCCGCGTGCAAACTCTACCGGCACCTTGCAACACCCCCAGCCCAGCCATGAGTACTACCTTCCACAACAACAACAGCAACAACAACAGCACCAAAACAATTATCTTCAGCGCACAAACTCTGCGAATGGTCCAAATGGTCACAATGGCCACAACGGCCACAACAACCACGCAAGACCTGGCTATTACCAGCAGATGCTTAACAGTGGCAGCATCTACCAGCAACAACATGGTTCTTCAGGCCATCTGCACTACACCAACACCTCGACTAACGCTTCTGGTGCTGGTTCTGGAAACGGTTCTCATTATCATACTCCGCCTCAGCAGCAGTATATGGACCATTCATCGGCTCTATCGCCTGCTGTTGAGGACCTCAAACACCTTGCCAACCGCTTGGGAGGCCTTAACCTGTACAATAGCCAGACCGAGCTGGAGAGGAAATAGTCGGTATAGAACAGTAACGAAAAGTATTTTGAAATTATCTGCTAAGAAGCATGCTTCTGTAGTGTTGTGCGTTTTGAATATGCTCAAGTTGGTGAAGTTAAATGTTCACGTGTACCAACTAAAAGGGCACATAACCACTCTCTTATCAGTGATACGTCAACATTGAGAGTTTATGCAGAAGTTAGTATGAAAAATTTGAAACATATAAGCTTTGAAAATGTAGTTAGGGTATATGCCTAATAGGGAAACATATAACGCTCGAAACGGTCCAATCTGATGCCCTATAGACAATACTTTACAGACGCCTGACAGGTTATGGTAAAGACACGCATGACAAGGGCTGATTTAAGACAACACCCAGGCCACCAGGCATGCGAAAACTTCAGAAAAAATCAATTTAATAAACAGAAACTACTCGGAAGAAACTGAAATACCCATTTTCTCCTTTCAATAGCCGCTGGTGGAGAACCAAATTGGGCATAGGTCGTGCTTCATATCAAACACTGGGCTCACAACCATTTCCTATTGTTTTCTACTTGTGACGCCATTGAAACTAAACCACTGATCTAGTCTCATACCCGTCTCTCGCCGTTTTTTTACGGTTCTGCTCAATGTCAGAAGATAATGATCCGCTCTACCAGCCGCAGACGGTATTCCGTGCCCAGTTGTACTTCTGTACAGTTCTGGGGCTGCTCATCTTCTTCCTGTTCTGCTTTGTCCGCTACAGATTCCCGCTTGTATACGGGATTCGTTCATATCGCAACAAGAGGATACGGCCACTTCCAGATAACCTGTTTGGGTGGATTAGAGTTCTTTATTTGATCACAGACGACGAAATTTTGCAACTGGCAGGGCTTGACTCCTACGTGTTTTTACGTTTCTTCAAGATGTGTATCATTATGTTGGCCACACTTGCCCTCTTTGCTTTGGGAATTCTCAGTCCAATTCGGTATCTACTGACGGGAAGTTTTGATAAGGATTACCCTGAGTGGGTTGTGCAGAGTCGCATATGGGACACGCTCAACAAGAAGGAGGACCCATTTGCGTACCTGTTGGTTTGCACCATCTTCACGTACGTGTTTACGGGTCTTGTGTATTACTTCTTGTTCAAAGAAACTACACGTGTAATCCGCACACGTCAGAGATGTCTTGGAAATCAGAAATCGTTGACAGACCGGACGATTCTGATCTCGAATATACCCTCCAGGCTGAATAACGATGCTGCTTTGAGAGCCCATGTAGAGGCTTTGGGTGTTGGAACGGTTGAAAGCATCACGATAGTGCGGGATTACTCCGCGTTGGAGGCCGCTTTTGAGGAGAGAGCGGAATTGGTGCGAAAGCTGGAGCTCGGCTACAGTCAGTACTACGGACTTGATATTCGTATTCTGAGAAAGAATGAAGTCCCTTCAACCACTTTGAGGGCGTCTGGAGACTCGGTCGTTTTGTCTGGTGGCATTGACCGGGGCACAGAGATTTTGGGTCCGGTTCCATCTAAGAAGAGACCCACAACGCGACTGGGAGGCTTGTTCAGTACCCAGGTAGATGTTCTAGACTATTATGCCCACAAATTGGTCCAGATTGACGCAGAAATCTTGGAATTGAAACAGAGAGATGATTTCAAGCTTGTCAATGATGCTTTTGTCACTTTGGACTCGGTTTCAGACGCCCAGATGGCAGCTCAGGCAGTGCTTTCGCCGAACGTGTTCCAGCTGATCACGCGTCTGGCACCAGCACCTCGCGATGTCAACTGGTCACACTTCCTTCTGAGCGCAAAGGAGAAATTCGTGCGGACAAACGCAATTGAACTCACATGTCTGGTATTCTCTGCTCTTTTGATTATACCGATCAGATACATTACACCTCTATTGAACGTGGAGAGTATTCGAAAGATGTGGCCGGATTTTGGTGATTATCTCATAAAACACGAGCTTTTGAGAACGTTGGTAACAGGTCTGCTTCCTACTTATCTATTCACGCTGATCAATGTGGTGCTGCCTTATATCATTTCTTTCCTGTCTAATTTGCAAGGACTGGTCTCCAAGGGCGATGCAGAGCTCGGAATCATTCGCAAGAACTTCCTCTACATCTTTTTCAACTTGTTTTTGGTGTTCACATTGTTTGGAACATTTGCGAGCTATAAGGCTTTGCTAAGTGATACGACCAAAATTGCTCCTGTACTAGCAGCTTCCATCAAGAGACTTTCGTTGTTCTACGTGGATTTGATCATTCTCCAGGGACTCACGATGTTTCCGTTCAAATTGTTACAAGTTGGTGATATTTTCCTAGTTTTCTGGCAGTATGTGATGTGTTTCCGCTGGCAAACTCCTAGAGATTATCGTGATCTCTTCTACAAACCCGCGATTTTCGAGGTGGGACTCATCCTTCCCCAACACATCCTCATCTTCATCATCACGTTGATATACTCCGTCATTTCCACCAAGATCGTCACATCTGGCCTTGCCTACTTCGTGATAGGCTTTTACACTTACAAATATCAGTTGGTTTATTCGATGGTGCACATCCGCCATTCCACCGGAAAAGCCTGGCCAATAATTTTCAAGCGTGTTTGTCTCGGAGTGGTGTTTTTCCACCTCACGATGCTCGGAACTTTGGCCCTGGAAAGGGCGTATATACTGGCGATTTTGGTGGTTCCTCTGCTTCCCACAACGATCATGGCACTAGTATTCTTTGATCGCAACTACTTGCCTCTGCTGTACTACATTGCTCTGGATGCCATCAAGACTTCCGGCGAGTCTGTGGAGGCACATGACTTTGACGACACTGCTGTTGAGGACTCCGTGGTGTATCTGCATACGCCCACTCCGTCATTGGCTCCAGAGCAACAGCCGTTATTGGAGCGGTCTCTACGGAAGAGGAGAAGCACAATTGACGAGGAGCGTGAAGAGTTTCAGAATTACACACACCCGTGTCTTGCAGACCAAATGGACGGGCCATGGATCGGGTTTGTGGGTGATTATATCGATACTGTCCAGTATTACATTGCTGTTGAGCACGGAAGTGAAAGTGAAATAGACCAACTAGACCAAGGAGCGGAGCCAATCACCTCTGTGATCATCCGCAAGAAGACAACTACAGTTGAGTATGACTGAGAGACCTCAAGCCCACCACCTACTAATTTGCGTTTTCATAACCAAAGAACTACCGCTTCGCTATTTCGCCTAGAAATATTGTAAACTGCGCTCTTTTGTCCTTTTTCGGATCCAGAATATCAACTTTCTCCATCTGTGGTATTCTGCACGCTCTGCAGCATATGAATCACCAGCTGCATGACCTGTGCATCCTCCTCCTCACAACATCACCACGCCAACAGCACTTCTTTTCACCACATCTGCCTCCTTGGTCTTCTCGTCAATACCTCCAGCAATAGGAAACGCCTTGTAATTGAACAGGTAAAAGTTCAAAAACCCATCACCTCCACCAAACTTCAGATCCTGCAGGAAAAGAGCATTGTCCTGAGACGAAACAGCATTGAAGACATCGACACCAAGACCTTTACACACCACCAGACAGTCCCCAACCAGTAACTTCAGTCTGTCAGCAAGAGCCTTGGTTCCAGCAGGATCAAAACGAGGCTTATCAAGACCAGCTTCAGAGGCATAGTAGAATAGATAAGCGACTCCCAACTTCTCGTGAGTGGCATTGTCGAGAACAGAAAAGGGCAGCAGGTAGAACGAAACAAAGTCGGTGATGCGACCCTCAGTTTCGGAAACATAGCAATGAACAACCTTCTCAGTATCATGAGGATCAATCAGCATGTGCTCTAGCTCTTCTTCAGTAAAATGCTGAACCAACTCAAGTCGAGATTGATATCTATCAAACAACTCCTTCATCTGAGGGATGTCCTTCTTGATAGCTGTTCTCCAACCAGGAGTCTTGGTCTCTAATCCAATGGTATATTTGGCAACCATCTGGGCCTTTGTCTTTCCCTGAGGCAACACGCTGAATCCTACATCCAGCAAGTTAGGCCAGTTTAAGGGACGATGGTAGTACCGGCACGTGGTCACAGGAGAGGGCAGAACCTTACCCACAGTGTACAGAGCCTGCCAGATGTTCTGTCTGTTAACTCTCCGCGTGATCTCTCTGATCAGAACAGGTGCCAATCTCTTAGCACGCAGCTTCTTGTGGATACAGAGAAAGTTGATTTCAACCGCCTTCATTTCGGTATCTCTGACAGAAAGAGTGGCAGGAACAGCCGATATGAAGGCCACCAGTTTGCCAGAAGCCTTAACACGAACACCAACATGCCAATCACGACGCCATCCTGGTGGTTTCAGAGCCCAGTCAAAAAACTCGGCCGAGTAGGCAAATCTGAACGTGGCATCTTGGTCCTCGACATAATGCCCGTAAAGAAGCTCGTACACCTGCTTGGTCTCGGCAGCATCGGTGAGATCCATGGTAACCCACTCAAAATCGGCTAGAAGCGGCAATGGCTCGGCGGGAACATCCGCTGGCGTCTTCCCAACATTAATCTCACCTTCTTGGTCGACTTTCTCGTCTAAGCGTGCAACAGGCTGCGTCTTCCAGAACTTGTAGTCCGCCATCTGCTTCTGCTCAGGCTCGCTCAGACTCTGGCCCATTGCCAGCATCCGCAGCATCTCTTCGATCGACTTTTTGCCAATAGCCTTGTCGTCCTTCTTGTCGCTCATTACTATGCTGCTTTTGAAATTTGTCAATACTTGGAAAACGGACCCAACGCCTTTCTCGATGGTCTCCTCAACAGACGTACGTGGAGTGGAAAGTCGTGCATCACCGAGATGATCTCTGGACGTGCGCTGCCAAAGTCGAAAAAAAATTTAGGCATCTTGAAAAATTTCAGTCCCAGTAGCACAGCTTGAAGGTTGTCCATTTCCAACGGCAACAAGTGATTCTAAAAAATGATTTCTGCCACTGCATGGGTTCCAAGGGGTTTTCCCAGCGAATTCCCTGAAAAGTATGAGCTGAACGACGAGGAGATGGCACGGATCGAAGCTATGTCCGAACTGCATCTAGGAGACGCCAGGGCCACGCTTGAAGAGGCTCAGGGCGCCGAGGAAGGCATTCAGTCGCAGCTGGAAATAGATGACGATCTAAGGGAATACGATCTAGAGCATTACGATGATGACGAGTCTGCGGACATTGATCCCGACTCTGGAGAAGCTCTCTCGATGTTCCCAGGATTAGCTAACAACTCCAGAGCCAAGATGCACACGGGCGAGGATGGCCAGGCACACGTGAGTCTCGGAGATGCGAACAACGAAGACGAAGACGATGATGACATTGAGCTTGCAGAGGAAGATGAAGAGGAACGCCAGATGGAGAAGGCCGACCTACAGGTGCTTCCTACAGACAACATGGTTCTAGCGGCCAAGACCGAAGACGATGTGTCTTATTTGGAGGTATATGTTTACGATGATGGAGCTGATGAAAATACTCATGGAGTGGCCCCAGGTCATGTGCGTGAGGCCAGTTTGTATGTGCATCATGACCTGATGCTACCAGCTTTTCCATTGTGTGTTGAGTGGGTCAACTTCAAGCCAAGAGAGGCTGCAGATTCGGAAAATATTGGCAACTTTGCCGCGATTGGTACTTTTGACCCCACAATCGAAATATGGAACCTTGACAGCATTGACAAAGCGTTTCCAGATGTGATTTTGGGCGAAACCGACGAGTCGACCGGTGTGCTCTCCAAGAAGAAGAAGAAGACCAAGAAGAATGCTAAGCATGTAACCACACACCACACAGATGCAGTCTTGTCTCTAGCTCATAACAAGGCATATCGTTCTGTACTGGCTTCGACGTCGGCAGATTCCACTGTTAAGCTATGGGATTTGAACCAGTGTGTGGCAGCCAAGTCTGTTGCAGGCCTCCACGGTGGGAAACATGTCTCGAGTTCCACCTGGGTTCCTGAAGAGGGGTCAGTGCTTTTGACCGGTGGATATGATGGGTTTGCAGCCCTTTCTGATGTGAGGATCGAGGGTGATTCCGGAGTCAAGCGCTGGGGCGTTAACGGAGAAGATGTAGAGACCGTCACATGGGCCAGAGACTCACAGTTTTATGTGGGAACCGACCACGGAAATGTCTACTGTTTCGATGCTCGTGGAGAGGACAAGCCAGTTTGGACCCTGCATGCTCACGATTCCGGAATCACGAGTTTACAGTCTAATTCTGCGGTTTCTGGAATGATTCTCACCAGTGCTATGTCCGATAAAGCGGCCAAACTGTGGAAGGTCCAAGGAAATAAACCTTCGATGATTTTAAGCCGCGACTTTGGCGTCGGAAATGTCTTGACAGCCTCTTTTGCGCCTGATCTCGAGGTTGCCGGAAACGTTGTGATTGGAGGAGCCACAGCCCAAGGGTTGACTATGTGGGATGTATTCAGCAACCGGTCTGTGAGGGCTGCGTTCAAGGAACCTCTTGCCGAATTACAGGCGCTGGCAGCCGACAAGGCGAGCCAGAGCGGCTCGAAGTCGAGATTGGCAAGCAAATACAGAGGTGATTTTGACGAGGTGGTTGTGGTTGTTGGGCAGGACGATGAAGATGATGATGACGAGGAATAGAGGATTAGCCCGTGTAATAGTAATAGAATGAGAGTTTGTGACGAACTGGAGAAGAAATTGGCGATAGAGAAAAGTGATGGGCAAGAGCAAGGGCCCCAATCACTGCAGCCCTGAAATGCAAGATTCCATGACACAAAAATAAAATTAGTCAATTGATATAGGAGAAACAGATGTCGTATTGGACCCGCCAAATATCGCGAGTTTGATAAGAATAAGCAGAAAATGGTGAAGATAGTGGTGACCAAGGTTGGTGGTGATGGTGCAGAAGGTTACCTGCATACTGCTTCCAGGCTTCCTCCAGGCCCGCTTGTGGCCCTCAAATAATAAATTATGCAGAAATCTCGAGCAAAATTGATAAAAAATAACAAATTCAAACGGATAGAACAATTTGAAACTCGAAAATTGGCAAAAGTATCACCGAGAAAACCAAGGATTCCGAAAGAATCCTAAACTGCAGCTGATACCGAACATAGATATCCAATAGCATGCGTTAATGCATATATCTACCAATCTGCATACAAATTTCCAAACAATGGAAGCCCAATAAAATCTCCATAAAACACCCAATGAAAGCGCATGAAATTCCAATTTTGTATTGTGAATATCATGTGTCGTAGGGAAATTTCCTGGCTAATATAATATCAATATTTAGTGAACAGAGGAAACCAATAATCCCCAGTATCGTGTAGCTGATACCTCTGCAATCATCTCATACATTCGCCAGACAACTGCGAAAATTTCAAAATTGCAGATACCAGCTGAAGTCTTACATTGATAACAACACAAAAAACTGATAAGACGCCCACGGTACCAATTCCTGGATTCTGCATTTCATCCTCCGCCATCTCTTTTCACCCAACCTCATTACTATTGTGCGATGTTCACCGGACCGGTTCCGGTGAGTCACTATTGATAGTGTCACTCACAATCTTCTTTGGGACAAAGGCGTGTGCTACCAATCGTCGGCGTTTGATTCGCTGGCCCTGTTTGGGCAACTTCTCCCGGGGACCGGCTGCACTTGGCAGTAAAGTGGGGGTATTGCCATCAGGTCTTGGGACATGATAGCAGCATAGTTCGCCAAAATCTGCCAAAGCTTTAACCGAATTTAACACATCTCCAAGTTTCCGTGTAGGAATAGCCTCTAGGTATGTGACCCTATAAATTTATCACACTTCACCCCCGCAAACCCTCAAAGCGTCCCCCTCCATCCAGTTCTGGCTTACGAGACATTGATCGCTGATTGGCCACTGATTAAGGGCCAGTTTACTGATCTGAGTGGTGCACACACACCTTCCCTGCCCGTCTCCGGCCATAGGTGCGACATGCGTCCTGGTTGTATTTCCTTGTTCAACAAGCAAAATTTTCTCCCGGTTCTTCTTTCCTCTCTACACCATCTTTCTGCTCTTTTTGACTTTTAGCTACTGTTTGGATTACCAGAGACGCTCCTTTAGTTGCTGAAGACCGTCTGGCTGTTTAGTTTTTAAATTCCGCCTTTTTTTCGTTGTGAAAACAGCTTTTTGTAAACCAAACAAGTGAAAAGTCTCCAGAACAAGGCGAAAAGCTTCGGATTTAGGCTATTTGCGAGTTGATCTTTTGTTGTTTGGAAATAGCTGGTATTTTATCTCTTGAAAGTGTAAGTTCTTGTTTCTTTGTTAGGGGTTGCAACCTTTTGAATTCTAAGTCTTATCTTGCTACCCCCTCCTCGCTGGTTTCCACTGACTAACCTTTTCAGACAAAATGTCCGCTCCAGAAGAACCAACAAAGGTCTACCAGTACGACGAGGTTCCGGAGAACAAGTCGTGGGCTTCAACATTGCCTGTGGCAAAGGGCCTTTACAACCCCGAATACGAGAAAGATGCATGTGGTGTTGGTTTTGCCTGTCACATCAAGGGAGATGTTTCCCACAAAATTGTGTCTGATGCCCGCTACCTTCTCTGCAATATGACCCACAGAGGTGCTGTGGGATCCGATGCGAGAGATGGTGACGGTGCTGGTGTCATGACTTCTATTCCACACAAATTCATGGTGAGGGAGTTTGCCTACCACTGCGATGCCAAGCTTCCAGGTCTCGGCCAATACGCTGTTGGTAATCTTTTCTTCAAAAACGACGATGCAGTTTTCCAGAAGTCCAAATCTACCTTTGAGAATATCGCCAAGTCGCTTGGCCTCAAGGTGCTGGGATGGAGACCAGTTGCGCACGACTCCTCCATTCTCGGTCCCGCTGCTCTTTCGCGCGAGCCGCTGATTTTGCAGCCAGTTGTTGTCTTGGAAGAGGCTCCTCTTGAGATTTCGGAGGCTGAATTCGAGACTAAGTACCAAAAGAAGTTCGAGAAGCAGTTGTTCATACTGAGAAAACAATCTACTCATACCATTGGTCTACACAACTGGTTTTACATCTGTTCCCTTTCTAACAAGAACATCGTCTACAAGGGACAGCTGGTTCCAGCCCAAGTCTACAACTACTACCACGATTTGGTGAACGCGGACTACGAGGCTCACTTTGCCCTGGTGCACTCCCGTTTTTCTACTAACACCTTCCCATCTTGGGACAGAGCCCAACCTTTGAGATGGGCTGCTCACAATGGTGAAATTAACACCTTGAGAGGTAACAAGAACTGGATGCGTGCTAGAGAAGGTGTCATGGCGTCTGCTTTGTTCGGCGATGAGTTGGACAAGCTGTATCCTATCATCGAAGAGGGTGGTTCCGATTCTGCTGCTCTCGACAACGTTCTTGAGTTGCTTGTCATCAACGGTGTTTTGTCCTTGCCAGAAGCTATCATGCTTTTGGTACCAGAAGCGTGGCAAAACAACGAACAAATGGACCCAAAAAAGAAAGCCTTCTACGAGTGGGCTGCATGTTTGATGGAGCCATGGGATGGTCCTGCTCTGTTTACTTTTGCCGATGGACGCTTTTGTGGTGCCAATCTTGACAGAAATGGTTTGAGACCATGTCGTTTCTACGTCACCGACGACAACCGTATGATCTGTGCTTCTGAAGTTGGTGTCATCCCAATTGAGCCAGAAAAGATTGTTCAAAAGGGAAGACTGCAGCCTGGTCGTATGCTTTTGGTAGACACCAAGGAAGGAAGAATTGTTGACGACCGTGAACTCAAGAAGAACGTTGCTTCTCGTTTCGACTTCAAGTCGTGGGTTCTTGCCAACATGATCACTATGCCAGACCTTTTTGCCAAGTTGGCTGCCAAGGGTCTTGACGAGGCTAAGCTGACCCCACAGGTCGACTCTAAGAGCATCACAGTACAAACAGACCCTCGTCTCAAGGCTTTCGGTTACACATTAGAGCAAATCACAATGCTTTTGGTTCCAATGGGATCTGACGGAAAAGAGGCTCTCGGCTCCATGGGTAATGATGGCCCACTGGCCTGTCTTGCTGAACAACCAAAACTTGTTTACGAGTATTTCCGCCAACTATTTGCCCAAGTCACAAACCCTCCAATTGACCCAATCAGAGAGGAGATCGTGATGTCACTCGAATGCTACATCGGTCCTCAGGGCAACCTGCTTGAGATGAAGGCAGACCAGTGTAACAGACTCTTAATGCCATCTCCTGTTTTGTCTAACCAGGAGTTCAACGCTTTGACTCACGTTAATGAGGTTTATCCAAAATGGTCTGTTGCCACTATCGACGTAACTTTTGCCAAATCTGAAGGTCTGGTTGGATACACCGATGCTCTTGAACGCATTTGCCAAGAGGCCACTCAGGCCATCGTTGATGACCACCAGGTGATCATTTTAACTGACCGTGCCACTGATGCTGACAATGTTCCGGTCTCTGTTTTGATTGCTTGTGGTGCCGTTCACCACCATTTAGTGCGCCAGAAGCAGCGTTCTAAGGTCGCACTTATTGTCGAAACCGCAGAAGCAAGGGAAGTACACCATCTTTGTGTCTTGCTAGGTTACGGTGCTGATGCCATCAATCCGTACTTGGCCCTTGACACTTTGGTTCGTATGAACGCCGAAGGCCTCATCCGTGAAGAGCTTTCAGACAAGCAAGTCATTGACAACTACAAGCACTCTGTCGATGGTGGAATTCTGAAGGTCATGTCTAAGATGGGTATTTCCACTTTGGCTTCTTACAAGGGAGCACAGATCTTTGAAGCTTTGGGTGTTGATAACTCTGTTGTTGACCGTTGTTTCGCTGGTACTGCCTCCAGAATCAAGGGTGTTACCTTTGAGTACATTGCTCAAGATGCATTTTCTCTCCACGAACGTGGATTCCCATCTCGTGACACAATCAAACCGGTTGGCCTTGCCGAGTCCGGTGAATATCACTGGAGAGATGGTGGAGAAGCTCATGTGAACGAGCCTTCAGCCATTGCGAACATTCAAGACGCTGTCCGTAACAAGAATGAGCGTGCATACGAAGCCTACTCTAAGAAGGAATATGATGCTATTAAGCACTGTACTCTCCGCGGACTGCTCGATTTTGAATTTGAAAGTTCCACTCCGGTTCCAATTGACCAGGTTGAGCCTTGGACCGAAATTGTTCGTCGTTTTGTGACTGGTGCTATGTCGTACGGTTCCATCTCGATGGAGGCTCATTCTACTTTAGCTGTTGCCATGAACAGACTTGGTGGAAAGTCCAACACCGGTGAAGGTGGTGAAGATCCAGAAAGGTCTTCCGTCAATGACCACGGCGATACTATGAGATCGGCTATTAAGCAGATTGCCTCCGGAAGATTCGGTGTTACTTCCTACTATCTTTCGGACGCCGATGAGCTTCAGATTAAGATGGCTCAAGGTGCTAAGCCAGGTGAGGGTGGTGAGCTTCCAGGCCACAAGGTTTCTGGTGCAATTGCCAAGACTCGTCATTCCACACCAGGTGTTGGTTTGATCTCCCCACCTCCTCATCACGATATCTACTCCATTGAAGATTTGAAGCAGCTGATTTACGACCTGAAGTGTTCTAACCCACGTGCTCGTATTTCCGTGAAGCTCGTGTCTGAGGTTGGTGTCGGTATCATCGCTTCTGGTGTCGCTAAAGCTAAAGCTGACCACATTCTCATTTCTGGTCATGATGGTGGAACCGGTGCTTCCCGTTGGACTGGTATCAAATATGCTGGTTTGCCTTGGGAATTGGGTCTTGCTGAAACCCACCAAACTCTGGTGCTAAACGATTTGCGTGGCAGAGTGGTGGTTCAGACCGATGGCCAACTCAGAACCGGTCGTGATGTTGCAATTGCATGTTTGTTGGGAGCTGAAGAATGGGGATTTGCAACCACTCCACTCATCGCAATGGGATGCATCATGATGAAGAAGTGTCACACTAATGCTTGTCCCGTTGGTGTTGCCACCCAAGACCCAGAACTTAGAAAGAAGTTTGAGGGTACTCCAGAACATGTCATTAACTTCTTTTACTACCTTGCTAATGAGTTGAGAGGAATCATGGCGAAACTTGGTTTCAGAACCATCGATGAGATGGTTGGCCGTGCCGAAAAGCTCAGAGTTAGAGAGGATTTGCGTACCACCAAAAATGCAAACATTGATTTGTCTCCAATTCTGACTCCAGCTCACACCATCCGTCCAGGTGTTGCTACTCGTTGTGTCAAGAAGCAGGACCACAGATTGCATGTCCGTCTTGACAACAAGCTGATCGACGAGGCCGAAGTGACTCTTGACAAGGGACTGCCAGTAACCATTGACGCCGAGATCATAAACACTGACAGAGCTTGTGGTACCACGCTGTCATATCGTATTTCCAAGAAGTTTGGTGAGGCTGGCTTGCCACATGACACTGTTCACGTGAACATCAAGGGTAATGCTGGTCAATCTTTTGGTGCTTACTTGGCTCCAGGTATCACTCTTGAATTGGAAGGTGACTCCAACGATTACGTTGGTAAGGGACTGTCTGGTGGTCGTCTGATTGTTTACCCACCAAAAGACTCCAAGTTTAAAGCCGAGGAGAATATCTTGATTGGTAATACTTGTTTGTACGGAGCCACTTCAGGAACTGCCTTTTTCCGTGGTATTGCGGCCGAGAGATTTGCTGTAAGAAACTCTGGTGCCACCGCTGTTGTTGAAGGAACCGGTGATCATGGTTGTGAGTACATGACTGGTGGACGTGTCGTTGTGCTGGGTTCGACTGGAAGAAACTTTGCTGCTGGTATGTCTGGTGGTATTGCATACGTTCTGGACATTGCCCAAGAGTTCTCCGACAAGGTGAACTCTGAGATGGTGGAACTTACTTCTGTGACTGACCCATCTGAGATTGCATTTTTGCGTGGTTTGATCGAAGACCATCGCCATTACACCAACTCCGAGATGGCTGACCGTATTCTGAACAACTTCAATCACTTCTTGCAAAGATTTGTTAAGGTTTTGCCATACGAATACAAACGCGTTTTGGCTGAAGAGGCCAAAGCCAAGGAGGACGCTAAAAAGAAGGAAGTGAACAACTACCTTTCTTCTATCAAGGAAGACCCCGAAGCCGACATAACCAATGGAGAAGTTCTGCGTAAGAAGGGCCATCACCACAAGGATGAGCCCAAGGTGCTGGATTTGGAAGACACTGTTCTGGACATCAAGGCCGAGGAAAAGAAGGCAGTCAAACTGGACAAAGTTCGTGGTTTCATGAAGTACAGTCGTCGCAATGAGAAGTACAGACCAGCCAAATCTAGAGCTAAGGACTGGGCTGAATTGTCCAGTCGTCTTTCGAAGGAGGACTTGAAATTCCAAACAGCCCGTTGCATGGACTGTGGTGTTCCTTTCTGTACTTCTGACACTGGATGTCCTATCTCAAACGTCATTCCAAAGTGGAATGAGCTTGTTTTTAAGGACAAATGGTTTGATGCTTTGCAGAGACTGTTGATGACCAACAACTTCCCCGAATTCACCTCGAAGATCTGTCCTGCTCCTTGTGAGGGTGCTTGTACTGTTAACTTGACTGGATTTGAGGCCGTTGGTATCAAGTCCGTTGAGGCCGGAATCATCGATTACGGTTTCCAGCAGGGCTGGATTGTCCCTCAAATCCCAAAGGTGAGAACTGGCAAGAAGGTCGCGGTTATTGGTTCCGGACCTGCAGGTCTTGCTGCTGCTGACCAGCTCAACAAGGCCGGCCACTCTGTCACCGTTTACGAGCGTTCTGATAGACCAGGTGGACTGCTAATGTACGGTATTCCAAACATGAAGCTGGACAAGAAGATTGTCAAGCGCAGAACGGATTTGATGGAACAGGAGGGCGTGTCGTTTGTCTGCAACACCACTATTGGTGAAGATGTGACTGTTGACGAGCTCAGATCTCAGAACGATGCCGTTGTTCTTGCTGTTGGATCGACTATTCCAAGAGACTTGAAGATCCCAGGAAGATCGCTCAAGAACATCAACTTTGCCATGACCTTGTTGAAGTCCAACACCCAGGCACTTTTGGATGACCACCTAGAGGACATCAGACAACAAATGGAGGGCAAGAACGTAGTAGTGATTGGAGGTGGTGACACTGGTAATGACTGTCTTGGAACAGCGACCAGACATGGAGCCAAATCTGTCACCAACTTCGAGCTATTGCCACATCCACCAGCAACTCGCGGAAAGGATAACCCATGGCCTCAATGGCCTAGAATTTTCCGTGTTGACTATGGCCATGCTGAGGTCAAGGAGCACTACGGCAAAGATCCTCGTGAATACTGTATTTTGTCGAAGGAGTTTGTGGGAGATGAAGAAGGCAACGTTAAGGGTATCAACGCTGTTCGTGTTGAATGGAAGAGATCTGACAGTGGTGCCTGGCAGATGGCTGAAGTTCCCGGTAGCGAGGAGTTCTTCCCCGCCGAGGTTGTGCTTCTTTCTATGGGTTTCGTCGGACCAGAAGCTGAGAATTTGTCCGAGAGAAACAAGCGTGGAAACATCAACACTTATGACCCTAACGGTTACAAGGTTGCGGAAGATGGCAACTTGTTTGCTGCTGGTGACTGCAGAAGAGGTCAATCTCTGGTTGTTTGGGGTATTCAAGAGGGCAGACAATGTGCTCGTGAAGTTGATACATATTTGATGGGAGGGTCTAGGTTGCCAGGTAATGGTTCCATTGAGAGAAGAGATTATAAGTTATTGGAGGAGTTGGCAGCTAAGGCTTAGGTGAAGCGAGGACTTGAACTGTTTTTATTACTTTCTATTATTTTTTGTCTATGTTAAACTGAGTGCGTACTTGTAAGGTGGCTACAGTGTAGCCACATGCTTCGAGGTACACCGCGTCACAGCGCAGTACCAAGACGAATGAAACAAACCGTCAACAGTACCGGGTAATTAAAATATACTATGAGCAGTAAGCGCGACCACAAATTCTACATGTAACCTTCATTAAAAGTGTATTAAAGTATAATAACAGACAAACATCAGGATCATTACAAGAAGAAAAAGCAGCCACCAATAGTGGCTATCAGATAACACAAAGAAAAGTCTAGCTGCAAAGCTTCCAGCTGTGCAGTTTCATCTGACTCTAGCGGCAAAAAGGATAAACATCGCACCTCATCTTTCAAGCTCTTAGTTGAAGATCTTCTTCAACTTTGACAGAAAGTTGCTCGATTTCTGCTCTGAAGAAGCAGTGGGGTCCACCACGTTTCCAGCACCACCTCTACCGGTACTCACAGGGGCATTGGCCTTGATGTTAGGAGGGTTCGAATAATCCCTAGACGCAATTGGTGATATATCTCCGCTCTTGACCATGTTTCCGAAACCACCACGTCCAGTAGAAAACACCGGCTGGAGCGAATTGGCACCAGTCTCGGGGTCTGGAGTCAGGGTTGGACTGGGGATCTCCTTAGAGCTCTTGAAGTTACCCGCACCACCACGTCCAGTAGAATATGTCACGTTACCCTCTTTGTCATGTTTGAAAGCTGAGCTTAACTTCGAAGAGTTGGAAAAACTGGGCTCGAGTTCAGATTTTTCATGAGCGTGTGTGAGGTTTCCGTGGCCTCCGCGGCCGGTGGAGTAGACTGGAGAAAGATCTGACATTGTAGCGAAGATATTGAAATGGTTTGACTTGTAATTGAACTTGGTCAAAAAAGGCTGATGGTTGGCTCAAAAATAGCAAAATATCCTGACTAGCACAAAGAAAACAAAAAGAAAAAATGTTCAAGCTTCTTTCTTGTATTTATACCGAAGGGGGCAAAAAGGAGATGAGATGATGTAGGAAAAAAATGACTTCTTTTTTTCAACTAGGCGCCAAGTTTTTGACACTTTTCCGCCGAGGCACACTAACCGCTGGAAAGTGGGCGAGTTAAAGACTATGAAGCTTTTGTTTATTACTACTTAATTTGTTAATTTATACATATTTCACCTGGTACCAGCCTCTTCGATTTCTACTATCCTACGGGTGTCAGCAGTGGCTGCTTCATACACTAGGTCGTGTTCTGACTAATTCTGCCCCGCCGTTTCTTTTTCTTCTCCACAACAATTTCTTCGTTATTTCTTTTTATAACCGCCGCGTTTTGGAAAATCACCGAAGTTCTGGGCGGCTATTTTTTGGTGTTTTTTTTCGTGAGAATACTGATCAACATCTCCAGGTATTCAGACAGAAATGTTCCTTTTGAAGTAATTTTCAGCTGCTCTTTGTAAGTGTTTGCTTTCACCTCGGGATCTTCGACGGCTTCCAGCGCCGCGTTCCTGACGCACCCGTGCACGTCAACATCGGCATCGATGACCTTGTTTTCTACAAAAATTTCACACCGCACGCCCTGTGGGGTTTCCATGGCAAGTGGAAAAAAACCATAGTTCAGGCCGAACCGGTTTAGATTGTACGGCGGCGTGTCGTACTGGATCGAGAGTTCGACGAGACCGGTGTGGCCGGTCAAACTGCCGGGTTTGGGTTTAAGGAGCACATCACCCGAGATCCGGTCAACATCGAACACACAGTTGGGGTTGTTTGCATGGTTAACAAAGTCAAGGATGGGCACCAGCGAAACGTCGACCAAGTAATCGTCTGAGTTTTCGTCTACCTCTACCGGTATCTCAAGACTACGCGACCTCACAATGGCCACTGCCAACTGGAGATCGTGTAATGTTGTCTCAAATCCTTCCGAAATAAGAAATTCGCTTAGTTCGTGTACTTCTGGGCTGAACAGCGATTCGCAAGCGGCTCCGAACACCACATCTTTCGCCAACACAGACTCATAACACGCCATTAGTTCATCTGTCTCACAGGAAATGAGTCCAACGTAATTCACGTCTTCTAGTAGTACCCTTATGTACTCTTGTTGGAAATCCAACTCGTTCTTGCGGTAAAGAATTATCAACACGGCTGTGAGAGCAATCAGAGTCTGGCCCTCAGACCTTTGGCCGAAGGCACTAACACAACGCTGTATCAATGGCTCGAGCTGTGGGTTTGAACGAATAACGCGAAGCAATTCGGGAAGAATTGTGTCGGCCGTGATGGTTGAAGCCTTCGGCACACGGAGATACCATTCGGGCTCTGTTTTTGAGGCATCGTAAAACATTCCCCATCCTCCCAGAGGTGATTGTCTGATGTGAGTTCCAACGTTGAGAACTGCCCCCGAACTTGCGACTAAATTTTGAAACATCATGGTGACGACGTCATGACACCAGTTGAGCCCACGTCGGATTATGGCAAGTTGGAATACCTGGTTTATCGTGCATGGACTAAACCAAAATGAGCTGGTTTGCCGCACTAAGCAATTAAACATTTACTGAAAACTCTGTAAGCCATCCAAAAATAGGGTAATAATAGCTTCTATATTTTGAAAAGGTGGCAATCAAAGAACTGCGCGTTTTGAATTACTGTTTCTGAGAGTTTGGCAGGCTGACGTATGGCCAACGATTTCTCACAAGTTACCGCTCTAATCATTGCATTCACTGGCAGGGCTCTCGAAATAGGAAACGCGAGAGAACAAAAATTCCAGAGGCGGTGGATGGGCATGATTGAGATGTTTCAGCAAGATGAACTATACTCTGATTCAAATCAAATCAAACATGAAGTCTATGATATTTTAGGTACGCATATAAAAATCTCAATGCTCACTTCTTTAACCCCGGTATTACCCTAAATCCGACCGATATTTGCCGACTAGGAAGTAAATCCGCAAGCCATTCCCGTCGCCACAGTTAGTACTTATAATGCTTTTTATTTACCCAGGGGCTTTGCTGGGAAACTCGTCCGGACCGGCAATTTACCAGAAGACTTTCCTTGCATCTCGGCCGTAAGTGCTGTTGACAAGTAGTGGAATGTCTGTTAAGCCTCCACTCCGATGCGGCTGAAATTTAAGGAGAAGCAGAGGTTTTGCTGTCTCCAATAAATTTTACGAAAACTTGAAATTGGAAATCATTATATGAATGCTGTCACGATGAAATATATTATTCCAGCTTTTTCCGCGTTTTTCAGCATCTTTCACCGTTAAAAACCAAGCAAATATGACTCTTTTCGGTTTTCGCCTTTCGCTTTAAACCAACGGAGATAAGTGGACTTCGGCGTTATCTTTTCATGCACGGTGTGTGTATGAATATATATATATATATATGTAAGCACTCAGCTTCCCATACACCGAACTAAAAGACCGCCAACCTATATCAACAACCATGTCTGAAATCAGTGTTCATAGTGAGGTTAAAGAATTGTCCACAGACGCAGAGGCTTCTGCTGCTGCTCAGCAAAAACTTTTTGAAGAGAGTAATGCAGGTGATGGTACTCACCGTGAAGACCATTACTTACATGGTGTCCAACTCTGGCTGGGCATTCTGGGATTGTTCCTCTGTATGTTTTTGGTGGCTCTCGATCAGACCATCGTTGCAACCATTTTGCAAGTGGTAGGAAACAAATTCAATGCCGAGGGCAAAGTTGCATGGATCGCTACAGCCTTTTCGTTTGCGATGGCCGTATTCATACAAATTTGGGGAAATATCTCGATTGCAGTTGGTAGAAAGAATTGTCTGTTCCTAGGGATTGCATTTTTTGAGCTCGGTTCTCTCTTGTGTGCTGTTTCAAATTCCATGAACATGTTAATTGGAGGAAGGATAATAGCGGGTTTTGGTGGTGGTGGTATTCAGTCCTTAGTGATGGTGATCATCACCGAGATTGTTCCCATTGAGAAAAGACCTATTGCTATGTCTGGATTTGGAGTCACTTTCGCGCTAGCTTCGGTTTTGGGTCCGCTAGTGGGAGGAGCCTTTACCACGAATGTTTCCTGGAGATGGTGTTTTTACATCAATTTGCCTATTGGTGCTGTTGCTGCCACGGTAGTTTTCTTTGTGTTTCACCCTCCTAAACCAAAAGGCAATATGCTTCCAAAACTGAAAGTTATTGATTGGTTTGGATTGTTTCTCATGATTTCTGGACTCACATTGCTTTTGCTTGCAATAACATTTGGAGGAAACGAATTTCCATGGAAGTCAGCTGCTGTGATTTTGTGTTTCGTTCTTGGAGGATTGCTCATTGGTGCTTTTTGTTTATGGAACTTTAGATTCTCCAAACACCCTCTTATTCCTGCAGAGATTGTCAAGGTTGGTACCATTGATATTGCCTGTGTGGGAATGTTCTTTGTGTTTGGCTACTTCATGTCGGTCATTCTCTACCTCGCTTTGTATTTCCAGGTTGTCAAGGGATACAACGCTTTGAATTCCGGTGTTTCTCTTCTTCCCACAATTTTGCCCGTTGTGATCTGTTCTATAGCGACAGGTATCTCGACCACGAAAGTCAGATACATTAAACCATTCACGGTTTTTGGTGGGATTCTTGGGCCTTTGGGTAGTGGATTGGTATGCCTTTTGAGCATTCACTCGGGAATATCTCAGCGTATTGGTTGTCAAATAGTGCTAGGTGTGGCAACAGGCGTTATGATGCAACCTTTCATACTGCATGTCCAATTGGCTGCGCCCAAGACCCCGGGATCCTCCATTATTGCCACTACCATGTTCAACTTTTCCAGGAATCTCGGTTCGGCTATCTGTACGGATTTGGCGCAGCTTGTTTACACATCCACCCTTTCTGCTAAGATGGCAGCTCTCAAGGGGACCCCCGCGTACTACAGTGCAGGTCTGGACAAGTACGATCTCCATGATTTTATCAACGACACCACGCAGATAAAGAAGCTGTCAGAGCCAGCTAAGGACATTGTACTGAACGTATTCATGATTGCTTTCAAGAATATATTCTATATGTGCATTGGCTTTGCGTCGATTGCTCTTGTCTGCACGCTCCTCATGCCCAATGACGTACTCCCCAAAAGAAGCCAGGGAGTAGAGGAGGAAAAGTCAAATGAGACCGAAGAGAGAAAGCATGAAGACTACCCAATTGAAGAGGCGCCAAAGGCTGAGACTGAGGCCGAGGCCAAGTCTACCACTTAAGGGGCCTGGAGTAAGTGTACATATGCGAGTAGCATTAGCTAAGGTAACTGTGGACTCGGGATGATGAAGCAGGCAAGTAACTAGTGATACATAGAAGTTGATGAATTTCACATAACCAAGTTGTTCACTTCAGTAATACCAATTGCAACAGTACTGCATCTGTGGAAATAGCATGAGAAGACTATGCATATCATTATCATCATGAGCTTTTGCTTGAAACGAAGACCCACTAAACATGCATTTGATCGGAATATTCAATCAACCATGCGAGCCACCAGCACCGATGCAATAAAGCTCATACCAAACAATTGTATCCTGCCGTCTTCTTGTCATTATATATATATAATAGTCCGAGTAGTGTCGTGTATAAGAATATCTGCTTGCGTATGCACGTCTTCCGGTAATATTCCGAGCCATCGCATGTCGGATTTAATACCGCATAATATGCATTTTGGGCCTGAAAGCGCCAGTAAGGTCCTGTTCTCACGATTCCCCATACCTAGAGACACCATAAAGTCGACCTCCAGCCATGATTACAAGCCCATTAAATTGTCAATCGCGACTACATGATATTACTATTGTTGCCATATATTTCCCAGTTTTTTTCCTTTCTTTTTTCGGTAGTCAAAGTAACGCCGGATTTGATTTCCAACCCTAGCGTTACACGACCGGAGTTAAGACCCAAGAGCTTAATGCATGGCTAGTGGCACAAACTCTTTGGTGCATAAATAGTGGTCCGGTCCTTCCTGAAGGACAACCTCAGTATCTGGAGCTGGGATCAATTCAAAACATGTCCGACATCAGTGCTGATGGCGACGTCAAGGATAAGGCAGCAGACCCAGAAGTGGTTGCTGAACCAAAGCTCTTCGAAGAGAGTAATGCAGGTGATGGTACCCACCGTGAAGAGCATTACTTGCATGGTGCGCGGCTGATGCTATGTCTGTTTTCACTCTATATTTGCACTTTTTTGATCGCACTCGACCAAACAATCGTGATAACTATCATGCAAAATGTTGGAAATCACTTTAATGCCTTGAACAAAGTTGCGTGGATCACTACGGCGTTCTCGTTCTCGATGGCCGTGTTTATGCAAATCTGGGGAAGCGTCTCCATTGCCATTGGCAGAAAGGTCAGTCTTTTTCTAGCAGTTGGACTTTTCGAGCTTGGGTCACTTTTGTGTGGAGTATCAAATACTATCAACATGTTGATTGGAGGACGAGTTATCGCCGGTTTTGGTGGTGGTGGTATTCAATCACTGGTGATGGTGATCATCGCAGAGGTGGTTCCCATAGAAAGAAGACCAATAGCGATGGCTGGACTGGGTGTAACTTTTGGGCTGGCAATGGTGTTGGGTCCTTTAATCGGAGGAGCATTTACCACAAATGCAACTTGGAGATGGTGTTTCTATATCAATCTACCTATCGGTGGCCTTGCCGCTGCGGTTGTGTTCTTTGTGTTTCACCCTCCCAAACCGAAAGGCAAGATTCTTCCAAAGCTGCTAGCTATAGATTGGTTTGGATTGTTTCTTATGGTTGTTGGATTCACATTATTTTTGCTTGCACTATCTTTTGGAGGAAACGAATTTCCCTGGAGATCTGCTGCGGTGATTTTGTGTTTCGTACTCGGAGGTCTGTTCATAGGACTCTTCTCCCTCTGGAACTTCAAGTACTCCAAAAACCCTCTTATTCCTGCAGAAATTGTTAGGGTTCGTGCCATTGACTTGGCATGCCTAGGATTGTTTGCTGTTTTTGCCTACTTTATGGCGCTGGTGATCTACGCGGCATTGTACTTCCAAACTCTCAGAGGTTACAGTGCACTTATTGCTGGGGTTTCTTTACTCCCCACCATTATACCCATGGTGATATTTTCCATAGGAACAGGTATATCCACAGCAAAGTTCAGATACATTAAACCCTTCACTGTTTTTGGTGGGGCTCTTGGGCCTTTGGGTTGCGGTCTGTGGTGTTTGCTGGGAGTCCATTCGGGACTATCTCTTCGTATTGGATGTCAGATCATCTTTGGTATAGCAGTGGGAACCATGATGCAGCCATTTATTATCCATGTTCAGATGGCGGCTCCAAAGACGGCAGGTTCCACTATCATTGCCAGCACTCTTATGAACTTTGCCAGAAACCTGGGTGCGGCAGTTGGTTCGGACCTGGCACAGCTGGTGTACACTTCAACACTTTCGTCGAAAATCCGCGATCTTGAGGGAAGTGCTGAATACCTCAGTTTGGGTCTAGATAGTTACCCGCTGAGCCAGCTGACTGGAGACACTTCAAAAATACACACACTTCCCGAGCCTCTCAAGGAAATGGTCCTTCAAGTATTCATGGCGGCTTTTAAGAATGTGTTCTACTTATCGATCGGTTTCGCTGCGATCGCCTTCTTCTGTGCCTTGTGTATGCCAAACGTGAGACTTCCCAAGAAGAGCAAGGGAATTGACGACTCAGAGACGGAAAAAGATACAAAGGAGAAATGTGATACGGCGGCAAGTGAGACTAGTGAGAGAGATGATGGAGATGGTGGAGATGGTGGAGATGGTCAAAGACATGAAGCCGACTGATTATTGATGATTTATGGCTGTTACAAAAGGTAAAAAAAAACTAATTAAATATGTAAAATAAGAACATGTTTTGTCGATTCAATGTAGCTAAGTCGTATTATTTTCACCTTTGGAAGATTGAAGGAGTTACTAGCCTGTTAACATACTGACGGTTAATGGTAATCTTACAGGTATAAGCAGCGATTCAAAATTCCTACTAAGAATCACTGCCAATTACAGACTATATTCCACAAGAATTGGTTTATTAGCACTTCTCATCATTTAATAATGATTACTAACAATTTTCAAGAGCATTAGGTTTGATCTATACTGAATACCTTCAAACCCGGCCTTTAGTTTCCGATGAATAAACCTAGCCAATGCCCTTTTTTGTCCAATTTTTTTTAAATTCATGTCTTTAATCAAACCTGAATAATGCTCATGAATATTTGGGAAACGCAAGAGAAACGCTTGGAGAAAGCTTCAAATTTCACACATCGGACCCTTATCAAACCATTATCGCTACGCATTGTCTACATCATTCCTATATCTCAAATGATTTCCTCATCTATACAGTCTAAGCAGTTGGCTTGACTCCGTACCCGTTCACATTTCTAAACATTTTCATCTCATCGCCATCGACAAACTGACAAGTACGGGCGCTCTTCCAGAGAGAAACCCACATGTTCTCGTCAGAGTGCTTGTAGCTATCGCCCAAAACTGGCTTTATGGCCTCAGAAGCAGGTCTGGCGTTATAAAAGGGAATACGCGACACGAAATGGTGGAGAACATGGGTCTCGATAATGTCGTGCAGGAAAAACGTTCCGACAAAGCCAAACTCACGGTCGATGGTGCAAGCAGCACCACGGGAAAAGCTCCAGGCAGAAGCCTCGTAGTGGGGCAAGACTGGGTCAGTGTGTTGCAAAAAGGTGATGAACACGAGCCAGTGGTTGCAGAAGACATATGGCAAAAACCAATTGATGAACAGGTTGAAGCCTCCAAAGGTTTGATACCAGAAGTAGGTCACGGTGAGCATCGAGAGAATACCAACATCCGACAGAACCACGTACCAGTACTCCTTTGACTCGAAAATTGGCGCAGAAGGCTTAAAATGGTTCACGTTGAAAGTGGTCTGGCCCTCGAACTTCTGGCCAGTCACGTTCGTGAAAAGGTGGGCCCACCAGCCTCCAAACTGCTGAAGAATGAGATGGTAAAGAGCATATGCAGGAGTGTCGGAAACCACATCGTTCAAGCTGGTGGCTCCGTGCATGTTGATAAATTCCTGCTTGGTACGGGGCAAAAATACCGTGTCCTTGGCGAGGTTTCCAGTAGCTTTGTGATGTCTTCCGTGGGTGAATTTCCAGGAGAAAAATGGCACCATGAGGTACGAATGAAGAACCCATCCGACAGAGTCATTGACCCAGCCGTAATCACTGAAGGCCTGGTGACCACACTCATGTGCCAAAACCCACAGACCAGTGTAAGGAAGCGACAAAGTAATCGCATATGCTGTCCAACCGATTCCACGTAGATAGACATTGCTTATCAGAGGAATGAAGGTGTTGGCAACATACATCATGGAGGCCACCACAGCAATATCTCTAAATACATAGTAGAATGAAGTTGTCAAACGCCTTTGGAAACATTCCTTTGGAATGGCCTTGAGAACATCATTGATACCGTACGTGGGGGCCTTGTACTCGTTACCGTAAGTATCGATCGCGGAGAGCGAGTCCTTAAACGAGGCAACGTTGCCTGATCTCTTGGTCACCTTCTGCTCTGGAGCAGTCCCTGTTCTTGTGGTAGACATTTTACAAGACTCGAGTGAAATACTTATTGAGAGCCGACGGGGTCAAGTTTCACACGAAAGCGAAAGAAAAAAGAGAAGCCAAGGAGATCTGAAGATGTGGAAATTCTTGGGTGGACCGATCTCAAAAAATTTCAGACCTAGCACGCTGCACACCCTGCTTTCCAACTCTGTAAATGTTTCTTTTTGCTGGGTGAATTTCCCGCTCCGAGAAAAAAAATTAGACACAGCGCTTAGTCTATCTAGTTAACTGTTAGGATTAGATTTATTTATTACTTTAGTAACAAGTTACGAGTTCGTGCGTTCCTGGTGAATACTCATTAATACTGCTGGGCCGCTGCAAGATACAGTACCCTAGATCTGTAAGCGGACCCCCAAAGGAAAAGGTGCGATTGGCAGCTGGAACGCCAGAACTGGGCTATTATACTGGGTACTTCGTAATCCCATATTAATGTATGCCGTATGGCTGGAGGCACACCCGAAGTGGCCAATAAAATGGCCAATACCGGGTCGCGCCAAGCAGGGTGTGTTTTGTGTTGGCAGTATCTAGAACCCAACAGGGGATGAGCAGGGCCTTTTGGGCGGCTCCGGGGTTCAAAGTGTGTGAATCATAGGCACCCCCGATTAGCTCGAGGGTCTGGACCGTCTAGAGGCCACATAAGCAAAGGTGCTCTTCTGTACATGAAACCACAGGTAGCCAAAACAACCAGCACCTCAACTAGACGATTCTACCGGGTTTCGTTGCGTTTTGTCTGGCGCGTCATCCCCAAACAGTGATGCCTGGCGGCCCAACAACCTGCGATGGGCCCTGCAAGTTTACAGGGTTGGCTTATATAAGCTGATATATACCGCATTGATTATATAATCACAGTGGCTTATGTAATCATGGGAGCTTATGTAAGTGCGAGGTTGGACCGCACCGGTCCCACTTTCCTGGCGTGTCCTGCTCAGCACTTTCTGGAATTTTCTAGCTCCCTCCAAAAGCAGGACCCTTCATGTTCCGACACTACCTTCGACTAATGATATAGATTAAGTCTACATGCCTCTAGTTTAACCTTCTCCAGACCAACTGGTTTTCAAGTTTTTTCTTCATGTTTGGTGCCTGTATAAGCGGATATCCAGTGGCAGTGGCTACGGAGGTTGAGCCCCTTAAATATACGATTCAATTCTCCGGGATCAGGCGAAACGTGTCTCATTTCTGTCTGTTCCTCTTGCCTGGAGTACCATTTGACCCTGGCTACACAGCTCTGGTATACTATCAGATCTCAAGCAAAGTCGAGGATCTTTCACGACCAAATGAATTCACGCTGTTTGGAGGTTTAATGGCGAGTAAGCCCAGTGCTATCTTCAAGATGAGCAATCCGTATGCTTCATCTGGAGCAACAGATGCCGATATGGGAATGGATATGGATTTTGGTGACGATGCCAATTCTGTGGATATCACGATTGGAATCTCGATTGAGCCAAACGCTCAGGCTGCATTGGCGCTATCAAAAGTTTCAAAACCTCAATCCAGTGCTCTGGTGCCGAAGTCTGGCTCCAACATCACATCCCCACATGAGCTGATGGTGAGCACAGCCAACAAAATAATCGGAAAGGCTTACAACTATCTCAGCGGTTTTGCTGATAATAACAACAAGGTTGATATCTCGAAGTTCAATGAGTGGTGGACGAGGTTTATTTCGAAGTACGAGAGTGATCCTAACTACTTGTCCCGGGATGGATAGGAGGAAAGCAAGAGATACAGAAGCCTTTTTTCCTTATGTATATACACTAATGTCATGACACTATTTACACGCTAGTCGTAATCTATCTGCAACTTCTTTTGGCCCAAAATACTCGAACAGACTGGGCAGTTTGATTCCATGGGTCTTGCCTGAGAGGCCCATTCGAATGGCCTTGAACACCTTTTGACGAGAATATGATGAAGAAACGATCTCCATGGCGTTCTCCAAATTTTCCTCGGGATATTTCTTCAAGAAGGCTTGGACTATCTCAATTTGCTCTTGCGAAAGGGACGTGCTGATTGACCCAAACAGGTAATCATGTTCCTGGAAAAGGTCCTCAAGTTTGGTGAGATACGAGCCAGTCAACTTCAAAATTCTGTGAGCTTCTTCGAGACTAGTGGAAGTCCTTTCGGCTATTTGTTTGACCGTTTCTTCGACGAACTGTGGATCCTTCAGTTTCAACTCCAAATAGTGCTTGTTGAAATGGTTCAATTTGCCGAAATCTACCTTGGCATTGCCCTTGGTGAGTCCATCAAGACTAAATAGTTGTTCTAGCTGGCTGAGAGAGTAAACCTCTTTAGTCTGCTCGTTAGGGGTCCGTTTGGGAGACCATCCATACAGTGCACTGAAGTTGATCAGGGACTCACGGACGTAGCCCTGGGCGCGCAATTTCGCCACGTCGATGTCACCGGACCTTTTACTAAGCTTTTTGTCTTTCGAAGAGGTCAAAAGGGGAATGTGGACGAAATGAGGCGCTTCCCAGCCAAATGCATCGTAGAGAGCCAAGTGCTTTGGCGTAGACGGCAACCATTCCTCGCCGCGAATGACGTGTGTAATTCCCATCAGGTGATCATCCACAACGTTAGCAAAGTGGTAAGTAGGCAATCCGTCGGATTTCATCAGCACAAAGTCGTCGTACCGCACATCTCCTGCGTTGATCTGGGGTTGCAGATCCAGTCTTCCGTGGAGCAAATCTGTAAATTTGGGGTATTTTGCCGGCGATTTAAAACGAACAGTGAAATCTGAATTATGTGTGTGTTGAGATCCAATTTCGGGTTCATTAGAGGAGCAATGACGGTCATAAGACACCGTGGTTGGTGGCTTCAACAGTCGTGCACTTTCACGGAGTCCATCTAGTCTTTCTTTGGAGCAATAGCATCTATAAGCCAGTCCTTTTTCCAAAAGAATCTGGATGTATTTCTCATATATAGCTCCTCTTTCGCTCTGTCTGTATGGCCCAAATTCCCCGCCAACAACAGGACCTTCGTCGTGGTCTAGTCCTAGCCAATGAAGGTCCCTGTAGATCCGTTCTTCAGCATCCGGAACAAGCCTTTTCTGGTCAGTATCTTCCAAACGTAACAGGAATGATCCTCCGGTGGATCTGGCCAACAAATAGTTGTAAAGCGCGGTTCGTAGCGATCCCAGATGCAAGTACCCGGTGGGAGAGGGCGCGAACCTCGTCCTGACCGGTGAAGACGGTTGGACCGCCTTGGCGACGGATTTCGCCAGCGAAAACGTCCCGTAGTGTCGTATCCGCCAGACCATGAACTAACTCTAAAAAACAACCGAGTTTACTGGTTTTTTTCAGCAAAAGAACGTGCTCTTCGTCTCGTCTACCCCAAAGAGAAAAGTTCCAGCCTGAGCCGTTCCCGCCCGATTTTTCAGCACCGGTACACGACCGCGGAGAGGAGCGTGAAAAATTTGGGGCCCTTTGATCCCGTCGGAATGCTCCTTTCTCCCTCTTTTCCTCGTCTTTTTCTCGTTTACTCGATCAAAATTTCTCGGTTTGGCGCCAAATCCGATTTTGAATTTCCATCCAGGCTCAAGTTTGTGTGCTTTCGCTAAAACAAGTGTTTTTTGCACCGATTCATAGTCTCATTCTGCATTCACAGTCGCTCTTCATCATAGATCATCTCCAATGTCATTCGTCAAAGAAACTCGCAAACGGCTGGATCTGCACCGTTCTTTCGACGTCGAGGATGACTTTGAGTTTTGTCCCGTTAACGATGAGAATCTAAAGATGTACTATTATTCGAAACAACAGCAACAGCACCATCAGCATCACGCCCAACAGCATCAACAGCATGATCCCGTACAACTGTACAAAATCCTGGCCAATGCCTCTGCAAACTCCAACAACGCCTCCACTTTGTCACCCAACAGATCACCACAGTACTCGGATGTGAATCTCAAGAGGACTCCTTGGTTGCAACAGCAACAGAATGGATCACCATTGAATTCGAGAGACTCATACCTTTCGCCCTCTCCAAAGACCAATGGAATCAACTACCTTAGCTCCACCCCCGGCTCCGCCAGTTCGGCCAAACAGATTACTCCAATGCAGTTCAAATACTCGCAGCCCCAGCAGTACCCGGTCGTCAATTCGCTACAGGCCAAGTTGAACATGGCCTCGAGGAGGTGAATGATGATGGGTCGAGGGAGTTTTTGTGAGCTTACAGTGACTTTTCAATGAGCCTTTGAAGAGGCCTCTGAAAGGATTGCACCAGGACTTCACAAGTTTTCATCCTCTATGAGGTTTTTCCCAATGCTCCTTGCTCTCAGCTTCATGAGTTATGTGTGTTATCAAAGAAAGTTCTGGCAACTACTCAAGCTCTGTGAGCTTTCCATCAGCTGATTTTGGCGATATCTCACGCTCTCACTACATTACTCCCCAGATCATTCCGTTTTGCATTTACCATCGTCTACATGTTTTTCCCGTTTTCCGCCCAGACGCACTCATTAATCGCATATACCAAAAAATGCCTATCAACACGAACATTCTCTAATAAACATTATTTCCCAATTCTATCGCCTTTTCTCTCATTTCAAAACCGTCAGTAACAATAGAAGTATCACTATCAACACAAATATCGTAGTCCACTCGCCGTTCTCTTTGAGTCGCTCCGAAAACCGGTCCAATCGCGTCTTTGCGCGCCGCAGATTGCGGTCGGAGTGGTCCACCATCATCTCCAGGTCCTCCAGAATCACCATGTGATCGTTCAGCTCCGTCCCGATCGTTCCGCCCATCTGGTTCTGTCTGCTGATGGAGCTCGCGAGTTGAGAAAGTATCTCGTCCTGCGCAAACATCTCCTGCTGGTTGTCTATGAAGATCTGTTGGTTTGACAGTGATCTGGGACCTTCTTCTTCAACTGTGGAAGCAGGCTTCGCCAGTGGATTATCCCGATAAGGCCCAGGAGTGCTGGCATTTAAACTCACACTAGGCGGCTCAATCAAATTGTCCTTGAACCTGACCGATTTCGCCCGTTTTAACTGCGGCACCTCTTCCGATACCGTTTTCACAGGTATTTCTTTCTTGAATGTCGGCACAAACGAGTATGTGGCTAAGAGCGGATCAAATGACTTTAGCCCATCAACCAGCTTTGTATACCTTTCCAGAGACGCATCGAATCTGTTCACCGTGTTGGTATCCCTATGATCATTCAGTTGAAGATCAAGACTCTTCAGCGAGTTGAAGGCCTTGATCACAGTATCACGAACATCATCCAGCCCTGATTCCGATCCTATTTGGATATCGTCCGGTCCAGAAAGCCTCCGTAGTCTGGTGAGCTCGTCCAGACGGTCTGAAAGCTCGCTCAGCAAGTTACTCAGTCTGTTGAAGGAAAGATCCAGCGACATGCGTGTAATATGCTGGAATGCTCAAAAACTGCAGATGCGAGTCTTTCAAATTTATACGAATGGCTTTGTCCGTGTATTGGTAGCTCTGGTAAAGGTCTTGTTACCGTTTGCCTTTGCCTGCCATCTCTCGGGCTGCCAAAAGGAGGGGCCGATTTTGAGCCCCTGCACTACGAACTGAGCTAGATATAGAAGCAGTTCCAGCAGAATGATTGGCTCAATGTTACCACAATAACTTTCGACAAATCTGTAAATGGAGTTCATACTATGGTTCAGTTGTGTAGAGATGAAAAATGTGGTTTTTGGGGGGTTTGAACCATCTCTATAGCCCGATAATTGGGTTTGTTCTGCGATCCAACGTTCCTTCTGTGTCCCACCAGGTGGCTGTGTTGTGATAGCCTCGGGGTTCAAAGATTTGAGTTGTAATCTGTTCACATACCGAAATCGTGGCTTTATTTATAGAGATTAAACTACAGCAATCTATGTGAACACATAAATATATATATTTCTAATTTTTGCGGACCAATCATAGATGTTTTTCAGTTTCTCTGCCAAATTCCCGAACTAGTCGACGTGTCCCGACCCAAAAACAGGATCCGCCCCTGGAGCCTTCAAAGATGGTGAGCCTTTCTACGGTGGCCACAACGTGTGCTTTTTGTGAATAAACAAACCATTTGTGTTCATCGCATAGAAGAACTAAAGAAGTCGTGTTCTTTAGACGGTTTGCCTGATTTTCCTTGGAGATTTGAATTGAGGCCGCAACGTGGAATAGCACTCGGACGAACGCCCTTACTAAACACACGTTGATTCTGAAGCTCTAAGACGCCAACCACTACCAAGATTTAATATCTTCGAGACTCCCGGATCATTCCCTCGCCTAGTCATTTTACTCCTCACACTTCTGCATCACAATGGGTAACATCTTCAGCGGAATCTTTGGGAGGTTATGGGGCATAAATAAGGAAATCAGAATACTGATTCTGGGTCTGGACGGTGCAGGTAAGACGACAATACTCTACAAGCTCCAAATGGGAGAGGTTGTGAAGACAAAACCAACCATTGGCTTCAACGTGGAAACTCTGACATACAAAAATATTTCGATAAACATGTGGGATTTGGGTGGACAGACCTCCATCAGACCGTACTGGCGCTGCTACTATGCTAACACCGCCGCGGTAATTTTCGTCGTTGACTCCACAGATAAAGAGAGAATGGATATCGCCCAGAAGGAACTGCATATGATGCTCAAGGAGGAGGAGCTACTGGATAGTGCACTTCTGGTGTTTGCTAACAAGCAGGACCAGATGGGTGCTCTGAGCGCAGCTGAGGTGTCAAAATCGTTGAACCTCGTGGATTTGAAGGATAGGAGTTGGAGCATCGTCGCTAGTAGTGCGGTCAAGGGCGAAGGTCTTACGGAAGGTCTAGACTGGCTGATTGATGTGATCAAGGAGGAGCAGTTGTGAAAGGAAAAAGCTGTGAAAATCGTTCTATTAGTCCCACAATAGACTCCTAATCGCCTTTCTAATTCCAGCTGGCTCCCTTCTGGCAAGAAAAAGCTCCCAAAAACATCGACAAAGCTCACAAAGGATACGAAAGTCCTCCTCGCGGAGGGTTCGTTCAATTCAAACAATGGCATCCTGATCTGCAAACGATGTCTAGACTCAATGGTGATTCTTAAATCTAAAGATAATGTCTGTATTCCTTATTTGGGCTGTCTCGTATTAGTATATTGGGTCAATGATGGCCAATCTTAGCAGAATGGGAGCCTTTGGCCTTATCGCGGGGTAGTGTACTAGCTCAAATTGGCGAGGCTTCAATCTCTCTTGTCATTATCAGAATAGCAACTGTCATTTCTAACTTCTCACCTCTGACTTCAACCGAAATGATACGAAGAATTGGGCTGTCGGGTCCCGTTGGAGTCATTAGTCAAGTCTCCAGACAGATTTCCGGCCCGAAATTTCCTAGGTTCGGGGCTTCAGTGCCTATTAGATTGAATTCCACCGGAGCTAGGCAACGGGTTAGACCGAAGCTCTTATCACCAATTGCGATAGCTGTCGGTTCCTCGGTGGTAGTATCGTCGTTATTTTTCTCTGACCTGGTGTTTAATGATGCTCCCAAACTGCATAGTGGATCTTTCAAGCGCGGAGATCTCCTCACCAACAAACACGAACTGGTCCCGGATGAGGAGGGAGATACGTTTGAGTCAGGACTATATATATCGTCTCAGAAGGAAATAGACGAGCAAGAGAGGCTGGCGAGAGAACATGATACTCAGATCTCGCGCTGGAGGCTTTTCCATCGAGTCAGATACTTTTTCTTGGACAAACTGTGGGATCCGTTTGTCACGGTGTGTCGGTTCATGGAATTGACCTTCATCTTCCTTCCCGTGGTATTGCTCTTTCCAATCACTTTCTTTGGCCACAAGAATAATTCCAGAGGTGATGTAAGGGCGGGTAATATACTCTGGTACAAATACATTCGTCTGGCTGCCGAACTTGGAGGTGCTAGTTTCATCAAGCTTGGTCAGTGGGCAGCTTCCAGAACTGATATCTTCCCGGATGAACTGTGCAACGAGCTCAGCTCTCTGCACTCAAATGCAACCCCTCACTCTTTCAAACAAACGAAGCGTATCATCTGTGAAACTTTCAACGGAATGGCATTCGAGGATATCTTTGAAGAGTTCCAAGAGCACCCTGTAGGATGTGGTGCAATTGCACAGGTTTACTATGGTAAACTCAAGCCTGAGCTTTTAAGGAACTACGACGTGACCTCTTCATCAAAATCCGATGGAAGCGAATATATTTCGAACGACGAACCCAAACATATGGAATGGGTAGCCGTTAAGGTGGTACATCCCAACGTGGAAATCAAGATAGAGCGCGATCTTAGGATCATGAGATTCTTTGCCAACCTCATAAATTTCATTCCCACGATGGAGTGGCTGTCTTTGCCCGATGAAGTTGAACAGTTCTCCGTGCTCATGAAAATGCAACTGGATCTCAGAATCGAAGGACACAATCTGGTGAGATTCCACGAAAAGTTCAAGGACAGGCACGATATCAAATTTCCCAAACCATATTTGAAATTCAGCGGACGTGAGGTTCTTGTAGAAGAGCGAATCGTGGGACTTTCAATGGGTGATATGCTCGAACTGAAATCCAATTTTGGAAAGGGGCTATCAAAGGAACTGAGCGACAAACTGCTGGATGCATTCTTGCAGATGCTCATTCTGGACAACTTTGTCCATGCCGATTTGCACCCCGGAAACATGTTTATACGATTCTATAAGGGTGACTCTAGACATTTCCCTGGAGAACCGCATACCATGCCCAGACTGTCTTCTGAGTCGGAGATGGACCAACTGGCATTGAGCCTTCATGAACTGAGCAGAACCGAACCATCAAAACTCCAAAAGGAAATGGAGAGACTCTATGACGAAGGATATCATGTAGAGGTGTGTTTCATAGATGCTGGGTTGGTGACTGAGCTGAATGAAACCGACAGAGTCAACTTTATCGGGCTGTTCAACGCATTGTCTGAGTTTGATGGATACAGAGCTGGTGAGTTGATGATAGAAAGATCCAGAACACCTGAAACTGCCATAGATAAAGAAGTCTTTGCTCTGAAGGTGGAAAGGCTGGTTGATAGAATCAAACAGAGGACCTTCACCCTGGGAAGCGTCTCCATTGGTGACTTGCTGGACCAGGTATTGGGAATGGTGAGGCAGCACCATGTGAGAATGGAGGGCGACTTTGTGACTGTGGTAGTGGCAATTTTGCTGCTGGAAGGAATTGGAAGACAGTTGGATCCAAATCTAGATCTGTTCGCTAGTGCGCTCCCAGTTTTGAGACAGCTCGGTCTTCAAGACGGAAGAATGATCTTGAAGAACGGCGACAAAATTTCGATGCTGAAGGTGTGGCTTGCCTTGGAAGTGAGACAGTTTATTCATGCTTCGATACAAGATGTTCATAAACTTGTGAAATCAGATGGGTTAAGTCCAAACTACTGATTTCACGGTACCCCAATCTTTGTAAGGATTTTAAGAACGGAATAGAGCGCAAATCCACTGGTTTCTTTCCATTCGTATAATCAATTCTTTGGCTTCTTTGCTGGAGTAGAGTCTATTTCAGACCTTTCGGTCAGTCTCTTCAACATGGCCTTTCCCTTGAGCTTCCCTCCTCCATTCATATAATCCAATCTATTCAGATTGTATCTCAAAGTCTCAGCAAGAAGTTCATCCTTGGCACCGTCCAGATGGAACCAAACGTTCATCTCCTCTGCCTTTTTACCAGTTTTACGGATCTCTTCCATGTATTCCAAAACCTCTTTCTGTGGGTTCACGCTATTCTTGATCATCGGGAAGAAACGTAGAGGCACATCAGTAAGTTTAATCGTGATACATGAATATTGAGGAGCGGGTCTGGTACCTTTTTCTTCATTTTCCCTTTTTACCTCCGTCTCCTTCTCCTCCTTTTTAACTTCAGCATGAGACTGAGACTGCTGTCGTGTCGAACGCCTCGTCACAGACCATCTCTTGGCCTTGCGGTGTGGCTTCTTCTTTGGAGCTGAGGATGGTGATTCAGGCTGGTCACTTTCTTTCTGACTCTGTTCTGACTCAGCCTCAGCCTGCTTCTTGCGTTCTTCTTCCTCCTCCTCTCTGCGCTTTTTCTCCTCTTCTTCTTCTCTCCTGACACGTTCTTCTTCTTCTCTCTTCAAACGATCAAACTCGTCAATCTCATACTGATTATGTATTGATAAGAATGATATTATGATCTCTGGAACGAAAGGAGACTTCTTCTGCTTCTTGGAGGTTGACGCTGGCATTTTGGGAGGCGTTGTTTGCTGAGTTGCCGCCTTCGTAGCCTCAGAATCTCCCTCGGCAGTCTCTGGCTTAGAGCTACTCTCGGAATCATCATTTTTCCCTTTATCATTTTCTGTCTCTGATTGTTTTTCCTGTTGCTGTGTATCTTCCTTTTTCTCTTCGTTTCCTTCAGTCTTCTTTGCCTCCGTCTCGGGCTTTTCGTGAAGCTCAACGATTGCATTTTTGGGCAAATAAAACCTAACGGCGGTGTTCTCGTGGAACTCGAACACAATAGTTGCATCAGTTAGATACCTCTCCTGGAAAGCAGTAAGTTTTTCCTCTTTTGGAACTGCATTGGCCTTAGCTTGATTCAACTGCTGCTGCCTGATCTGTTCATTATGCCGTTGTAATTGGAGCCTCTGCTGCAGCTGCAACTGTTGCTGCTGCTCCTGCCATTTCTTGTAATACCCATTCACATCCCCCATTTCCTTTGCTTTCTGAATATACTTTTGGAACTGCAGAATTTGGTCGTGGGTCGCATTTCCAGATGCCACAATCTTCATCAATGCGTTTAAAGATGGGTCCGTCCTAGCAATAGTGTTGAGGTTAGAGATCATAATATGGTTCTCAGGTGAAGACATGATATCAGATCTAGCCTGAGAAACAGGTCTTTGTGGTGGCGGAATCGGTAACTTTGGTCTTGGAGCAGAGATTTGTGGTGGCTTTGAGGCTGTGACAGCATTGTTCATTCTGCTTATTGGGGGTATTGGTTTCTGGATTTCAACCGATGCGGTACTCTTTGTCGTATCATCAGCCTTAGAAGACTTCATTTCAGTCTCTGCTTCAGTCTTAGCGTCGGTCTTAGCTTCAGTATCTGCTTCAGCCTCTGCTTCAGCCTGACTTTCCGTCTCAGCTACAGCCTCTGGAGTAGCGTCTTTGCTTGCTGAACTCTCCAAATTTTTATCCGATGAAGTTTCAGTCTCTCCAGGTTTCTGTGCATCTGTGTCTGTGTCCACTTGGCCATCTTCTCTGGCCATAGAGGGTGGAATTGCAGCTTCATTGGAGCATTGCTCAACGGTTTTTTGAACCACAGGGGATCCGACTACTGGTGCAGCGCCGACAGATTGCTGCTCCGTGCGGTTTTCTCCTCCCATTTGCCCTCCAGATTGAACTCCCACCGGCTGTGTGCCTCCAACTGGCATTTGCACAGCCTGGGCCTTCTTCTTGGCCTCCCTTCTCTTCTCAATCTCATCGAGTCTCTTCTTCTCCTTTTCCTCATCCTTCAGTATAAACAGTCTGATGTCAAAACTATGGGGGCCAGCATAAATTTTTGAGTCGCACAACTTGCTCATCTTGTCGCGCTTCCTGTCGCTTGCCGCCGTGTTGCCGTACTGTTCTTTCCGACTCCAATACGCATCAAACACGTAGTTTGCCCAATTATGGCGAGACACAATCAGTGAATTATATAATGTGGCACTATCCTTCATGCTCAACTTGTTCACCAGAGATCCATAGTCAGGTTCTTCCCGCGAGAGTGGCAGAGTTTGGATGACTTCAAACGGCCTTCCTTGTCTCTGCTCCATCACCAGGTCTTTGTCCAGGGAGTCCATTAGCGGAATCCACACCTGGTTGACTGGCTTATGGATAGGTTTTGCCGTTTTTGACTCATCTACCAGTTCCGGCATTGTGAACAGAAGGTTTCAGACAAAGGTTATGGTTAGATTCTAAAGTCCTTGTTTGAAGTATGTAACTCTTAAGATGTTGCGAGTTCTGGCTCACCAATCTCAAAATTGAGTTTCACACTTCAGATCAGTCGCGTCTGGGAAATCGCGGCTTTGAACTTCTCAACAACTCTGCTTGAAATCAAGTTGACAAAGCCTTAGTAATACTGCTTATCAGCATTTTTGCAAGCTAGAGTGGCATCACTTGGCTTTCTAATGAGCTTAATAGATCTTGGAACGTTTGCCTCGGCAGGCAACAAGAGACAGAAGCTGGACAATAATGGTAGGTCTCCGCAAACTTAGTGAGACCTATGGGTCTTACTCTTAATGGATATAATGATACTAACGTGTTTTTTGGTAGTTCTGAAGAACTATGCTGCAGGGTCGATTGTGCGAATCAAACTCAAGAATTTCATGGCTTACTCGTTAACAGAGATAAATCCAGGACCTTCTCTGAACATGATCATCGGTCCCAATGGTACGGGTAAAAGCACCTTCGTTTGCGCCATCTGTATTGGTCTAGGAGGAAAGCTGAAATATCTGGGGAAAGAGACAATGAATCTGGACCAGTTCATAAAACAGGGTGAGGAGTCTGGGTACATCGAGACTGAGATCGCATACAAGGGCAGGACCATTCTTGTCAGAAGAGATCTTACGCGAACGCGTTCTAATGCAGGCCAATGGCGTGTTGATGGACGGGATGCTTCTGAAAAGAGGGTTCAGGAAATTTTGAGTGAAGTGAATATCCAACTGGGCAATCTATGTCAGTTCTTGCCCCAAGATAGAGTCGCGAAATTTGCCAGTCTCCAGCCTGAGGAGCTTCTGACCGAAGTGGAAAGATCATGCGGTAAGGGTGAGCTTTTGGCCCAACACGAGGCGATATCGCGATTGTATAGCGAAAAAGTGCAGATTAATATGCAGATCGTGAATTTGCGTGCTGAACAGGAACAGCTTGCTGAAACTTCGAAGTCTTTGGAGGAGGAAGTCTCCAAGTTTGAGCAGTATGAACAGAAAAAGAAGGAGATGGAAATGTTCTATCGACTATTCCCATATCTGGAGGTTGATGAGGCCATTCAAAATGTGCAAAGGTGTCAGGATATCTATAAGGATGCCAACAATGTGCTGAAGAGGTTGAAGCAGGATACACATCCTCTAAAAGACAGGGCCACGCAGGAGGAAGCACGAGTTCATGAAATTGATACTAGACTTGCTGAGCTTCAACATAGCTTGAAAAAAGTGACCCAAGGTCTAAGCGGGGGCAGGAACTACGTCTCCGAAGTTAATGGCGAGATCACAAAGATTCAGACTCAACTGAGTTCTCTTGATGAGACCATCAAAACTCAAAGGGCCAAACTTGTCACCACGAAGAAGACGTTGGAAGGATATCAAGCTGAACTAGAGGAACTTACACAGACTGTTTACTCTGATGAAAAGGTTGCTGAGCTGAAAGCGGAAAGGCAGAAGCTTCAACACGAGGCTACTTCGTTGAAGGAGAATACCGAAGAACATAAGGCGGTCTGGGAGGAGCTCAATGATTCTATGAAAGATGCAGAGAGAAGGATACACTCCAAGAGCAGGCAAGTTGGAGCACCCGATCGTGTGTCTCTGCTTCCGATGAATACACACGGATCAGTCGTCAAGGCGGTGAGGGCTTTAAGATCATTTGAGGACCAACTGGGTATCAAGGGAAAGTATTTTGAGCCCCCATGTATCTCTTTACAAGTGGGAGCTCCCTATAGATGCCATGTTGAAAAGTCGTTGAGTTGGGCCAACCAGAACGCATTCACAGTTGTAGATCACGAAACTTATCGGATACTCTCAAAGTTTTTGTTTGAAAAGGTCAAGGTCAACGTGAGTATCAGGACTTTGTCTAGAAATTGGAGAATACGACGGGATATTGAGACTGATCAGCTTGGTTCCTATGGATTCGAAAGGTATCTCATAGATGCCATATCTGGTCCAAAAGAAGTCAAGCAAATGCTGTGTGAGAATGACAAAATCCACCAGATTCCAGTTTCGCTAACTGAACTTACTGAGGAACAAAAGAGCCGTCTGATAATCCCTGGAAGAGGTGGCAGACTTCCTTTTATGAAGTTCATCTGTGGAAGGGAGATACACAATGTGAGGAGGTCCAACTACGGTAAGCGGCAGATATCTTCATCCGTGACAGCCTTGCCTGATAGGGCAAAAGTTTTTGTGGGCACAGACCTGACCGAGGAGGCAATCGAAAGAATTCAGGCTGGTATCAAAGAGGCTGAGACTCAATTTGCGGAGTTCAAATCGCAAAAGGATCTAGCAGAGGTCGAATATAGAGCCGCACGTGATAAGCAGAAAGAATTCGACAATCTTGTTTCGGAGATTGCAGATCAGCTCAAGTCCAACTCTGCCACCATCGCTAAGATTAACAGGCTTCGTGAAAGGATTATTGGTAAGGAAAACGAGTACAAAACGTTGAAAAGAACGATAGAGAAGACTCAGGACACCAGTCAGCAGGCCATCAAGCATCGTCAAGCCATCCAGAATCTTGTAGTTCGCAAATTGAACCGACTGGAAATGATGGCTGATCTGCTTCGGCAGGAGAATGACTTCAAGGAAGAGATCGCCAAGTTGTCCATTGACAGCATATGTCGCAAGAACGTGATGGCCAGTTTGGAGAAGCTGAAAGAAGAGTTTTTCGAAAAGGAAAAGGAGTTTATAGAGAAGGCTGAGCGTGCTAAAGAGGCGCTTGTTGAGGCCAAAGATATCAGGAAGAAGAAGTCTCAGGAAGTCCGTGCAAAGGCAGCCGAGTATTCACAAGAAGAGAATCAGGAACTGGCTTTGCTGGCGCAGAGCCTCAAGGATGCTGACCATTTCACCTTTGCATTTGTGAACGTCAGAAAGGACCAGTTGAAGAACGAGTTGGCCCTGTCCTCGCCAGACAGAGCTTCTCTTGGAAAACTACAAGAGAACCAGAGAAGACTTGCCGAAGTTGAAGCACGGTTGCCCAATCTGGAGACCCAGGCCGAAAAGGTGGTGGGTGATATCAAGGAAATTCGCGATAAGTGGGAACCCGAGCTGACTGAGCTGATATCAGTTTGTTCCAAGAGGTTTTCACATAGTTTTGCAACAGTCGCAAGTGCGGGAGAAATTAGACTGGCGAAAGAGGATGAAGACTTTTCGAAATGGAGATTGGAGATTTTGGTCAAATTCAGAGACGAAGCTCCTCTGAGTGTTCTAGACTCATATGTCCAAAGTGGTGGTGAGAAGTCTGTCTCAACGGCATTGTTCGTCAACTCGTTGCAAGGATTGACATCTTCGCCTTTCCGCGTTGTGGATGAGATCAACCAAGGTATGGATGCCAGAAACGAAAGGCTGGTCCACAAGTTGATTGTTGAGACCGCATGTGAATCCCGCAATCCCGATGGAACAATGTGCCAGTACTTCTTAATCACGCCCAAACTGCTGACGGATTTGTATTACCACGCGAACATGTCGGTTCATTGTGTCATGTCTGGGCCTCATTTGCCAGATCCTACTCAAAATATGAATTTTCTTCAGCTGGGAATGCTGAAACATTTTGCCGAGGGCGAGGCTGTTGAAACTTGAACTAATGTCTATGAATCTTGAATTACGAGGTGTGTGAAAGGCACTAAAATGTCTTGATGTTCTGTTCAGCTAGCACCGCATGGTCTTCCTGCACTATCGATGAGGTCACGTACAAGCCACTCGTAAAAGGCCAGTGTATTAGCTCAGACCAAATAACAGTTTTAGAAATTGTTTTAGATCATGATCTTCAGACATATACCCGATTGAGGTATATCGTCACCCTGCAACTAAATACCCCGCGCATATCCTTAAAAGGGCTCGAAATGTGGCTACCATATATCGGTGACGCAAGGTTGCAGCTCGTATCGCACGTGCCTGCCACTTGCGCACTCGTAACAAATTAAGCTTCCAAGTCACCGATTTTGCCTGCTGAGGACAATATGCAGTTCGATTGTGTCATCGTGACTCCGTGGTCTAACTTTGGGCACATTCGGAAGGTCAGGGGACCAATTGCGTCAGCAAGCAGTTAGCCTTTATGCGATGCGATAAGATACCGGCTAAAGCTTCCTGCTTGCCAGCTGGCAATTTTTGCCTCTTACGATCCTTGGGTAAATTATTATTTTATTTTGTGATTTCATATTTGAACTCTATCAAGTTTTCTTCCCAACAAGCCGCAAATTTAAAATATATAATCCAACATCATGGATACTCCCACCTGCAGCAAGGTGCACGATTACATGTACGGAGAAACCCTCGGAGAGAGCACCTTTGGACAGGTGATCAGAGGTCTGGTTCGAAAAACGGGAGAGCACGTTGCAATCAAGATAATGAACAAGAACGATCTTAAAAAAAGAGGATTGACTGAGATGTTCCGGAACGAGGTGGCGATCCTGGAGCAATTGAACGATAAGTCTGTGCTGCGCCTCATCGACCACTTTGAAGACACCAAGAACCTCTACATAGTGACTCAATTGGCCCATGGAGGCGAGTTATTTGACGAAATTATCTCTAGATCCAGGTTCACAGAACCTGATTCCAGGGAGGCCATCCGGCAGATATTACACAGCGTGGAGTATCTGCATGATCTGGGTATAGCCCACCGCGACATCAAGCCCGAGAACATCCTGTATGTATCAGCCGAGGAGAACTCTGAATTGATTCTGGCAGATTTTGGAATTGCAAAGTTCAAAAGAGAAGGATTTTCTGATACAGTTGGGTCTTTGGGCTATGCTGCACCGGAGGTGGTGATGTGTGCGCTAGATCCCGCTTCCAAAAATTACACTGAAAAATGCGATATATTCTCAGTTGGAGTGGTTTCCTACATGTTACTATCTGGATTTTCCCCCTTTGAAGCCAGTACCCTGGACGACTTTGTGAACAAGGAAATCCCTCGGGGAATAAAATTTCCAGCCAAGTACTGGGGAGAAGTTTCGGAGTCGGCTCGAGAATTTGTGCTGAGCATGCTGAATACAGACCCCGATAAGAGACCCAGTGCGACAGAGTTGCTGTGCCATCCATGGATGTCGGCTGATCTAGATGACATGGTGAATCTTTTGCAGAATATAAGAGAAGGCTTCAATGCTCGAAGGAAACTGCTACAGACGGTGGAAGTGGTGAAATTACACAACCAGATGAAGAAGTACCATGATTTGAAAGATAAGGATGCTGAAAAGGTCAAGAGCGACACCAAGGGTGATTTGTTCGTTCAACTAGTGAAAGCAGCTGTTGAAAACCGCGAAACACTTGATGCTCTCAACACAATAACTCCCGCCAACTGAACTGCGTCATTCTATACTGAGTGTGCTCGAATATAACCCTATTTAACATTATCTATTCGTATAGATTCTCGCGTAGCGTCTAGACGATGAGGCCGTCTAAAATGCTCATGTTCGTGTACAGCTCAAATCATTTCCTAAGAATGCTTACAATTCTAGAGGACGAAAATCGATACTGAGAAAGCACCACAACCGATCCACCAATCTCTGCGATTCTTTGTGGTTTCAATGGTCATACCGAGACATGAGGGTCACCATCATCATGACCACTCTAAGGATAAGAAATGGGGGTATCTGACATTGCTGCTGTCAATTCTCTATCTCGTGTATCTCTACGTCTCAAACTACATTCACAGCATCAAATGGCTCAAGTCTGGGCGATCTACAGGGGGAAAAAACTGGGTATTACCCGGTCTGTGGCTGCGTTTACTTGTTTTTGTGGCCTTTTCAATTGTGATATGTCTATGGGGAATTGATAAGGAGACGTTCAAGAGCAATTTCAGACGGTTTGGAAGAGTGGCATATTGTCTTGTTCCACTCAATATTTTTCTGACCTTCAAACCGGCTGTCATTACGGGAACCAACTATCTGGATTTGTTGGGTTTACACAAATGGTTGTCGAGATGGCTGATGGTAATGGCAATTGTGCATTCCGTGGGATTCACGGTTGTTTGGATCGTTAATCAAGAGGTATCTACATGGTCTAAACTGTTCCAGTTCAACAATCTCTTGGGCGCCATCACATGCAATTTCAGCATACTGTTGCTTGTGGTTTCTACCAAGCCAATCAGACGAATCATGTACCAGTTTTTTTATCTTTTCCACAACGTGACGATGTGGCTATGGGTGTTTGCAATCATATACCATTCGAGATGGGAGGTTACATCTTACGGAGCTTTGTGTGGACTTTTGCTGGCGTATCAGCTATATCAGAGAGTCTTTTGTGTGGTAAGAAACCTCACTCCACTCAATTTCCTGACCAATGGCGAGCACAACCTCAGTCTGATCAGACTGCCTAATCCCAACAAATTCTCGTTCGAGCCGGGTTCGCATCTGAGAGTGTACAAAAACCACTCAATAAGCAAGTTTTGGAACTGGTTCTTGCCTTCACATCCATACTCAATCGTGGCCATGGATATGACGTCGATCTCGCTGGTTGTCAAAGGTTACAATATGTTCAACCCACACGTGCCTCAGCAGTACACCATCTCCACCAAACTATACAACAGCATTCATCCAAACATCTTTAAAACTGCGGAGAATGTGGTTATTGTCTGTGGTGGATCCGGCATCTCTTTTGGACTGCCCATATACCAGCACTTTTTGCAGAACAGTGGAAACCTGGACTTGGTGCCGTATCTGTGTTGGATAGTCAGATCGGATTCAGAACTGTATCTGCTGGACGAGCTCAAGGTCAAAGGCATTGAGGTGTTTGTAACCACCGGATCCGGGGAAAGTGTGTTCAATCTGGAGGAAGAGATGTTACTGGCCGACGAGATAGAGCTGGAATCGCTCGAACAGACCGAGGAAAAGGAGAATAAGGTACATCGTGGAGGAAGGCCTGATCTACGCGGGCTCATCGCTCCTAAAATGGCATCTACCATGGACAAGGCTAACAAATGGGTAGTATCTTGTGGTCCAGAGGGCCTTGTTGCGGAGTGCAATAAAATTGCAAAGCAGATGAAAGTTCAGAGTCTTTCAGAGGTGTACTCTATGTGAAGCGATTATTCAGCGTGTTCTTGGCCCCCAATGTAAGACAGTAGCGCTACCCACCCCCAAATAGAACGTTCCATGCGGATACCGTAAATTTTTTTTCACTGCCAAAAGCAAGGGGACATGAAATCCGATGAGCATTGTAACTATATGCAGCTATTAAGGTACGTTGAATGATTGGTGAAGACACGTCCTATAGGGTGGGGTGATGGAGAACAGGAGGAGGATCCACGATTATACCTGGACAGGGAAGGAACAGAAAGGAAAGGCTAAAATGTGCCAAAAGTGGCTTGACTGGAATTTCCGTTTGCATTGGAATACTTTGGCAATAATATGGAAACTGCGACCTATGTGTTAACCCTAAAATATCACCCCCTAGCCGCGGGCCCGCGTAAAGTTTCCCTGCCGTCACGGCACGGCATATGAAACACGCGCTCCACGAATCGTGCAATCTTTCATCAAGGCTCTGCTGGCGGTACAATACGTCAACCGAGTCGTGTGTCGGGATTAACCCTGGCGGCATAATTAAGTCACTTTGCGTGCGCCCACCGCATACGTCAAGAATCCATCAAAACCTTATTTTAGTCGCTACAACTTTAGGCGGCTAGCCAACTACGTCACCCCCGGAGCATTTCTCATTGGCCGGGTAAACTAGACCAGCCAATTTCACGGGAAGAAGGGGCATAACCCGGTGTTACCCACGCTCACACTAAAAGGTGCATGGTGATGTCCGCATAGGCAATAATTCTGTCTGCATTCTACTTGATGCAGGTTGGTTATATCTGCACGTACCATGAGGAGAACGTTAGTCCCAGCACCCCGTGCCTCTCTGTTATTGTTTGTTAAGCTCCTCCACTCGTAAGTGTGACTAAGTATAAGTATAGAGCGATTCTTTGAATTTTGCCCAGATTTTACCACGACTTCTTATAGCAAATTTTTTGGTTGGCTTGTGATCTTACTTTTATATAGCCATGCCATACTCAACTGAAGCCACTAAGTGGAATGCTTTCCAATACAATGACCCTTTCTCAGCTGACAAGTTCGTCGTATGCCACATCCCGTTGAAGACGTGCTGTCGTCCTAATTGCGATATGGGCTTCCAGACCTCCAACCGGAGCCACGTCAAGTTCGTGGATTCTGTTGAGGAGGCCGAGGCCGCAGGCTTTGTCAAGTGTGGCAGTTGTCTCGGTTCCAAGCCGAACGACTCCAATGTGTTCTCCATCGATGTGGACCTACTGGTGAAAACTGTGGAGAGTGTGAACAGACAGATTGGGTTCATCCAGCCTCTGATGGACTCGGGCAGCGAAACAGAGTCGGAGATCCAGGAGTCTTTGATCAAAAAGAACAGAGCAAAGAGGGACATGGTTACGAAGAATGAGACCGACCATGTCAAGCTTATTGACCTTGCCTGTCGTCACATTGCACTCGCCGCTGCCTGTGCTATCTTCAATACTGATGACGAAGAAAACGTCGGGAGTCCCGGTGATGATGGAATCAAGCGCAGGAAGAAGAAGAGAGGTGGTGTTTTGGGATTTAAGGAATTAGCTGCCAAGTCCAAATTGTCACCATGGCATTTCCACCGGGTGTTCAAGAACATGACTGGAATGACGCCGAAGACGTACGGTGACAAGTGCTGGGACTTTTTGCTGAAATACAAGGACTCGAATAACGGAGCCAATGCCATCACGATTCCCAACCAGATTGCAACGGTATCATCTGTCGTTCTGGAGTCACCAAAGAGTGGGACTTCCGAACTGAGTAAACCGTCGCCAGATGCGCTTTCTCCAAAAACGCCAGAGTCTTACATTTCCGAGTCGTATGACTTTAACTTTGATGGGTCAAACTCGTTGGGTGACGAAGAGTTTGCTGGCCCACGTGAAAGATTCAATTCCATCTCAGTGCCCACTGGATTTGAGTCTAACCACTCCAGATCGGTCAGTCATAGCTCTGGCTACTCTCCTTCCATTCGCAGCTTCGACGATGTACTCGTCCCAGTGGATATCACCAAGAATATGGGACTGGAGAACCTGGAGAGTCTGGACCATTGGGATTTGTCGTCTGGTCTTTTTGTGGACTCTTTTGCTCGGCAGTTTCCTCCTCAGGCGTTTTCCTCGGAGATGGGTGTTCCCCTTCTATCCAACCCAGAGGCAGATGCCTTTGTCAACTACCAGTCTCCGGAAGCGTCCAACGAAAAACTGCCTTTCTCGAACGAAGATTGGTTCTCGTCTTCAGTTATGCACGACTACGCCTACTGAGCGCTTCTTTTGGAGCACTTGGGAAAATTGATGAACATTAAATGCGGCGGCATCAACACGCTCACATGGCAAGAATCGATAGTTGTCGCGCTTATCACATATCGTCCGTGGCCACATCCTCCAGTTTGGTTTATTTATTTATTTTGGTTGTTATATGTCGGGTTGACTGCAAAATTTACGGAAAGGTTATGATTGTTTGTTCTGTGTTGTACTAGGACGAGAAGATCCAGTTTGAGGTACCCGAAATTGGCCACACTGTGTGGTGCGGTCTACATGTTGTGTATACTCAAATCAATTTTTCATCACTAGATAATGAATTTCAATTTACGCGTTCTTTGTGGCTGATATGACGGTCGTATGATGCAATAAAGAGTAGTCTATTTTTCATCTTCATGCCGTTATCGCCTCGACGTCATAGGAGAGCATAAACGAACTCGTACTAATGCTCGCATGGTTACGTCATTTTTCATTGTTCAGTGCACGACAATATGCGTGGATAATGGAAATCCGGTGACAGCCCACCGTGGTAAAGGCCGGTGGTTCCCCTCAGTCCTGTCATCACAGCTTCAGAGTCAAATCCGGTCCCGTGGTGTGGTTCCACATGCCGTGAATCGGGAATAAACATGGGGCGCCCGGCTACAAATGGAGTTAGTTATCCCGAGCTGGGTCTAGCTCAGGCTGCAGAATATCCCGGCGTACATTTAGGGGCGCTGTTTTGCCGGTGTTAAATTTGCATAAACTCATTAAAGCCGCAGAATCTGGTGAAGATGTTTATATTTGTAAGTTTTCGTGGATAATTTGGCCTTCAAGCACCAGTTTGGACGGGGTGGAAAAGGATTGTAGTGCGCATTGTTAAGACAGATACTTGATTTGATTTTAGTTTATAGGGCAGGTTTACCCGGAGAAATATCTCTAGGATCCAGTTTCAATTCACTGGCCTGATCCACCCATTTGCTGTTTTTTTTTTGACTTCAATTACAGCCGCGCTTCAATAGTTGCCCATAAAATCTCGCTAGATCAGATGCTCGCATCCCAATCCCCGCTTGGCACCATCCTACCGATTCAGCCAGCGGTTAGACTGCACCGCTGGTTAAACCTGCCGCTTAGTCATGTCGGCTAAACCTGCTGGTCTTGCTGAACCTTTTTTTAAGCAGTGCTACCTGATGTATTTATGGATCCCAGGTTTTTGGGGCGGAAATTTGTGGTTTTTTAATGTAAGCAACTTCGAAAAAACCGAAAAACTTGCGTAAATAGTTATAGTCTACCGGATCGCAGAAACATGTAATCAAAAATCGAACGGCATCGGTGTTTTTCTTCGATGTCCTATTTTCTGATTTCCCCACAATAACAGGTCTGACTGAATTCCACCAAGTTTGCTATTATTGTGGTCGCCAATGTGTGTTTCCAGTCCCAAGTAGCAGTAGCTTGTGCTTGTAGTTTGTCCCGTTCATGGTCAATGCCAAAACCTCCAAAATGTACAAGATTGGGTTCTGTATACGTGAAAACTTGTTTTGCCGGTATTTGGACTGTTCAAGCATGATTTTTGCATCCTAACTTTCAGTCAGTCATTAGGTTTACGCTAGGATGACCATATCGTTTTCTGACAGCTAGATATACTCTATACCGCTGAAGTGCATACATTTCGTTACGTCTAAGATGGCCAATGACGCATGTTTCTGTCCTGTCAAAACTACAGTGGTGTTCATTTAATTAGGCTGAGCTCGCTGTGAATCTGTACCAATTTCTTTTTTTCCATTTGTCGGTTTATTAATGACTATTTTGGAGGGAAAGAACATGTCTTATCTTTTGCTGTGGAGTGGTGTCCTGACTTGGTTTACATGCATGACATCTGTGGACCTTCAAGCGTTGTAGTTGTATGTCGACATTGTTGATCCCTAGTAGCTAATATGTGGCTGCAAAATGATCATTGATAGTCTCGAACTTGCGTGCCTAGTGGAGAAGTCATTTTCATTTTGTTGGAGGGTTCCGCCATTCTGACAATCTTCCACGCGCTATTGAGTCTGCCTTATTCAGCCGAAATGAAATTCACTTCTTCATCTACCTCATTACAAGTTTGTATTTTTTTTGTCAAGTCGATTCCCTGACTCTTGGAAATAGCTGGGTAGATTTTTAACTTTGCTGGTTTTGGAAATGCTTTAAAAACTCGGTCTGCAGCACAACGAAAAAGGATCAGCAAAAGGATCAGCCCCACGTAAATCCTCTTAGGCCCATTTTAAGTGCATATGCGTGCGGTTTAACGCTCTTACCATCTAATTCTGAGGCTTTAAAAAATCGAAAATCAGCGGTATGACATCTGTTTTGATTTTTAGAACACTCACCACCGGCCTCATTTCATCACATACCGAAGGAATAAATGGTAAGTTCAGATGACTCCTGGTTTTGGTCTAGGCCTCAGGACGTAGGAAAGGACTCAAGTTTCCCACTCTCCGGCACCCAGCCCGGTCCTATCAGAAGATGAAAGATTAAAAATTAAAAAGGCCTTAATCTATTTTGAGGGGTCTTGAATATGGGCATATTTCCTTTTCTAGCTCAGTTCTCACTATTAAGTGTTTGACACATTTGCGTTGGTTCAGCTTCTGCAGATAAGCGATGCAGCATACAGCCACTGATAAGAGTCTTTTCCGGAGAACCGCCGGAAGCACGCCGAATGTGACTCCAGTCTGGAACTTTGATTGGAGCATTTGAGCAAATTCCGAGTTATCTTGGCTTCTAAACAGCTGGAGGTTGGGTGGTAGAGCGGAAAGTTCCGAAGGTAATAATCTGCGAGTACAACTTACTGGTGTGAAGGAGACAGGCACTGTATAGTTATAGACATCCTAAGTTTTTCCCCAACCTTTGCTGGTATATCCGCGATTTTTGCACTTCTTATCTTCTAGTCATCTCCACACTATGATTGGTTTACAGATGCTGGCTTTATCTATCATAGATCTATATCACTATCAGACCATTCTACGAACTTCTGATTTATGAAATTTTGATCTTGTTTCTTATCTTTCAATTCTCTGCCAATTGTAGTGGCTCTTATTTATGCCTATTTTCCACCAATTAGCCAATTATGTGATTTTGTGCCATTCCAGTTCCTTCATAAATCCATCTCTCCGGCCACCTCGTCATCGTCATCGTCATCGTCGTCGCCCAGACTACTCACACTGCTCAGGTCTTCGTCCTGTTCATCGTCGCTCTGCTCGTCTTCCTTGAATTCGCCGCGTGCAAAGTTCTTCGGATTGGCATACCTCTTGACGTAAGACTTGACTCTTTCCAAATACGCCTCATTGTCTCTCAGATACAGCGAACTGGCTTCGCCGTTCAATGGGTCTGCTGCGTTCGGATAGCTCAACAATTGAGGCAGGAACGTTTCAAAAATGTTAAATATGTCAAACATCGGCGACCATGCCTGGTTGATCACATCTAGGCACACGGACCCGGATGTCTCATCGATGTTAGGGTGGAAAATCTTGTTTTCAAACCCAATTGAGGGTGATTTGTAGGGAAATTGATCGGGTATTTCAACGTGAACTCTCCATAATCCGCCTTCGTACGGAGTCTCTTTGGGACCTTCAAAGTAGACGTAAAACTCCTGCATGTTGTCTTCCACCAGGTTGACTTCGTAGTCACTCATGAGACTGGCACGAGAACCTTGTTAGTATTTTGAATAGCGATGCTATGGTGTTCACTCTGTCTTTTAAAAAAAAAAGACAACCATAACAAATGCCCAAAAACTGCCCCCGGATAACTTACAGCTTCATGACATCCGTCTCTATTCTCCGTTTTGGTGAACTAAAAGCACATTAGTATAAGCTTTTTTCGTCAATATTCTCTTATTTTATCATATTCCAGTAACTCACCTCATATTTACACAATCTCTTTGTATAAAAAATGGAAATTTCGTACGCTTATCAGTCACTTAAAACTGAATATAGGGAGCGATATAGGCGCAGAGCCGAATTTGAGGTGGCGCTCATCGATTCCGGGGCTCCTTATCTATGGGCTGGTCTGATTTTTACACCTAACTAAGTTAAAGTGTTGGAATATGGAAACAACAGTTGACCATTATGGCATTATTTGGCAAATAGTGTATTCGAAAATATTTCTTTTACAACTTATTCTTCAATTCCCTCAATCTTGCCATTGCTTCAACTTCAGTACTCGAGTTGGTGGCCTTGATTACCTGTGGATCCTGTAACCTCATGAACGGATTGAACTTCTTTTCATCTCCAATGGTGTACATTCCAGTAAGCACTTCGGTGGAATTTGCCTTTTCAGTCAATTTAGAAAGATCAGGATTTTGCAACACGGTGTTGGAAAACTTGACATTGCTCTTTGTATATTCGTGGCCGGGGTAAACCTTCGTATCTGCCGGAAGAGCACCCAATATCTTATTCAGAGCGTAATCCATCTCTTTCGGTGTCCCTTCGAAAAAGCGTCCACATCCAGATGTGAAAAGAGTATCGCCAGTAAAAACGGCTCTTTCGCCCGAAACCTTGTCCTCGGCATAATAGCAAATGGAGTCTTGGGTGTGGCACGGAGTGTGCAGTGCAGTAATCTCCACAGAGTCTCCTAGCTGGATCACTTCGTTATGTGCAGGGGTGTAGGAAACGAGCGGCGAATCTTTCCCCGCAATCAACGGAATGCCAGAAAATTTGGCAACCTGCAATATATGGTCAGTAAGATCCTATTGGGAAAAAGTTGAGTAATATAGCACACTTACCAAATCAGTGTTGCCACCTGAATGATCGTAGTGGTGATGAGTGTTAACGATGGCGGTGATATCAATGTCGAAATTCTTCAATTTGGGGAGAACTCTATATCGATGTTAGTAGTGTTTTGTAGAAGAAGTCATATCGGTCTTTCACTCACTCATCGGGCTCGGCCGGATCAATGATCCACGTCTTCTTGGTATTGTCATCACTTAGCAGGTAGCAATAGTTGTCGCCAGTTCCCCATCTCATAGGGATATAGTTGATGTGCATTTTTCTGGACTGGATATTTCTCACAATGTTTGGGACTTTGAGAAATCTACGCATCCAAATCCTTGGCGCAAAGTGTCCAACAAAGCGTTAGGAGTGAGGTATTGAGGTATTGATTATCAATAGGAGGAACCTAAGTGGCAATGGGCGAGCTACAAATTTAATTTCCCCACACCATGGGATAGATTAAGAGAAACCTTCCAGGAGCCATTACGGGTCAAATTTTAGGGCAAAAACGGCTTTTAGAATACCTACCCATCTTTTTCAGTATTACGTCTTTTGTTTCAGCCATGGTTGTTTGGACTAGTCCTTTAAAATCTGTCAGATGTACCATGCAAGACTGAGATCTGCAAAAGCAGCTTGAACCGATGGATCAAAACGGCTTCAGAAGCTGGAATTTGAGACTCCAAAACTCAATGACGTTCTATTGGCAGCATTTTCAATTCATTTTACAGTTCTGAACCTTCAACCCTCATTCCTGTCAAAAATTACCCGATAACCATTTCAACGGCCCGATGAACCCCAGCCTGAGCTCTCCGGCTTAAGAATAAAATAAACCTCAATGATTTTTAGCTGGCTCACACGACCCTCCAGCTGCGATGCTTGAACATTACAACAATTTGGAATCGACCCAACTTATCGCTCTAGCTCCAAACCACTCTTCTTACCTTGTATATATGTTTCGGTGCTCTAGGCCACAATGTCGACTTTCCCAGAGTCGACAAAGCTACTTGCGAGCCTACTCCACCCCAGTCAACCAAATTGTGGAGAGTCTCCATTCCGACAACTCTTCGGCAATACAACATCTGAACGAGTTGCTGCAAAATACACCCAAACCCCTACACGACACAAGATTCCGGGAAATACGACAGCAGTGCAGTTATGATAGGTATAAGTTGAGTTGCTTGGAATTTATGTGCGGCTCCGGATCCGCAAGAAGGACAAAGACGTTCTCCCAGGTGATGTTCAGCATACAGAAGGACTTCAGGAAGTCCCAGACTGTGGAAGAAGAACTGCTTAAAATGTGTGAAACATTAGTTCTGATGCCTCATTCGGTTAATGACAACGATGTGGCCCCTTTTCCGGTGACTAGTGCAGCATTAAAAGTTATTGCGAAAAATGTTGAAAGAACCAACTATGCCAGACTTTTTGACCTGCTTCTGCGACTGAAAGTGAAGTTTCCGAGGGATGAGTCTCATATAGAGAGTATTTTTGACACGCTGTTGTTAGGAACTGAAAGAGAGAGATTTTTGGCCATATTTGGGAGATTTCCCGAGGATTACGAACGTTTAGAGACGATGACCCACCCCACAGCGCACATTGCGAGTCATTACAACCTCTATATGCTGAACAGAGTTGTTTCCAAATTGACAAGTCTGAAACTGGAAACACTGGCAAAGATGTATCTGGACATATACTACAATGCGATTCGTGAGGGCATGCACGGTTTGACGCCAAGTGAAACCAAGCGGGTTGAAACGCAGTACAACATTGCATCCTTGCGGTATATCATGAGTTTTGGCGGGCTTCTTGATGCGAAAACGGCACTAAGATCTATTGATAACGGAAGCAAAGTCTTTTCAAGAAAGGCCTATCTGTTATTCTTGTCATACTTTAGGAAAAAGCACGATCTCGAGAACTTCCTGCCCATAGTGGAAAGCCTGGTTAGTGATCCTTCTACTCTCACCCTCTCTGCAAAGGTACTGGTCTCAACAGAATTGCTCCTGCTTCTGAAAGGAGTATCACCAGATATGACTCCGCTTGAATATAGTAGTCACATTTGTGGATTCTTTACCGGAACCCCAAATTTGCTGCGGGATTTGGGAATCACAGATGTTCTCTATTCCGTCCCTGGAAACCAGTTGACTGCTGCTAAAAGCGATGATGATCAGTTAAAATCTTTGAAAGAGAATCTCAAAACAAAGTCTCTGCCAAAGTCACAGTTATTGGCGTCTCTCTATGCTGCCATCTTTCAACACCATACTGTCGAAAAGGAAGACATCGAGTCGCTTTTCACCAAGCTCATGCAACTGGCGGAGCAAACTCAGGCATACCCCGCTTCAGGACATCACACCTTGTCGCCTACAAATTTCAGTGGCCAGGTGCTGAACTCCTTTGTTTGTCACTTGGTGGTCAATCGTCATATGTACAATGAGGCATACGATCTGGCTATGATATATCTGAATCACAAAGTGAGTGTGATGGGCGTGTTCCCGGAAACATTTTCCTCGATTATATATTGGAAGTCAACCACGAATGTCATGGAGGCTGCGCACCTGTATCTGGCTCTGAGCAAGAAACAGATTCCAATGAGTCACCACTCTTTGGTAGGTTTGATCCTTGCATTACTGGAAAATCAGCATGAGGCTGAGGCCAGAGGTTTTTTTGAGATGCTGACGAAATCGTCCTACGATTTCAATGATGGATATCTCATCCATGAGGCTGTGAAGCGCGGTTGGTCAATACCGAATCATCTCGAGCATCTCAAGAATGGCGAACCCGTGACTGAGGAATACAAAGTCAGATGGAAGCTTGAGCTTGACATGAAAGCGAAACTGCTGGGAATTCATAGGTTAATTGCCAAGCCAGAATTTGAGAACGCAACCATAAATGCGATGTCGGACCATGACTCCTTTAAGGATACCCAACCCGATGAAGAGTTCCTGCCTGACGAACTTCTCGTGTGAATACTACTAGTACCATAACCACGATTGCATGTGTATAATAAATTATAAAGCTCGAAAACTAAACCCAAAGATCTGACCTAAACAAATATTCCACCACGGAATACAAAAACTGCCTCAATGAAATGCCTCTTACTTTTTCTTTTGCGATATTTTGCGATACACCAGTCCCAATTAGATGTCTTCACCAAACGAATCCAGAGATATCACCTGGCCGGGCTTGAATGGAGGCAGACCTAGGTATGGGCACCCGTCGCAACGGAAGGCATCTCCCAAAGCGCACGAACCACATCCACCAGTCTTGCCTTGTATCGTGAAGTCTATCTCAGTAATGTCCTCGCTGGTGAACTTCACCTCCTCACCCAGCTTGGAGGCTGCCCTCTTGCTGATTCTCTCCTCGATCTTTCTGGCTTCGGCATCAGCCGACTTTGCCATACTTCCGAGAAGAATATCTTGAGCAGAACGATGCTCCTTCTCCTCAGCCTCCTCCTTTTCCTTCAATCCGCAAGTACAGTCCTTGCACGCCTTTCTTCTCTTCTTTCCTCCAGGCAATTCACACTTGACAGGCACCACGATTGGCTTGGCCAGTAGCGACTGGTCCACAAGTGCATCTTCGTCGATCAACTCTGATTCATCCATATCATCCATATCCAAAAAGGTGAGCTTAGTCTCTCTCAACTTTGCGGTCACGGAATCCGAGTCCTCGTCTCCAAAGTCGGAGGTATCTGTCAACGTGGGGGAATTTGCTCTCTTAAACGTAGGTAGCGCCGATTCTGCCTTTTTGAACTTTGGAAGCAGTTTCTTGCTTCCATTTGAGTCTCTCTTCTTCAGCAATACCGTGGTTTTCATTGGCTGAGGCTTGAGCCACGATCCGTCTGGTTGTACCAAGAAACCAGCCATTATGGCCTCCAACTTGGCATCGTTGGTGAACGCTCCTTCAACCTTTCCGTTTGGTTTCAAAGCGTTGTAGAAAAGTGACAAAACCACGCTCGGCAGCTTGGGGGCTTCTGGTGGCGAAATGTAGTTGATAACGTCGAACGAAGCGTCTTCGAACGACACCAGGTTGTTGGCAACCCTATCGATCACGTTCTGCGATATGGAAGACCCCTGTGGCAAACTCGCCAGAAGTTGAGCCTTGTAGAGCTCTACCTCATGCTGAGAAGTAACTATCGTTGGATGCAAAAGCAGCAATGCGTTTGACATGGCTGTATGTTGGAAATATCAAAGAACAGTAGGGGTATAGAAATGACTTGAGTAAGCAGTGAGGAGACTGTAAGCTGGTTTGAACTGTTCCTAAACGGTTTGTGTAATTTAACGGGTTGCTAGTGAAAAGGATCGATGTGATTCCTCGGATTATCTGATTCTCAAGGTCTCTTTGCTGTTAGATAAAGCAGGAAAGATAAAGGTAAGGTGGAAAATATTACGCCTTTCGATTTTTTTCTAAACGGATAGGAGGCCGGTGGTGGGTGCACTACTAGCATTAGTTAGTCATCATTCTCCGCTTCTTCTTGCCGGTACCGGCCACCGGCCAGCGCGCACCGCGACCACCTATCGGGATGTTACTAATTCGTCGTTACATTTATCTTTAAAGTGGGTTGTAATAGAGGATTTCTGAACACTTTTGCCCGTCTTAGCCTGAAACCTCGCTGTAATCAAGACTCTCAAAATTCCAATTGGGAAATGAATTCCTCACCGGAAGCAATTGCCTATTCGGTAAAGTCGAGCCACGATGGATCTAGATAAACAGGCCGGGCCCTGTGCGCTCGGTCCCAACTAAAGCTTTGACCAGCCCTGATATTCCGCTTTATCGCGCAAATCCACAGATAGTCCTTAAAGCGAGTTGGCTCCAAAGTTGGCTTCTGCTGTGTTCTCTAATAGGAAGGTTACCCCCCTTTCACCTCGGGGTAGTGTCCGTGCCCCAAAATGACCTGTATTTGGTCGGTGCACTTCCCTGTTTATGCTTTGCCCGTTTTGGAATAATGTAAACCGCATCAAAGAATTTCGATACAAACGTACCTGGTGGTTTCTTGACAGCACGGGGAATTCTATCTTAACCAGGTATCCAAGTGATATTGACACCATGAGTTCCATGGACAGTCTCCATGCATTGGGTGTGCAGTTTACACCAGCTGAACTCGCCAAACTGAAAGCCGTGCTGTTTCCAGAAGAGCCTCTGGAATCCACTAAAAGACCGAAGGACAAGGACAAGCAACTGAGGGTAGTATCAGATTCCAAAATACAGATCCGCATACCAGAGGAGCCGAGATTGCCCGTGGATGAGTTTGTAAAGAAGGTGGAAACCCTCAACTGCAGTATACTCGAAACCGCCGAAATCATTGGGGATAAAAGCGACTACGTATCACAGGTCCAGAGCGCAATCATTGAGGCACTGACTGGGTTCAGTGCTCAAATTGAAGAGGAAAAGAACAAGCTGGATGAAGCGATATTGAAGAAACTCGACAACTGCATACAGATGCATGACATATTGGAGGGCTACAATCTGGAATTGATGATGGAGCCCACCAGCCAGAGAGTCTCAAGACTTCTCCACAAGTGCCAGAGCTCATCTGCCAAGATAACTACTGTAATACCATACTTGGAGGAAGACGGAAAACTGTGCAAATTCTACGAGGATATCTGCTTGTTTGAGAACTCTTTCACGCCTATTTTCAAAGAGAAGGCCATGGTATTTGGCCAAAAGTGTCACGAATTTTGGAGTTGGGTATCGATAGTCTTCGATTATAAACCCCGAAATGCAAAATTGGTATCCATTTTACCGAACGCGGAACTTTCAGAAACGCTGGCCAATTCGGAGTCGAATTCGTTCATTGATGTGGCAGAGTATCTGCCTAGTTTGGTAGCCATGTCACCTCTCATCGTTTCAGAAGTCGAAGAGGAAATCAATGCTGTTATAAGATTTGCACAGGATAGAACTCAGGAGCTGGCAAAAATCTCAGAGGGCATAATGAGACTGTATAACGCTCTGGACTTTCCGGTTCACGAGCAAGACTCCAGGGTGGTGTATCTTCTGGAGCTAGCAGTGGAATGTCCACGGCTCGATGCCAGCACTCTTCTCGGTGTGAATGAGACGGTTGGTCTCTCAAGAAGGGCCATTGACGAGCTCCAGCAGATCGAACTGGGGCTGAAACAACAGAAAGCCGAGAAGGAGCTCAAGCTCCAGGCACTAAAGGAGAAGTGTATGAACTTCTGGTCAATCCTGGATGAGGATGAGGAATACGTGGGACAGTTCATGAGGAATAACAACGATCTTTCGGACAAAGCGATACACAATTTCGAGCTCGAAATCGAGAGATTGCAAGTGTTGAAGATGAAGCATATTTCCAAGTTCATCAAGCAGGCACGCACCAAGATCCAGCAGTATTGGGATGCCTTGATGTATAGTGAAGACCAAAGGAGGAGCTTCGGGCCGTTCTGGTTAAACCAGGACCACGACTTCACAGAGGAACTGCTGCAAGTTCACGAGACTGAAATTCTAAATTTGAGAGATAGAATGGCCGTGTTGCAGCCGATACTGGAATCAATAGCAGAGCTGCAGGTGTTGCTTGAAGAAAAAGCACAGCTCGAGCAGAGTTGCAAAGATCCAAACAGACTGCGGCAACGAAACTCGTTCAAGATTCTCAGAGAAGAAGAGAGAACGCGAGAAAGGCTCAAGGTGCTTCTTCCAAAGACAACTAATGGTCTCCGAGACTTGCTGGTGGAGTATGAATCCGACAATGGATATCCGTTCACGGTAGACGGTCAGTCGTATCTGGTAAAGCTGGAACAGATTGAGGCTGAATCTGGCATCAACGGCAACCCTTTGAGAAGATCTACAAGGTCTCGCCAGACGCCGGTGAGACCCAACTCTAACACCAGAACCACCAGGTCCATGTCTGCACCAAGGATGGGTTCTTCGGCCCCACCCACTTCGGCCAGATCGTCAAGTGTCGCTAAACAACCAAGAAGGACGAACTCCGCAACGCGAACTATGTCTGATCCGTTCTTGTCGAGATCAGTATCTCCTATTAGACGGAATCTCAACAATTCCAAGGCCACCTTGACCTTCACTAACAACACCACCTTGAGACCAGCTTCTGCTCTTTCGCCCATCAAATCAGAGGGTGCAATATACCAAGACCGCAAGCCAATCAGAGGCGACTCTCCTTCGCGCCTGCGGCCCCCCTCGGCATCTGTGCTCAGATCTCGTCAGAGACGTGAGCAGGACAAAGAAAACGAAATCATGACACTTTCACCCGTTAAACCAACACTCAAAATGAAGGCTAGTGTCAGGAGCATGGCCGCTCCTGAGATCCTCAGTTCCGACGATGAAGATGATGCCCACAACCATAATACCGCAGGAGCAACCTTTCGCCCAGTTCTCAGCGCTGTCTCGTCGAATTGGGCAAATTCAGAGTACTGAAAGAGGAAGAGAACTGGTGCTGATTTGAGCTCTGAGGCTGTTCTGAATTTTTTTCTTCTGCACGAGCCTTTGTGTACCTATCTAACGTTACCATCTTTAACGACCGTCCGCCTACCACTTCTTAGATTCCATCCCATCTGGAGGCGCCGTCTCCACTTTTCCTTTTGAAACCGAGGTCCAATCGGTCGAAAGAGCCGTTCCGTTGCTCTCAACGAAACTCTTCATCATTGCTCTGCGGGTTTCATCATCCGCATCAGCATATAGCTTCTTGAAGAACTGATCAACATTGGTGTTGTCTTCTTCATCATCCAGATCCAGTTCGCTCCAATTCTTCTTCGAGGAAAACGCTGTCGGCACCGTGTCTGACACAATCTGATTTTGTCTTTGGACCGTTTCCTCGGAATCGGTCTTTTCTATTCCCTTCCAACTGATGCCTGTTTCCAGCTTCGCTAGCTCCACCTCCAGTTTCGTACCAAAAACACGCCAGCTGGAATTTTCCGGAACTATTTCCTTTGCAAGATTTGAAACCTCATACTGATACTCCAATCCGTCACCACCGGTGAATTCCACACGTAAAGATTCATTTGTAAACTCGACGCTAGCAGTTGACGCATCGATGTTCTTGACGAAGAAAGATATATCCACAGTCGTTGAGTTCTGATACCAGTCAAGTCTGGGTGACGCTTTTGAAGTAGCCATGGCAATAATTGTGAGTTCAAAGTTTAAAAAGCTCCTTTATATCGGTGTAGAACTGTAAAGTCTCAGTGTAAGCTTTAGCTCGCGCTGTTCACCTGGCATTTATTTCGCATACTCCGGAACAATATTCCGAGCCCTCGGAACTACCTCATCACCGGGCTCCCCGATCAGGAAACACCATAGAAAAAATTCTCTTCACCAAAACTTCAATTAACATCTACAACATCCACACAAACCCACCAAATTTCAAAATAATGTCACGGGTTAACACACTTGTTTTGGATGCAGGTCCTCTCATAAATCAGCCGGCTGCCTCGCTCCAGCAGTACGCTTCCAACTTCGTCACCACCCCGGGTGTGTTTGCCGAACTGAAAGATGAGAACGTCAGACAACAAGTTGTTCTGTGGGGAGATTCGCTGAAGATCAGACACCCCAAGTCGGCGTCTATCAAGGCTGTAGTTGACTTTGCTCGGTTAACGGGTGATTCTGCCGTTCTTTCGACAAACGATATCCATGTGATTGCGTTGGCTTACGAGATTGAATGTGAAATGAACAATGGTGATTGGAGGCTAAGGAAATATCCTGGTGAGAAGAAGATGAGGCGCGTTGCCAAAACTGACGAAAACGAAGAGAAGGAGTCCACAAATGAGGCTGAAAAAGATGTTCAGATCGAGTCAAAGTCCGAGTCTAACCAAGGCTGTGCATCAGAGCCAGAGCCAAACCAACAAAGCGCAGCCATAAAGAAGCCCCGTCGCAGAGGCGGAAAGAGACATAAGAAAAAGACCGATGATACAGAGCTGGCAGCTGGACTGGAACTGGTTTCTATCAAGGAGGACGAATGGGAGGTTGTTGGCGAAACCGGCAAGAAAGAGAATACCGGTCTCAGTGAGGAGTACGATTTAGAAGACGACGAGACGGAATGGATAACCACGGAGAATGTCGAAGAAGAGATCGTGAAGGATCAAGGCGAGCAAATAGAGCAGGAAACTAGTCGGTCCATGATCAAAGTTGCACTGGCAACTGGTGATTTTGCGTGTCAGAATGTGGCTCTTCAAATCGGACTCAATCTCATGAACACGATGTCAGGAATGAGAATTAAAAGAGTAAGAAACTATATGTTGCGATGCCATGCTTGCTTCAGGCTAACTGCAATCCCCAAAGACGGAAGACCAAAACATTTCTGCTCTTCTTGTGGAGGAGCCACTCTTCTGAGGTGTGCAGTCTCTGTTGATTCCAAAACGGGAATGATCACTCCACATTTAAAGAAAAATTTTCAATGGTTCACTCGTGGTAACAAGTACTCGCTGCCATCGCCATTGTCAAAGGCACAAAATCGTCGTGTTGGAAACGCTGGTTACCAGCACAAGCGTGAGAACAACCACCAGGAGATCTTGTTGCTGAGGGAGGACCAGAAGGAGTATCAGCAGGCGGTCAAGGACGAGATGTGGCAGAGACGCCAGAATGATAAGCATGCAGATGAGTGGATCGGTGGTGGAAGTGCTGACGGCTATGTATCACCGTTTTTTTCGGATCAAATACGGCCTTCTGGAGTGAAGGTTAATAGAGGCAGACATGCGAATGCTGTGAGGAAGCCAAGGTCGTGAAAAGAAGAGGTTTCTATAGCGTTAATGAAGAATTTCGAGGTTTGGTTTCCTACTTGCATTCTCACTCTCTCGTGCTCATATGATGATGAGACGTTAACACTGAACAGCGTCTCCGCACTGTGAAGAAGTTGCAGCAATTATCACTTTTGTGGGATACCACGTAAGTATAACACGAAATATGCCCACAACTCTCTGTTCCATACAAATATCAATTGCATAGTGTATTGTGTAAGCCCGATGTGCATTCCAATGACGTCATGAGTACCTGCACTTCTGAAATTTATGCTTTGCGGCACACTACCATTTGTATTTACACGACCCTCGCTTGTCCCTCATCAAGGACCTCCCGGCCCCCTCTCCTGGTGCAACAAAGGGAAAAAACTCTTCTTTCCCCTGAAACTATCTTGTTCTTATTACGCCCAACAACCCAAAACTAGCATAAATATTGCTGTGAGGTGGTGATTGCATCCCGATTCCGGTCTAGGTGTCATTTTCAAGTTTATTTGGTTGGCCAGGCTGCTCTGCTTGCTGCCGTCACTCGAGACAAGCTCTTATAGGCAATTACAAACCAGCAACAAGCAAAAAAGCGCTATTTTCGCTTGGAGGTGGCGTTTTCTTCTGGAATCCCTTCAGACTTGTTAAAGATTTTACCTGGTGACTTTTTTGACGTTTATTTGGTTTTTTAGACCATTCAGATTAGTCAGATAGTCTTGTTTGTTCCGCTTGGTGCGAACTACGATCCTCTAGAAAAAGGTGGCATCGCTCTGTTGTGGCCATTTTTACGTTTTTTGACTGAAAGGCAATTCTTTTCAGCTCTTTTTAGCTCTTCTCAGTCTTTCCTCGGTCCTGCATTGAGCAAGATCTCTATCATTGTGTCTTGGTTCTGCCTAAGCTCGATCTTTGAGTTTTTTCACAGCATTCCTTCTTCCCTGAGTCTGTGTACATTTTTTCTCTGATGCCAGATCAGCCAACACTCCCAACCATCCTTACTGGAAATAAGTCGCCGGAAGTGTCTTCCGGTGACGAACATCCAATATCTAGACGTCAAACCGTCACGTTCGATACCAACAACCCAGTGGTAACCTCCAAGATGAGTTCCATTCCGAACCCAAATCCAGTGCAACTCTACAAAACCCAACCACAACGGAAAGAGTCAGGGAAGCAACAGGATATCTCGGAGTCGCCCAGCGTTCTGGCTTTGTCCTCTTTGAGGTGCCCATCTCCACCGCCAATCCTTCAACGCCACTACGAATCCGATGGTGATGTTCTTCCTATTCGCGACGAATCCGTTTCACCAGCCAAATCAATCAACTTCTCGAGCCAGCCGATCTCGCCCTCGCATTCCCTTCGGGAGACTGTTCCGGCCGGCGGAGCTGTTCTGAGGGGCCGGGCAGCTGCTCAAGCCGTTGTTGCTGCTGTTGCCGCTCAAGCGGCTCGTGATAAACGCAATCAACGCAACGGAAATAGTTCTGTCAGCAAACTTACAGAGTCCATCAATGCGGCAGAGTCTTCGCAAGAGTCCTTTTTAATTCCCCAGGGGTCGGTTGCTCACCACAAGGCACCCTCGATGCATGCCCATTTCTACGTGGAAGATGCTGTGAGGCATGCTGGTACCGGAACACGTTCCCGCAGCGGTTCAGGAAGCACTAATGAGACCAAGTCCATCGCCGAAGCATTAGTTCATGATGAGACTGCCACTGGAGCTACTACTCCTACACACTCCGTAAGACCTCAAGGAAGCTCTGCTAGTGTCAACGCACGTCTGCCACAAGATGATGGAAAACTCCACATTTTGTTTGGTGCGTGTGGCTCGATTTCCATCAAGAAGACTCGTTTGATAATAAACAAGCTGGAGGAAATCTATAAGGACAAGGTGTCTATTCAGTTGATTCTAACTAAGGCCGCAGAACATTTTGTGTCGCGCGGGGAATTTCCTGCAAACGTTCAGATATGGCGTGACAAAGATGAATGGTCCACCTGGAGTAACCGCACAGATCCAGTTCTGCACATCGAGCTAAGGCGCTGGGCAGATATCTTTATAATAGCTCCGCTCTCGGCGAATTCGTTATCAAAGATTGCTCTTGGACTGTGTGATAACCTTTTGACCAACGTGGTGAGGGCATGGAATACCCAGTATCCGATTTTGTTAGCACCTGCGATGGTTTCGTTCGCTTATACTTCTGCGGCGACAAAGAGACACGCAAAGACGATCCGTGAGGACATGCCGTGGATCGAGATTTTGAAGCCTACCGAAAAAGTTGTGAGTTCCTACGGCGAGATTGGAATGGGTGGAATGATGGACTGGAACGAGGTTGTGGACAAGATCGTCATAAAGTTGGGTGGATACCCAGACCTCGAGGATGAAGACGACGATGACAACAACAAGGACGACGACGATGACCAGGCGATTGAAGATGATGACAATGATGGGAATGATAACGATGATGATGATAACGATGATGATGATGACGACGATGACGATGACGATGATGACGATGACGATGGGTTAGTGATGGGAACGCGTAAGCTGACTGTTGCTGAGGAGGACGAGAGGGAGAGGGAGATGAGTTTGCGGCAATGAAATTTATCAATGCCTTGAAAACATTTTCAACCCCTTTTAATCCTTCTCAAAACTACCCTATTGCACGTAATGCAGCATCCTTCATGTCTTCGTTTTTTGCGTCCGATATTTTCCCTTGGTTTTCCGTGTCTACATCCTTGTTCTGCCATAACTACGCTTTGAATCCGATCGCCTAATTACACCAACAACTCGGTGGGTTGGACCTTCTTTCGCTCCGCTTTTACGCTTTTGACTGTTCGTTGTGCCACTGATTACTCTTTTGTTTGTCTATGTCATTGGCATGACACTCTGTAAGACACGCTTCTCGCTTCTAATAAAATGCATATCATCATATTTAGGCACTGAGGTTACGCTCTGAATAGTAGATCTGAGAAATTTGTGAAATTTTTTGCTGACTTCAAGGGTTAATAACCTTCTCGGACGCCTTCCCGGCCTACCGACCGGTTTGGGACTCCTTGAAACGCGTCGTGTGACACACGAAATGCTCTGCTCGCGGACGACCTCCATGTTTGTGTAAACAGTGTCGTGAAACGGGTTATCACTGCGTTTCTTTCTCTGTTTATTAAGATAATCAATCCTTCTTGCTATAGCAAACCGAACTGGTCTATATCGATACGCTGAAGACCGGAGAAGGGATATTCGGATTTAAGCCGAGCAAAGTGTTCGCTAGCTGATCTACACACAACCCAATAGGCGAGCTCTGGACTGGGACAAAAGCCGTTGTCTCCACATAACCGGGAAGAGGCTGATTTTCAAAAAGAGCACGATCAAAAGGATCAGTTATTTGAGTTTATTGGATCAAGATTTGTTTTTTGGGCGTTCCGATTTAGCGCTGGATACGTTGCCGTTTGTATAGGAGTTGAGAGGTATTCAATTGTTTTGTTAGGGGCTGCGTTTTACTTACCGGAGAGAAGGAGCCAGAGGTTCAAAAAAGAAATAGTTGAGAAACAGTTGACTGAAATCTGACAGAGAGTTTTGGAAGAGACGCTAACAGAGTTTTAAGACAGTTTGTGAACAGAGCGTGAACAGAGTGTTTTCACAGCATACCATCAGATTCTCGACAGGCTCATCAAACAATATCTCGACAGAGTCTTGGCAAAAAAGATTACCAACGGTATTAGCGGTAAGTCACGTTTTTGTTACGATATTTCACAGAGTTAGCATAGAGTGCTACTGTTGAGTATTACCAAAATTCCTTGACGGTCTCATCGTCTTCAACAGGGTCTCGCCACATTTGCACAAACTCTTCACAACATGTCTTCTGAAAACGAGTCAACTTCGCAGAGCTTAGGCTCTACAAATGTGGACTCTTCAGCCGACCTTGTGTTGCCTGCCACTCACAACTTGGCACCTTCAACGCTACCCAAGTTTGAAGACCTTCCATCCGCTACCACGCCATCCACGATGATGCCACCGGCTACTCCTGTTATGAAACAGGGTGGTTCCATCAAAAGTGAGAATAGCCCAAGTAGTGAAAGCCAAACAGTCCCCACTACGCCGTCTGCGCCGCAGTTTTCGCCTACTAGAGCCGGTCTTGGACTTCCGGTGGTTCCGAGGACGCCGGACAGACCTACTTTGTCCGAGGGACTCGAAGAAACGCCACTATTGTCGCCAATGGGCTCTGCAAAACGGCGGTCGGCTGACTTTTATTCACTGCTGAAGTCCCCGGAGAGAATCGGCAAGCAGAATTGGGATGCTGGGGTGAAGAGGAGGTCTTTGGAGTTATACAACGTGATCAATAAATCACCTGACCGAGTGGGATTTGTGTTCCATGACTCTGCCAAATCCCCAAAGAGACAGAGTCCGTACAGAGTGAACAAGAAGAACCCGGCCGAGATTAAAGAGATCTCCGAAACGCTCAAAACAAAACTGAACTACGCCGCATTGAAGGTTCAGAATGGTTGGGGAAACAAGTCCCTGGAAGAGCTGGAAAAGACAATTGACGATGCGAAGAAAGATCAAGAACCTTCTGCGACGCGTCACGAGCTGATACAGCCCAGTTTCGGTTTCAGCCGGGGTGGGATTGCCGCGAAACCGAGAAGCCCGAGTGGCTCTAAACCCGGAATGAGACTGTCACTGGACCAGGTGGCCAGTCGACCACATCAACAGAACAATAAGCATCTTCGAGTGGGAAGTAACGATGAGGGATTCGCAGATCTGGCTCTCTACAGCGCGTTGAGCAGCCGGAAAAACAGTGTTTCCCACAACGATGAAGACGTTGCCGAGAAGGAAGCGGTGATGTCGTTGATGTCGCTTTCTTCGCCTGTGAAGAAAACACCGCCTTTTCCTCTGCCAAGTTATAACGGCACTCACAGTAACGGACATAGTGTCCATGGAAGCCCGCCTCCGAGAGGTGCCTACAACTTCATGCCAAGGTCCTCCACTCAACTCCCACCATTGAGGAGCCCGTCCAGGCCCACCTACGAGAGCGCAGTGATGACGGATTCCGATGACAACGAGACAGATGTTGATGAATCGGAAATTCCGAAGACCCAGTCGGTAAAACCAATTGACGATGATGACGATGCGCGGACTGCTAGTGATTATAGTGAGGGGTGAGGCTTTCAGGAGGCAGAACTAGGCTTTTATTGGCTTTTCGTCTGAGCTACAGACGTTTTCAACAGATCACGAATCATTTACCTGTCTTTCGATTGTACCAATACCATTCCGGCTGAGCGAATCCAATCCGGAACACCGCACCACACCGATACTGTTTTTGTCTATATGTGTTATCTAATCAAACCCACTTTAATATATGCCCATTCACCATATAAGTGTGCCATGAACTGCGGCTAGTTATAATGGCTAGTCACAGTGAGTATAGTGACTTCATTTCCATTGTCCAGTCGCATCCGTATATAACGATTAGACACAAGCACCTCAATGCTAGCCCAAATGGGATGACCCCATTTGGCCATGCAGACTACATATTCGGTAGTTGGGGTTGGAATGTAGTGCAGGGACGGACCAAGCGATTAAAGGGAATTGTTGAAGCATACATTACAAGGATCTGGTGATGCTGGCTTTTTGCGAGAATCAATTAAACACTATGAAGATCCCTCTGTCGAGTCTTTTAGGACCTTGTTGACGTTCTTGGGAAGGCTTTTAATCTTGGCCATACAGCAAAAGAAGACATTCTCAGTTATTTTTAGTCAATCAGGTGCTGAAGGTTTTGGGAAACGCACCCCTCTGAAGCTTAGATGATTCCCTCAAATCTTAATCGAGGACGTGTTTTCATTTAACCCAATTCAACTTAATGAAGACTTATAGGATTTCGTGTCTGTTTGAAGGCTTGTAGATATCCTAAGCCAACTAAGCTCCAGGCTTTGCGGGGGCTTTTGTCGAATCCTCCGGATCCGGATTTTAGTTTCTTCATCTCTGTTGATGTCGGCATGTATGTCAAGGCTGTGCAATCCGTTATTCCAAATTCACTCAGGTGAGTTGTTCCCAAGGCGAATTGGGGTGAGTCGGGGTGGTGGAAGAAGCAAGGGAAGCATGAGTACGAGAGTGCAGGGTGATACGAGGCTTTTCTCAGTGCGCAAATCCTCGGAAACTCGATTTGAAGTCGCGTTTGCAAAGTAGCAAGTCACATTCTGGGATGATAGTTTGTAGTGCTCTATACCAAATTCAGACATGAACCAAGTGATCGCAAGCCCACAATCCCACAAACTCTATCGGACCCAATTATACCCATCGGCTCGGATCTCTCAGATTCACCAGCCTTGTTTCCAGCAGATGGGTTCTCTGCTTGACATTGGACGAACGGAAACATTACCGTGCTTACAGCTCGCTGTACTTAATTTGTTCGGAAGAGGAATTGATCTACAAGGCGATGGGAGTTTGCGTGGAGATTGGTGCTGCTACTCATTGGGCTGCTAGTAATATTTCCAGGGAACTCAGGTGATCGCCAATGGCCATAGCTCTGAAACTCTCAAGGTTTTAGAGGCTCGTTGAGCTTTAGAATGGTCGTGCCTTGGCAGAAATGTCGGCGTAGTGGGCCCGGTTACCGAAAGCAATGGAATGCTGCGGAAGAGTTTCAAACTGTGAATACGTGATTTACATGCTAGCTTTGAGCACGAGCTGTATAAATTTCGGATATACACAATATCTATATACCAGCTCTTGTGTAATTAGTACGTTTCCCAGGGTCGTCATGCCAAAGTCACAACATAACCTAAAAAATGCCCAAACACCCGTCGGAAACAATTAAGCGTGAGGTGCGTGATTCACTTGACGGCTCCTATCCGGTTCTATTCCTCGTGACTTTCTTTTTGCCCGAGGCGGACGAGCTAAAAATAGGTGCGTTGCCGGGGTGATGAGCTATAGGGGTGTTGTGCGGCGCGGGTCCAGTTCGATCCCGAAGACTTGGTGAAGGCGATCTACGGTATTGCATGGAATTAAACAACGAAAAAAGTGGGAAATTAAATAACTAATTGAAGTTTATACTGAAACAAACTTTCCTCACATAATCAGCCGACGATTTCGCCGCTTCCAGTATCAGATCAAGATCCACACCCACCCCTGTGTTGGGGCAATCCGGAATCATGTCTGTGGCGCATCACCTTCAATCCGGTCGCGAAATCCTGTTTAGCCCATATCCCATTTATCCCAACTCGGACAAACTTCTAATTATATCTCCCCCTTTCGAGACCGAGTTAAGCTGAGTATATAAAGGGAGCAAGTTCCCCTCGGTTTTCGCTGAGCAATTTTTCCACTAGTACATTAAACCTTTTTCAATCGTTTCTTTACACAATGCAATACAGATTGTCCTCTGCTGCCCTCTTGGGAGCCTTTGCTGTCAACTCGGTCGCTGCCGCCTACATTCCAACCGAGCCATGGTCCACCTTGACTCCTAGTGCCACTTTGGTTGGTGGAACCACTGACTGGACCTCCACTTTCGGAATCGCTGTCCAGTCTGTCACCAGCTTGGCTAAGAGAGAAGTCACCCAGATCGGTGACGGTCAAGTTCAGGCCGCTACCACCACCAAGTCCGCTAAGAAGACCGCTGCCGTCGTGACCCAGATCAGCGATGGACAGGTTCAGGCCACCACCAAGACCAAGTCTGCTAAGAAGTCCACTAAGACTACTGCTGCTGTTGTGACACAGATCAGTGATGGACAGGTTCAAGCCACCACCAAGACAACCTCCGCTAAAAAGACCTCGAAGACTTCCGCTGCCGTTGTGACCCAAATTGGTGACGGTCAGATCCAAGCTGACACCACCACCAAGTCCGCTAAGAAGTCCTCTACCAAGACTGCTGCTGCCGTTGTGACCCAAATTGGTGACGGTCAGATCCAAGCTGACACCACCACCAAGACCGCTGCCGTCGTTACCCAGATCGGTGACGGTCAGGTCCAAGCTGACACCACCACCAAGACCGCTGCCGTGGCTACTCAAATCGGTGATGGACAAGTTCAAGCTTCCACTGCCACTTCTACCGACGCTGCCGTTACCCAGATCGGTGACGGACAGATCCAGGCCTCCACCACCACTACTGGCACTGCTGCTGCCGAAGCCACTGACGGTCAAACCACCTCAGACGACTCCGAGTCCACTGTTTCTGTTGCCTGCAAGTCTGACGATGCCCTCTCTTTGGTGCTCAACGGAGGTATCTTGACCGATGCCAAGGGAAGAATTGGTTCCATTGTCGCCAACAGACAGTTCCAGTTTGATGGTCCACCTCCTCAGGCTGGTGCCATCTACGCTGCCGGATGGTCTGTCAGTGAGGATGGTTACTTGGCCATTGGTAACAACACCGTCTTCTACCAGTGTCTTTCCGGTACCTTCTACAACCTGTACGACGAGTCCATCGGAGACCAGTGTCACGAGGTTGAGTTGCAAGTTGTTGACCTTGTCTCCTGTTAAATTGTCTCAATAGGTCTACCTTTTGAAATATTGATGCTGGTCTCTTAGACAATTTACCCCATTCATTTCATGACTTCTTCAGCGTTTCTCATTGTGAGCCCCTTTGTAGGACTCGCCCTTCTTCCCCCCGCCTATTTACTTAGGCTGGTCCATTTCACACAACTTTTAATTGCTCAGGTATTGTGCATTTTTATAAGAAAAGTTTCTGGCATCGACGTTCATTTGCGTTCATATTCACTCATCATATGTAGAGACTATTTGGTAGAATTGCCACTAGCACAGATTTAGATGTTGTGGTTCGTGCACCGCAATAGTTGCACCGCCGACGTCTCCCTGACGCGTGTAAATTTGATCCCAACGACGCGTGCTTCCGGAAACCAAATTTTTGTTTTTCCTAATACGGTAAATTACTAAAACCGGATACGGTCTCCATGGATCATATTCAATGCGCAATTGTGAAATTAGAGGGCATATTTCGCTGGATTTAGGCGCTTTGGGGTGTGTTTTAGGTTCTAAGCCTTGACTCGTAATCTTTTTGCTGCCTTGTCGACGCTCCGTCGACGCTCTGTTCAAACCGTCGAGCATCTGTGGCCATCTAAGTGCATGCCATTGGCCAGCACATGAAACCTGCACAACTCGGTGGACCCGGCGGTTCATGCAATCGTTTTTCAATTAAACTGGAATTTTGTTTATTCCATTTTGACCGGTTTGCAATTGTCCGCACTTTTACTCATTTTGCCAGAATTTTGTGTGATTCTGGACTATGGTTCGCTTCTCCTACGCACGCCTATTTTTCACTATGGACCATGCTACTCCATGAAGCATATCTCACTTAACCCTCAAAAACATTATACGAAATCCCTAATAAACAATCACAATTGGTCAAAACCATTAAACCCAGTAATAAAAATTCTTAAAATCGTCACGAACCCTCGAAGCCGGTCAGAAACCATCCCACTGGCCGATCACATGGCGACTCCGCAAACCACTCCATCATGTGATGTGGACCCGTAGTCGTGCCAGTTCGTCATTCATGATCTCGTACTCTAAAACTCTCCCGTCTGTGTAAATCACAGTCAGCAGATACCTAAGCTCACTTTCATCCAGTTGCACAGCAGAAAATCCCAATAACGTAACATGCATCCGGCTCGAGATTGGCACCGCCATCCGAGGTCCCGGAAACACATACTCATGTCTGAAACCATAGCAGCCTCTATATTGCGTCAGTCTCAGTATCGCCAACTGACCCTTCTCTGTGCCCACCACAAATGCTGAGAGCTCGGGGATCACAAGACTCATAGAGATCCGGTTAGAATGGCCCGGATTGTCAGGCATGTAAGGAAAAATCTCTCCGCTAGAAGCATTGCAAACGAGTCTATTCTTTCGTAGCAACGCTACTCGTGTTGTGGTTGTCACTAGAAGGAACCCGCCATCATCCAAACTTGTATCTGGATCAATTCCCCAGTAGAGCTTTCCGTTGCTGGATAGGTGAGACTTCTCTCTGGCCCTTTGAATTCTCACGTAGTAGGTGTCGAACAACTTCCGTCTTCTCCTATACGCATCCGATATGTTCATGATACCTTCCTCTGCATTCGGTGAGCTTGCCAGGTTTGAGCGGATTTTCACTCCTCCATCCGGAACTGTATGCGCACAGGGAATGTCAAAATGTGCCAAAGTGGCTCCAATTCCCAAATGGCCTGAAATACACGGGTCCGATTCCACATCCAGGAACTTGCTCGCCAGAGAGATTTTTTTGAGGTGCGACGCTTGATGAAGAAATTGATTTCCTGTCATCGCAGGCAATGATATGACCTTTTTGAAGGCGGATAAATTGACGTGCGAAATGGTCCAAGCGTCCTCGGAAAGCAAAGACCTTGCAACGGCATGGGGCGGGTCAAGAATGACATTATTGGATATGTGCTCAGGGTGGTTTTGTAATGCACGATGGACCCATGTGAGTGTTTCCAAGTTTCCATTGCGACAGTCATTCAGGAATGAGTTCTCGGGCTCGACCTTTTGCCTTATTCTGAACTTTAACACCACAACCTCACTACTGATGGAAGCTACCGCAACTTCCACTTCAAGAACGTTCCAGCCTCCTTCGGTCTTCTTCTTGGGTGAGTTTTTCACAAAACACACTGAGGGGACATTATAAAGAAGTGGTGCTGAGCTGACAGCATGCAGCCGCTTATTCGCCACATCAACGTATACCAAGGTCACTGTTTGGGAGTTATCAGAAACAACCAGTAAGTCGTATTCAGGATAAACGTCCAATCCCCAGACCGAGGAACTGAGCTGGAGCTCGTAGGCTCTGTTCTGGTCAGATGTGTAATCAAGATCACCAGTATTCCATATCATTACCCTTCCTTCGTCAATTGCGGCTATGAGCACCTCTTTGCCGTTTAGTTGGGAAATTTTGAGAAAGTTAATGGTACGAGCATCATAAGGAGCGGTCATTGAGGCTTCTGGAAGCATTCCACCATATTCAAACCGAATTGTTTTGAACGACTCCTTTCGATTCAAAGTTCCAAACTGCCAAACCTTGATACAATTTCGATCTCCAACATACAAAGCTCGATTATCAGGTGAGTAAGCAATGACGTTACTTCTGTAATTCTCACCGAACACCTCTGATCGGAACTGGGAATGAAACGACATCTTCAGACTATCTCGAAACTTCATGGAATGCATCGCGGAGAACGCAAATGCACCTGTTTCATTCTGTTCTAAGTACTTTTCGTTTATCGGGTTGTAAATTCCAAGATTTTCGAAAATCTCCTTGCGGTCTGTGGGAGAATGGCTTTCCCACTCAAAAAATGACTCTGAAGAGTCAACTGGAAGGTATTGGCAAGACGGTATGCCAACAAGGTCTGAACTCTGACGCTTGACAATATCATCTTCTTCCTGCTCACCAGAAATGCTCACTTTTGCCATCCTCCTATAGTAAAAATCAGAATCGTCATTCTGCAAAACCGCAATCTCATCCTCCAATTTGGCACTGTCGCTATCGTAAAAGTTGTCCAAATCGGTGCACATGTACTCTCCGTGAACTTTGAATGATGGACCACTGTCATTGACTGCGTATTCGTCCTCAGGTTCATCCCATATTTCACGGTCTTCATCAGCACTCTCTTCGTATTCGTCATCGCTGTCCGGAAACATATTGTATTTCCGGCTGTGACTTGAAATATCCGTTGCTGATCTCTCATACTTTCTATAATGCTCTTTGGTGATGTTGTAGAGGTTCAAAAAGCGCTCAAATCTCCTCGTGTGGTCTGCGTCCTGGGCCTTCAGGTTGAACCTTTGAACAAAGTCGTCGCGCGACTCCTTCGAAACAGAAGGAGGTGTAATCAGTGGCGAAGTCGGCATCAGCAAAGGAGTCGAGAGCAACTTATCCCTGGCTGCTTTGTCCCGAAGGTGTGCTTCATTGAGCACCTTCTCTTGATACCGACTCATTGTACCAACCTGTCTAAACTGCCACTTTCGATGGCAATTCACCTATTTCGGTCAAATATCACCACCTCGTCAATGACTGATCACCTGGTCTCAAATAATATAGAGAACAGCCATCAGGAGAGGGTGCTCCTATTGTTTAGAATGTGACAAGAGAAGAGATACAAGAGGATATAAGTCTTGTCTAAAGGGGGGAACCGCTTACGCGCCACACGAAAGCTGGCACCCATCGCCTGGATTAGTTAAGCGCATGGTTATCGTAAGATAACAAAGGTTTAGAAGGCCAATTGACCAATAATGTGCAGTAAAATATTCAATTGTCTGTATCCATATTTTATCCGATATTTTGTGGATATTATTTTGGTTATCGTTGCCTCATTTATGCCTTTACTGGAGCACTCATGGATTTCCCTGGGTCCTGCGGCGTGGCGCATGTCGTGCGGCTCAGCGACTAGTGTCTTGTTTACAGCTGTTGTAGTTTCTTCTTGTTCAGTTTTTCTTTGTTCTTGAACTAGTTGGACCAAACTACTCATACGCAGTTTAATAAAACCAGAAAAGGGTTTTCTGAATCACTCACAATGAATGACCTCAAATCAACGCTTTTACGCTCCTTCTTGTTTGTCTTGGGAGTTACGGCGTCAATCAACCCCATCACAATCAAAGGGCGTCACTTTGTTGACTCTGTGACTGATGATCCTGTAAGAAAAAACTGCTGTTTTGTTTTCGCGCTGTCTTCTTGCAGTTCTAACCTCTTCATTTAAAGTTCTTCATCAGAGGTGTGGATTACCAACCTGGTGGATCCGCTGCCGTTTCCAAAGACAAGGATCCTCTATCAGACGCCGAGACCTGTACAAGAGATATTTTCATGTTCCAGGAGCTGGGAATAAACGTAAGAGCCGACTCTTTCTTCTGAGCTTTTCAAAAATTTACTGACATTTTGCAGACCATTCGTGTTTACTCCGTAAATCCAGAGCTCAATCACGACAAATGCATGACTCTTCTGGCCGCCGCTGGCATCTTCCTTGTTCTAGATGTTAACTCGCCTTTGGAAAACTCACATATTAATAGATACGAACCTTGGAATTCCTATAACAAGGAATATCTCACGCGCATATTCAAAGTTGTCGAACAGTTCAGTGGCTACAACAACACCTTAGCCTTTTTTGCAGGTAATGAGGTTATCAATGATGAGAAATCGGCATTGGTTTCACCGAAATTTGTGAAAGCCGTTGTTCGTGATCTCAAGTCTTATATTGAGTACAACAAACTGAGAAAAATTCCTGTTGGTTATTCCGCCGCCGATGATTTGAACTATAGAGTCTCTCTGGCGAAATATTTGGAATGCTCCAATGGCGACTCCTCCGACTCTATTGACTTCTATGGTGTCAATTCATATCAATGTAAGTGGAATATTTCTGGCATTTCATGAACATCTACTGACCAGCCCATACCTATAAGGGTGCGGTAAGCAATCGTTTCATACAAGTGGGTACAGCATTTTGGTGGACAATTATCGAGACTACACGAAGCCAATTTTCCTTTCAGAGTAAGTTCCTTGACAATTTCTTTTCACATAGCAGTCGATTAACAGTGCTCCTAGATTTGGCTGCAACGAAGTTCAGCCCAGATTGTTCGAGGAGATCCAGGCTATTTACTCAGAAACAATGGCACAGGTGTTCTGCGGAGGACTTGTGTATGAGTATTCCCAAGAACCCAACAACTATGGTCTGGTTAACGTGAACAGCGATGGAGCTGTCAAACTGAGGCAAGATTTCATCACTTTGAAGGATCAACTCGCTGACACTCCAGATCCGGATCTCCCCAAACAATCAAGAATCAAATCTTTCAGACAGAATTCGGCTTCAGCCATTCCATTTTGCAAAGATTTCTACCAAGGTCTTGGTGTCACAACTTCACTGCCAGCTTCACCGGCAGAGAGCATCATCAGACAGGGCGTTGCAGGACAGAAAGGAAGCTTTGTCCCGTTGCTTGAATCAGATTTGGAATCACATTTCCAGGTCCTCTCTCAGGATGGAAGCAACTATGGGAAACAGGTGAAAGTGAGTCTTGTTCCTCGTCCAAACCACCTGGCTTTGCGCAGCGGTAAGTGGGAGATACTGGAATTTGATTCACTCTCCGAATTCTCATCTAACATCTCATCCGATAGCTTCAGCTAAAAACTGGTTTCCACTAAGTTGGAGTCATGTGTTGCTTCTGATAGTCCCAGTTTTAGCTTTCTATATGTTTTCAAGTGCTTAGAATACAACTTCATCATATTTTCTTGTGGAGCAACATCCCCTTCGATGTGTAGACGCTTACCTTACATGCTTCGCCATTGAACGGGTTCAGCAATTGTCTCCAATCACGATCTTCTGCGTCACGAATCAGGTTAGAGTTGTTAGAAGTCAGAACGATTGACAGCTCGGATAGTTGAGATAGTCTGGTGAAGAACCAAAATAAACAAACCTTGTAAGAGCTGAAATCTAGCGAGTTGGTGGGCTCTCTGGGAACATTTGCCATGTTGAGGAAATCCACATTGATGAGTTCGAGCTTCTTTAACCACGGAAAGTTGCACAGTAGAGCGAAAAATCCGTCAAAACTGCCGGAATATTTATGGAGAAAGTTCTGAAATACTCTGGAGCCAAAATCAAGCAGAATAGTGTCAGCAGAATGGAAGGACGTCACCACCGTTAGGTCGGACAGGTTCTTGATGCCGTAGAGCTCTAATCGCTTGACCTGGCAAAAGTACTTGGGTAACCTCTTCAATGCTCCTGGTTGGACGGAACAGCCACTCAGAACTAAAACTTGGCACGCAGATGCATAATTATCTTTTATGGCGTCATCCCTCACAAAATCTTCTGAATTGGCGTCGTAGAGATACTTGGTTGACTGTAGTGACTGTGAGTCAATGATCATATTTGACAGTCGTAGCTCTATGAATTGGCCAAAAGTCCAGAGTAAATTGGACCTGAGCGGAATGGACCAGCCACTTGCAGAAGACAAATCCAGCCGTTTAACTGAAAATTTCGGGACAATCTCTCTCGCAGACCCGTACCATTTTCTGTCTTTGGCCTCCAGCCTTTTGCAAAGGGCAGTCCACGAAGGAAACTCAAATCTGGGAGGAATATCCAATATAATCAGTTCTTGGAGATTTGGTAAAAAAGACATGTCCATTAGACAATCAACGTAGTCTCTCTCTATGGCATTGTTTCTACTCCCGTAATTCACTCCTATCGTTCCCATACTAACATCCATCGAGTCCATGCGTAAGGCAGGCGAGGTCAGCACCAACCTGGTAATAATGGGTATTATGCGGTTTCCAGATTTTCGCAGCAGTCTGTTGAAGCGCTCGATATTCGATCTTGAATCCAGACGAACTTCCTTGAACAAAAATTCCTTCCTTATAAGGTCGTTCAGAGTTGTGCAGGTGAGCGAAAGAGTAATCATGCTGTGCGTGTCAAGCTTTCCCACCACCAGTACTAGCAGTTCTGACGGTAGGCCCAACAAATGTCCCGAAGAATAAACCAAAGGCTGCTGTCGCTGGGGATTCTGGACTTGTCTCTTGCGACCAATAAACTGTAATCTTCTCATGTCTGTCGATCTGTGGTGGTATTCTGTAGAAAATTGTATAGTGAGGGAGGATGCAAGATGGCGATGAGGAAACGCAGAAGGATTTCATTCCCCGGGGTTATCGAGGGTGCGACAGGCGGGTAAGACTTGCGTTTAGCCTGAACACGCACCAATTTTGCAGAAAATAAAACTTTATTGACTTCTTATCGGCATGAACTATGGTATTCCCGCTTTTTGGAAACTATTTTTTTTCTCCTGGCCCAGAAGTACTACTTTAGACTCAAATGCAGCCATTGCAAGGCTAGCTTGGTGCGGTGAATTTTGTTTATCGCACTACATAGGGAAGAGTCTGTCTTCTGTTTGCACATGGTAACGGCTGGGGTAATTCCTTCCATGCTTGTTCATTTCCAAAATCGCAAATGCTGCAATTGACAAACTCGTTAAGCTCGCAGTTATATCTGCTGTCTCTGTGGGTTACAGGGCTTTTCATCCGGTACACGCCGTCGTGGTTGTGGGTAGTGGTGGAAACAGCAATGGACATATTGTTGTTCTGGGCCCATAAGATATTCCGAATGTTGGTAAAGAAGAGACCGATCAGCGTTGCTACAAGAAGGCTTGGCGAATGCAAATCATACTCTGAATGGTCCCAAGTGGCTGCTCATATTGACAGCTTGGACGGCGGGAATCTCTGGAGACGTAACTTCATTAGCCGGCTGTATGACTACGAGTTGATAAACGATAGACTTTTGACTTTGCAAGATGCTCGGTTGAGGGGCGATTACTTGAAGATTATATCTGTGTTCAGGGCGGGTTTGCTGCGGAATTTTGGCGGAATAGCTGCCAAAGAGCTATACACAAGGGCGTATTCTGGAACAAAGACACTGATAGAAGAGTATATCGACGAGGTACTGGAATGTCTGAATTTCATCCACGAGTTTGAGTCTGATGAAGACTACAGCACGATCTCCAACTTCAACCAAATCAAGCTTGACTTTTTCCATGATGCTAGACAAACTTTTGGATCAACAGCTTTGATTTTGCAAGGCGGTTCGCTATTTGGACTCTGCCATCTGGGGGTGGTGAAAGCTCTTAACGCAAAGGGCTTGTTGCCTCGCATAATATCGGGAAGTGCAGTTGGTGCGATTGTGGCTGCTTTTGTGTGTGTTTTGGCAGATTCTGAGCTCTCAGACATATCCTCAATCACAGAGACTCTCATTGCGTCTGAGTCGAAAGACTTCTCTGAAAGCACCACTGGCGACATAATAGAGTATGTTACCAGGAACGGCTACAGCCACGATATTCTGACTTTTGCGAAATACGTTCGCCAACGTCTTGGCGATTTGACTTTCGAGGAAACCTATCTCAAGACAGAGAGAATCCTGAATGTTCTCGTACATCCTACGGATGCGTCCATTCCGCCTCTTCTGAACTACGTCACCACGCCCAATATCGTGGTGTGGTCAGCATTGACTTGCTCAGTGGGAGATGGTGTTTTCATGGACTCACCATGCCTCTACATAAAGAATCAGGATGGGGAAATCAGGCAGATGGAGACATATCGTGAGTGTCACTTTCTGACCCCACATCAAGCCAGCGATGGAATGAGCATGCACGAGCCTCATTCAGAGCTGGCCACTTTGACATCACCATATACCAGATTGACAGAACTCTTCAACGTGAACCATTTTGTGGTTTCTCTTGCAAGGCCGTACCTGTCTCCTCTCATTGGAAATGATCTAAAGCACGGGTCTAACTGGTACCCTGAACGGCTTCTGAAGACAGTGCTTGGATTGGAATTCCAGCATAGGGTTAACATGTTGGACAGAATGGGAATCCTGTTCAGCTGGATAAAGCGACTGGCAATCGATGAGAAAACACCTCGAAGAAACGCTTCTGGAATTACCATTGTGCCTGGCATCAAGACCTTGGTCCGTGATTTCGGTCGGGTGTTTGACGTGAACAAGTCCAACGTGAATATTCCCTATTGGATATTAGTTGGAGACCGCAGTGTTTGGCCACTTTATCCCATTTTGTGGACGCGGATAGCTATCGAGTTCGCTCTTGACGATTACTATAGTTTGCATAGAAAGATGTGAGAGGGATAAGGGATCATTCGGTTGATTGAGCTTTGATGGTGGTGGGTAGAGAGTTGGTTTCAATTGGTTTCGTTTGGTTTCGTTTGGTTACGTTTGGTTACGTTTGGTTTCATCTGAGTTTAATTTTTAGTTGGTTCATTTATTTCTGGTATATCATGCACATTAATCAGTTCGGTGCTTTTCATTTGAAGAACAGCCTTGCACTGCCTTCCTTATTCAACAGATACAAATAAGCACCTTCCTGAACTTTCACATCATCAAGTGGAATAGGACCTTTGCTCACAGTTAAAACCCCAGTAGCGTCATTTGCATGGCCAGTTTCCAGCGGATGTATGTCAATTATGGTATTTGCTCTGTGGAGAAGTTTCAACACCAATGAACTATGTTTTCCACGCAGTCCGTTTCCGTCCTGAATTGAATGGGCTTCTATCAAAGGGCGATCTATTGACATCACCAAGGTCAAGTTAGTCTTTTCGTTGAGCTTGTGTAAACTTAATAGCAGATCGTCAACCTCAATATCTATGGTGTGGAGTAGCAGTTCTGGGGCCTCTATTATCAAGCTAGGCTTTGCTCCTTTGGCAGCCAGTTTCTGAACTTCGGTTGAAATCTTGTCAAAAACATGTTTCAGCGATTGCTTGGGATCTGCCCCTCTTGAAAGCACATGCATCAGTTCTTCCATCAGGTCCAGGTACCTGGCATTACCAGTTTGACTGGCAATATCCAATCCCAAATGCTTCTTCCAAGTCTTGGAATAGAACGCCGCATCTTGGTAAAAAGATGCAAACAAAACTGGTGATCTGGGTTCATTGGCGCTAAATGCCAGATTTGTGCCCAAACCCGGACTGAAATGGCATGTTCCAAGAAGACAGTTCTCCGCAACACCTGTCAAGAGCCATGAAGGTGCAGTTCCTTGTATGTGTGTGATTGCAGTCAATGAGTTGTATTCACCCCGCAACAGTTTTTCCGACACTATTTGGCCGTCATTATACACCACCAGGTCCTGCTGCTGTAGCTGGGATGTCATATCTCAACATTTTATGACTCTCTCTAATAAAGGTCTAAAACAAAAAAATCACACAATAAGCGGGCCAATAATTAGGTCGTGTGCTGACCGATAATTTGAAAATTTCAATTTTGCCAATTCTTCAGACGAGTGAACGAACAAGACAAGCCCTTCAATATCAGACAAGACCCATAATTTGCACAATGTCATCTACCTTGCCAGCTCCAGCATCGGCTGCCAGTCCTTCATTCAAGGCTGCTAAGACTTTTTCCCCAGCGGTCCGTCGTCCCATTGAACCCGTTGGTCGCTACTTTCTCGCCCATGCCCTGAGAGCCTCCAGAGGTCACTCCTGGTCCGAGTACGAGAAGATCGAAGCCGAGAAGAACGTCAAGACAGTTGACACATCTGTTGATGAAGACGACTTTGACGAAGAGCAGAGCGAAGAGCTGCTGAAGCACGATCCAAGAGACTGGAAGAGTGCCGATTTGTATGCGGTTCTTGGGTTGACCAAGTACCGTTGGAGAGCAACACCAGAGCAGATCACCAAAGCCCACAGAAAACAAGTTCTCAAGCACCACCCTGACAAGAAGGGTGAGGCAGGTGGACTGGACCAGGATGGATTTTTCAAGATCATCCAGAAGGCGTACGAGACCATGCTTGATCCAACCAAAAGACAGCAGTTTGACTCGGTTGACTTCAACGCAGATGTTGAGGTTCCTCCAGCCAAGAGCACTTACGATTTCTTTGAGGCCTGGGGCCCAGCTTTTGAGGCTGAGGGAAGATTCTCGAAGAAACAGCCCGTTCCAGCTTTGGGAGACATGACTGCCACCAAGCCAGAGGTGGATGCCTTCTACGCTTTCTGGTACAACTTTGACTCGTGGAGATCCTTCGAGTTCTTGGACGAAGATGTTCCAGATGACACCGCCAACCGTGACCACAAGCGTTACATCGAGCGCAAGAACAAGGCTGCCAGACAGAAGAAGAAGAACGAGGACAACAAGCGTCTGGCTGAGCTCGTCAAGAGGGCTCTTTCTGAGGACCCACGTATAAAGCTGTTCAAGCAGCAGGAGAAGGATGAGAAGGCCCGTAAGAAGTGGGAGAGAGAGGCTGGTGCCAGACAGGCTGCCGAGGAGGCCAAGTTGAAGCAGGAGGCTGAAGAGAAGGCCAAGGCTGAGGCCGAGCTCAACGCTAAGGCCTCCAAGGAGAACTCCAAAAAGGCCAAGGAAGCTGCCAAAAACGCTAAGAAGAAGAACAAGCGTTCCATCAGAGCCTCTGTCAAGGACGTTGATTATTTTGGTGAGGCTGCTCAGGCTGATGCCATAACTGCTGATGTCGACATTCTCATCGAAACCTTTGACGATCTCCAGCTTGGCGATGTTGCAGCGAAGGTTGGTGGTGTCACTGATGTTGCTGCCGTTAAGACTGCCTTTTCTGATGCTGCTAAAGAGCAGGTTGCTGCCGGAAAGGTTTCTGCTTCGTCGTTGAAGTACTTTGTGTAAGGGTCATAATAGACAATGTTCGTAGAGGCATTGGCATAATCTGAATAAAGTTTTATTTCGAAAAGAAGAATCAATACGGTTCCAGACTCTACATGGTAGTCAATACTGTTCCAGACGCTACACGGTAATTTAGACTCAAAACCAAGTCTTAATTTGATGCGTTATAATATGCTAAATATCTTGTTCATGATTAAAGGCCGAGATTTCATGAAATTTCACGATATGTTGTCTCATGTTGGACCCAACTCTGGTAGCCAGACAGCTTGAAGGAGCATACTGTATGCCAATTCGTCCACTCCAGAGGCCGATCTCCTTCTCTTTTATTTCTTCTTTGCTTTCTTGTTCTCTTCGTTTACCTCCAAAAAAACCATCTCTTTTCAGCCTCAACAGCCCCACTTTTCCTCGCATCCAGCAGGGCCTGGATCTCACTTTCCAATGCACGAACCTCAACCCCATGGGCCTCTATCAATTCTTCTCTCTCCAGCAACAACCAGCAATATTGCAGTCCTATATACATCGTTGACCCCACCAGTATGAGATTGAAGAACGGGGTTATCACATCCCAGATGCTCAGTTTATTCTGCTTGAGTTAGTATGGCCCAGAACGCTCTCAACATTATCTGAGAATCAAACGTACCTCGTCAACGCCGGCCCGCTCTTGTTCTTGCTCCTGCAATTTCTGTTTCAGTCTCTGGATTTTGGCGTCTATCACATGACTCTGTGAGGGAATAGTCAACGGATCTTGAGGAGTGTATAGAGGTTCTTGGGCTAGCTTCGCTTTTGCCAACACCGTAGTCTGGAGCCTCACGAGCCGACTAGGCCCAAAAACGACTCCACCTGAGCTAGAAGATAGTCGACTTCTCTTTGTCCAGCTCTGTTTCAACATAATAAATGGTTTTGTAGAAGTATATATATGTGCTTGAAAAGTGCTTGAAAAGTGCAGTATGCACTGTTAGACGATGACGGTTTTGAGCCGTGAATTGGTTGGAGCACACTTAAGCAAATAAGACGAATATCGCAATTCTCGGTGTCTTTTAAACATGCTAATATACAGGTTTTAATAAGGGTTTGAGGTTCTGGGCATGTTTTAGTATACAATAATTGGTCATTTGAAAGCCGTTAATTCTGTGGACTAGCATGCTGGTTGAGGGCTCTACTCCAGTAGCTGATGGCCCCAATCGAGCCTTGGAGCTACATTCCCAAACCACCTTTCAACCCCAATGAAAAATACCCATGATTTCCAAAAATGAAACCGAAATTTCGGATTTTAAGACGTAGTGCACACTGAGCAAGAACCCACAAGCCCACATTCATGGCATCTTATCCATGGGAGCGCAGTCAACGCTCACACTTATTCTTGGGACTTTTCAAAGATCTGTTGAAGGTTGAATCTGCACAACTCCTCGTACTCCTTTCCATCAACAATGGCCATACCAATGTTGCTCTTGTAGCCAGAAACCAGAATGAGTTTGTCTGGATTCTTGAGATCAACCGAATGGCCTCTATCGTTTCCAACGATCTTAGCAACGATTCTGGTGATGGTGGGTTGGTCCAAAGAATTGAAGTTCCGCTTGGTCACGCTCACAGCAAACTTGTACGGTTTCTGTTCTCCCTCGGCTCCGTGAAAAACGGGTGCTATCAGCGAAAGAGCCATTTTCTGTAGCTCTTCTTCTGTAGGAGTGCACGAATCATCGATTGGAGTGAGACGCAATGTGAATCTGGTGCTCTTGGTCTTGGAGTCCAAAGAGTCTCTGCATAGTCTTTGCACCAGCACTGAGGGTATTATGGGACGTCTTGTTTTAATAAATACCAGACAGTCACAACCAAGATCTATACTCTTGACAATTTCTTTGGACTTGTTGTCAGTTTTTGGAGTGGAAATATCGCTCAGCTCTTTCTTGATAGCGTCTTCCACCGAGAGTTCCTCAGAGGCTTCCTCCTTGTCTTCGACGTCTTCCTTGTTCTCCGACATATCGAAATATTTCTCGATATTATCTCCGAAAAGTATTCTCAGCTCCTTGGCACATCCCAATTCTTTCCCTCTCTGACATGTGGCCAAAACGCCATATTGACCTGGTTCAATTATACCAGTCGCTAGTTTGAACTGGGTTTGAAGAGGTTAGTCCACCATGAACATCCATACCCTCGGGGTTTGCACATAAACCAAAATAGGGACTCACCTTCTTCTTCTGTCCTCCAGAATTTCCATTTGCGCCTCTTTTTCCCATTTTTCTCTCTATAGTTGTGTAAGAGCAATGCTAAGAAAGAGCTCTGTTGGTGTAACCATATAGCCCTAAGAATTTTTCATCCTGCAGAGGGCGATGAGCTAGGCAGGTGGGCATTGATGGGAAAGCCCGATAAGAGTGAAACATTATTTATCAAGAGTGTGTTAATTCACACAACGAAAATATATCAGATGAACGATACGCGGCAAAATAATGTGGCCGCTTGCTAGTTTTATTCAATTTTTACCCATTCAAAATTCTATGCTAGTTGTCGTCTGGCTCTCGTGATTCGTGGGGTTTTGTGATTTTTCATCTTCCTCTTCCTCCACGGGGATACTCCATTCCTCGATCTCAAACCTCTTCCTACCGTTTTTGAAGGAAAACTCCATTTCCTTGATGGTCATCATTCCCAGATCAGATATTAACGGCTGTTTTGTGATGTTCAAATGACCGTGTTTGATCTTGGTCGGCTGATTTTTGTACACTCTCTCCATGTACTCGTACAGTATTGGCTCGAATGGCTTCAGTTCCAGCACACCATCCACAAGCTTCTCCATCATTGCAACGATAGCAGAGTCTCTTGGGAACAGATCCAAATTGAGAGAAATCACCAAGGCCGTGGATCTCGCATACTTTCTGAGTAAAGCCCTTAGCGAATACAAGAACGCTATCACTTGCTGGTGCTGACACAATCTCATATCAAAAAGAGCAGGGTTCAGAAAAGAGGGCACGATTATTCGTACTACCTTGTCAATATTATGCTTCACAATTGACTCCAGTTGCTTTGTGGTACTCTGGAGCGAATCGCCTATACTTAGATAGGTGATCTCGGAGGAATTAGGTGACGGTATCAATGAAGAGGTGATGTCAAACGTATGCGTATAGTTCGGGTGTGTGGAAACACTGGTATCGTTATTCTTGGCCTCTTTGGCTCCGCCATATCTCCATGCAATCTTCATGTCACGATTTGGGGCATTTTCATTCGACAAGTTCGAAACACTGATCTTGGTCTCGTTTTGCTGTATCTGCATCTTCTTCTGTTCGCGTGAGCTTCCTTTGTACAACCCTGGAAGAGCCTTTGCCCATGATTGGTCGGGACCTATTACAACGATATGTGTATTTGGTCTCTGTGGATCCAGTCTATTGTGGATTATTCCCTGAGATGCAAATAGTTTGAGTAGGGTGGAAGAGAAATCGGTCGTTCCATTTTCTTCGAGCAACAATGATTGGCCCAATGGAAGACCATCATGACCCAGGACTCGGTCCAGGTCGGCCGATCCAGTGGATATAGTTGGAACAGACGAAAACACCGAAGGTTTTACTCCCGGATGCTTCAATGGTATATTTTCATGCGAAGCGGGTTTGGCTCCTAAAGGTCTAGTAGCAGTGGGGACAGGTCTTCCCACAGCAGGTCCTCTCTGTACAGGAACGACACCAGGCGGGCTCCTCACCGGAACGGCAGATCCAACTATATCTCCCCTTCTTCTGAAAGACATTTCACTTCGCGGCTGGTTCTGAAAGTGTTCAATATGGCTTAGTCTGTCTGGTATCAACCTCTTGCGGCAACAAGCATCTGAAAAGATTTAGAGAACCGGGCCCATCTTGGCAGACCATCGGAAAATATTTAGGTGCCCGGAATCATGTGGCAGAAACGCATTGTTAGCCCTGTTTTTGCCATCTTCCATAAGGCAAGATATATCTAAGTCTACCACCACTTCATGGAATCTATAAGGTTTTTGAAATAGTCAACTCGCAAAATGAGCTCCCCTGGCTTGCCACATAACCCGGAAGACAGCGATGATGCCGTTACCATCACGCCTGACGATGAGCCCAGGTACAACCCAACACAACTGATATACAACAGAGAGACAGGACTAGAGGGGTCCACGCTTTTGAACGGAGAGACAAACGGCTTGACCGAGGGGTCCAGTTCCACTTTGGCCAATGGGTTTCCTCGACAATCAAGCGATTTGATGCAGTCGCACCTTCAGCAACTACAGTATAACGAGCACAGGATCTCTCTCAACAGATCAATTGGCTCTGCACTGGGGATCTTGGGTGAACTTCGCGCCGAAAACAGCAAGCGTCCTATTTTTTACCCGACAGATGCTGAGGATTCGAGCAATTCGAAACTCATAGGTTCCTCTTCCAGATTGGCGCTGATAAGGCAAAATTCTCTAGCTCCGGCCCAGAACTTAATCCACAAAGCGACGGAGATTAAGGACGTGGAGCAATTTGAACTTCTCACGATCAATCTGAAACTCGACCAGACGTCTGGTGTGAATGCAATTTCTTCGCTGGATCGTACGGGACTGGCGTCACTCTTCAATGACAAAGTCAACCATGTGATGAAGCACTTGCAGGCCCTGAAGGAGAGAATCGACGATACTTCCTCAAAAGTCTTCGTTACTGGTGATTTGAACTCGGGTAAATCTGCTTTTTGCAATGCGTTACTGAGAAGAAGACTGTTACCTGAGGATCAACAACCGTGTACCAGTGTATTCTGTGAGGTCATAGATGCTCGTGATAACTCGGGTGTTGAAGAGGTGCATGCCGTTTCAATTGGGCAGGCTTACAACCGCAGAAAGGAGACCTCATACAAGATTTTCGGTTTGAAAGATCTTGAGGATCTGGTATACAGATCTGATCTCTACTCCATATTGAAGATCTACGTCAATGATAACAGACCCATTGAACGCAGTCTGCTGAAAAACGGAGTGATAGACATATCTTTGATTGATGCTCCAGGTTTGAATTTAGACTCATACCAAACTACTCAAGTGTTTTCCAGGCAAGAAGAGATCGATCTGGTGGTTTTTGTGGTGAATGCTGAGAACCACTTCACACTGTCAGGAAAAGAGTTCATTGCTTCAGCAGCTCACGACAAGAATCTCATGTTCATTGTGGTCAACAAGTTTGACAACATAAAGGATCAGGACAAATGCAGGCACAAGATTATGGATCAGGTGCATGTTCTTTCTCCGGAAACTTATAAAGATGCTAGTGAGTTCGTCCATTTCGTCTCGTCCGCTGATGTTTTGGAAGGCTTGCCAGAAGGCGGGCCCGATGGTGACGCCGACGGAAAGGATGATAATGACCCTCTGGATTACGATTCTCCTGAGTTTGACCATTTGGAGGCTTCTCTGAGGCGGTTTATACTGGAGAAGAGGTCAATCTCGAAACTTTTGCCCGTCAAAACATACCTGGGCAAGCTTTACTCGGATCTGGGTAAACTGTGCGTCATTAATGAAAAGCTTTATTTGCAGAGCAGAGACGACATGCTGCTCGAGCTCAATGCCCTTACTCCCAAGTATGAACAGGCAGTTGCTGAGTCCACCAAAATCCATGATCAAATCCAGAAGGTGATTGAATCAACCTCGGCCGACGTGTACAGCTTCTCCAGAAACAAGATCACCAACACTGTCAATGCCATCAAGGATATGCCTTTGGCCCAATACAGAGGACTTGCAAGTTTGTATGTTTTTGCTAAGGAAACGCAATTCCTCATGATCAACGAGCTTCTCAACTCCGTTACCGACTCTGAGAACTATGCCAGAAAGAGGACGGGTCTGGCTGTGGATGAGATTCGCCAGATTGGAATAACGCAAGTGGCAAGTGCAAAGCTTCCCAACACGAGGTTCAAAGAAGAGGCCATGTTTACGAAGAAGTACCACAACCTGAGAAAACGTCTTAACGAGGACATATCGCCTTTTGATTTTTTCGATCCCACTTTTGATGGTTTCTTCAGAGCTATCGGTCTCTTGAGGGGCGGCACGAGCTACCAGCTCCAGGTGTGGAAGAGCTCTGCCAGTGCTATGGCAGTGTACTCTTCAACTAGAGTCTTGCAAAATGGGGTTGCTGTTTTGAAAAACGTCGTTTCAGTCAGAGACATCCTCTCAGTTGGATTTTTCAAGAAGGTGGTAACCCCTGTGATTTTGACTGCTGGGGCCCTGTCTGTGGCTTACTTGGTGTATGATATGCCAAATGCATACCAGAGGAAGACCGCCAGGAAGATGAGTCGTCAAGTTCAAGAGGAGGACTACCAGCATGCCAATTCTTCAAGAATTGCAAAAGAATGCCGAAAGGTGTTGGCATATCCATCCAGGGACGTCATGAACTGCTTGCAGACATCGCTCGAGGAGACTGCTACCAAAAAGAAGCAGATCACGGAATCCTTAAAGAACAGTGATATGAGTTATGATTTCTACAGAAGATTGGCCAAAATGATCACCACACAGAAGACCCAGGTTGAATCTTTTAGCTTTGAGGCTCTTCACAGTGTTGATTGAGACTGCTTGTTTTGAGCTGATTCTTCAAATAGGCTTGTACATACCAATAATGACGAGTTAATGTGTTTGATTAACTTTATTTGCGCTCGGCCCAAAGATAAGCCAGGCCAACCCTGGTCCCTCTGGCTGCTTGTTTGTAGGCCCAGGCCTTGGGGTAGTGTATTCCAGTATTTAAGGGTGCACGCAGAGGAATTAGGCTATCTAGGTCCACGTAATCCACCGAGCGGGCAATAAGCGGAAACACATAACATTCAGCGGTATCCATACTTTCAGAAGAGTTAATCACAAAATAAAGAGGCTCTAATTCTTCTCCTTGCCTCCTAACTTTAGGACTGTCCAGGCATCAAAGGTAGTGTATTTCACAAAAACGCCTATAATTAGAACCAAAGCGTCCAAAAGTAAACAAACCGTGGGCGTGGGCGCGCTAATTGTTGGTGGGAGAACGCCAGTTTCAAAAGCTGACATTGTGTCCTCTTTTGGGCTTATTAAGATCTACAACTGCTTTGATTAAAATTGGCTTTTTGTTTGCGAGAATTGCCATTGGCGTCTATCCGTTGTTTAAAGGTCGTTCAAGCACTGAAGCTCAGAAGAATTTCACCAAGTGTTCTTAGCATTGCATACTGATCTCGCCTGATCTGTCTGACACATTTCAGCTTCCTGAAACTTTCAGACCTCGCACATCACTGCAATAGCTGCACGAAGCATATCCGGAACTTACCCGCTCTCAAATCAATACACAGACCAAATGTCTTTCAGAGGACTGGACTCCAAGAGATTCCCCACATCAGAGGCTGGCTTTGGGGGACAAAGCAGGAAAGCCACAGCCTTTGCAGAAAGACTCGTTGACAGCAACAACCCTTATGTCGCCAAGTTTGAGGAATTTGCCTCATCTGTTGAGGAGTACGTCGATACCCATTTCGACTCAATCAAGCCATATGTTCCGGCGATTGGAAGGTTTCTGATTGTTGCCACATTTCTGGAAGACTCGGTGAGGATCTTCTCACAATGGGACGACCAGGTGTACTATCTAGCCACGTTCAGACATCTGTGGGTGTGGTTTGTGAAGCTTTTTCTGGTCTTCAACATCTCGTTGATGGTGAGTGCTTCCGTCATGATCATCACCAGAGTCAAAACCGAGATAGCCGCGTGTCTATTGACAGCGGTAGTGGTTTTCCAAGGCTTTATCTATGGCTTGTTCTTTGATCCTGTGTTCTTCTTCAGGAATATCAGTGTCGTAGGAGGGTTGTTGATAGCTCTGTCAGATTCCCTGGTGAGAGACAAGAGATTTTTGTCTATGCCAGGCTTGCCCATGGTGGAATCGAAGGACAACAAGAAATACTTCTTGCTCGCAGGAAGAATCATGCTGATTCTGTTGTTTTTGGTGTTTGCATTTAAGACCTCCTGGTCGTTCTTCAGGCTGTTTGTGGTTCTGGTGGGATTCTTTGCCTGTAGCGCTGTGGTTGTTGGCTACAAAACCAAATTCGCGGCTGTTCTTCTGGTGGTGCTATTCTCGATCTACAATATTTCCTCGAACCACTACTGGACATACGGCCAGAGGGATGCCAGACGTGACTATCTGAAGTATGAGTTCTTCCAGACACTGAGCATCGTTGGCGGGCTGCTGATCATCCTCAACACGGGTGCTGGTGAGCTGTCTCTGGATGAGAAGAAGAAGATCTATTGAACACTTCAATTCAACTGATTCCAATATAGTAGTTTCGAAGCCGTAGTCGTTGGTAAACTTTCACGAGTCCACTGGTTATTAATACAGATGTTTTGGTTGGTGCACTTCAATCAGTATTTGCCCCCACACCACTTCGATTCTACGTCACTTGATCCTTTCCTAATGCCTCAATACATCGCAGCTCCAATAGTGTTGATTCGACCATTAACGCAGCCATGTCCGAAGCAAACCAGCCAAGAGGAATCCTCAGAAATGCGCCTGACCGGCCTACCTACAAATCTCCGGAAGGGAAGACCGAGGTATCTGATATTGACCGCAAGAAGGTGATTGAGAATACCATGTTGAATGCCAAGTTGACTGCTGATTCCAAGGAGGCTAAGGCCATTCTTGCAGAAATTGCAGACAGAAAGAAGAACCCCTCGAATAGTCTCAATGCTGATCATCTGCAGTGGGATGAAAAGAATCTGTATCAGACAGAGCAAGAGAAGAACGCTACTATGAAAATAGATGAGCCCAAGACGCCATACCAAGGAGGCTTCGATCCCAACAACGATTACTATAGAACGGATAACGAGGACGATTTGGATGATCCGGGATTTACTCTGGGAGAGCCAGAAGTTCAGCTTTCAGAAGCACCCAAGATGGAGTCACTCAATGGAGGAACCATCATAAGGGATGAAACACAGCCGGAAGAGGAAGAAGAAGAAGGGGAAGAACAAGAGGAAGAACATGAAGAACCCGCTAACCTGTCGGCAGAAGAGAAACATAAAAGATTCGAGATGATGAGGAAACAGCATTACCATTCGAAGGGAAACGTGTTGCATCAACCGTTGCCAGCTGAAGATGAGGAGGAATAAGAGGAGAACGAGAAGAGTAATGCAGTGTTTGAGCTTCTACCGGGAAATCCTCGTTCAATCTAATCTGCAATATGTTTTTGGATAGTTTTTCGGCCTGTCCTACAATGTGTCCTTCGATGTGTCCTACGACATGTCCTACTGAAATTGCATTCCCAATTTCACCTATTTATTCCCTGTTTTCAAAATCATAAATCATTTGCCCTTCCTTGCTTTCGAAACAACTATTGCACTTGGAACTCTGTTGGACTTTCTCAGCTGCTCCATTTGCTTCAGCCGAGTCTCAATCTGAGCAGCTTCGGCGTCGTTGCCGGATGACATCTCCTGTTGTTCTAGCCTTGCAATTGAATCTGTATAATTGTGTTTCCAAGAAGCGTATTCTCTGTAAGACTTGAAAAACTTCGCACCAATGGAGTCCTGTTTGGTGATGTCAAATGTGGCCTGATCTTTGATGGCTTCGTTATCAACACATGACCAGACTCCACAGCGGTCGTAGATAACAGTGCCGTTGAGCTTCTCACATAGAGAACACTCCTCTCGCGTTGGAACGGCTTTGGAAGAGAGTTTTAGCCCAATCTCGGATTGGTGCTCCTTCTGGGGGACTTTCAGCAGATCCTCAAATGGGAAAAGATACTCCTGTATGATCTCCGGCAGCCACCTGCCCAGATAAAAGTGGTTCATGTTGATGAGAGATGTGTAGTGGTGCTCGGAATCCAAATTTGTAGGTTTCTTGGGGAAATGCGTGTAGAAGGAATTGGTCCTATCAGGGACCTCACCTCCTGTACGCCATATCTGCTCGAAGGTGTCGTTGTCTTTGGACATGTATTTTTCCAACCAAATTTTGACTCTCCTTTTGTTTCGACTCACCACGTTCCAGTACTCTGTATTTGTAGGAAGGGAATATGCTGGGGGTTGTTTCTGGAGCGCCTCGATCTCATCCTTGTGAACAGAGTCATCAGCTAACATCTCGTAAACAGCGACACTATATCCCTGTTAGACCAACCCTGAATTATAAGAGTTATGAGACTCCTGGAAGTGAAATTCTATCAACTATTCTCGATTCTTATCAAAGTTCACCTTTTATACAAAGCGTTAGACTAGTGTTTTGACGTACGATAAGTCAAAATAAATTTTAGCCCGACGTCGGCATCGCACATCGTGCATGCGTTAGTGGGGCACATTAAGAGGGGACAACAAACTCAGTAGGTGTGACAATAGCGGTAGGCACGATGAATTAAAACGTGGAAAAGTAAGCTTTTTGACATCAAATCGCGACAGCTGTGTCGCATTGAATATCAGCATGAATATTCGAAGATGACATTCAGACATGTCGTTCAACAGGTTATTACAGTAGATATTAACTATGGCAGTGTGACAGAACCCCATCTTTAAAGTTGGCCTCCTTTTCCATACGCAAGTCTCATACCAAATTGTTCAGGAGCCTCACTTGGCCAAGCGAGCCAAAATGCTCGTCATCTTCATAAACAAGCTCTTTTCAGCTGTTTGGAAACGGAAGAAATCCGAAGACTAGCACCAAACTGTCTTCTAGCAGAATTTGGGACTGCTGTTTCCCTGAGACACCACCCAGGATGCGACAGAAAGGAGCTTTATCTGTCTTCCAATATCCAAATCGGATTTTGTATCCAAATGCCAAAGTTATATCTCAAACGTTGCCTCCTCCGAGTCTGCATCGAAGAAAGACGCGAACGTCACCACAGTACCATACACAAGCAGACCACCCGAAATGGTGAGTACGGTTGCCACTTTCGTCAAAATGTGACAATGGTTTAAAATCAATGGAAAAGCAATACCTGTGGTGAGCAGGAATGAAGACAGAAACCTTCCTAGGTCAATGGCATATCCTGCAGCCTCGCTCATGAAGTCGTCATAGTTGTTTTCGAAATGCTGTGTTATCAGAATGGGCAAATGAGCAAATCCAAATATTATAACTGGAATTGAATGATTATATTAGTATTGCTATACCACAATTAGGTCCACAACAAGAATGTGTCACTTACCCGCAACCACTGGGAACCAATTGCCATAGATAGCACCCGCTAGCACTATTAAAAGGAATCCGGCAGCCAGCACACTGGACAATCCAATGATCTTCGTCAAAGGATTAATCTGAGGCATTGCAAGTACAATCTAGAAGCTGGCTGTTATAGTATGCCTCTGTGGTCTGTCTAAGCTACGTCTCCCCTTGATGCTTGGAAGTGATAAGCCTAGTCATGGTGACACTGTTGTAAGATGGCAGATTAAACATTGGCCCCTGTGCACGACCCTTTGCGGAGTGCGCGAAGAGCGTTGTTAAATGGAAGATTCCACGCCACCTGACAGTTGTCTCTCAAGATCTCTCTTTATTCACAGGGTTTCTGAAGCGTTATTGGTTTATAAGACAATTGGTCATCCAAATTACAAACATGGTAAGTTTGACTCATCCAATTGATTTCAGCCATGCAAAAGTCCAATTCTAATTTCCCCTCCAGTTCAGAAACAACTACGACAACGACTCGGTCACATACTCGCCAACGGGCCGTTTGTTCCAAGTAGAATATGCTCTGGAAGCCATAAAACAGGGCTCGGCCACCGTAGGTGTCAGGTCTGGTGATGCCGTTGTGCTTGTTGGATTGAAGCGTAATGCTGAAGAACTCGGCTCGTACCAGAAGAAGCTAATCAAAGTTGATGATCATTTAGTGGTTGGTCTTGCTGGCCTTGCCCCAGACGCCCGTGTGCTCTCCAACTTTCTGCGTCAGCAGGCGATGAACTCGAAGATGGTGTTTGATAGACCAATCTCTGTTTCCAAGGCTGCTTATACTCTGGCCGACAAGGCTCAGGAGAACACACAGAGCTACGGAAACAGACCCTATGGTGTCGGCCTCTTGATTGCGGGTGTTGATGACACATCTGCTCATCTTTACGAGTTTCAACCGAGTGGTTTGGTGACCGAGTACAACGCCTCGGCCATAGGAGCGAGATCCCAAGCAGCCAGAACCTACCTTGAGAGAAACTACGAAACCTTGGATACCACTGAGGACCAGGAGGTGATAAAGTTCGCCCTTCTAGCATTGAGAGAGACACTTGCTCAGGACAAGGAGTTGACTCAGCAGAACACAAGTGTTGCTATAGTCTCGAAGGGCTCCAAGCTCCGTCTCTACGAGGATGAGCAGGTGCAGCAGTTCTTAGATTTGCTGGACAGTACTGCTAACTCAAGGTCTAGAGGAAATGACGATGACAACGATGATGAGAAGGAGACTGGGGATGATGTCAAAACCGAAGAACCAGAAGCCGTGACCGAGCCCGAGCCTACAGTGGAAGGAGAGACCGGAGCTGCTGAAGGTGTTGCCTCAGAGGATAGAATGGATACTGATTGATGGTTGGTGTAAATTAGCATACTTACTAGCAATAATGGTTTTCGTGCGAAATGTGACATTCTTCGGTCAGAAGTGGTAGGTAGGAGCTAGCAGTTAGTTCGAGCTTATGGCCATGGGGTAAGAGTTCATAACTAATAAATATGACTAATTCACACGGTTAAAATTAAACACCAGTGCTAATTGCCGAAACCGTTAACTTTAGAAACGAGTTGAAAGTTCTTATCGACCTGGACAGTCAAAACAGTCTACTCCACCTCTTCAACTCTGCGATTCCGAGAATACAACGTTTATAGGATTCTCATAAACAACCTCCTCGCAATCCTCTTTGTCAACACCGTTTTCGTGGATCAATACCGCAAAGTCCAGGTGAGGTTCATCACCAAGAGCAACCATCGGCGCATGCCATGTACCCACTCCATAGGTCACAGACTGGTTGCCCTTGCAGGTAAAGGCATGGACTCGCGATTCGTCTGGAAGTCCAGTACGTTTGTCAGTTTCAGCACAAATCACCAGAAACGCAGTTTTCTCCTTGGATCTTCCCAATGGCAAGAACGTCTGGGTTGAAAACGGATGTCTTTCCAGAACCTTGGAGAGGTATCTCGACTCTCCAGTCTTATCAGTGGATAACAGATGCTTCGGAGGAGAACACCTAAAGATGTTCCAGTTGGCAGTAGCTACCTGGCCACTGGGTGCATTCGCATAATTGTTTGTTATAGGTGCGACTTTGTGGATTTTCACAGCTGTTCCCTGATTTGCCGAAGAGCTAGCCACATTGGCTACCTGGTGGTCTGCAGAAATGACGCTTCCAAATGGTGCAAACGACTCTGGAGTTAAAGGAGTTGCAATCACAGGCACCAAATTCTGAGCGTTGGATTCCTTGATCACGACCATTGTAGGCAATATTTTACAACAAAAATGCAAAAAGATATGAATTTGTGGACAGTATAAGACAAGCAAAACAAGTGAAAAATCGTAGAGATTTGGAGAGCTGCCTCCCCCGATAAGGATTTTGAATTTTTCAGCGCAGATAACCGTCGCATCGCAATAACGGGTTTTCTTTGCGATTGCTACACACCAACCATAAGCTCTGGTATAACAAAAAGGGATTTTTCCATTTGGTAATCAATATTTCCATAATTCGTCACAATGTCCTGGGAGCAATCGACCTTTAGCTTTTCACCCAGATCCAGAGGGTGCTATCTCGTTACTGAAGAGGTTTTGAAGAATTTGCCTCAAATCAAGTCTTACAAGGTTGGCATGGTTAACTTGTTTCTCCAACACACAAGTGCAGCTCTCACGTTGAACGAGAATTGGGACCCAGATGTGAGAACTGACATGACTACAGCTGTTAACCGAATTGTTCCTGAGGATGCCGAGTATATCCACACCGACGAGGGATCTGACGACATGCCTGGTCATGTGAAGTCTTCTTGTAAGTTTATGTCGCAGTACATTTCGAAGCCGTAAAACTAACTTTTTTTTAGTGTTTGGAGCCTCTCTATCGATTCCGATCACCAATGGAAGGTTGGCCACAGGAACGTGGCAGGGGATATGGTTGTGTGAGTTTAGGAACTACAGGCACACCAGAAGGGTGGTTGCCACCATCAACGGTGTGAAGGAGTAGAGCAACCAATAAGTTTTAAGGAGCTTTTTATTCATCAATTGTACCCGTGCAGATCAAACCATTGAAATAAACTAAGCCCAATTTACGCCAATTCAAATTTTGTTCACACAACGTAAACACTGCTGTACTTGATAAGTCTCCCCTTTTGCGGAGAGCTCATCGCATGGTTTTTCACCACATCTTTCTTTCCAAACACCGCATACATGGACGATTATAATTGGAATCATTGAACTGGAAACAGGGCAGATTGAATTATGGACTCGATCTCTCATCCTTTCGAGGGCAAATCAGCATTTGACGAGATCCCCATAGAGATATGGCATATCATTTGCAAGCATCTGGAACCAGCTCAGAAGTTCAACCTTTCGTTGGTTAACCGTCACATGAATTCTCTAATCTCCAACGACGAGTTGTGGTTTGAGGATGTTAGATCATTGTGGTATATATTCGATAATTCCAGCAAGTTTTCACCCTTGGCAGATTGGACTTGTCCCTCGTCAGGGTTCTACAAAGAGTATGCACGCAGACAGCGACAGGACGCGTACATAGAGTCCAGAATCGAACGTGCAATATCCTCGGGCAATTTTGGCGATTTCCCCAAGGAAATCCTGCATTTGGGAGAAATATGTGTTCCCGTTTTAGTGAGAATGCAAGATCACTATGGTCCCTCTTTTGCTGTTGAAAAAAAAGAAGGAGATCATACTAGGTTCTGCTATCCAGCAGAGTCCAAACGTCGGCATCTCGAGCGTAGATTGCAGTCCTTGACGAAAATATATGTGGCTTCACAAACATTGAGTATGGTACGCTTTAGGAGAGTGGGTGGGCTCGTTTTCGAGGCTTTTGAGAAGGAATCCTCGCAATGGGCAGGAAACATCACTGTTGAGGACATGATGATGGAGATATGTCACTTGGACCCCAACTACTATGAGCTTTTTGCTATTCGAAAACGGGTACTACGTCTTACGGTAGATAAGGTGAAGGCTCATGAAGAGTCTCATGCTGATGATACCGTGTCCACAGCTTCAAGAGTAAGACTAGTACATATGATTTTGCGGGATGTGATCAGAAGTCAGTGTGCCAACGTTGAAGGTTTTGGGGTTCCTTTGGATCTAGTGATTGACGACCATATGCTACTAAGATACTATTCTGGTGATGTTGAAGGGACTCCATATTGCCAATTGGCCGCAATCTCCGAGGTTTGTTGTGAACTTGGAATGAAAACCACCTTCGTGGGTCAATCTCTCTTTGTACGTGATCAAGGTTCAAGCCTTTGTTCGGTATTGCTCACACTTCAACAGCTGGAGATCCATGAGGTCAGACTTGAACAAGACACGCCTCAGAATAGCAGCTCTCAGGAATTGTCCCTCCCCTTAACGCAAGAAGTTACTCGTGAATTTTTACATCAATTTCTTGAACGAAACACAAACAATGCGCGAGAACCGGGCGGAAATTACGATTATTTTGCTGAGGACCATTACTTGAGCATCCCCCCAAGTCCAATGCCTTGGCGGGCACAACAGCGAAACGTGTGTGCCAATTACCATAATAACGAGAAAGACATGTTCCCGTTGATTGCTTTGTATATGTATGTGTCGCATGAGAAAAAGATGGTTGATCGTGAGGAGACCAAAGATCTGTTGTCAGCAGTCTCAAGTCGTTCTGAGCGGCTCTATCCACATCACCTCCAAACCATGCTTTCCATCATAAAAGACTATTCGGACCTCAAGGACTTGTCTGATGATGCCAAAGAACTGGGCCTCACAAACGATGCGTCGCTTTCGTTTCCTTTCTACTTCGAGTCATTCTCATCTTATACTAGTCTGGCCAATTATAAATTTGCCAGTGGCACCATTGTTCTCTACAAAGAGAGAGAATTGTGTGTGTATCTTGCACGTGCAGTTGATCGAACAAACTCTCCACACAGACTCGAAGATGTTCTCTTCTGCTACTCTTTATATGGCGAACTTCTAGAGGTACGCGAGACCTCATTGAGTCCTGCAAACAACATATCGGACGATTCAATACGCAAATTCGCAGAATTCGATGAGATCGGTGCTTATTTCGAAAAATTCGACTGGGATAAGCGTGTATTCGTCCCAAATCTGATTTTCCAGAAATTTATCGGAGACCGACTTGTTGAGATGCGATGAGCTTGGTGCCAAAAATTTTCTCATCCTGTGTAGCCTACGAATGTATCATAATATTTGAGTGTTTGCAACAAGGGTTAGTTTCAGGATATTTGTGCCATGGAAGCTGAATCTGACAAGCCCGAGTTTCTCCAAACAGCAGTGACAAATGGAGAGGTGCAAGTGAGGAAGAGTTCGGGGAAGATAAGAGTACGCAAAGGTCAACCTGAAGAGGAGTTCCAGGAACAGAAGAGGCAGTTTTGGAAAACGGGGCCAATCATTAATGAGCAAAATTGGCTTGTTACGAGTACTTCCAGCATTCTTGCAGAACAACAGAACCTCGATGATGGGGCAGACAATGATTTCCAGCTGGGTCAGCCAGAGACCGAAGATCAGTCTCCTTTGCTGAATATGAACAAGATCGAAAGAGACCGAGTGATACATGCGGTAGAAAGACTGTTTTATCTACGAAAGTTTGAGGAATGTCTTGATTTGTGCAATGTTCTCATTGGGACGAGTGTTATTTCGGGCAGAGAAGCCAAGGCGTATGGGAAGAACCTTGAAAGTATAGAAGATTTGAGGGCTGCATGTCTGCGAAACAGGGCAGATTAAACAAGGTGGTCAAGCGGTCTTCCTATTCCGTTTGTGAAGTGTATAGTACGCGTCAGATAATGAATTATGATATTTCGAATTGCGCAAATGTGTCTATGATACAGATATGACTGGTATTGAATCGTTTAAACTTTTTTTGTAGTTCAAACCATCTTTCGCCATACCCTGAGCTCTACCGCGCTCACATTCCTCTTTCTCATGGTTATGTCATCCTCCGAGTCGTCACCCGAATCATCTGACGAGTCTGCCAGCTCTACGATATGCTCTCCAGCGCGTTCCGGAGTATCGCTGAAAGTATTCAAGGATTCAGTCTGAGTCTCGTGGTTAATGATCCTACTGGACTTAGTCTCTTTCCTGAACTCATCCAGTACTCCCACCGATTTCGTCAATACATCAACCCTGTACAGCTTCTCGGCCTTGAGGAACACACCCAGACTAAGCACTTTCTCGATGGCTTTTCCCATTCCAATAACCGTAATAAACTTGGTGTTTCCAAAAGATTCCACTCCTCGTTTGCCTGTCTTTGCCGAGAGTTTATCGAGCATCTTTTCAACGTGTTTCACAGCTGATGTGAATGGCGTATCGCCTCGTATATAGAGAGCCCTGTTTATCTCTTGATACGAGAAACTCCTTGCAGAACCATGTTTCACCAACCTACCTTCAATACGCTCCAACTTTGGGGCTTTTTGTTTGGTTTTCATACTATTCCCATACTAATATCATACAAAGCAGGGAATGAATCAAAGTTTACATACACCAAGCATAGTGTGCTACGTGAAAAACTTGGAGATGCCCTGGCCTTTTATCTGGCAGCGAGTCTGGCATCGAATCTGCACCACCGAAGATACCTCTCTGTGTAGAATACCGAGCGAATAAGTAACACAAATCAACAAATAATAGCCATGAGTTTTTATGATTTATATCTCAAGCCTGAGACATCGAAAAAACAAATAACCAAAAGTGTTCAGCTGGTGCCACCGCCAGGATACACGGAGACTCCAAAGAAGGTGAAGGGAAGCAAGGACGCGGAGAGAATAGTGAAAAATTACGATCTGCAGAGACTAAAGATGCGCAAGGCATGGGAGATGGCGTATTCTCCCGCAAAGAACATTCCCATGAATTTGGTGATGATGTATTTCTCGCCCAATACCCTCCAATTGATCCCAATCATGATGACCCTCATGCTGTTTGTGAATCCCTTGAAAGAAATCTGGACGGTGAACCAAACCTTCAATGACTTAGACATAGGAGAAACCAACGAGGGAGGCTATGATCGTTTCCTCATGAAAGTTTTGTACACATTGTGTTCCCTCGGAACAATGGCAGTTGGAGTGTGGAAGCTTAATGGTATGGGTCTTATTCCTAATAGCTCGAGCGATTGGTTGGCGTGGGAGGCTCCTACGATTGGCCAAATTAGGTCGATTGTGATATAGTTCTGTTCTAAACTACAGTCTGAAAATAGCCGAATTTGCATTGTCATAATAGGATTTCATGTAGTTTAACAAGAGTTGGAGTCGCGATTTGCACAGTCCCCGTTTTGCATCCTCAAGACTGAATCTCTTTATTCTTTGAAAATGCTCTGTAATTCAACTTGAACCTGCCGGAGCCTGTAACAGACTGCAGCGTTGATATCGAGCCGTGTCCGTTTCCATGACCCTTAACGTGGTTGGTGCCAGATCCAGAGTCCGGTTGAGGAGAAGAAGGTAGCGAGTTGAGGTGCGTTTCCTGAAAAGTATCCAGCTTTTTCATGAATAAGATGGCTTCATCTGGCTTGATAGTGTTGAACTTCCTCATTCTTATAGAATCTTCTTTGAAACCATCTAGATCTCCCTCTCTCAATAGGTTGATCAATTGACGAAGACCCATGAACATGGATTGCAGCGACACAGAAGAGGTTGCCTCTTCGTTCTGGGCAATTTCTGGCTCCTCGGCATCGTTCAGGGAGTTTATGATGGACTCGATGTAAGTCACGTCACGATCAAAGTTGGCAATTGCTTCAGCGGTATAGAACGGACTTTCTTTGAGAAATGTCATGAAATGATCCGCCAACAAATCGAATGTTCTTATCAAAAGTAGTGACTTTATGTTGTGAGGTAAGTTGGAAAAAGTCGATGCAAACATCATCTGCAAGAACTGGCCAATATCCTGAACGAAATCAGTTGGATTTGTGTTCAACTGTTTGGTGTCCCAGTCCCATTCGGCGAAATCCATCAGATCGTTGACCTTGGTATCCACAAGTGCAAACAAGTTATCCTCGGTCTCCTTTCTGATCTCCTGGAACGCCTTATGTGACTTTAATTTGATAAGAGCACCTGTGGTTGAAGCAGAAGACGTCCTTACGTTGGCCAAGAAAGACTCGTCGGAATAGTTCAACTGTGCCTCAATCTCGTGAACGGAGTTCATGAAAAATTCCATGTTGATCAAGCTCTGCGATAACTCTTCCCTGATGGTGGAGTTGACTTTAGTCTTCAGATCCTTCAAAATGACATTAACAAGAGTATCGTCCAATGCTGACTCTATAATGACCAACACCTCGCTGTTTATGTCGGAGTAATACTTGTCCAGAAACACGTATATGTTCTTGATCAACTTCCTCAGCTCCACACATGTTGTTGGGTATATTGTAGAAAAGGGCAAAGTTTTTGGTACCTCATTGTATTTGAACGGATAGTAGCAAACTGCAACAACGTTCCTGTAGAACCTCTCACTATCCACATGGACAGGCATGAGATTGTCCTCGTTAGTGAGACGACCATACTCTCTCTCAAACTCCTTGGTTTTAATCGAAACAAAACTGCGGAAAACTGTCACAAGCACCTTGTACAGCGAAGAAACTTCGTAATCATAATCCTCCAAAATCTGGATGAAAATACCCAAGCTCTCTTTGGCATCTATCAGGGTTTCTTCGGTGGTGAGACTCCTCACATGGTTCAGTAATATTGGCACCAGCTTGGTCACTAACGAGTCATACATGTCCAAAGTGCTCTGTCTGGTTCTCAGTTGGTATTCGGTGGAAGAGTTCACCACTTTGTCCATTATGAGAAATCCTGCCAGTTGCTGCAAGAAGATAGTCAAAGCCTTGCTGTTTTTGAACGCAGACTGCACAGATTGCTTACCATAACCGTTCGCGTTGATGTCGTCCATCGGAATCTGGCTTAGCAACCTTTCCCTTTTCAAATTCCACTCTTTATTGTAATCGTCACGCAATTTCTCAGATTCCTCCAAAGTCTGGAAAACAATTATCGCATTGTATACTGGAGTCAAATCAATCTTCACCGAGCGATTCCGCAGCGGGTCAAACGACTTGAAAACCTCAGATCTCAGGCATCTCTCTATGGATGAGTTTATGCGGTATGTCTTCAACGATGGGTCATCTGCCTTCTGCCTCTTCCAGTCGTCATTAAGCTCAATCATGTTCTCGAAAAGAGCGCGACCGATGTGAGGCCAATTCTTCTCAATATCATTCTTGAGCCAGTTACTCAACGAGGAGAACGAGCTCTCCTGGATCAAATTGCGTAACGATGGAATCGAATTGAAGATCCTCTTGGTGAACTCAAAATTCTCGATCTCTGGCAAATGCACATTCGACAAATCTTCTAGTTTCTTGAGGGCATTGTAGTAGTTCTCCTGCTTGATCAGATCAACGATTTTGTTTGTGCGATCCAGTACTTCCAGACACGAGTTGAGAATGTATGTGGTTTCGTTTATCTTGCTGTGTAATTTTTTGTAACTCACCAGTATCTTTTTTTTCTCCGATAGCTCTAGACCTGTGCTGCTGAGGCGCTGGCTCACGCTTTGCAAATGCTGCTGTATATCAGCCGAGCGATCCTGGACTTTGCTTATACTTTCCACCGAAGCGAGAATGTCATCGGCACTCTTGAAAGAAAGAGATTGCAATTCCTCTTCGCGTATTCTGGTCGTGTCATCAAGTTCGTTTATGAAATCTTCCAGGGTACCAGATTTCAGTGCCGTTTTCATCAACGGAACCAGCTGATCCAGGTAGTTCTCTGAATTGAGGGAATACTGTATCAAAGATGAGTTCACCCCCGCCATCGGGAGGTCAGGATTTTCGTGATCGCCAATTCTCTGTGTCATATCTGTTGATATTTTTTCTGATTGGTCAATGATGGTTGTAAGAGATGTCCTGGATCATTAACGGTGTCTTGTAACGAAGATCTTGAACAAGCCCGATTGTATGCCTTCTCGAGAATTTTGGAATTTCACAATCAAATTGTCGTTTGTTCACCAATTTTCGATATCCTGTCAGGCGCAATCTCAGAGATCTCTAATACGACCCCGACACCAATTATTCCTGGAATGTCCTCGTGTTCTCCCTGGAACAAGGCAAAACGCCATAATGGGGCCGAGCAGTGTTCCTGCGCGTAGTGTACTCACTGGTTGTGTGGGGCACTACCGTGTATTGATGCGAACGGGATCACCAAAATTGTCATTATTTCAAGAATATCTATAATTTTACAAAAAAGTACTCAAAAAATTTGGAGATTGTACAGTTGGATAACGTTTGTGAATCATTTGCAAGATACAAGTTCTCGAAGCTCACGTGTTTCAGTCCCAAAACTTCTATAAAAAGAACATTCATAGCCTTACATACATCCAAAGTTTCAGCATGTCATTTGTGAATCAGGTTCTTATCGTCGGTCTAGATGGCAGCGGTCAGAGTACGCTCGTTAAGGATCTCTTTGGTCGCGGACACCATGAGTCACATGACGGTTCTGTCCACAAGGCAATTGGGTTGGTGACGAAGTATTACAGTTCAGAAATAGATATTTGGACAGATGCTTATGAGAAGGGCAGTTTCGACCAATGGGCAAATGAGTTCCTATCTGAGGAGGCAAAACCAATGAGGGAAAGTTTGAACGGTATAATATTTACGTTCGATTTTGAAGAGGAGGTAAGTTATGCTTGATTTGACTGAAATCATCGCTTTTATGGTAATTTTCACTAACAACTTAGCTGGGCGAAATCGACCAGGTTATAGGTCATTTGGAGAGAATCACTGAGTCGCTGGACGAACTCTCAGGAGAAGAAGACTACAACGGGTGGTCGGGATTCAAAGCGGCAGTGGTATCAGGAATACCAGAACAGAGTGAATTCGAGGGTTACGACGATCTCGAATACAGGTTCCAGCTTGCTGGGTTCGAGCTGGTGAACTATGCTTGCAGTGCCAGAAACGAGTTTGGCGAAAAAGTTGGAAAGGAGAGGCTGAGAGAGATATTCGAGACATGTGAATGGACGCAAATGGAAAGTGGATCTAAAGATGATTCCGAGGAGGTTTCAGGTGAAGATATCGGTCAGAAACCAGAAGATCTCGATAAGGTCTTCCAAATGGCCCTAGCTGCCAGGACTCAGGCTGCGCAAGTCACAAATAAAGAAGAAAAGGAGAAGCTGGTTAATGCCAAATTGACAGAGATAATGAACATATTGTGAAAAATGAATAAACGGTAATTAGCACGAACGAACAGATAAAGACCACACGGCTAATTTTCATCTAATGGCTAATCTTTCATGTAAGGCTGGTGGCTAGTCATCGCCGATTTCCGTAATCGGCTCGGCAGATATTTCAGGAACTTTAACATTACACTCTTCATATCAACTCGCAAGTATATCCTTCGAAAGTCTCAAAACAACCAAAAAACAAAACAAATTATGATTAGATCAGCAATAATATCTCCTTCACTGAGGTTGGCCCCAGTTGGAAGACTCCAACGGATATGTGGAGATGTGAGATATCACTCGGTTAAACCGTTCAAACCGCAATCTCAACTGGTTAGTAGCTACTCTGAAAAATTCGCATTTGAGCGATTCTTGACTCGCTTTTTACTAACCGATCAATTCAGTATGTTCATTGCATGGACGGCAGGTATTTCATCTCCTTCAGCAAAAAGTCTGCGTTGACTCCATTGGGCCAAATCAGCAACCGCAGTTCCCTGGACGAGGCCAGCTCCAAAGATGTATCCAACTCCGAGTTCACTGAAAACAAGCAGTTTATGAAGCTTCTACAAGAGACCGTAGCGGAGCATATTCACAACGATTTTGCATATATAATTGAGGCTGGTGCGGCGCCTTCGTCGTATGTGCCCATCTACGACTTCAGATCTCCACCTTCGTACGGAAGGGCCACAGACGCAGACGGTGCTCTGGGATACGTGAGAGCTGACGAAAGCGGGAAAATCATGCCTGGATCATACGAGTCAAACTACTCTTATAGGCCGCTGTCGGATCCATATGGATTCCTGAAGCTGAGTGATCATATATACGAGAAGTTACTGGAGAGACTGGAGAAGTGAAGATAACGCGAAAATGGCCATTCACAAGGTTATACATTATATATCTAAAAAGTCCTCCTCCACATTAATGAACGATGACTGCTGTCTGTGTGGCTCAACCATCAGGGACAGTGCAAGCTTGATATGCTGAATGATCTGCTTAAACACAGAGTCGGTGGGCTTACCCAAACGAGCCAATAAAGCTTTGTTCAGATCATTCAGGACCTTTTGCTTTTGCACAGAGTCCAGCAAGTACCAATGAGATGAGTCCTTAGGGTTTTCGAATGCTAGCAGACTGGAGATATCGTGTAGATAAGACACCAGAGACTCGTTGTGCTCGTACTGCTCCTGTAGATATCTGCCGTATTCGGCTGCTTGGAGTATCAACTGCTCCTTCTGAGATGATTTGGTGCTCTCTGATATCATGTTCAGGAGTTTCAAACATTGAAGCTCAAACTTGACGCTTTCGTTTTCCTCCAATGCATGTGGGTATTTCTCGTCAATCATCTCCAGTGCGTCATCAACGTGGCCGTCCAGAATAAGTCTTCTGATGTTCTGCCTGTTGAGGGTGTCGTCTCCAATGCAAACGTCTTGGTTCACATCAGTCATGACCGCGTCATTGGAATGGCCCTCGAAAATGTCCCGTTCCAGCTGCAAGTCCTCTGCAAACGCCTTAGCACTATCGTTGTATCCCTTGTGATCGAAATACGATTCGATAAACCCGTTCAACACCGTCGATATTTCATCGTCAGATATCGTGTGTTTCCCTGCCAGTGGAGTAGAGAGCACCTTCTTCGTGTAAGGATTATCGGGAATCACAGAAGCAAGAGTGCTAGGGACAACGCTGTAATCTGGGAGCACAGCCACAGGAACCGTGAACAGGTTGATATCGTGAAATATCTTATTTTTGAAGGTTTGAACGTAGCTGTCAATGTCAAAAACAAAATTTTCAGTAGTAGAAAACCCAAAGTTAGTTTTCACCGAGTTGAAATCGCCCATTCCTATGATAGGTATCAAATGTCCGTTCTTGATTCTCGAAAATGCCTCCCCCAGGTAGATTCCGTTTTTGGTGTAAAATATCGTATGCGTCATGAAGTTGACACCACAGCCAATGATGTCCCCGTTGCCGAACTTGGCGCCAAACTTGCTGTGGACACCGTTCTGATTGCTGATAATCTTTCCATCCTTCCCGTTATAGCCAAACGTTCCTGCTTCGTGTCCCGGAAGGTTGGTAATCACCTCGTCACCCGTGTTCATCATGAACCCAATTGACACCTCTGCATTAGCACCTCCAGACGTAATCTCAACCTCATAGTAGTAAACACCGTAGCCCATTGCCACTCCGTGATTCGCCTTGGTGGAGAAGTATTTCCCGGTTCCAGAAGATGGTATGCGAACAGTAGCTCCTAGAACAGAGTTGCTTCTCTTCTTGGTGGAAAGCACAGTTCCGTCTGGAGATGCCTCGAACGAACTGTTGGGAGGAATCACCCACGAGGTGGGCAGTGGAATCCTCCATTTCTTGTCTATTTCCTGGCTGGTCAGAGCAAGGTATATAGGTGGCTCTACGGGGGCATCGATCACACCATCGTCGTTGGATTCAGAAAGCGTCTTCTGATACGAATTGTCCTCGTTGGTGTTTTGAGTAGCAGGAACTACTCTTTCCCGGAAGACCTTGGCAAGTTCATCGGTGTACTCTTCATCCTTAGCAAACAGCTGAGGTTCCACTCCCAGAACACCAAGGGTAGAAAGTCGTGAAACAAATTTCTCTTTCTTGTCTTTGGCAACGGCAGCAACCGTGCTATTTTTGAGGATTTCCTCTTGTCGACGACGACCCAGTTCGGTCTTCAGCAAATACGTTGGTAGTCGCAGTCTGCATTGGGGTTAGTGGTGGGGATTGGAGGACGGCCAGTATGGGTCAATCAGACCCGCAAAATCACTTACAAAGATGTCTCTGGTTTGTCAGAGTGACTTAATTCCTGACTCATTTTATCCAAGATCTGCTTGAGTCGCAAATTTAGTAAAACTGGATACGGTGTAAGACAAGAGAGATTTAACCTTGTGACGTTTACGGGGGAGCATGCTCTGCCAAAATGTATCGTGTCAGAGATACGTGAGCTTTAGACGCGCTTCTGTACCAGCATGACTTACTGAAAACATTACGGTTGGAGATATGAGTTAGTGAGACTCAGACTTTGCCCGGAACCAAATGTACTGAGTCTTTTGATGACTTTCCCTATGAGCGTAAGACATCGAAATCAGTGTCAACTGAGAATTTTTTTGCAAATGGCCTCGGTATTTGGTTCCTTTGCCTTTAGTACTGCTGAAATTTCACTACAAGCTGTTTTGATTCGTTGAAGAATTCATTTTCCCGTATAAAACCGATCTCTAGAGATCAAGCGAGGCTTGCCCCACGGTTGGCTCCATTAAGACAGAAACCAACACATTATCCCTATGGCAAAGCGCCAACAAAACGTCAGCACGTCAGAAATAGCAAAAGAAAAAGGCGATATAAAAATGTAAAAAACAAAAAAGTCATGCGGTAATAACATAGATGCAGTTGATGCAATTGGTACAGGTTTCTAGGAAACGAGTGAAAGACTTTTCAAGCAAGTCCCATCCGTTTAATAACGGTAGTGGTCAGCCTTGAATGGACCTTCTTTTGGAACATCCAAGTACTCGGATTGGACACTCGACAACTTGGAGAGCTTCACTCCCAAGTGTTCCAAGTGGCATCTAGCAACGGTCTCGTCCAAGATCTTTGGCAAGAGGTGGACACCAATATCGAATGGGCCAGACTTCTCGAACTCGACGAAGGTGGATCTGAACTCAGCGTCGTTGGCCTTGTACAGGGCGATCTGGGCCAAAACTTGGTTGGAGAACGAACAGGACATGACGAACGAGGCATGACCAGTAGCACATCCCAAGTTGACCAATCTACCCTCAGCCAACAAGATGACGTGACGGCCGCTGGCCAACAAGTAACGGTCGACTTGTGGCTTGATGTTAACAACGTCCTTAGCGTTTGTCTTCAACCAAGCAACGTCGATCTCGATGTCAAAGTGACCAATGTTGCAGACAATGGCATCCTCTGGCATCTGGATGAAGTGCTCACCAGTGATGATGTCACGACAACCGGTGGTGGTGACAAAGACTTGACCGATAGGAGCAGCGTCCTCCATGGTCAAAACCTGGTAGCCCTCAACGGCAGCCTGCAAGGCGTTGATAGGGTCAACTTCGGTGACGATAACTCTGGCACCCATTCCTCTCAGGGCCATGGCACATCCCTTACCAACATCACCGAATCCGGCAACAACGGCAACCTTACCGGCCAACATAACGTCGGTGGCACGCTTGATTCCGTCGATCAAAGACTCACGGCATCCGTAAAGGTTGTCAAACTTGGACTTGGTGACGGAGTCGTTGACATTGATGGCTGGAACCTTCAACTTTCCTTCCTTCAAAGCCTTGTACAAGTGGTGGACACCAGTGGTGGTCTCCTCGGACAAACCGTAACAGCCCTCAAGCATCTCAGGGTACTTCTCGTGAACCAAAGAGGTCAAGTCTCCACCGTCATCCAAGATCAAGTTCAACTTCTTTCCATCCTTGAAAGAGTACAATTGTTGCTCAATACACCACAAGTACTCCTCCTCGGTCTCACCCTTCCAGGCAAAGACTGGGACACCGGCAGCGGCAATGGCAGCGGCAGCGTGGTCTTGGGTGGAGAAGATGTTACAGGACGACCAGGTCACCTCGGCACCAAGAGCAACAAGGGTCTCAATCAAGACGGCGGTCTGGATGGTCATGTGAAGACATCCGGCAATTCTGGCACCCTTCAAAGGCTGGGATGGTCCGTACTTCTTTCTGATGTACATGAGACCGGGCATCTCGTTCTCGGACAATTCGATGTCCTTACGACCGAAAGCGGCCAAGGAGATGTCGGCAACCTTGTAGTTAGAAGCTGGAGAGGACATTGTGTTGGATTTTTTGTTGAATTTAAAGATACAACAAAGCGTTGGAAAAGAAGAAAAGAAGAAGAGAAAGTTTTGAAGTTAACGGGAACGAGAACGAGAACGTGGTGGAAAACAAAATTTACACTGAAAAATTTTGTTGGTTGATCAACACACGACTTAGTCAAGATAAAGCCAACGTCTCCAATTTTGTTGCCTATTTTGGCGTTTTTGCAAGAAGAAATGCTCTTTTACTCTGAAATTATATTAGATGTAGTATCTTGTGCCAATAAGTTGCAAAAAAACCAATCGGTTCAGGTTATGGACAAGTTTTATCTGTCTGGATCTCGTGCTTCTGCCAGATCTAAGGCGCATGTGAATACCACGAATTACATAAGCAAAACTACTTTTCTCCAAATTTAATCCTTGAGAGCTCCAAACTCTATTATTATATTTCGACCTATATAAAAATCGAGCCTGAGTTGAAGACTTGAGAATTAAAAAAAAAATAAAGATTCCGATGCCGGGAATCGAACCCGGATCTGGACGGTGAGAGCGTCCTGTGATAGCCATTACACTACATCGGATTTTCTTGTTAAGTGTTTAAACTGGGTCCATTATATTCAGACAAAAAATTCATTTGGTTCTAAAAACACATTCAAAATATGAAATCCATGCCTGGAAAGTTAGGCATAGTATTTTTCAACACCCATAAGTATATGCTACCAATTGCCGAGTTTGTGTGATGGTTCGCTCGGTCTTCCAGAGGTAGGCCCTGGTATTGAGTCGAACTACGAATGCTACGATCTTCTGAGTTCGAAATTACACATATACGATATTAAAGAGGTTATTATACAGCTTCATTCAGAATCATTCAGCTTGGTGGGTCCGATTGTTCGTTCACCATTTCCCTATTCTGAAGAGATATTGACTTCGTCATGTTGTTCACCTTGTAGACACCAACGAGCTGTTTCGCCAACTCGAACATGTTGTTTCTCAAAGAGATGACAATGAACTGAGCATTCTTCGTTCGATCCTTGATATAGTTTGCAACAATGCTGACATTCCTGAAATCAAGAGCGGCATCGATCTCGTCCATCACGTACAAGGGAGTGGGCTTATAACGATGCAACGAGAAGACCAACGCCAAGGACGAAAGTGTCTTCTCACCACCCGACAAGTTAGAGATGTTCTTCCAGGACTTTTTCGGAGGCATGACACTGAACAGGATTCCTTCGCTAAATGGGTCCAGAGAATCCACAAGCTCCAGCTCTGCGTTACCACCCATCGTGATCATCTGGTACATCTCCTTCAGTGTCATGGAGATGGTGTGAAAACCAGCCATAAACTCCGTGTACCTCTTCTTCTTTAACGTTTCTGCAAGCTCAACTTCTCTCTCCCTTTCAGAAACAGCATTGTTCAAATCAGACTTTCTCGAATTGTACTCCCTGTATCTTCTGCTATACTCCTGCAAAACGTCAAGATCCACTTTGACGTCTTCCATGTAGTCTTCCAGATTGGCAATTTTGGCTTCCACATCGTCAATTTTGATGTCATCTATCTCGTCAGGAGTAAGTCTGGAGAGAATACCCGACTGATCAATCTCGTTGCGTGCCTCATCCTTCTCTTCCAGCCATTCAAGCTCATTTTCATCAAAAGTTCGAATCTCAAAACTATCCAACTCTTCTTGAATTGTGCCCAACTTTTTGACCACACTTTTCAAGTATCCCTGATGCTTTTCCAACTTGTTTTCAATCTCGATCTGTCCTGAGCGAAGCTCAGCGAGCCGTTTTTCCTTGAGATCCAACTCTTCTCCCGTCTTCTCAATACTGGAAATAACATCCTCCCGTTCTCCCTGGAGACTACCAATTTGAGCCTCCAAGGCCACAAACTCAGAGTCGTTCTCCGCATTTGAAGAAGTGAGTTTGTCACTCTCCGACTCACAGTCCTCGATATCCTTTTTGTATGAAGCTGCAGCTTTGGCGAGTCTTGTCAGATCACCAGCCAGTTTCTTAAGCTGGGTCTTATGTGATTGGAACTGCTTCTGCACAATCTCTTTCTTTTGAAGAGCAGAATCAACTTTGGAGTGCAGCATACGCAATTTCACACCACCAACATCCATAATTTTGTTCTCCACTTCCTTGATTTCCTGCTCGATTTTAGCTGCTCCAGCCTTCAGCTCCTCTCTTTCAACCCTCAAAGTGGCCAGTTTAGACTCTGTTTGCGAAATAGCTTCATCAATTTCAGAAGAATTGGAGGTGTTTCTGATAATTTCTTGAGCAGTGCGCTGAAGGGCCTGGATCTCAGTAGCTATAGCATCGGCATCCATAGAAAGTTTCGCGAGCTCGGTCTCGATCTCAGGCTTACGTTCTTCCAGATCGCGCAAGTGTGTCACCATTTGATCATAGACGTCCTCGGCTTGCTTGACAAATGCTTCCTTATCGTTGAGAGTCTTCTCCAACTGTTCAATTTCTGCTTCTGAAATGTTTCCAGCATTCGAAGACTTCATACCACCCTTGTTCACAAAATCTCCACCACCGGAGAGAGTACCAGACACATCGATGACTTTGCCATCTATCGTGACAACTCTCCATCTCCTCGCTCCATACGCCACGCTTTTGGCTTCTTCCAGGTTGGCAGCAACTAGCGTGTCTCCCAGGGAATCATAAAATGCTGGCGCAAACTTGGAATCAACAGGCTTGACCAAATCAAAAAGCCTGGGAACATTACGTGGTGTTTGAATAGGATTCATGTTTCCACGCCTCAGTTCGTCCAACACCAGAAACCTTCCGTATCCCAGGTTATTGTTTCTGAGATATTCCAGACATTGCCTACCAGTTTGAACAGTTTGCACAACCATAGAGTCCAAACCAGGACAAGCAGTGGAGATCGCAACATCGTATTTCTCATCTATTGCCCCCAAGTCTCCCAGTCTGCCGTAGAAACCTTCGATTCTGCCTGTTTGTTTAAGTCTTCCAAGAGCAGTCAACACTTTGCTTTTATTCTGATCGCTCGACAAATTGTTTCTTGCCTCAGAAACTTTCTGTCTCAGCGTTGATGCTTCGCTGTGAAATTCTTCCAGCTTTCTGCTGGCGTTCTCTACAGAGAATTTTCCCTGTTTGATTTTTGAAGGCAGACCTTTGTTCTCTTCTCTAAGCTCCAAAGCCTGGCGCTTCTTATCTTTCCCTTGGGTGATCAGCGCCTCAATTTGTTCCTGAATTCTAGCAAGCTCTGTGGCGCTCTCGTTCTTCTTTCTGACCAGCATTTCCAGTTCCGACTGTAGAACAGCTATCTGGCTATCTTTGGAGTTCAGCTTTTCAATCCAGGGCTCCAAAACTTCCTTCAATTCCTCAACCTCGAGGGTAAACGCTTGCGTCTTATCCGCCAATTCAAGTCTGGCACTCTCCAGTTCTTCCTTCTCCTTTGCAAGTTGCTTATCCAAAGAGTTCAGCTGAGACTGGAAGTCTTCCTGCTCCTTCTCAATTTGAGCAGTGTTGGCTTCCGCTTCTCTCACAGACTGCTCGTTTGAAGCCAGCGACTTCGAGGCCTTTTTTTTCTTGGTTTCTAAGTGTTTCAGCTTCTCATCCAAAGACATCTTTTCCCTCTGTATTTGCCTATAGGATTTTTCAAGGGAGCTGACCTGCTTGGTGAGCTTTTCGAGACTTTGCTTCAGGCCATGGTGTTCTTCGATCATATCTTTGATTTCTTGCTCATATTCCTGGGTCTCAGTTCGTTCCTGGTTCAACTTGTCAGCAAGTCCGCTGACTGTTTCCTCAACCGTCGTTTGCTCCTTCGAATATTTGGCTTGTTCGTACTGCAGCTGTATCGAGCGATAGTGCAAAAGCTCTTTTTCCTTTTTCAGAAATTCAAGTGCACCATCTTTTTTGTCTTCGAGAGCCGACTTTTCGTCTTCAACAATCTTAAATCTGCCCTCTTTTTCTCGACACACTTCGTTGAGCTCTGCGGCTCTTCCCAGACTCTGTTCTATGGAGCCCTTGTAATCGGCAGTGCCGATGATATCCTCAAGATACTCCAGCAGTCCATCATCACCTCCATTTTCGGCCTTTGGTTTCATCTGGGCGATGCTCTCGACTTCACCTTGGAGGATCAGGAATCTCTTGTGATCCAGATCGATACCCTTATCTCTGAGCATCTTCGTCACTATGGAATACGTACTCTCCATGTTGTTGATGTAGTACTTTGAGCCGTTGTTCTTGAATGCTCTTCTGGACACAAGCAGCGTGGAATCCGCGATATCGCTGCTGGTAGCATCTTCGTTGTCCACAACCAGCTTGAAGTATATATCTACAGCACAGAATTCCAGGTTAGGAAAATTCTCAGACTTGTGAATCAACTCACTCAGCTTGCTCTGTCTCATCTTCGTAGCTCTGAAACCAAAAACAAATAATAAAGAGTCGATCACGTTGGACTTTCCAGATCCGTTGGGTCCAACAACTGCACTGAAAGACGCGTCAAAAGGCCCAATAGTTTGCTTCCCAGCATAAGACTTGAAATTCGTGAGAACCAATTTATCTATCACCAGTCTCTCTGCTGGCTTGGTCTCTGCTGGCAGTTGTTGTTCTTGTTCAACTTCAACTTCCGTCTCCATTGTGGTTGCGCACTGATCTGGTTGCGCAATCGGCTGAAGAGAGGCGACTTGGATTTCATTGGCAGTATCAAAAGAGACATCTTCATCAGAAAATTCTTGCTCGACTGCATTAGTATCGACAGACTCCAAGTTAGCGACGCTATCGTTCCTGCTGATATTCTCCTTTTCATCTTCACTCAGACTGGGCCTCACCTCTTTCCGGCCCTTGGCTCTGGAACTTCTCACGTTCTGATGTGATTCTGATAATGCCTTCATCAGAATTGTGAGATCAAAATCGGTTTTCCAAATTATAATGGCCCTGGATAATCACGAAGTTAGAGATTTAATTTAAGCAGGTAAACACGCCTAGAACCGTAAACACAAGACTTGGGGAGGGACACGCTTCCAAACTTTGCACGCACACGACGAAAGACATAATTGTCTACATGAGCTAAAGCACACCAAAAAGATTATTGTTCTAATCAAAAAATGATTCGAAGATTTTGAATGCAAAAAATGAAGGTAAAAAAGGCAAAAAAATAGAAGATTTGATTTCGCCCAGGATCGAACTGGGGACGTTCTGCGTGTTAAGCAGATGCCATAACCAACTAGACCACGAAACCATTTCTTGATCAAAAAACTCTTCAGGACGTACAGATTGGCTCAGAAAGCTCGAAATGGTTAGCACACACAAAAAGTGTGCTCTTTTCAACGGCCGGTGGACTGTCCTACTGGTGAAATGATATTTTTGTTACAACATTTTGTAGTCATAACTTTAGCTTGAGCTGAATATCTACTCAAATCCTCAAACGCATGTGCCTGTCGTGGGTTTTAGTCGCAACCTGCCAATACCTAGAGTCGTGCCCAAACTGCGTGTACAGCTCATTTCATTGAAGTTCACGAGCGAGACCTTCTCATTACAGAGGGATAAACCTAACATCTACACCCTAATCCATCAGCAGGCCTTGGTCATTTGATCTTCCTAATCTGCGCGGCGAATTGTTAATGTCTTCAGAGCTGATTGCTTTCAGCCATGAATAACAACGGTTACGGATATAACCCCCAACGACAGCAAGTGCCTCCTCAGGCTAATCAGGGCCCAGGGAACATGAACATCCAAATGCTTCAACAGCAATTGGCTGCGTTATCGCCTCAAGAACGCGAGCAGATCTTGAGAATGCACCCACAACTTGCTGGTCTCTTGCAACACGCTCGGAGAGCGCAGCAACAGCAACCACCACAGCAACCTCAACAGTCCCAACAGAGATCCATGAATGCAAACATTGTGCCTCAGCAAATGGGCAACCAGGGAATGCCATACCAGCAGAACCCTCAGGGTAACACCATGGACTTATTGAACAGACAGCAGCAACAACAGCATCAAGCAGCGCAGCGAGTGTCGAGTTTTGTTCCTCAAGGAATGCCACAGGCACGAAACACCACCCCAATTTCAAATGCAGACAAAAGAAGGAAAACTTCAGTGCAGCCACCAATTGGGATCTCACCAGTGGAAGCCTCTGCTACTGCTGAAAGAGTGGCCTCGCTTCACCATTGGTCAGACAAGCTCAAGGCGGATGGAAAGGAAGTTCCTCTTGATGTGCTATTGTATGAGCAGATCATAGACAGGGACCACAACTACCAAAAGCTGTTGGCAAAGGAAACACAGACTGTGGTGGGATCTCAGAACCGAGCATTGCTTGCGAGGCTGGTATCTGACCTCAAATACTACTCCAATCTAAAGGTTTCCAGATTGAAAACCATTCAGGACCAAAGCGCAGGACGTTTGAGTGAAAGTATATGGGGTGAGGGGTACCAGGGCTACGGAAACGGCTTTACCAGCCGAGGAACTACGCATATTGTTCTTCCGCACCAGCGGAAAAGCGCGCCAAAAGTGCGGGAGCACTATATCAGCGTGGCAGACATGGAGAAGCAGGCAGAGTCTGTATCCGAGCTGGTTCCGATCAGACTGGAATTTGACATCGAAAGAGACAAGTTCAAGCTTAGTGACACCTTTCTTTGGGATATCAATGACAGATCGGTCAGCATAGAGACTTTCGTGGCTCATCTGGTGCATGACTACAACTTCAAGAAGAACGTCTATTCGGAGGCGATTGTGGCAAGCATTAAGGAGCAACTTAACGAGTATCGTCCGATGGTATATCCCCCTTCTAACTACTCCAGGCTGAAGTCTGAGCAAAGACCTCTGGCAGATGTGAGGATTCCCATCAAGTTAGAAATCACCATTGGAAACAACCAACTGGTCGACCAATTCGAGTGGGACATCAACAACTCCGACAATGATCCCGAAGAGTTTTCACGTGTGCTTTGCGAAGAGATGGGATTACCAGGAGAGTTCTTGTCTGCTATATCCCATTCTATTCGTGAGCAATCCCAGATGTTCGTGAGGTCTCTCTATCTTGTGGGGTATTTGTTTGATGGATCATCCGTGGAGGAGGAAGAGATCAGAAGACTGTTGAAGCTTCCTATCAATACGTCAAACATCAGAAGGCCAAGATACCTTCTCTCCGACTACACTCCGCAGCTGAGCGAGTTGTCAGTCACAGAGATGGAGAGATTGGACAAAGACAAAGAGAGGGAGGCGAGAAGGAAGAGAAGAGGACAAGGCAGAACAGGTCGCAGAAATGGCCCCACATTGCCTGATCTGACAGACGTACCAAAGACTTACAGAACGCCAGTGCCCAGTTCCGTTTTGCCTGGTGGAGTTGATCTTGGTCCTCCAGCAGATGCCTACGAAGAGACAGTTGTTGACATAGAGACCCCCCAAGACCAGCTCGAGGCCTTCAAGGAAAAGATGGAGAAGGACAGACTGGAAAGACAGGCTCTCATGGAGAAACAGTACGGATCATCCATAACCGGCTACGCTTCCGAGAATGTCCGGCCCGAGGTTATCTTGTCGCATCAATATGGCTCTTCGTTGAATGTGAAAATCAAATTTCACAAGAAACGTTGAACCATTGTACTTTAAATTTGTATAACTAATGAAATGTTAGATAGTTGAATTTATTTCCATTTCTTGACATGAATTTGAGGCTATTACCCCTTTGGGATAAATGGTTTACCCACGACAACATCTGCGCCTCCCAAGAAGAGCTTTCTGGCAAGACTGTCCTTAAGCTCTACTAACAACCAAGCATTCCACCCATTATACAGGAATATATTAGAAAAGACCTCGGTTTTGTGCTGGGTTGGACCTCGTTGTTTGTGTTGCATTTTTCGGCCGACTTATCATGAGCAGGTACCAAAAAGTGAGTAACCCCAAGGCCACCTGGCCCCCTCTCTCTAGCATAGCGTTTGTTACTAACTTCCTCAAGATACGGAATTCCTCAGATGAATCCGACGTTCACTTTGATCGTGATATCGAGCTGAGTGTCATAAATGACAGTTCCCACAGTTCGGAGCGGGAAAACTTTTTGTTGTCTTCATTCAACGAAGACGAGGACATCACGAATAAGCTTAACAATTCTGATGCTGAGAACCATTTTTTCCACGAAAGTGATGATGAGAATTCTCCTGAAGACACAAGACTTACGAATAACGAAGATGATGCGAATTTGAGCTTTCAGGAAGCTCTTTTTGCGGGAGAGATTGATGAAGGATCGTCACGCGCAAACAACACTGTCAATTCGCCCGCAACCATTAGTACGAATACACGTCCGAACCTGTTTCAGAGGCTGGGAGAGAGTGTACGCTCGTCTCCAACGTTTTCGCGGTTTTTTGCTCGTGATGCAGTGAGATACCATGGCCAGGTGATGGGGCAGGGGTCTGAGAACGACGGAGTTTTCAACAACTTAGTGGCCAAACCGGAGGTTCAGGCTCAAGACGAAGAAAATCTGCCCACATACGAAGAGGCAGCGTTGGATGCGACGCCTCCATACTGGGAGTCTTCAGTTATGGCGTCTGGATACGAAGACGAGATTTTTGTTGATGGTTTACCCGTAGGGAACCTAATCAACTTCATATGGAACATGATGGTTTCGGTAGCTTTCCAGTTTATCGGGTTTGTGGTGACTTATCTGTTGCACACGTCTCACGCTGCCAAGGAGGGATCCAGAGCGGGTTTGGGAATCACGCTGATGACTTATGGGTACAACATAATACCCTACGGTTACGGTAGTGGCGACATCTCCGACGAGGAGAGGTTTGAGCCTTCAGCACCGAACGATTACGATATCAACTCATCAAACATTTTAACGGGTTCGATAGATGAGTTCACGAGCAGCTTGAACGGGGTGGCTACGGCGTCGTCCTCCGAGGCAACGTCCACTGGCGCTTCCAGTCTAAGCGCTTCAAGCCTTTCAGATACCCCAATACTTGCATATGGCTTGATAGCGCTGGGGCTTTTCATGGTTATCAAGGCCATTATTGATTATCACAGGGCCAGGCGCATGGAGAGAATAATTCTACACCCTCCCTCGAACTACACTCCTCCTATGCCGGAGACGGTGTGATGGAAATTTTTATACACTTGACGAGAAATAATACTGGCTGGGGCATTTATGTTGAAGGAAAAGAGAAATCAACGTATTTAGTATAGTTATGGGAGAGATCACACTACGAAGAATCCTTCGTCGGTAGATGAAATGGCCAGAAACAGTCATCCTGTTTAACCCATGATAACCAACATTTTCTCGTATATCGTGAACACAATACCACCACTCAGAATCAGTCTTCCTAGTCTTGGAGTGGCTCCCTTCCAGAAAGTCATCAGACCCTCCTCCTTGAACACCTTCACAAAACAATTGAAGGTAGACGAGTACACTTTATCAGCGCCCAAAGCTTGCATTCTCGTCTTCACAGTGTCTATAGGCATTGTGGTATATACTGTCACCACACCAGCAAAGGCACCAACAAGAAAGGTTAAGCCTGAGCTCAATGGCTGCGATGGAGGAGTTCCAGAGGCATTCTGTATGGTGGTCTTGATAGCGTTATACGAGCCGAATCTGACCGAGGCGTTGGAAGCCTGTCTTATTGTTACCGGCAAAACACCTGCATAAATGCCCTTGAATCCAAGATCTTTCACAAGCCTGAAAGTGGCAGATAGTCCACCCCTGTACTTGGGGCTGGCAGTCTGTCTATCGTCAATCATGGCAGTCTTGATTGCCTCGGCCGGCGTGACTGCAACAACAGATTCTAGAAGACCAGCTCCAAGACCAGCCAAGACACCCCTTGGGCCTGACAGTCTGCCGTCTTTGTCAGCGAGTAACCTCTTGATCGAGTCAAAACCCAGGAATCTCACACTGGCTTTAGCGGTGTTACCCACGACGGAGGCTGGACATCCAACGTACAGCGCACCGATGCCCTGCGTTCTTGCAATAGTAGCAATCAACACCAAAGGGTTGCGTGACATCTTAGAGGACTTGTCCACGAGTTGCAGCCTCGTTTTGGCGAACTCGAAGGGGTATGTGATCACACCCTCGATAGCTCCAGCCGTCCCTCCGGCTATCAGCGACTTTAATGGGTCAGGCTGGACGGAAAATGTTAGAAATTTATCTTATCGAGGCTTCGAGAACTTTGCAACTTACCTTTTTGTTTTCTCCCTTGGTTTTTGAGGACATTGTTGTGTGGTGGTGTGGTAGCTCTCATAATTTTTCAGTCCGAAAGTGAAAAATTAAGGCTCTCTGAGGTCATCGGATTGGGTAGTGCAGTGGGAGCCACAGTGTGCGGCTTAAAAAGCGATTCGAGTTAGACACAGTGACTTTGTACAAAAATAACATGGTTATTGAAATTGGAACATATATTCGTATCTGATATTTAAAATTAGAGTGAAATTTAGTAGCTTTAGTCGGTTCCACCAGGGTAAACGTGGCTCAGTCTTGATTGGGTAACTGTATGGCCATTGGATATGAGATCTAGACTGGTACGATCATGCTAGTAGAAAAGATCAGGATAAAACCTTCTGATAGCTCAATTGGCCCAAATGTTGTCGATATGAAGTTATCCATCTTTTTTTACTCGGCAAATTGTTATGCAACGCTTCTTACCCTTGATTCTATTTTATTATTCGTTGAATGCTCATCACTCTTCGTCGCTCTCACCATCAAACTCCTCAACTTCTATCATAGCAGACGTTGCAGGCTCGACCGCCATAGAAGACGGAATCGATGATTCTGGCTCCTCATCCTCCATCATCACGTCCACGTCCTCAAAATCGTCATCTGCAAATTCCTCATCGTCTTCAAAGCCTTCTTTTTCGTCATCCTCGTCTTCTTTCTTCTGTCTTTCAGCGAGCTGAGCATAGTACGCAGCCAAAACATCTTCTGCACCGGTATCCTCGAGTCCACCAGTTGATGTGATGGCAGTCGCTTCTGTAGTAGCACTTGTGTCTTCCTCCTTAATATCGTCCTTTTCATCCTCGTCCGCAGCGTATTCCGGCTCAAATGTTTCTGCAGCATCCTCTTCCAGTTTACCCAGGGATTCCTTTCCAACCGTACTCTCGGAATGCCAGGAAGGCATGGCATTTTGCAACAATTTTGCCTTTTTCTTCTCCAAATCGTCCTGCTCTTTGAGTGCGTTCTCGTCGTTGGCAGTAATTCTCACGTGCAAAGTGGCCTGCGACCTTCTAGCAGCATTCTGGAGTGATTGTGACAATTGTCTCTTGGAAGTTGCTGTAGAAACCGAATACGAAGCCAGCGGTGTGGACTGCGCGGGAATTGCCTTGGTTAACGATGACTCAAACGTGTTGTCCTCAATGTACATGTCGTCAATTTTCTTCAAATATGTGATAACCGGATCCAGCTGACTCATCAGCTTGGAGAGCTTCTCCTGCCTCTTCTTGGCCTGAATTCCGGTATCGTCTTCAATCAGAATGTCACCACACAGATCACACAGGAAGTTCATCTTGTCTTCACTCAACATCGATATGGCATCCAATTGAGAGTATTTTGTTCTGCATGTGGGACATATGTATCCCTGTGGATCACTGTCATGTGACATCTCGTCTGTGAGCATTTTCACGATCGTGTGCATCTTCCACTTGATGGCATCGATTGCCTCTATGTGGTGAATATAGAAGTATGTTCGCGTGATCAATCTTTGCTGTGGACCTTCTTCCTTTTGGACATGCGACACTGCAAACCGGTCCTCAACCAGTTTGTTACACAAGGCTCTGAGGTTTTTCCTCTGGATGTTTAGAAGGAAGATCAAGTCGTCTTCAGAGAGGACAGAATGGACGAGCAGGGCATCCAAGATTAGGACGTACTGTTTCCCGTAAAACGCTCTCGACACAAACCGTATCAATCCAGTCACAATCTCCTGCTCCATGACTGCAACTAGGGACAAAAAAGGGGAAGAACAACTAGAAGTAAGAATAGACTGGAAGACAGAGCAAACAGATAAACTGCTTGAAGAGTAAACTTCTGATAGACTGCTCACCGTGTGCACTGCTCAAAACAAGTTTGGGTTCGACCACGACCAGCCCCAACGACGAAGAGGCAGATTTACAGCAACGGTGAGGCAAAAAAGGAGGGTCGAAGTTTGCTTCTTTAATATATTCCATTTCCCATTGTTTTGAATGTTTTAAGCTCTCTGATGACGGTCATCCAGAACTCAAAACAAAACCCAGAATGTCCTTGAATCGATTGGACTTCAACCAGCTTAAGTCACTTTTTGCTTCTTGGTGCTTCCAAAAAAATGCCTTTCAAACAGAAGGTCCCTTGGCCCAGTTGGTTAAGGCGCCGTGCTAATAACGCGGAGATCAGCAGTTCGATCCTGCTAGGGACCATTTGTTCTTTCTTTTTTTTTTGGCATGTTTTAAACCTTTTTTTGCAGATATTCTATTGGTATGCATCTGCAAAATGCACTTTTTTTCTACTATTTGAATAGTTGTTTATCTGATGTTTACATAGAAGCCCCAAATGGCTCATACAAACCTGGATGACGATAAGAGATGGGAGCCCAAAGTCTCTACCCCAAGTGTCAATACACCCAAAAATACCTAAAACAAAAATACAAGAATAACTAAACCAGTAAAATGACATCTATGACTATCCTGAAGCAATTAAAAATGGAAATCCGCAAATATTCACGTGAAAATCTTGCCGAACTGATTTGTAACTTATGTGTAGAAATAGATCATTACGTCATCACTGCCTGAGCTATGTTTTGGCTGATGCTCTTGTTCTTGGGTGTTGATCTTTTTGCTCTCTTCATTTGATACACATACACAAACTGGTCTGATTTTTTTAGCTGACGTTTCTGTCAAAACGTGCCATATCTAGTTGCATAATGGGACTTGGAATCTGGGAGCCGAAAGGCTCGCCCAATGTTACTGGGACGATTCAGATGAGCCTTCATAAAGAGGAAGATCAGGACGAGACAAAGCAGAACTCAGTGGCACCAAACGCGGACGGGAATCCCAATACCTTGAATTTGGTGGCAGTTGCTTCCTCTACTGCTCATAGTGCCACTACTACACTCAAGACTACCAAAAAGGGAATCGTACTTCATCCTCAACCTCACGACAACCCAAACGATCCGTTGAACTGGCCACTCTGGCGGAGAGACATGGCCCTCATAGTGCTTGGATTTCACTGTTTTATTGGTGGAGGCCAGACGCCCATTTTGGCTGCTGGAATGACGAAAATCGCCAAAGAATTCGACAAAAGCCCTTCCAACACGTCATATCTGGTTGGAGGGTTCATGCTTTCGCTTGGATTTGGCTCGCTTTTCGCAGCACCCACTGCAATTTTGTACGGGAAAAGAATCATATACCTTCTGGGGATAGTCCTGGCATTTGGAGGTGCGATTTGGGGTGCTTGTGCGAACTCTTTCGGCTCATTAATGGGAGCAAGAGTGTTGATGGGTATTGGATTTTCGCCCTGTGAATCACTACCTTCCGCTACCATCGCGGAAATCTACTTCTCGCATGAAAGGGCCTATAGACTTGGCTTCTACACCATGCTGTTACTAGGAGGAAAACATCTTGTTCCGTTACTCTCTGGGTTCGTGTTTGACAAACTAACTCGCCATTGGCTGTTCTGGATAGTAGCCATCATTGTTGGAATAAACCTGGTACTCACCGTGTTCTTTGTGCCCGAAACATTCTGGGACAGAACCCCAACACCGAATAAGAGATCGCAAGAGGAAACTCGCCAGGCTCGACAGGTTGCAGCAGAGAGACTGCGGGATGCTCTTAGACGTCAGGATTCGTTTGTTTCAAATCACGTACCGAACAGTTTTGCCATACCGAAACCAGAAGAGGACGACAGCCTTTCTATCAACAGTTTGGACTCGTCGTTGCACAATCGTACAAATCTGGAGATTGACCCTGAGGCCCGTCCTGTTGGTCTGAGTCATTTTACCGAGCCAGCGACTACCTTGTCTCATGATTCTGTGAGGAAGAAGACATTTTTACAGGAACTGCACGTTTTCTCTGGGAGACATACCCAGGACCATTGGTGGATGGTTTTCCTACGACCATTCGTCTTATGTGCATACCCAAATGTGCTCTATGGATCGTTGATATACACCTTCGCCGTTGTGTGGTTGATTCTCATCTCTGAGACAATCTCTCATCTTTTCGTAGCAGATCCATACGATTATTCCCCGACAATCATTGGTTTATTTTATGTGGCTCCCTTTGTCGGAAGCATTTTGGGATCATCCATAGCCGGTCGTCTTTCAGACATTTTGGTGCGCAAAATGGTGGATCGTAACGACGGAGTGTACGAGCCTGAATTCAGACTGGTGATGATCATTCCGGTGTTTTTCACCGTAGTAATTGGTCTCATGGGATTCGGCTGGGCCACTCAGGCTCACGATCTGTGGATCGTTCCGGTGGTGTTTTTTGGGATTTTGGGGTTTGGGTGCTCGCTGGCTTCAACTACTGCAATCACCTACACAGTCGACTGCTACCGTGTGTTTGCTGCTGAAGGATTGGTCACGCTGAACGTGATGAAGAATGTAGTTGGGTTCCTCTTCTCCCTCTTCAACAATTCCTTTGTGGATACTAAGGGCTCGAAAACTGCCTTTGTCACGTTTGGAGGCATCCAGATCTTTCTCTGCTTGCTCGGTCTTGGAATGTACCGATACGGTAAGGTTTTGAGGCGTTGGAATGACGAGAAAGAGTTTATGAGGTATCTGTATGTGAAACGAGAGTAGGAAAAAAGGAACGCAAATGGAACGTGGCGCGATAATGAGGTAATCGAACAAATTGGGGTAAATGAAGGCAATCTTGGACAATTCGGGACAAGTTCGAACACATTTAGACGACTCCTCACAGATTAAACCCTCAAAGAATAAAAAGAATACATATTTGGATAGACACTCAACTTATGGTTGCGCTTAAACAATGCGTCAATTTCAGGTCCGACCATAAACTTTTTCGTTTACCCGCACAATAAGAAACGCTTTATCAATAGGTTTCTGGCCCATCATGTACTGGAGTTGCTGTTGGATATAGTCCGAAGCGCATTCGGAATAATGTCACCTGGCACGCGACAAATTACAAGGACAAACTTTAATGTAGCATTATCTCGAGGCGGATGCCTTGACGGTTCTAGAATGCACGAAATCCCGAGGTTTCAAGTGTTTGTACGCATCGTAACACCATCGAAGCAAAATTTCACTTCTCGGTATAAATTTTCTGGTGAGAAGTACTTAAAGACAGCAAGTCCTCATAGGAAACGATGTGAAGCATTCTTCTTCCTCCCAACTTACTTCTATTACTAATAAAAATGAAGTTCACGGCATTGCCAATTGCGCTCTTTATGATTATCATCACTCAGGTCCTATCCCAGCCTCTGCTGGCTAGACGTGACGGAAACTGGACCGAACAACCACTTCTGGCCAAACGTGCAGGCAACTGGACTTTGCCATAAAAATGAGAATTCACTCTTTTGTGGTATTTTCAGTTCTTTCTGATTACTGGTTAATTGCTGGTAACGGGGTGGTATACTTGTATCACTCCAATGAAGCTTTTATGGTGTTCCCATGAAAAATGCCTTTTAATTTTTCTTCATTTATCTGGTTGTACCAGGTTCCTTATTCTCAGTTCACTCTGAATTTTGGCTCCGACTTCTTGTTCTCCAGTTTCCCTTTTCTTCGCCACTGTGGTGTCAATTTTTGTTGTCTTACTAAATACGTTTAATGTATGCATGCATTTTAAATTTCAATTTTTCCTATCTTATCTGTAGAGCCTTTGTGCGGCGCTATTTCACCATCACACGCTATTTCACCCGATTTCTCCGATTGTCCCCCATCGACAATTTTCCGGGTGCAATTGAAAGTTCGGGCCGTTAAAGACCATAGAGATGCTCTGACAGGGGCCTTGTTAACCCTGCTCAGGTGAGCTGTCAAATCTTCAAGACAGCATCACAAGCCTGATTTTTGCAGCGCAATCAAGCCCTGGTGTCAGATTTAACAAACCATGCTTCCCTGCCACAAAAAAACCCCCAAATACCCAAACCAAATACCCGCGCTTGCTCTAGCAGCTACCCGAAATTGCCCCACTCCGGGTCGTGTGAGCCCGTTTTCCGGACAAACGGAATATCCTCAGCCGCACTCGGAGTTTTTAGTCGACTTGCCTTGGTGTCTCAATATAATGTCCTAGACCGCTTTTCAAGCAGGATTTTCGGCCACAAGAACAACATACGTGCCCACAAAACCACACCAAACCCCTGCAAATCAATATAATCGCAACACTATTTAATCAGAGCTGCTTTTATCGCAAATCTTCCCGTGTTGTGCGCACTACCCCTCACTTGGGACCCAACCCGAGTTTATCCGTCCTAACGCGGCTCAAAAAAACACGCAAAAAAAAAAGAGTGGACTTATATATATAGGCGTGTACGTATGTGGATTTCTGATTTTTGAACAAGGAATGTTCTTCTGTTTGATCAATAGGTCTTCCAGATATCATGATTAGAATTCGCTCCATACAGAGGACCGGGCTGAAAGCCACAGCTAGATCATATGCTACCAGCCATATTCATTCCCACACCATCAAGACCCCAGTCGGAGTCACTGCCAATCACCCAGTGCCAAAGACCACCAGATTGTCAGTGGAAGGTCCTATCGAGTGCGATCTCACCAGTTTCAAGTTGCTGAATTCGCCTTTGTTCAACAAGGGCTCTGCTTTTACTCTTGAAGAGAGAGAAGCTTTCCATCTCACTGGTTTGCTGCCTCCAGTGGTGAATACTTTGGACGAGCAAGCCGAACGTGCTTATAAGCAATTGTCGTACTTGAAGACTCCGCTTGCTAAGAATGATTTTTGCACTTCCATGAGACAACAGAATAAAGTGTTGTTTTATGAGCTTGTGAGGAGACACATTCGTGAGTTGTTGCCTATCATCTACACTCCCACGGAGGGAGATGCCATTGCTGCCTACTCTCATCGGTTCCGTAAGCCAGAAGGATGTTTCCTGGACATCACGGATCCAGATTCTATAGAAGAGAGACTTGCTATGTACGGTGAGGCTAAGGATGTGGACTACGTGGTTGTTTCTGACGGAGAAGGTATTCTTGGTATTGGTGACCAGGGTGTTGGAGGAGTTCGTATTGCCATCTCTAAATTGGCTCTCATGACTCTCTGTGGTGGTATTCACCCGGGTAGAGTTCTGCCGGTGATGCTGGATGTTGGTACCAACAACAAGTCGCTTCTCAACGATGATCTTTACATGGGTAACAAGTTCCCTCGTGTCAGAGGAGAAAAGTACGATCAATTCATGGACAGATTTATCCAGGCACTCAAGAAGCAGTTCCCATCTGCAGTTCTCCATTTCGAGGACTTTGGTGTGACCACCGCAAGACCTGTTCTCAACAGATACAGAGATCAGCTTGCATGTTTCAACGACGACATTCAAGGCACCGGAGCCGTGGTGATGGCCTCCATGAGCGCTGCTCTCAAGCTCACAGATCGTGATCTTTTGGACTCTAAGATAGTGATCTACGGTGCCGGTTCTGCAGGTCTTGGAATTGCAGACCAGATCGTCAACCACATGTGCACCAAGGGTCTCACTCGTGAAGAGGCCCGCGCCAAGATTCATTGCATGGACAGAAACGGTTTGATTCTGGACTCAATGACGCTGGAAACCGCCTCCGAGGCCCAACTGTCGTACGCCGATAAGGCTGCGGACTGGGAAGGTGTTGACACTCATTCGTTACTCGAGGTTGTGCGCAAGGTCAAGCCAACTGCGCTGGTTGGTTGTTCGACCCGTGCCGGTGCCTTCACCGAGGAGATCATCCGCGAGATGCACAAACACAACGACAGACCTATCGTATTCCCACTGTCGAATCCTACAAGACTCCACGAGGCTGTTCCAGCAGACATCATGAAGTGGACCGACAACCAGGCCTTGATCGCTACCGGTTCCCCATTCAAACCTGTTGATGGCTACGTGATTTCTGAAAACAACAACTGTTTCTCATTCCCTGGTATCGGCCTGGGTGCTGTTTTGTCACGTGCTACTGTTATCTCCGACACTATGATCTCAGCTGCCGTTGACGAGTTGGCATCGTCGTCGCCCGCACTCAAGGACCCCAAGGCTGGTCTTCTAGCCCCAGTCGAGGTCATCGATGAGACCTCTGCCAAGGTGGCCACTGCCGTCATCCTCCAAGCCTTGAAGGAAGGCGTTGCCCGTATCGAGTCTGAAGAGAGACCCGACGGAGGGTTTGTGGAGGTTCCTCGGGAGTTTAACGAGTGTTTGAAGTGGGTCAAGTCCCAGATGTGGAGACCCGTCTATAGACCAATGGTGAAGGTTGAACACCGCGCCGAAATCCATACCTATCAAACTTAGGGAGGATAATCAAAAGTTCGTAATCACATGCTCATTCGTCAATATATACACTTATAGAAGAGAAGTATTCTCACCGTTATTCAATGGCTGTAGTATTCTCCAGCTGTACCAAGGTGGCTGTGTCTGCAAAGTACCCGTACTTTTCCGGGTCTTTTTCTACCCAGATACAAGCCATGTGGATCATCTCGTAGGCCACATTCTCAGGAATCTGAACCCCCAAATTTTGAATGGAACAGAACAGGAATCGCGAGACGGCTACCATTGCTTGGAGATAGAGGTCCATTGCGCTATGAGCCTTAGGATGTCTCAGGGCTCGTGTGCCGTCTAGAAACCACTGCTTGGTCTTGAGACCACTCCAGAACTGGAGCATTCGATGGGTCAAAAAACCGCCCCCATAGTGAAGGAATTGGCAGCCAAGATCCGAGGCTAGAATCACGAGTCTCGGGTCGGGGGTGGTTCCCTTGGCCTTGTCCACGTCCAAAATGAAGGAAGAAACCAAATGCCAGGAAGATGCAAGATTCGGCAGGAAATCGTGTGGGGAAGAGGACAACAGCCGCACGATTCTGGTCATAATGGTTAAAATCAAAACCCTCAGTCGTAGAGACGAATGGGTTGAAAGTCGATCTGCATAGTTCCAGATCTGTTGGATTTTGAAATAGAGCTGCTTGGGTATTGGTGACTGCCATGGGGTGGTTTCCTCTGATTGAGGCGGTGATGATTCTGCCGTATTTTCTTCTTCTTCTTCATCGTCATCATCACTATCCGGCTTATCCAAGACTTCTTCAAGTGTGAGGTCGTTCATCTCAGGAATATCTCGTTCGTGGGTTAAGAACTTTACAAGGTCGTCGAACGTTTTCATTCCCCATGGTCTCAAAATATCACCCTCAGCATCGGGTTTCACAAACTCGTAATCTTCAAGATATGACTTTTCCACTGATTCAACAAACTCATGGAACACAGAGAAGAAACTCTCGCACAAAACGGCATATCCATGGTACATGTCCAGCAATGCAAACATGGTGCTGATGACGTCCGAAAGCTGGTACAATATCTCCTTTCCACCGAATTTGATCAGAACCATCAGTACTATTGGAGTGCGAGGTGTGATGGAGTGACCAGTGAGGTTCAAAGAGAGTGAGTCAATCAAGTAATCATAATTCTCGAAGATGAGACTCTTGACCGATCCGTCATAGCAGATCTTCGCTATCTGGAAGGTAGTTCTTTGAGCTTCGTATCTTACGTGTTCTATGGGAGAAGTCAGACAGTCAACCACTGGATAGAGATAGTCTATCAGCTCGTATTGGAAGTCTGGACCAAGGTATTGACAAGCATCGGCTATGGACTTCAGGGAAGCTACCTGGGCTCTAGCCACGGAGTCGGATGCTTCCTCAGTCAGACATTCACTCAGAAGACTTCCCGAAGCTTCGAGAAGATCATAAACGCGCTCCTGGACAAGAACGTCATGGTTCTCCTCATCGTCGTTAAACATCCAGTTTTCGTCTTGCAAAGCGTTTGGTTTGATTTGGGCTCCACACAGGAGTCCACGCATCATCCAAAGGAGTACAGGCTTCGATGACTGAGATTCAGAGATAGTTGGCTCTGGAACTTTCAGTGTAGGATCCAATTGAGTTACCAGGTTCAAAAGCAGGTAGAGCCCGTCTTCGCACTTTGAATCAAGCAGTCCATCGAAGAGAGGTTTCTGGTGACTAATATCGTCTATGTCGCCTCCGTCATATCCTTGAGTTGTGATCAACATGTCAGTTCCTATTGACTGAGGAATGCTGGTAATTGAAGGCTTGGAGTCTTTCTTTCTTGAAACGAGATTCGAAAGGCTCTCCTGGATCGTAATCAGTAGTCTCTGCATCAACACGGTAATGCTCGTTTTCGAAGTTGTACCCGTCAATGCCCACGATTTGATGATCTCACATGCAAAGGAAATCAGCTTGATAATTCCATAAGTTCTCTCTTGGTCCGTGAAAAGAAATGCCGCGGACAAAGAGCCTATCCACTGGTCAAGCCGTTTCAAAACGAATCCTTCCAGATTGGGAGTTTTCACCACCGTTTCTAAAGTTTTGTAGTCATTGCCTTCATCTTTGGAGTAGATTTTCCCCAAAGTATCTAACAATTTCGGTATCAGGCTGTTCAACGAATAATGGCACCTGGCCATTAGAGTCCCACACAGCTCCACTATGGCTTCCACAACTATCTGTTTATCGTGATTCCTCAGCTTCAGAATCGTATTAAAAGCAACATCAATCTGTGATGATGTCTTGACAAGCCACTCCTTGGTTCGGTGGTCCTTTTCCTCCGGGATAAACTCAATAGTGTCATGATTCTTCAATAGCTCAGAAGAGCTATCCTTCAAGTCCTCCAGGGAATTGAGGTTGAAATCCTTCACAAAGGCCCCCAAATTGTTATCAGAACATGTGAAAACCAGAATCTTCGTGACTAGCCGTATAATTGCCTCTAAAGCGGTATAATGGACCTTGACACCATTCCGCTGGGCCACAACCTTCACAAAAGTTGACATACAACCCGGCAGAATCATCGATAACATGTCACCCTTAGGAAAAAGATCACAAATAACATCTAGAGCCTCCAAAGCACGTATTTGAACCTTTACATCTTGACAATCGCGAAGCGAATCCAGAATCACGGAAACGGTATATCCGAACGAGGGAAGAGTCGATGCATCCTCCAGCAGGTTCGGTATTCCTGCGCTTGTCTGGGTGCGAATTGAGATAAACAGCTCTTTGAGACATTCCAAATCTGCTTCAATGACTTCATTGGATCTCGACGGTTTTTGTCTTGTTTGGCCTGATGGTGGTCCTCCTATCAGGAAACTCAGTAGCGAGAGCAGGTTAGTACCCAATTGAGAAGGCAAACTTCCAGCAATCCTCCAACAGCACCTTATGAGGGTTGCCAGAATTTTCAAAAGCTTTTCAAGAGTTCTGTCTCCAATCTGAGGGGCTTTGAATAGATCCACCAATGGCACAAAGACGTAGTCTGCCAATGTGGTGGTGAGATACACTTCCCCATGCTGCTTTTCAAGAGATGATACCACCTGCGCAAAAGATGTGTAAACTTGAGAAACTGCATCACTGAGCTCTTTTGATCTTGGGTCGAGGGGCGACGTTTTGCTAAAGACAATGTTGGACAGAGCCACACAGGGCTGTCGTATCTAATAGGACGTTAGTAATGGCCAGGTCTGAAAACCCCGAGTTTGCTCGACACTTACCTCTTGGAAAGCAACCTGGCTAGCCTCTCTTATATCGCTCATTTATCCCCTTCCAACGAAAGTGTCACCCTCAGTCCGATCGCGAGAAGCCCTGGATCAAGCCAATAATTCTGTATGGCCTCCATAGTGGGTAAGCCGTTGATTGAAAAATATGAAGTGCACCAATCAAAATAGTTTTGATCCGCGGACGACCTTTCAAGGGATGCTCGACCCTCTCCGTTGAAAATTTTTCACTTTTAGGAAGGTGTATTCTTTGTTTCTTGAACCAACCACTCTCATAGTTCGAAATATATCAATAAAAAGTATGTTGATTTTGTTTTTGTCGGCTATGATGTGTACCTGGACATAAGAATCGTGGATCTTTGGTCTGATAAGCAATTCTCTGGTTCAAGCCATGTGCTTGAGCGATTGCGTTGCTAGTCATTTACCTTAGCCTCACGATACCTTGTGTTCCAGAAGATCGGCTCGTGACTCCCTTTTTCTGTTTGAAAAAGGGACACTCATGTGGTCTCAGTACTAACTTCATTTTATACAGTCTCAAAATGACCAGATCCTCCGTTTTAGCAGATGCCTTGAACGCCATCAACAACGCCGAGAAGACCGGTAAGCGTCAGGTCTTGATCAGACCTTCCTCCAAGGTCATCGTCAAGTTCTTGTCCGTTATGCAAAAGCACGGTATGTTATATTGTTGAATATCTCTGGAATGATCATCTTTGGCCATAGTTTTTCTCTTGTTCACCGAGACCCACCGGAATGATAACTGGATGGTCTGTCGGTTCAAATTTAGTCCCTTACTGTCTTTTAAGTTTCCGGAAGAACGAAGAGGAAATGAATTCTTACACAATCCCGATAACCCCATTATCTGTGCATTGTTTACTTTTCCACGACATCTTACGAATTTTATAGCTTTCTCGGTGATTGCAAGAGGTTTACCATGGCCAATTCAGATGACAATCATGAACCATTCCAGTGTTTCATGTATTTCATTCGAAAACCATTTTACTAACTTCCATAGGTTACATTGGCGAATTCGAGTACATTGACGACCACAGATCCGGAAAGATCGTTGTTCAACTGAACGGTAGATTGAACAAGTGTGGTGTCATCTCGCCAAGATTCAACGTCAAGATCGGTGACATCGAGAGATGGACTGACAACTTGTTGCCAGCCAGACAATTCGGTTACGTTATCCTCACCACCTCTGCCGGAATTATGGACCACGAGGAGGCCAGAAGAAAGCACGTTTCCGGTAAAATCTTGGGATTTGTCTACTAGGTGGGTTTAAGTAATGTAATGAAAAGTTAAAGAAATCTGAAATTATTTGTAGACGCATCGCTGTGAGGCTGAAAAGTTCCACCTGTAGAGGACGTGAATTAATGGAGAACCATTGCAGCTACAGCTGCGTGCTTTTTTTCAAAGTATTGAAAATAATTAAAATCCAATCATTACCCTAGACAAACCCAAAAAACCTCACAAAGGTGATAAAAGGAGAACAGAATGTCATAACCACCATAGTCATGCTATCTATCATCCTGTGTATTTCGTACAGCAGAACGGCAAATATCAACAGTTCGACCCCAACTATCACTACTTGCATTTCCGGAAACCTGCTCGAAATCGAGGACAATGGTTCAAAAAAGCCACCGATATAAGGGATCTTGGTGAGGAGATTGTGAATGTTCGAAAGCATGATGGTGGAATCTGGAGAAGGCGCACCCAGAAGTTTCAATCTGGGCCCAGATTCGACCTGTGCGGTGTGAGGTAAGTTATCCTGATCATTTTGTACATTTCTTGACGATCTGCCGTAACTAGCAAATAGTCTTGCTGGATTCATTTTCCTGATTGCAGGAATGAGCTGTTGCGATGGCCTTTCAAGTTCAGGTATTTTTGAAGGATACTTCATCCCAGTCATCAGCTCGTGATAATCCCTGATATTTTTCATGTAGTTCAAGGCTGCCTCTTCGTTGACATCATTTGAAGTACTCCAGTTGACAGACTTGACCGTCTCCTCACTGACCCTCTCTCTTTTCTGTACTCCGTTCATGAAAACCTCTCTTGTGCGGCGGGTCCTCTCGTGCAATCCGTTGCATGAATCGTTGATGGTCTCCTCGTACTTTCTCTGGTACGTCCTGGTTGGCAGCGTGGATTTCACTCTGCTCTCTTTGTACCCAGTCTTGTTCTCGAATATAGGTGGGACACTGAAATCGTCTGTGTTACTGAAAAACTCCTCAAAAGTCAATGGTCTCCCCACAACTTCCTTCTTGGTCCGCTTCAGCCGTTTTGCGTTATCCCAAATCTGTCTAAAATTTTTTCTGTTCCTAGGAGCCGGAATAGTCAAAGGTTGATTGTCTTCTGGAGGTACGGGCAAAGGTGGAACATCTCTGATCACCGATTGTGCCTGTTGGCGATCTGGCTCTTCTGGTTGAGTCGTTGGCTCCGGTCCCTTCTCCTTTTCCTCAGCTTGTGGCAGATAAGATGCAACGTAAGTCCACAATTTGTTTGGTACCCACTGGCTTTGAACATCTTCAGAATCCAGCGGAGAATCGCGCCCAGGTCCAGAAACTTTTCTGCGGGTCTGAATCGACTCAGGTCTCGCAGAAGGAGATGGCCCCGACGATTCGGCTCCTGCAAATGAAACAACGCCAGAAGGAATGCGATTACCATTTTCTGAGCGAAAAGTGCCTTCATTTGCTTCTGTCACCATTATTCGCGGTGCTGGTGGACTCCAATTTTCTGTGTCGTAATCCACGGAGTTTCTCATCCATGCCCCACGGGTGTAGGCATTCACATTGGCAGCCACGGGCATGGGATCAATCATATTGTCATCTGATTGGCCAGCAGTTGGGCTGAACCGATGTCCCTTTTTGCCCTTAAGCCTCCCGAACAAGGTTTGCTTGTTATCTTGTGTGAAAACCAGATCCGTAGACTGGTATGGGATCCCACTTTTGTCGTAGTACATGGCTGATCTGTCATTGTAATGGTGTGGTTGTGTGGTGTTTAGTTGTTGAAACGGAGAGACTTGATCGAAAGTGTAATACTGAGGCTGAACATCAGTAATTGCAGTGTTGTACTGGTTGGTGTGCGAGAATCCCGGGGTTGATTCTATTATTGGATCACCCCTCTGGGATCTGTAAGACATCCGACTGGGGATGTTTCTGGGAACTTCTGTTGTCATACGAGTACTTTCAACTTCAGGACTGTAATTTCCAAACGTTTTTTTGTGAAAGAAACAACCGAATGCTGTCAAGGAGGAAGAGAAGTTTAACAATGCAGTCAGATCAAAGATGGCTGGCCTTTAAAATACCCCGATGCTGCGGCGCAAGTGGCGCAGCAAACAAGCAGTGGCGGTGCATATGAGCCGCACGATTTCGAAGTGCTGAAAAGCGATCGAAGTCAGGCTTCGAGAATTAGATAAAGCTGATCCGATGAATCAGTATGTTTGGTGGTTGTCTTGGTGTATGCCAAGATACACGCGTATCTTGATGAAATCTGTTTTTTGTGTTTGGAAATTTGACACTAGGTTAGGTCAAAAAACGGGAAATTTCAGATTTCTAGCTAGACCAGTATGCAGTCATGGGAGACTTTACGAGATTTCTTTTTTATAGCACACTCTTTACTTTATTTGTCATTTGAATATGCCAACACTACAGCGTTATAAAAGAGCTATTTACAAACACATGTGCTCAAAACTGAGTTCTTAATCCCACACTCAATCCTTAACCCTCACATCCCACACATCCTCACTAGATCCCCTCTTCTTATCTTCAACTAGTCTTCTATGAAAAAAGGCCTGGATCTCGGTCTTCTTCTCTTCCTCAGTGGCAACCCGATATTTGTTCCTCAGACAAAATAGAAGCTTCTCGTTTTGCCTATCGCATGACGTCAGTTCTCCGAACCTGTAATAGTTTCTAATCTGGCCTCCTAACGAGAAACACTCCAACAGCTCATCCATGCAGGTGAGGCAAGACATTTCTTTCTGAAGTAGAAGTCAGTAACACCTTCAATAGATTGTGACCAAAACGGTCAACCAATTTTCACATACCGGGAACTTCGAAGTGCTCAGCTTCTCAGCCTCCTTCGATCGCTGCAACCGCTTTGCCTCAGTAGAATTAGAGTCCATTGTGGAATATAGCGTCAGTAACAGCAGAAGATTATTGGTCGAGAAAGATATGCGGACTGTGCCTTGAATCGTGACCCTCTGGGTTCCTATCAATTTGAAAGTGTGAACTATCAGGATTTCGGATGGTCCCCTCATGGCTCCTAACCATTTTGATAAAGACACAGATTACGGCTACGTCACTATGCAGCAAAGATCTCAACCCTGGTGGCGCAATTTGCAGTATAAATACTAATTGAAAGCTGTGTCTGCTCAAGTTCGATGCTATCAAAGTGTACAACCAGATTTACCCCAAGATTTATCAGATCAGCGCTTTTTTCCACCTATCCACACATCATGAGCGACTACCCTGTTACCAAACCAGATTCCGAGTGGAGGGCCACTCTTACGCCAATGCAATACAAAGTTCTCAGGAACGCAGCAACTGAGCCACCCAATTTTGATCCAGAATTTGATAAAAAAGGTCTCAGCCCGGGAGTCTACAAATGTGTAGGGTGTGGCAACCCGCTTTACAAGTCGTCTACCAAGTTCAACTCCCATTGTGGATGGCCCGCATTCTACCAAGCACTTCCAGGATCGGTCACCACCAAGACTGATACAAGTCATGGAATGGAGAGAACTGAAATGAACTGCAGCAAGTGCGGGGGCCATTTGGGCCATGTGTTTAAGGGTGAGGGTTATGCGACGCCTACGGACGAGAGACATTGTGTGAACGGAGTGATTTTAAAATTTGAGCCAGACACCATGTGACCACGAGATCAACTGGAGAGGGTCAGCTTCACAGTTTTTCCGAGCTAAATCAGAACGTTAGACATGTCGCGTTGACAGAAGACTTGAGGTGCAGTCAATGCTGTAACCGGGGGTTATGGGAATCGAGGTCACAGCCCAAGCCAAGCTAGACCAGAGGTATTGATAGCCAAGGCACACTCATAACCAACGGTAAAGACTAACTAGCGCACAGAGTACTTACAACTTTCCAGACCAAACTTGCACTTTGTATCCATCTGGATCAACCAATTGAGCCACCTTTCCGTCAAAATCAACACTTTTGCCTTCTTTCTTAAGTTCATCGACATATTTGGAAACATCGTCACACGAAACGGTGATGTTGGCGTAGCCCTGAGTCTCGGAGTCTCCAACGAAATAGCCCTCGAAGGAGTCGTCGTTTTCAGTTCCCCAGTTATGAGTCAACTCCAGAATTGACTCTCTTCCAGCCTGGAACACCTTGTCTTCTGAGTCCTGAACATACTTGTCATCGTGCTCGTAGCCCAAAAAGTACAGCGTGAATTTGGCATCCTCAAAAGCCCTGTGAGAGAAGAGCTTCATACCAAGGGTTTCGCTATAAAACTTGATCGATTTGACTGGGTCCTTCACTCTGATCATCTCATGGTTTAGTCTCAGACTAGAGAGCCTAAATCCAAGATCGGTTGCCGAGGCAACTTCCTTATCAATTGCGTTCTCAATCAACTCGATCCAATACTGATCGGGGTCCAGAACGAACGCAATGTTCTTCTGCCTTCCGTCTGTGAGCTTTTTCTTGAACTGGATTGAAGGATCACTCTCCAGATATTTGCAGAAATTGAACAAATCATCAACAGAGAAACAAATATGGCCGAAACCTCTGTAGGGATCAGCATTGCCGTTCACCACCGCTTTGATAGTCTTATCGTGCACCAGGGCCAAAACCCCGGTTCTCTTGAAAACGGGCTTGTTGTATTCGGGATGGTTGACATCATCAATTCCCAAGTAGTAAATGACTTGGTGCTTCTGGGGAAGCTCCTCCGTCTTTAGTAGCTTGCAGTTGAAGTGCTTCTCGTAGAAAGGGACACTCACGGAGGGGTTGCTGATGTTGAGGGTGGTAAAGTTGGTGACGAAAGATTTGTTAATGGATGGCATATTGAAGGGGCAAAACGTAGAAAACAACTGATAATTTGAATTCGGTTTTCTTGGAACAAAGTTGCGTAGCTGTGGAAGGAAGTTGCGGAGCATTGGAATGCAAGATGAACGGTTCATGGGTTAAAATAGCCGGGATAAAAATGGGGGGATATTTATCACGTGACTGAACTTTGGGTTTAAGACTCTTCACTACTGAGGGCACGGTTTCTCATCCACAAATAAACGTGACAGAATAATTTTGAGATTAGTGAATTAGCCCATGCAAGATTTATTCAGCCATATTACTATTTCGCGTTTTTCCAATCAATTGCCCTTTTTCTGGTGGCCTTGTTAGCCAACCTTCTTGGCCTACATTAGCCGTCAGGTGAACACACGACTCTGGGGTAGACCGAGACCTGTTAATGGGATGTGAAAAATCATTATGGAGTCAAGAAATACATTTGATGCTGTTATTCTTTATATTTTTTTCTCTTCTTGTTGATGACGGAGAGCGCATAAGATAACTCCAACTTGCTGAAAGTCATTAAAGTGCAAAACGCCTGAATTGGTCACCTCCACACAACCGGGTTTTCAACTGCATTAGTATCACCAAAAGGATCATTGGAAACCACAGACTCGGGACTAGGCTCTCTCGCTTGTCTCTGTCTAGAAGAAGGAACAGGTGGGGGTGGTCTATGGTTTTCCAGGTTGATACTGATACTTTCATCGTCAATTTCGTAATCAGCCAGACTGTCCTCGTCGTCGTCCCCATGGGGATAAGATGCTTCCTCGTACTTCTGCAAGGAAGACACCAATTGGTCGTTAGCATGAAGCAAACCACCGACAAGCTCTTCTCTATTCACCAACTGAAGATATCTCAACACCTTACGTCTGATAGCCCTGCACTGGTCAAACTCCCTGTTGGCCTTGACTGAGTGGATCGACAGCTCGTCCTTCGGTAGGGTCTGGAGAGTGTTGTTGAGCGAGATGGATAAAGTGGTTGATTCTGCAATTAAGTTCAGAATTTTGGGCTGTTCCTTAGTGTAGTCAATCTTGGGAATTTTGAACTGTCTATCCAGTTCGGCATTGGATTTTGGCTGCGAAGCCTTCTTCTCGTGCCTTTTCCAAGGTGCTTTGAAAGGAGCTGCCGTTGACAACGATGAAGAAGACGATTCCGGTTCCACATCTGGGGACTCGTAAACTTCCTCAAAAGGTGTTGATTGGTCGGCCTCGTCATCCATAAAATTGGGCACCACAGACCGTCTTCTGGAGCTGTTGGGTCCCCTCTTCTTCATGTACTTTTCAGCCCCAGTCTGACCAAACAGCTTGTAGAGTGAACTTCTGGAACTATCATTTTTGTATTCATTATGCCACCCAACCACCAGTTGAAGAGTCCGTTTTTTCACTTGTGCATCAATTTCTGGATCTCTCAAGTGGACCCTGAGCCGTTCCAGCAACTTCTCGTCGTTAACAAAAGCACTAAAGTCTCCCCTGGCATTGGCCACCAATAGCTCCACCAAACTGAGTCCGTTCAGCTGCTCGGAAACATTTCCATATTTGAGTTTCTTTCTGATTGCTCTGGCTGCCTCCACTTGGCCCGATCTCTTCTGAAGCCGGATAATGTCAAGCAACCCAGGCAGCTCCGTCTCTAGAATGGCATCATCCGAGTTGGCCCGCGTTTGCGCAGTAATTTGGTCAATAATTGCCGTGATGGATGTGTATTGGTGTTCGTTGAATACTCCCATATTTTAAACTTGAAAATCAAAAATTTGCCTGACAATTAGTGGAGTTTCAGAATGGATTGGGACGAAGTCTTGGGCTGGAGCCGCGACACTCTTATCGGCCCCCATCCCCTTCCGGTAGTGACCCCCTACTGAAAAGTTGAAACGTGAAAAATGACGTAAGCAGGAGTTGAATAAATTGGATATGTGGGAATGGTGAATATAGCTGATTATTACAGTTTATTGAATAAATAGCGATTATCGGTCAAGTTTTTGGTGGATATACGAGAGAAACGCGTAGAGTATGGAAAATGGAGATTGAGGTGTGGAGTATAAGGCATAGTTGTAGAGTGGAGAATAGAGTAGATAAAACGGTAGAATTCACAGTACAATACATAGCAGAACACAAAGTAGAACACAAAGTAGAATACAGAGTACGACATACTATATAGAGCCAAAAATGTAGTAACAACTATAGAATAGAAAAACAGCCAGTGAAAAGCAATCATTTAGCATGAACTCTACAGTAAATCTCACTATAGTGAACATGCTCAAGACATGCTGATTAGATGCTAGTTATACGTCATGAAGTACACCGAACAAGTCTTTGATCGAACACTATCGCCACCAAATCTTTAAAAAACACTCGCTTAAAGCTTCGACGCCTTGATCTTCGAAACCAACTTGCCGTTGCTCTTCAACGCTTGCAAATCAGAGTTACCTCCGATGTGCTCTCCACCAATGTAGATGTTTGGAACGGTTCTTTGGCCGGAGATCTCGGCAAGAGCAGCCTGGATTTCGTCTCCATCGCTCAAAGTATCGAGTTCCAAAATATAGGCGTCGGCATCCAAGCTGTCAAGGGTCTTTTTGGAGGCGGAGCAGTATGGGCAGTAGGTCTTGGAGGCAACGAAAATAGGCTTGGACTTGATTAGGCCCTCAACCTTGGTTTTGACTGCTGAAGAGACCATTCTGGATGTTGAAGTGGAGAAGAATTTGCGATACAACTTGTATAGGATGAATAAAGCAGCACAGAGAGCAATTGTATTCATTGAGGAGAAAGCCCATGCCTTATATATGGTTCATAAAGAGCCACAATTACTAATGAATAGCCAACTCGCCGGGGCTGTTTGGGAGGGGCACGCATGAATAGGCAGGGACAGACACTATGGCCAATCTATTTGAAAAGCCGCGGAAGCCCATGGTATTTCTTTCAATACCTATAAAACGGTGACGATTTTCTATGACTTTCTCGAGGAACGTCTTTTTAAAAGTTTCCTAAAGAGCCTTGTCGAATTTTTGATCAGAGTTTATCTTTATATAGGCGCAATTGGAATGATACACCCCCGGTTCTCCACACTTCGAACCAACATAATATCCTACCTTTATGCCTAACTACACTCTCCTTTTTCTGTTCTTTTTTCCAACTATTCTTTGTTTTATAGACAAATCGGAATTTTTTTCTAAGTTTCAATGATTGGAGCGCTTGGCTCCTCCTCGGATCTATCACGGTCGTAGAACTCAGCAAGGATCTTTGGAGAGATTCTGTTCAGCATTTCCTTAGGATAGATTCTGAGCAGAGACCAGGCCTGGTCCAAGGACTCGAACACAGTTCTGTTATCGTAAGCACCCTGGGCAATGAAAGTCTTTTCGAACTTCTCCAAGAACTCCAAAGACAGCTTATCCTCGATGGACAGAGCCTCTTCACCAACCACGGCCTTCATGGCAGCAGCGTCTCTACCAATGGCGTATTTAGCGTACAGCTGGTTCGAGACATCACCGTGGTCCTTTCTGGTCATTCCCTCTCCAATGGCACTCTTCATCAGTCTCGACAAAGAGGGCAGCACGTTGATTGGAGGATAGATACCACGGTTGTGCAGTTGACGATCCACGGAGATCTGGCCCTCGGTGATATACCCGGTCAAATCTGGAATAGGATGCGTGATATCGTCATTAGGCATGGTGAGAATTGGAATCTGCGTAATGGACCCGTTTCTGCCTTCGACTCTACCAGCACGTTCGTAAATGGTTGACAAATCGGTGTACATGTAACCGGGGTAACCACGTCTACCGGGAACCTCTTCTCTGGCAGCAGAAACTTCTCTGAGCGCATCAGCATATGAAGACATGTCCGTCAAGATAGTGAGCACGTGACGCTCAGTTTGGTAGGCCAGGTATTCGGCGGTGGTCAGTGCCAGACGTGGGGTGATGATTCTCTCAATAGTTGGATCATTGGCCAAGTTCAAGAACAACGATGTTCTCTCCAGAGACCCGTTCTCCTCGAAATCCTGCTTAAAGAATCTCGAGGTTTCCAAGTTAACACCCATGGCTGCGAACACTATGGAGAAGTTTTCCTCATGACCGTCGTGCACGTCCTTGGTTGGTCTAACCAGACCGGCCTGTCTACAGATCTGAGCAGCAATCTCGTTGTGTGGCAGACCGGAAGCAGAGAAAATTGGGATCTTCTGGCCTCTGGCAATGGAGTTCATGGTGTCAATGGCGGAGATACCCGTGGAGATCATTTCCTCGGGGTAAATACGGGCAAAGGGGTTGATTGGCGAACCGTTGATGTCCAAGTAGTCCTCGGCAAAAACCTTAGGTCCGTTATCAATTGGTCTACCAGAACCATCAAAAACTCTTCCGAGCATGTCTTCACTGACCGGGATCTTGAGATTTTGGCCGGTGAACTCGACACGGGTCTTCTTGACATCGATACCGGAGGTTCCTTCAAACACTTGGACAATCGCACGATCACCTCTGACCTCCAGCACTTGTCCAGCACGAATGGTTCCATCAGGCAATGTCAAGTTGACAATCTCGTTGTAACGAGGGAACTTTACGTTCTCCAGAATGACCAGCGGACCGTTGACACCACCAACGGTGTTATAGTTAACACGAGGCTTGATCTTGAAGCCCTCGGTGACCGCCTTCTTGTTGATCTCAAACAATTCTTTGTCGGACAACATTTTGGACAAATGACTTATGGCAGACTCTCAGATTCTGATGCTATTTTGCGAATGTTCTTTTGTCGAACGATCTTCTGTGCCCAATTCCAGCCAGTGCAGGTAGGGGTCGAGACTATTGAGTGCAAACAGGGAATCCTTCGGAATCTGAAGAATAACTATTGCAATTGAGCTTTGCTGAAGTGTCCTTTGACGAAATTCGAGATGATTCTTGAACTACGGGGGGAACAAGACTGACGATTGGTAGACTGCCTCCCTTCTTTCACCTCCTATACTGCCGCTCCCTTCGGGCCAAATGTCGTGCACAAAACGATAATTTGCTGCCAAATCTGCCAATTTCGGCGGGCCCGTCGCTGGAGCTTATGCAGCCATTCTGGATATTACGCTTGGACGTGGTCTGTCAATTACGCAGAGATGGGTCAAGCGATAAGATAAGCCTATATATACCGGATGCTGATGTTTATATGACCTCCCAGTTGTCAAACGTGTTTGTAGACCTGGAAGAGTTTGCCTTGGAAGCCTTGGAAGCCTTGGACGAAACAGAGCGCCCACTATTGTGGTGAGGCTTTTTTGGCCTTGACTTCGTGGGCGTAGATACAGATCTCCTGGTGGTTTGCACACTGTTAACATGGAGGTTGGTGTGATCGTGACCCGACGAAGCATTGAACTCAACAGTGGATGTGGTAACAGTAGGAGGCGGTATGAAGTTTGGTGGATCTTTCTTTTTGGTTTTCTGTTGTTTTGGGACGGTCTCATCGTGATCCAGCGAAACAATAAATGTGGACGATTCCGCAGAAGCCCTCTTTGACTGGTCCTCTATCCGCTTCAGAATCTCTCGCGCGAAAAACTCGTAAATGTACATATGCAACTTCTCAAAATTGTACAGGTCTTTGCTTGAGGTCAGGGTTGGCGCTTCAAACTTGGAATCCAGAACCGATTCGAACACAATGGATGAGCTACTCTTCTTTCCAGCATCAACCTCTGCCTTCTCCTCCTTCCAAAAACTGTATCGTAAATCCAGATTCTCGTCTGAATCAGATCGTTCCTGTGACGGCTCTTTTGTAACCTCTTTGGAGGTGTTGACTGGAACGGGTTTCGTTTTTTTCTTCCAGAATCCGACTAATGCTTCAGAGATGGATACCCTTCTGTCGGTGGGTGCTCGGGTTTTGGAGATGTCCAGAACATGCTTTTCGTCTCCTCTGCTGGAAGAGTTTTCTGTATCATTTCGTTCTTGATCCTGCTCCCGGGGTGCTCCATATCGAGAAGCGTGATACTTTTCATTATAGATCAGCATCCACACCAGACCATCAAGCTTCACAGCTTCTTCAAAAGAGCGAATCTTTAAATCGTTCACAACATTGATTTCTTTAGCCCTTTCATCCAAGACTTTGATGAGATACATCATGTCGATAATCAAACATGCAAGACCCCTGCTGAAGGCCAGAACCTGTAAGTTGGAAGCATCAGCCAGAAACTCTATATGGGACTTCCCGTCTACCATCTTGGATGGGATATAGGCAGTATGGTACTCACTCTTGTCAGAAATATTGGACGAGAACAGAGGTCTCAAGGGCTCGAGATTTTGCTGGGTCTTCTTATTGATGCCGTGGACAAACTCGGGTGTTGGAAAGACAACCATATCATAAGGCAAGCTCACATTCAGGTACAACGACATGATCTGGATAAACCTGCAAATATTCTCCAAGGAGGTGTTGATAATAGGAGCCGAGAAATTGAAGAACTGTGGGATCGGTATTATGGGAATGAAGCACATCATCAGTTTTAGATCATCAAACACAGGTTCCTTGGCTTTATTGTAAAGACGAATATTGGCTATCAGGTTTCGGTTTAAGCTTTGAATGCGATCGTAATTTTGATGCTTAGATTGCGAATTTGCTTTGAACTCTGCCAGTTGCTTTGAATGGAGTTTCTTGGAGTAGTTCACCTCCTTCACTCCAAAGACTTTGATCTCTTGCTGGAACATCTTTGACCTGGCATTAGACAAAAGCTTCTTGACGGCATCAGACTTCTCATTTCTGTATTCCACAATTCCACGCTGGATCAAGTCCCTAGATTTGGCATACATATCTTGCAACTTGGTAGTTTCCTCTTCTAGATGGATCCGTCTCTGGCGAAGATTCTCCTTTGGTGCCTCTAGCTCTGCCTTCAAAGAATCGACTTCTTGAGCAAGCATAGCGATCCTGGTCTTATTCCGCGATATGCTTCTCTTATAATGCGAAACTTCAACGCTTAGCAAAACCTGGGCCAACCTGGCTGCTGAATCAGCAGACGGAAGCGGAATCGAAACATGCGAATTTGAACCAGCTGTCTGACTAAGAAGCTTTTGCCTGTCCGTGCCCTTATCACCAACATCTAGGTACTCTTGAATAAATCCAGAAGCCCTTCCATTGATACAATGACTCAACACGCCATCAACCTGGTTGCTGGCCAATTGGCTAATACGATCCGTTTCAATAAGTTCGAGCTTTAACTTCAGCAACTTAAAGTTGATACACGACGCACACGTCAGGTTCAACACAGATCCGTTGGAGTTTTTGGATTGTTGTTGGAAAGGTTTCACCTTTGTGGGGTCTGCGTAGTTCACATTGCACACACCGCAATGCGTCGGGTGCGGCCTCATCATTTATCCGAGAATTAACCGGTGGCAAATTTCAAAAAAACAGCACAATTTCTAGATCATGCTATCCCAAAAAATATGAGAGTGTCAACGAAAGGAGCATGTTCAAGTAGGACAGACTTAAACATCCAGATGACACACATGGGTGGCTGGTAGTGCAGCCAGTGCAAAAAAAAGATAAGATTTGATTTCGCCCAGGATCGAACTGGGGACGTTCTGCGTGTTAAGCAGATGCCATAACCAACTAGACCACGAAACCATTTCTTGAAAGCTGGACAGGTAGTGGCCAGCTAGATTGGGTGTATTTGGTTATAGGACGACTCAAAAACCTTCGTCAAAAACTAGAATTTGGTGCCTGGACTTGCGTGCCTGGGCTTACGTGCCTTCCGGAGGTAAATTTCTAATTTAGTGGAGATGATCATGAAATAGCGACAGAGGTGCTGACATGAACCAGCTCTTTGAGGCCAAGAATGCGGAGTACAAGGGAAACTGGTGGAAAGACTACACTATAGGGGATGCTCGGCTATCGTGGGGTCATGATCAAGATTCTTTTCGGAAGAATAGCACAGTATGTGGCAACTACAATGAATCTCCTCGAAAAATCCCTATGTCTTCCCCTTTCCCAATTGCCCATCAAAATGCACCTCCATACACCTCTTACCCCAAAGGCTCGGAAGATCACCGATCACGTGATGTCTCTCATCTCATGTCTAAGCGAATCAGCCGGCAGTAACGCCGTCAAACGACCTGTCAGAGTGTTAAATCAACAAGCAAAACCACTCAAACATACAAAAATCCGAGGACGCAAAATTCAGCACTTTTAAGATCGAAAAATACTTAATCCATTGTCGGACGATTACCTCCGCAAATTTCGTTCACCTGGAATTGTGTATGCCACAGAATTTGACGTGTTTGTGTGGGAGTGTGTGTGCTATTTTTGTCTCTCTTTGTGTGGTGCCTTGTTGCTCTTCACACAAGCCATCTCTAAATCTAAAGGTGTGATATTTGCAGAGTGCCTTGTTGTTCATTTCGCTATTCATCAAAGAAGACCAAGTCTCTTTCTTTTTTTCCCATAACCTCATTCCATATACTGGATTAAATTGGTTTGGAAACCCTTCGTTGCTGCCATCCTAAAACTGCTACCCTCTCGCTGCGCCGACCCCTGTTTCGCTTGTTGTCCCAGTTACATCTCGGCATTCACAAGACAAAGCTATTGAAAAACACCCAAAAACACAAAGGGCCGATCCTGTTGCGATTACTTTTGCAACCTTTCTGTTTTGTCAAATCTCAGAATTGCAGAATTACCATCACCAGTCATATATTCCACGTGCGGACCTGATCTAATCGATCAAGGAAAAATTTCTTAGGGCTTGCTAGGCTACCCGATTTTTCAGGAAAAATCGCATTCACTCGTTTTTGGAATAGCTTACTATATCCGAATCGCTCATTAAGTTGACCTCTATCTCTTTTTCCACTCATCATGCCTAAGACCGCAGTGGCCGTCGGCTGTGCAGTGGGAGTGCCAGGTGCCGTGGGGCTTCTCATCTGTCTTTTCTTCTGGTACCGATCGTCGCGGAGATTCAAGAAGGAGTCCATGGAAGATGTCGATATTGATGCCAAGGACATGGACCTGAGCTCGCTCTACGCCAGACCGCACAAACCTGGGTTTGCTCCTCCGGTGGACCCTTCCACCGGGGATGAATTGTCCATACGTGAAAGGGACCTGGATCACATTTCGGATACGAAATACGAAAGCCAGGCTAACAAGGATTCGAGTATCGCTTTCGGCGTTGACACCTCAGATGGAACGAAAAATTCAGGCACAGACATCACGACCAACAGCTCGTCCCATCTACACACACACAGCAATATCCACAGCAGTGGTGGAACTCCAGGGTCGAATTACATGTCCTTTTATGATTCGGTAATACCGGTTTTGCCTACTCCTGATAACCTCCCAGGTAGCGCACAGACGATGGTTGAGAACTCTCCCAATGGGGGGTCTCAACAGGCCACTCCAAAGACACCGGAAAGAGGCTCGGCTGCACAAACTGCTGACTTTATACGGCATTTGCACAAGAATGACAGTTCGAGTTTCCCCATGACCACACATACCATGGTTAATGCCACACCCTCGACTCTGAACCTGTTCAATAACTATCAGAGGTCTTCCAGCACTAGTACCAGTCGCAATGGGTCCATGACTGGTCTCAATGGATCCCAGGACGGAATCGCTGGTACAAAGGCTTATCCAAGATCCGGTGCTCTTAGCAAGGCTACGAGTCAAGACAATATTGGTCTTTTGCGCTCTGCAAGAGGATCGAACCAGTCGTTGCTTATGATGGGCCAGGAAAGCCCGAAAAGAGCACTGAACAGCACAGCAGAAGGATTCACAAATCCTTCGTCCCCAGGATGGAAAACTGACACTGAAACTGGAGAGATCCAGCCGCATTCACTGCTTGAAGGCACAATTCTTGCTACCTCAGAAGCTCCCCTGAAGCCTTCGCCATTTGACACACCTCCAAGAAATCGATCCAGTCACGTTTTTGCCGACGACGATGAAGATTCGAGCGAGTAAGCTTCGAATCACGCGCGGAAGACGCTTGGCGATGTCTTGCAATCACAAAATTTCAACTGTGTGCCTGTAACACCTGTTGATTCATAACTCATATTCCAGATATCAAATTTCATGTTCCAATTCCAGCCACCAGTTTATTTATTCCTTTTCAGTCTGTTTTCTCGTTCTCAGGTCGGCATTTCCATTGTAAATACATATACATACATATTTCTCACTAAACTGGAAGTGTAGACTGTAGATTACAATGTTTCACTGGCAATTGTGGTGTTCGCACTGACTTTTAATAGTTCATGATTTTCGACATTTTGTTGGCTCGTAATTCCAGTCTATGTACATCTCTTCATTTCCAACATCACACTTCTAAAACGCAATCTCGATCGAAGGATCATCAAGCAAGTTGATCACCTTCCCGTTCTTCAACACCAAGTTCCATCTCTCAATAGTGAACTCCTGAAGTCTGCTATCTCTGTTCGCCTTGAGCTCCATTTTGGCAGTGTCGATATTTCCTTGAACATTGACACCAATATCGATCTGTCCCTTCATGGTATTCAGAATACCATGCACCCATGGAACGGTTCCAGCGAATGTGATCTCTTTTCCAATGGCCTCTCTCGCAAAATCAGAACGACGCAAGCAGTACATCGTAGCATTCATCACGGGAGAACTGGTTTTCTCGTAGTTGAAGATACCAAAAAGGGCACCCGACATGAGGATTGAAAAGCACACAAAATAGGTCTTGTTCAGCCTTCCCTCCCTTAGCGGATCTGGCAAATCGTCATGCACCGTCATCGGCCTTCTTCCATCCTTAAGCTCGCTGAGCTCATCAGCGGTATGCTGAATTGATTCTGCTTTTGAATGCACCGTTCTTAGTGGCATGTTTAACGGGCTCATCAACAGGTTTAGCGGGTGCTTCGATGAGACTGTCAGTGGTCTTGTTTGACACTGCTTCATCAGCCCCATATTTCCACATGCACGCGAAAACCTAATAGCTCTGAACATTCCGAGAATCTTATAAGTAAGCTCGATTTTTCACTACGTTGACAGGGGAAGAATCTCAGAAAGTGCTCAGCTCATTTTTGAATCGCAAATCGAAAGGTCGTGGGATAAACTAATTATATCTGGAAAATGGCTCGTTATAATCTATCTGGACCACTGAATAGATCAAACAGGTATATAGGTTTGTGTTCAGGTCCAAATTGGCCACTTTTTGGACGAATAATTTACCTGGATCTCAGATTTCTTTGAAACAATGTCCGCAATAAAAGGTGCGGCAGCGTACAAGAAAAAGGCCGGTATGCTGTCTCTAAACGAAGAGGTTATACCGCCTGTGCTGGTGTGGAGATGTATTGATGATACGGTGGCGATTCCACTCGTGGAAGTTCAGCTAGACAAAATTACGAACCTAAAGGCAACACCAGCCACTTCTGAAAAGATGATGTTGAAGATTATAACGAATGACCCTGCTGCTACGGTTCCAGCAACTCCATCTAGCGAGGTGGTTTTCTCTTTTAACAGCAGGGCAACCATGGAGGAGATACAAAGGGCATTACAGCAAGTGATAGCGAGACGGAAGGCCTCGTTATTGGCTGCCGAATCTGCTCGAGAGTTAAGTTTGAGTGGAACTCCAGTTCCACAAGCTGATACAAAGCGCTCTCAGTCCCTGGGGCCGCAATCGGGATCAGACGAAGAGACTTTGGCTACGTTAACGGACCCACAGAAGCTGCTTAGAAATCATCAGTTACAACAGAAGCTCTTGATGAGCAACAAGAAGCTCATGGCGACGTTCAAGGAAGTGGTGATGAACAGTGGACTGGACCCTGAGGAGTTCTGGAGTACGCGGATTAACCTGCTGCGGTCATTTGCTGTTCAAAACAATCAGAAGAGAGGCTCCTATAATGTCCTGAGCACGATAAAACCTGTGGCTAGTAGCGACAACGAGGTGAATGTTTCGGTGACGAGAGAGAAAATCCACGAGATTTTCAACCAGTATCCTATAGTGAGGAAAGCATATGACGACTGTGTTCCCAAAATCAGCGAGGGTGATTTCTGGTCGCGATTTTTCAGCTCAAAGTTGTTCAGGAAGCTGAGAGGTGAAAAAATCAATCCCTACGATCGTGGCGATGTCATGTTAGACAAGTATCTGTATGCGGACGCAGATTATGATGGTGAAGAAGAAGAAGTTGAAACATCTCCTTCTTCGAAAACTCATCCGACAACGTCTCCCTCTGGATCACCAGTCCAAAAGAAGCATAAATCAAAGAACATTGATGACATACACATCAACAAGATCATAGACGTTATGGGTAACGAAGAGGATAACTCGCAGAAGCTGGGAAACGCTCCCGATATCACGATGAGGGCTGGAAAGAATCAGGATATGTTGTCCATAATGAAGACTATGAACAGATTATCAAGGCGAATGTTGAAGAGCACTGGTGTTGACATTGAGGAGGAGGATCCCGAGAAAGAAGAGCAGGAGAACGAAGAGGAGCTAGAGTTGAATGACCTACGTGAGACTCACGAGACTGAGTACAATGAGATCAACTTTAAGGTGAATTCCAACAAGCACTCGGATTTGATTAAAAATATACCGAAGGATAGTTCTCCATTGAATCCCCAGGAATGGTATGCAGAGTTTCTGTCTGAGTTGAAAGGCTACTTCAAGGTAGGAATTGATCTGCAGGAGGTTTACAATAGCGATGAAAAGAAAAAGGGGATAAGAGAAGCTTCTCATGAGATCGAGAGGTTGGTGAGACAGAATGCCAGGCAAAGCTCTCATGGATGGCATGCAATCAAGTTTTCAGCCTCCGACGCTTCTTCTTTGAGTTCCATCCAAGACCAAAGTGTTCACAACGAAGATGCGGAGGTTGATCCTTCGTTCTTGGGACTTGATCCGGCCACAATAGAACAGCTGAGACTCACCCATAGCACTTCCGTGGAGTTTTTGTGTCATTTCTGGCTTGGTTTCAACGAGTCCGCAACAGCTGATAAGGCCAAACTCGTCCAGCTCAGGAAGCTTTATCTTTCTATCAAAAAGTGCCAGGACCGTGTTGGAGCAACCATCAACAATATTGAGGAAAGGTTCAAGAATGTGAAGAACGAGGATGGAGAGTTGGTTGTGGCCAAAGCAAGAGAGTTGATGGATCCATTATCGGTCAGTCTAGACCGTGCCATACAGAAATATCAGCTAGCAATGATGCCTACCTCCGGAAATAATGCCTAAGAGGGTAAAAAAACGTTCCTATACATGCATATATTTATATCATTGGCTGAACCAAGAGCAGATTATTCTTGCGTGGATGCGACAGCTTGAGAACTGCTCGCGTCCTTAGCAAATTGAAAAATCGAAAAATCAAGCATTTTTATTCCATCCCATTCGCTTCCTTAAACTTAGCCCATGCTTGATTCAACGAAACAAAAACAGCTTGCGCGACCAGTTTTTGCTCTGTGGATGCCGTAGGACTCACCTTATCAGGATGGACCTTGGCAACTGCCTTCATATAAGTGATCTTTACTTTCTTCTCCATAATCAATTCTCCAACAGAAACAGGCTTCCAGTTAGCATCCTGCCACAGAATTAGTTGTAGCGACGATAGCAAAGCACGTAGATTGTCCTCTTTGCCTCTCTTCCATTCCTGAACCCTTGCTTCAACCTGATCGTGCAACTGGAACTTCTCTGCCTCAAATTGCTGTTGTTTTTGCGATTGTTCGTTAACGGTCTTCATAGCTGCGGATGGTTTGGAAACACTGGGTTTCGTTGGGGCTTTTTTGGGTTGAGCTTTGGCTGGTGGTTTGCCCTGGACAACTTCCTGACAACGTTTCTTACCATCCATTACCTGCTTCGATGCTCCGCCATTCTCAACCAACATGTTATAGGCACTTAGAGCATCCGCGTATTTTTCAAGATTCTCCAAAGCTTCTGCTTTCCTGGAAACAAGCTTGATCCAGAATTGCTTGAGAGGTTTACCAGATTCTACTTCCACACCAGCAAGATCACCTGGTGCCCCGCCGAAAGATCCGATGAATGAAAGAGCACTATCAGCAGAGGAGAGTGCACTTTTCGCGTCACCCAGTTTCAAGAAGCATGTTGCCAGATTTGAATTCACGACAATCGTGAGTTTATGGGAACTTGGAAGAAGGGTTAGACAACTCTGGTATCCCACGAGGGCATTTGTAAAGTCGCCCTTTTTGAATAAATCGTTTGCTTCCGTGCGCTTGAGCTCGAATTTGCTCAATTGATCTGGCGACACCGAAACTTCTGGTATGACAATCTTTGTTCGGGTTACCTGGGGAACATTTGCACGTTTTGGGGCTGGTGCTCTCCTTCTTGAGCTTGAAACATACATCTCGTCGTTCTCAGTTTTAGCCCTGCTTGCAGGTCGTGATGTCAGGACAGGAGCACTGAATATGTCCATGAACGAGTCAGTTTTAGACCCAGAAAACGAAGGAGAAGCACTTGATGAAGTTGAAGCAGTAGACGCGGATGATGATTGGGGTTCGACTGAATTGGCTCTGAATTGTTCTTGAGGTGGTGATACACTGGACGGTGGTTGTCTCCTCCTAGAAGGCAATGGGTCATCAAACTTAGAACTGTGCGCAGATGAAGGAGACGACGAGTTTTGTCTATGAGTCTGAAGTTTCGCTCTAGCCTCATCTCTCTTCTGTTTCAACTTTAGGTCTTGCTCTCTTTCCCTTTCCTTTCTGATCTGGATTTCCCTGAGGCGCTGATCTTCAACAATCCTTCTCATCTCCTCGGGAGAGACTTCCTCGCTGGGGTCGTCATCTGGAAGTCGCATTGATTGAGCCTTATATCTGTCTCTATTCTTCATCCAGGCAGGCTGGCTATTATTCTTTTCCAGTTGTTGGTTTTTGTACAAGTCGATACCTTTGGCAAGTGTCTTTCTGCCTGTCTGCAACCAAAACGAGGCCTTATTTTTGAGTTCCACAGAAAGCTCGTTGACCATTGCGCCCAGATCATCCGAACGAGCTCCAAAACCATCGTCGTCACCGTAAGGGTCCGAGCTATGCGAAGATGAGCCATTTGCTCCAAGCTTTTCCTGCTTAGCCTTGCTATGAGCAGCGTTCATCAAGTAAGTGATTGCCTGATTGACATCTCTTCCACTGTCGGTGCTCTCCAAGGCTTCGTTCGCCTGATCAATACCAAAACCCATGTCCACCAGCTCTGCCAACGCTTCATCTCGTTTAGAGACCCCAGATGTCGTAGACCCAGAGGATGACAAAGGGGCAGAACTCACCGGTTCAGAACCTCGAGATGGTGGCACAGGATCCTGAGAACCATTTGAAGAGTTACCAGGCAAAAAATCGTCTGAAACCGGTTGCGGGCCTTGTTGGCTTTGTTGTGGGGCCGGAGACGGTTGGTTGAATGCCTCAAACAGCGTATCTATATCCACCGAAGAAGCCACAACCGGCTTGTTCTTTGGCAAATCAGCAATTCCCACAGAACTAGAGTTTCCCGATGCACCCGTTGATCCTAATTGTTCCAACAGACCCAGATCTGGCCACATATTGGTGTTGTTCGGAGAGCTCACACCATTGGAGCTTGGTGTGGAGTTGAGTCTCTGTGAGAGCGGTATATTTTTCTCCGACTTCTTGATAGAATTTGTAGACAGCAAGTCTGCAAACAAATCCTGACTTTTCGACATTATTCCGAAAGAACGCTCTGCCCAATCTGAGGCTGTGGATCCAGGTCCTTGTCTGGAATCTGATGGATCTGCCGTGTCTATATCGAATCTGCCAAATCATCGCGGGTGAGTAGCCAAGCTAGAATTTTTTTCTACCTACTTGAAAATTTGGAGTAGGCTCGATTCTGTGCTGTTAAGTCAGGATTATACCACTTTCATTACAAATTACATTCAAAATGCATTTGATGTACACAACTGGCCCAGACGGCAAGAGAATCTACACTTTGCAGAAGATCACCGAGTCTGGTGAAATTACCAAGTCTGCGCACCCAGCCAGATTCTCTCCAGACGACAAATACTCCAGACAGAGAGTCACTTTGAAGAAGAGATTTAACATGCTGCCAACTCAGCAAGGTAAGTCAACAAAGAAATATGCGTGGTATCCGATTTGACATGATTACTAACAGGAATCTAGAGAACCTCAAGTACTAAGTTGACTGCGCGAAGTGGAATATGCTGTGTGTACTACTGCATTGTGTGTACTTTGCTGATAGTACTAAATGAGTATTTTGCAGAATTCCTCTGAGGTCCAGAGGAGATTTTTGGGATATTTTAATTGGCTAGGGAAATGCAGGTGAAAAAAGGCTGCCGTTACATGAAGTCGACACTTAAGCGTGGACCACGTTTGAGGCTTAAGCAATAAGCATTATGTGTAATATAAAGACAAATTTCTATCAAGTTGTGTGAAGTGTAGAAATATGGGATTCAAACAAGTGATCTTGAGTGACATGTCATGGAAAAACCATGGAATCACCATGGAAGGGTCAACAGAGTGGTATCATGAATGAACCCCAAACGGACCATTAAATGAACCTCCGAATGAACCTCCGAATGAACCTCCGAATGAAATTCCGAATGAGCCACACTGTGAACATAATATGGGAGATCCAGACGGCCATAATATCCAACCACGACTGAACAGAAATGGTAATCCCAATGACCAAACACAGCAGCAGATATTATCAACCCAAAAGCTTCAAAAATGGGAGAGAAATCCAACTTAAACTCTAAACAAAAAACCAAAATAAAACCCAAACACCATTTTCATTTTTGACGGCTATAAGCCGCTAGAATATCGGCAGGCTCTGACAGCTTCTTGGAAGACTTGAGGTGATATTGAGCATTCTTAGTGTATGTCTCCCACATATCACAAACAATCTCGGTCTCGAGATTCATAGTGTTTATCTGTTCTAACTGGTTGTTCATTGCCTTCATGGAGTGATTCACCATGGCCTGAAGTAGAAAAGGGTTAGTGACATGTTTGTTATCAAGACGCGTGCTATTTGAACGCGCCTCACAAAGCACTTGGACTCACGAAGTTGTGGATTATTCTCGCAAACAGAGCCTTTCTCTCTGTGTCATATGGGTCTTCCATTTTTTGTAAACTTTCCTCGGAATATTTTGTTTTTTGATTGGATTGTTAGAGACCTAAGATCAATATTAAAAAAGATAATGAAAGCTATAAAGCGTATCTCTTAATACTGAGAGATGAGATGGATACGAAAATGGGTTAATGCACGGACCTTGCTGTTTATCAAGCTTTCGGGTATTGATAGAATTCACAACTTCACAATATCTACAACTTGAATAACGAATCTTTTCCAGATTCCTTTCAGACTTTCTTTTCCTCCGTCCAATCATGTCTGGATTCGGAACTGTTTTGGTGCTTTCCTTACTGATGGGCATATCGTGAGTGTCATATTGTTCCGCTTTCAGAAACCGTGAAACTGATAGTATATAGCCACTCTCACTCTCACCCTGATACTAACAAAATTTCAGCTCCTTTTTGTCGGGGCTTATACCAATTGTTGTTCGCTTAAGTTCATCCAAGCTGAAACTTATATCCGTGTTTGGTGCTGGAGTTCTACTGAGTGCAGCGTTAGTACTCATAATACCAGAGGGTCTGGAGAAGGTGGAAGAAAAAGGATCCAATCTCACCGGCATAATGCTACTTTTGGGATATTTCACTCTGCATATGGTTCAAAACGTTCCTCAAATCTTATCGCCGAGGAATAAAGACTATTACAAAACTTCAGCTGTTGAGGACTTGAACCTTGAGGACACTGAACTTCCGGTGCTGGAAAGTCCTCCTATATCCAAACCGAAAACGATACTAATTGAGGCTCAGACTCAGTTCAAAAATGCATGTAAATCTCCATTTACTCTTGGGCTCATGATCCACTCTTTCTGCGACGGTATCGCACTAGCATCGACTGTATATGCAGCAGATATACGACTCCAGCTCACGATCCTTTTTGCCATATTCATCCACAAACTACCGGCGGCATTTGGTCTCACATCCATATTGAGGTCTCACAATCTCGCTAAATCTGGCATCATGTGGCATTTGTTCTTTTTCGCTGTATCCGCGCCAATCGCTGCGGTTCTGGCTTTTGGTGTGTTCTCGATCGTGTCTGCATCTGACGAGAATGGATCCTACGTTTCTGGACTACTGCTTCTATTTAGTGGGGGTTCGTTTTTGTATGTGGCATTTCATGCTTTGTCAGACACGATGGAGAATCATGGAGGTGAAATTTTGAACGGCGGTGACATGTCTTCGATAGAAGAACCATCAGATGAGAGGCCTCTTGAGCTTGGGGCAAGTGCTTTGGGAATGCTTCTTCCAGTTCTGGTGAGTCTTGCCAAAGAGTGACAGTTATTGATATTTGATACTTATCTCATCGGTATGCAGCCTAATGACTCGGGTCTAGCCTTATTGGGGGCTTCTTTTGAAATCTACCCTTACTGTTCAAGCAAATCCTCTTTCATATTGTCGGGAATTTTGCTGCGAACCTTATTAGTGAATAACAGTAATGACCTCAACTTAACCAGTAATTATCCTTCGATTTCGTTGATCTTCTTTTCTTTCTCATCTCTTTCCTAACGACTTTCTTTTCAACCACCTATCCTTACTACTCACCACCCTCGACTCCGCCTTTGGAACCGTCAATACCGTCGTAGAATTGGAGATCTTTCGTATCTTCTCGAGCACCTTCACGGTAACAGGTCCTTTCTTCTCTGAGCTCTTGGTCGCTTTCCTCGCCATCCTCAGCTTCTGTACCTTCATCTGCTTGGATACCTCTTTAAGAGTCTCCTTGTCCAAATCGTCGTAACGAACGTGCGATCTTGCAGAAAATGGCTCGGATTTGTCCTCAGTTTCAGAAACTGCAGCCAGAACATCATCTGGCAAGATATCGGGTAGATCTTCGTACTTATGGCCTTTGGCCTCTGATCTGGTCCTTTTCTCCAGTTGCTGTTTCTCAAACTTTTGCTGTGCCTCTCTTCTTTTCTGTCTCTCTATTCTTTGTTTCTCCTCCTGTAACCTTCTTTTCTCGTTTTCCTGCCTTGTTACCGCCTCTTTTGATGTTCCCAGGTTCTCCTCTTCTGGAGCCTCATCATCGCTGGACTCGTATGCATCGCTAGCTTCTGCGCTGGATTCGCCTTTATCCGTTCCAACCAAGGTTCTGCTCCTAGTTCTGGTGGTAGGGGAATCAAATGACGCGACTGGCATTCTTGTGGAATAAATGTGGGAATGTGGTGTACTAAGGCAGTTTTGAAGGTTCAGACATTTGGTATGAAAAATTCCAAATTTTTTGATAGGTGGTCGTGTAATGCAAATAAGTTTTGGTGGCGCACAACCCTCATGAGGTAGGCGACTAAGCGCGTTGATTCAAGTAACGCAAAAACATTATGAAAGAGTAATTGCAAATTGCAGTAGCAGATAGCCAGGTTTTTTTTGCTAAACGCTAGGACGTGTTCTACCGGGACAAACCTCTGGAACAAGTCCAATATAACACAAGAAAGCCCTTGCTAACTGAGCCAACAGCTCGTCTTTCCCAGTGAAGTACAGCACACCCACAATGATAAGCACCGAAATCGCATATCCAATATTGAAGTAAATCCTGTTCCTGCAGTAGAAGTCAATCCATGACTGAGGTAAATCAAACAAATTGTCTCCACGCGACCCTTCGGTAGCACTAGGTTCACAAGATGGAAGCAATGGACGCAGAGCTGGATCCCAAATGGGCAAGTCTGAGCTCTCCTCTGGCGCCCAACGTTTCAGGCCGCATCTTCTCACAATCCAGCCGATTGTTGTTGGAGTCACACCTGACTCATCTGCTGGGCTGTTTGCTGGATCGTGTTCAGGCGAGTCTGTTGCATCTTCAAATACCTGTGATTCTACTCTTCTCATATAAGAAGGAGATTCATGAACGGAAGTCAAACCTGAAGCAGGCAGTGATTCGTAGCTCACCGGAAATCCAGTGTATGTAGTTTTCTTGGTGTAGTCAGCTTGTTTTGAAGCTGAGCCTGTGTCAGGGTCTTGGGCGTTTGCAGTCATTCCGATTAAACAGAAACGCTATATTTTGTCAGATAACCGGCTGGGTTCGCAGTCTTTGAAAGGACTTCAAATGCAGTCTATTTTGGATTGTTTTTCTTGTTTTTTTGAAAAGAGGATGGGAAGGTAGGAACAAAAGAAAGATGCATACCACAACATTTATACGTGTTGTGTACACTATCTATGCAGAACTGATGACCTTCCAGCTACAAAATCAACTAGGCTTCTTGATAATAGAGCTTATTATATACAACATTTATGATGTAGTATATTGATAGTAACTAGCATCAATATATAGCTAATCGAACGAAAACTGTCTTGTTAAACCTTGTTCGGTCTGCTTCTATCTCTCTACCCCCCAGCGCGCCCCCATCTCAACACCTTCTTTTGAAACAAGCATAGCATAAACCGTTTCATATGAGATAACCACTAGGAGAACGAATAGGATCATTATCATTAATAACTTGGGGGTGGTGTCCGCGGAGCGGGGAGATCCAACACCTCCAAGGCCCGACCCAGAGCCTCTATAAATTTCAGCAGTCAAGGCATCCAGTTCATCAGGTTCCCCAGGTGTTACTGTAGCTGAGGAATCCGTTTGGGTGTTGCTATGAGCAACTACACCTTCTGGGCTAACGCCTTGTTCTTCGGCTGTATATGGAGACCCAGACCTTCCTTCTTCCACCTCTCTCATATGGGCAAATGGCGAAGGAATTGAGTCATACCCAGACTGATTAGTATCAATAAGCTGAGAACTGTCTGTGATTTCGGCGGTATCTGGATCCAAAACGCTGGAAGAGGGTTTCTTGGGAGACCGGTACCCGAAGGCAAGAGACAACTTGTCTGCCACGGCGCTTCTTATTGAGAATTCTCTTTCGATCATGAGGGTTTCAGGCAAGTAGACCTAAGATAACAATTTGGAGTATTGACACGGAAAGCTGGTCTTGTTCTTGTCTTGTTCTAAAGAAGTATAGTCTCTTGCAGTTTGTTTGACTCTATTAGACGCCGCACGGATTTTAGATATGCTCACTACTCAACCTCCATGGTGCATGAGCCGCACACTGAATAATTTCTGGAGGCCTCATCGTGAACATTTAATTCATACTTAACTGTACGTTTGATTTGTTTTAAAGGTTATGAAACATTTTAGTTCATGAACATATAATACTTAGTATTTCTACCGTTTCTCTTTTTTTCTGTATTCAAAGGAAGGACTCATTTACCTGCGCCCTGACAAATCCATCATCTCTCTTCTTGGTAGTATCAAACAGCTTCATCAACCTATCCTGGTCCGTTCCACCTTGATCAAATGCGAAACCAGTTCTCTTTCTCATTCTGACAGATTGTCTGAGTCGCTTAAGCGAATTGCGGAAAGACTCGGAGCGTGGTCCAGTCTCCTGGTATTTTGCTTTCTGGAGCTCTTGAACGACATGGTAAGTCTCTGGACGATACATTCTCCTGTAGTATTTCCACAAAAAGTCTCTTGAAAGACACAGAACCGGCAGAATAAAGATCATGAACCAAAAGTTCATGGAGTTGTACACCACTGGGACCGTTCCGAGCAGTTCCTTGGAGACATTGACCTTGGGTGCGATGTAGGCATACGGTGGGTACAGACACAGCCACAGCAAAATAGACCCTGGAATCGCAATTAACGTGAATTTCGTCCAAACACTCGAAACTAGTGCTGCTTTACCCAGGGCAGTAAACATACAGGCTGAATAAAGCGCGACACCAAATGACCAATGATCAACTATGTGGCCGTCGTGGAGTTGGTTGCCGTATTTGTAGATGTTGATGGCACCCAAGTATAAAATGGCACTATGGTAGAAACCATTGATGGCCCAACTCCAGAAAGTTTCAACGTTGAAGAATTCTCTTCTTTGACCAGCCTTGTACATCTGAGGGTATCTGGTGAGCATCTGGGCTGAAACATATTGATCAAACACTCCAATCACAAAAGGGGGTAGAACGGTGAAAATCACATTGTAGAACGTCAAAGTCCATGATTCCATTATCGATTGGCCGCTGAATCCGTTAGAGAACACATACCAGAACTGAGTCATATAGAGGGCAATATTCTTGTAAAACGAGTACAGGATTGCCAGACTAATTCTTCGATATGACCAGGATCCATGCACCAGTAACAGTTTCTCCAGAAACCTAAATTGACCAATAGCAAAGTCCGCACTTCTTGCAGCTTGCATTCCTTCCATACCACTAATTCCTACGCCCACATGGGCCGCCTGAATCATGCTAACATCGTTGGCACCATCCCCGATTGCAAGCAACAGAGCCTTCTTCTTTCTCTTCACCAGTTTTACAACCAATGCCTTTTGCAATGGAGAAACTCTGCAGCAGATTACTGCTTTACAGAGCAAACCGATCTCCAAAAACATATCTTCCAGATCACTCTCCAGAGCAAATCCCAGCGACTTTCCATCAATGACCAGAGCAAGGGACTCCATATCCTCCTGCGAAAGATCATTTTCTCTCAAGGCTTCGCATTTCTCCGTGAGGTTCTGCCTCGTATCCTCCTTGTTGTCTTCGTTGACAATCAGCAGGTTCATATCTTCACTCAAAAGTCTGCAACTCATACCGATGTTGATTGCGGTCTCTTGGCGGTCACCAGTTAAAACCCAGACCCTAATTCCTGCTGTTTGCAGTGTGTGGATAGTTTCAGGAACACCATCTTGTAGTTTGTCCTCAATCGCAGTGGCACCAAGTAGAAAAAGATCTTTCTCGATGAGCTCAGCAGCATCATCCAATGCTTGCGATCTATCAACCAAGGTGGTTGAGGCCTTCTGAAAAATCTTGTTCCATTCCTGATACTCCTTCTCGGGTATGATTCTGGTTGCGATACACAAAGTTCTCAGTCCTTCAGCAGCAAACTCTTCCATGTGCTTCAAAGTAACGTCCACAAACGGATTTTCGTCTTGCAGTCTCTCCAAAATCACTGTATCTGCACCCTTGGTGTATAACTTGATAGTCCCATCGGGACAACGGAAAAGTCCAGACATTCTTTTACGCGTGGAGTTGAACTCGCAGATATTGAGCAATTCGTACCACTGTTCCTCTCCGTCCACCTCAATGAACACTCCTGTTGGTTTCCTGATGGTGAATTTGTAACCTAATGAAGCGGCACCATCCACTAGGGCTCCTTCGTCTGGAGAAGCAGCTTGGTATCTGGTCTCACCAGTCTCCAACACTTCTGGAATGACTGTGTGACAAGTAGCCAAAAGTGTGAAGAACTCGTTGATTATCTTTGCATCCGAACTACCAGTGGCTAGTTCAGCTTTCAAATCTGCAAAACTATGATATCCAGTCTCGACACCATCCACGATTTCAGCCCTGCTATCCTCAGGGATCTCCTCGATGTAACATTTTCCAGCAATGGAACATGTTTTGTACTCCATGATGTTTCTGGTTAGGGTTCCCGTCTTATCACTGAATACGTACTCAATCTGTCCCAGTTCCTCCACGAGTGACGAGGTGCGGCACACAGTGGGGGTATCAGTAGGCTCATAGTACATGTCAACGTCAGAGGCAATCATCCATGCCTGGTAGTACTTGATGATTTCAACTGTAACAAACAACGAAATTGGTACCAGGTTAGAGAATAAGATCCAATAGGTCAGCAAGTCCAAGAAAAACTTGGATAGTTTGTTGGTTCCCTCCAAATAAAGGTACTTCATGTTCTTGGCGTTGGAAATCATAGTGATCAAATCACCAAAGGAGGAGACCACAGAGAGCGTAATAAGGATACCAAAAAGCGCAATAATTTGCAAATTGATGACTCGTTCAACATCAGTTCTCTTGATGGGGGCGGCAGTAGCGTTTCTCATGAGTTTTGTCTCGTGGCCTGTGAATATTACAATACCGTGCACCCAACCCGTGTTTCGCAGACTGGCACCTCTTGGAAGTAATTGGTCTGGAGAGAGAGCCACTTCCTGATTGTTGAAGAACAAGGTTCCTTCGAAAGTATAGAGGGAACTGTTTGGAGGCTCGCATTTGATTTTTCCGTTTAGCCTGGCTAGGTCACGCGAATCCACCAAGCTCACCGTATCTGTCTTCGATTGCTTGATCTTCAGATTGGTCTCACCATCCAGATTGGCAGTTTCCACATAGCATATTCCTTCAGGCTCTGAAGAGTTCAACAAAATCAAATCTGCAGGAAATGGGTCGCCATTCCTGACACGAACAATGTCACCCACAAACACCTTGATCCACTTTTTGTGGACGAAATTCCCAGTTTCTGCCTCCAAAACCTCCACTTTTGCTCTGTTCAACTCGTTATCCGCACTCATTCTTTTGAAGTCCTCGGTGATTTCTTTGAGGGCAGAAACCAGCAGTACAATCGCCAGAGTACCTATCGTGGTATAGCGATTGGTAGGCGAAACATTTGGAACTTGCTGGATTATAGACGTGAAAAGGAAAAACAAATTCGCGTATTTGGAGAATTGTTCAAACAAAAACTTCGGCACAAACGTTGCAGCGTTATATTTGGTGGTACTGATGTGGTTATCCATGTATCCAAAAGCATTATTCGACGCAGCATCGTTAAGATGAATAATTCTTGGTCCTTGAGAAGCATCATCTTGCGGCTTTCTTAGTATTTTCTTTACTATTCTGCGTATATCGAACATGTTCTTGAAGTCCTCGCTGAGATCGCGATCTGGTGGGGGCCTGGAATCCTGGTAGAGCTCTTCGTCTGCTGAAGCGGTAGGCGGTCTGTAATCGCCCATCGTCAATTTCGACTTCATATTGTTGTAGATATTGCGCAATCCTTGAGGCTTGTTTTCTGCCGGATAAGACGAACCGTTTTGTGTATCAGTTATATCTGGAACGATCGAATTATCATCTGGATCGTAGAACGGATCTTCAACTGGATGGCCGCTTAGATTCGGCAAATGCTCATTCGTACCAAAAAATGGATCAGCAGCATCATATGCACTGTTAATGACAACACGTCCGTCATAAGGTGAATACCCACCGGCGACATTTTGCTGATACCCGGTCCTACTGTGCCTCGTGTCAGAAGGCCCTAGATCAAACAGGATATCTTCGTCGGAATCCGCAAACGGATCATCACGTGGGTGATTGTTAGCCATGAGAATTTGAATTAATGCCTTTTGCGCAATTCAAAGTTCCAAAGACCGACTTGTAATGGTAGCGAGACAAAGAGTTAACGTTACATGAACTGAGGCCACGAAATAGTGCGTGTGTTTGGTAGTGTGTTTTCCAAATAGCTTCCCGCACGCGTTTCGGGCGGAGCTAAAAGTGGTGAGGCTGATTGCGAGAACGGTGAAATTAGTTGCAAAGTTTAGTATCATAGCATGGTATTTTTGGACCCCAAATAGTTTACTATGCTTAAATGACCTCCGACTTGTCAATTTTCTTGCACCTTTTCAACTGATTTCCCTGCTAAATACGGCATCTTCCCAGCTTACAATCACCTTTCTTCCCGATGGCCATCTGGGTAGTGCGCACATCAGATATGATTCTGAAAAAAAAAATTCCAAAAAAATTTCAAACTTCAATAGAGAGGAGCTTGGTAACGCTTTTCGTCAGAACCACACCTAGCTATCAACATTGAAGAACCATGTCGGACGAGGTAAGTTACATTACGGAACTGTTTGAGGCTTTGTAAGCAGCGAAACTGCTTCTCTCCCTGACTGTCTCAGGACTGACAACTAACACACCCATAGGTGATTTGGCAGGTGATCAACCAGCAGTTCTGTGCTTTCAAGATCAAGACCACAAAAGACCAAAACTTCTGTCGGAATGAGTACAATGTGAGTGGTCTGTGCAACAGACAATCGTGTCCGCTTGCCAATGCAAGATATGCTACTGTGAAAAACATTGGGGGAAAGCTCTATCTGTACATGAAGACGGCGGAGAGAGCACATATGCCCAACAGATTATGGGAGCGTATCAAGCTGAGCAGAAATTATAACAAGGCCCTGGAGCAAGTGGATCAACATCTTTTGTACTGGAACAAGTTTTTAATTCACAAGTGCAAGCAGAGGTTGACCAGATTGACACAAGTGGCCATTACAGAGAGAAGGCTGGCCCTACGCGAAGACGAGAGGCATTACGTGGGAGTGGCGCCGAAAGTGAAGAGAAGAGAGGAAACTAGAGAAAGAAAGGCCCTTGCAGCAGCACGTATCGAAAAAGCAATCGAAAAGGAGTTGCTTGAGAGACTCAAGTCGGGAGCGTATGGTGACAAACCATTGAACGTTGATGAGAAGATCTGGAAGAAAGTTCTGGGCAAGGTGGGCGAGGAAGACGAATCCGAGGATGAAGAAGAAGAGGATTGGGATGAGGAGGAGGAAGAGGAGTCTGACGAGGGTGAGGTGGAGTACGTGGAGGATGATGGTGATGACGATTTGGTTGACATGGAGGATCTTGAGAGATGGTTGGATGATAGCGAAGGCAATTCAAGTGAAGAAGAGTCTGATTCTGAATCCGATGATAGCTCTGATGACAATTCAAAGGGTCGCAAAAGATCGAAGAGCTCTAAGGAGGTTAAGAGAAGAAGACCAAGGATCGAGGTTGAGATCGAAGAGGAGCCAAATGTGGTTACTAGGTAAGGTGAGAAAATGTATGAGTATAGTTGTGTCGCATAAAGTCATTTAAGAAATTGAAAACATTGAAAGTTCAAATTTGAAACCCAGTAATTTCACAGGACCTCTCTGGATTTGATAGGTCCCAGGAATTGGATTCGAGAGCTGTTACGTCAATAATTACTGCTCTTCATCACAAGGCACTCCCACCAAAGTCAGACAAGAATTCTCATCCACACCACATGGCAAAGCTTTTCTGTATAAACCTGCGTCAGAATCTGGAGAACCCTCTTGTGCGCCATGGATTACCTCTTTTTCCATGTGTAATTGACTGAATTTTCAAGTTTCCTAATCATATTTACTTCTACAATTCTCTTGTATATGTGACATCCTGTCCCTTAGCATAATTTTCTCAAATTTTTGGTATCCTCCCTCGGTAGGGGTAATGTTCATATATGACCAAGGCCTCAAGTCTTCAGGTAACTTTGTGGAGCACGGTGATCTTTCTCTCTAGATTTTACATTGGCTCGTCCGAGCCCATCTTAAAAGAGCGGATGTTCTTTTGAATTGACTGTATTCGACTGAGTGGTGCTCCTATACCTAACCATGATCTTAACCTTAAGGCTAAAAAAACAAGCAATGGTGGTCCGCATTCTACCATCCGATAAAATTAAAGAAACGGACTTGCAGGCTTGCATAATTAGTAATCCCCTTTTTTTACAGACAACAGTTAATAAACTGAACACGTCATTTAAACCTTAAACTGTAAATACAAATGAAGAACCTCGCTATAATTCCAATTATATTGTATTTGTTTTGTGGTTTTTGGTTTATCACTTGGGCGGTTCCAAACCCCGCGCATGCATATTCACCTGCAGCTCTATCCACGAAGGATTCTCATCAATGCCAGACGGAGTTCAATTTTACCGGGCTTTGCTTATAAATCGAATCAGAAATCACTTCCATTTGTCATTGGTATAAATACAAGGCATCATAGAGAATTATAAGAATTTTAGTAGAGTATGCTTTGAAGAACACTGCATACAAGGAAATGTCTTCAGCCGTGCTAGCTCCATTTTTTGCTCTCAGAGCAGCCGTCAAACCTTACATAAGTCACCCGATATTTGTCTTTGCCATAATATCTGCCTCCCAATGGTTGGACAACATCAACGTATCGGTAGTGACTACCACGCTGATGCAGATCCAACAGAAATATGATGTGCCGTATCCAGTAGCAAGCTGGACCCTATCAGCCTACTCACTCTGTTATGCCAGTTTCATCATCATTTCTGGCAGAGTTGGTGACATAGTGGGACACCATTATATGTACATTGGAGGCATGTTTTTCCTGGGCATATTCAACATCATAGCTGCTTCTGTGGAAAACGTATATGTGGTGATC